GCTGTTCGCTTCTCGAACGTTTCAACTCGCCCCCCCCCTTCCAAGCTTCTTGATTTGACGGCGTCGTTGCAACTACTAATAGTAGTTGCAACACGTTCATGCCGTTGTTGACCCGCTTTTTGCACATAATTACGAGGTATGCGGAAACATATTGCGCAAGATGGGCGGCCGTTTTCCGTTTGACGAGATGAGACCAAATCGAGGGAACTCGATCATCTTTTTTTCGAAATCAGTGGAGTGATAAAATGATAATTATGATAATTAATTGGGGGCAGTTTCTTTTTCGGAATATCAAAATCGCTCAATTTGAAACTATTCGCAAAATGCGATTACAACGATACACATTAATCTATTACGTGGCCGGATTAATTATGCCATTATGCCGAACGCGTATAATGGGTCATTGTCTCTCGCTTCTCCAACAAGTTGTCTCCGCACAATCCAAAACATCTGGTTGGATGTGACAGATGAACTCTGAACGCAATACCACTGCTACATTAAACATCCAAATTCTTCAATTATGATGCGTTTGATATTTTCGCACTCGGCTATAATAATAACAATGTGAATAGCCAGCTCACTTGGGAAAAATTGATCCTATTTTGATTGTACTGTTTTTTTTCGCGTCGAAATTCCGTACCAAATATGTCGAGATTCCATACAGTACACACATTTCACGCATTATGTGATTCATAAGTTACGCACTGGTCATATTCATAGACACTCGCACACACACAAAACCCAACTAGAACACATTGGCGATGGAGTGTGCGAGGAGGAGAGACGCAGACCGAAACACTCGAGCGCGTTTCGGACGTAGCAGGAGGCAGCGAAGAAAAAATGGGCGGCGACTGGCACTTTTGAAGTTTCCGCTTTTTTTTTGCCCTGTGATGTGTATGTGTGTTTTATGTTGTTTTACCATAGTGTAATTAGCTCAGCGAGCATCAATTTGAATCGAATTTTGGCCGGAGGTGAGAATGCGAAGGGGTTTCTCAAAAATTGCCGACAATCAAATGACACACACACACACATCCCACTTATTGATAATTGTCGAGATAAGACACGAAAAAAAAATGGTGATATTATTAACAGTTTGAAGGAGGCGCAGAATTGCGCGCGCGAGCGAGCGGCGGGTTTCGCTGATCCAAGGTTGAACTCGCCATTCCGTGAAGTATGTACTTGGAAACTAGCCATAAATCAATTTTGACACAACTCAAATATTCTGTGTTCGCGCTCTTCCAAATATGGCTTTTTATGGGTCGAAACCGCATTTTTGGTTTTGAAATTCCCACACTACCTCGTCTCGCGTCTTAATTGTTTTCAGTTGCGACTAGCCATGCGCTTTTAATTGACATTCCCTTTGTTATCTACATATCTAAGCGTAACGGAATTTCAAAAAAGAAGTTTGGAGGTGTTAATGACTGTCATGAATAGTGCGCTCACCTCGACCTTCCTTCCTTCCTCCAGCACCCCCCCCCCACCTCATCCTCGCCCTCCTCATTCAACTCCTGTTTCGTCGTCCATATTGGTTTCGCTATTGTCTTCTCGATCTCTCGGTCTCCCGCGTCGCATTTCCTCGCTTATCTACCGTAGTCATAACATGACGCTCAAATAATTAAACAAAGATAAATTGGCGAGGAGATGACCGTTTTCTAGAAATCCGGTAGTTCAAATTCCCCCAAAGAAAAAATTCTTTTCATTTTTTTTTTTGCAAACCACAACCGCTTTTCGATACATTTTTCTCACGGGTTAATAGCCTCCCATCACATTAATTTTATGTCAAACGCCTTATATTGAAAAAAAAGAAGTAGTTTGGTGGTTTAATGAGTTGGGATTGCGAACACAACGAAACTTTGAAATTTGTTAAACGAAAGACATCCAATTAGCCAATCGGCATTTCCGCTCACAAGACTCTTGCTTGATTTGCAGACCTTGAAACTCTTATCCCATTTCTTGTGGATAGCTTGTTTTTTTTTTGCTTTCTGTAAACCAACCCCTCGTTTCGGTGTTAGCCTATAATTATATAGGCTTAACGTTCCTATTGGTTGTGAAATGGAGATGGGTGGGGGGAGAGACTTTCGCTTTTTCAATTTTCGTCGCGTGTCGATCACATTTCGAACAGTATTATGATGAGAAGCCATATATACTTGTGTTAACCTAATATATACTTTTTGCGGGTCTAGCCATCGCGGTGGTTGCTTATCTTGTTTGCTCGATTCCTTTTCACTCGGCGTCCTCCCCCTTGAGTTTGCTTTTCGATTTCACCACCCAGCGATCATCATCAATAATATTCGTGGTTCAAGACGGCACATCGAAGATGAGACCCCCCCCCCGAAACGGTTATATGGTTTTGGACGCGGCGGCGACGAGAAGCTACTCGGCCTCCCCCGTCTTGCTAATCAAATTGTCTTGAACAATTTTGGCATTGCACGCATCCGGTTTTACGCGCAATTACGCACAGAGTGAAAAAATACATACATTTGTGTTTGGCGGTGTTGGGAGGGGGGGGTCTCTTGACACGAGAATGATAGAATGGGAGTAGAGTTCAAATCTGGAGACGTGAACGTCTTTATCAGACTTTAATCATTTGCTGCGTTTGCATTCTGACACTTTCGTACCAGAAAGTGTTTAGTTGATAGCGTCAGCAATAACAAGATGGTAATTTATGACTTTTGGCAACCTCTTCGTTTTATCTGCCGACTCGTTTGTGTTTTTTTTTCTTTCAATTCATTCTCGAGTAGCCAGCCGCAAGCTGTCAATTTTAGCGCGCAAGCCCTTACGCCGCACGCACGCACTCATGCGTCAATTCGTTTCGAACATTTTTTTTCGCTGTTTGTCGACGCATCGTCGGCGGCGGCCGCCGCGGCGTCGTTGGCCCAACCGACCTACACACTTGGATTCGTCCAACCAACACTTGTTTTTATATGCGGTGTGGCCGCGCGTAAAAGGGGACACGGCGGCTCAACAACAAAACTTGAATGTAATTTCTTGATCGAGCCGAGGGGGGGGCTCGCGTACACACGGCTAAAAATAAAAAAGCGTTGACCAAAAAAAAAGAAGATAATTAACCAAGCAAACATGTGTTGCTTCATTTTCGATATTCCCTTCCTATCCTCAATAATCCTTATGAGACACTTCCTCCGGTTCACGTGGCCTTATTGACCTTTGTAGCTGATCGGCAACTCCAGCGAGCAAGAGACGCAGGCAATGTCATATTCTCTTCAAATAATCCAATTTTGAGGAATATTGCTTGCTTAAGCGTTCGTTTCGAAGAAGGTCGCATTTCGTATTTTATTACACCATCCATATCTTCGTATGGATTTCGTGGCGGCTCCGCGATGCTCCCCATTTGTATTTCTCAACTCTCCTCTTATCTTATCATGATAATTGTCGTCGTGAATTGATGTTTTTCCGACTTCTCATGTGTCACATTTTTGTTCTCATTCAGTCATATTCTCAAGGCAGAAGAAAGAAGAAGAAAAAAAAACGAAATAGAAATTTCTCAGTTGTTTTTGTTTTCATTATTACCACACTACTGAGTCGCGGCCTCCTTTCGGCTGTTGTTATTGTTGTTTTAATTCGAACGAGGGTCCCGCTCTCAAAAGTTGCATTGGTCCCGTTCGTTTAGCTAGTTAGTCCCGTATACTATAATGCGCACCATCTGCCGCTGTTTCTACACTCCTCCCCCTCCCATATTTTTGGAGGGAGGAGAAGTGGGGAGAGGAGGACGACCGTCATTGTGAATGTCTCTCTCTCTCCCTCTCTGTTTCCCGCCTCGAAATGCGTTTACCAACCTATCTTGCCTATTATTTTAAAGCGATTATTAATCAGATCATCATCATTTTTCATTTCACCTCAGATCTCCTCTTCAATATCAATAATTTCGTTTTGATGTTTCAAGTATGCTCAAAATGATTCATTCATACTTTATCATTTTCGCTGATATGCGTGTGTGGTAAATATTCAGTGACACTTTGAGATGGGCTCTTTTTTTTCTCGTTTTTGGTATTATTATTATTATTATAATTGCAAGGCGCATTTTGTTCAAAACTTGAGATAGATATATATCAAAACGATGGAGAGGCCCATAGAAAAAGAGGGCAGCTTCTTCATTTTCCTCGTATTCATCATTCTGCCAGCGGTGCTTCTGGTGCACCACAAATCGTGTCCCAAAAAACAGTTTTTGCTTACAACTTCGATTGCACTTGAATCTGCTCTAATACAGTAGGTCAGCAAATCTCCACCCACAGCCAATTGTCTGCGTTTCCATCGCCTTGTCTCGGGACGGTCAGGAGTGGAGGGGTGGAGTAGACATGTACACACACACACAATCTGAACGCGCTGGGGTCGTCAGCCGCACTGATTTTTGTCATTTGACTTCACTTACTATGTTACATTTCACACTATGCTTTAGTCAGCTGTTTTCAGCTTCCGTCATTTTTAATTCGAATTTCGTGGGAAATTTGTCGGAAGCGCGAACGTTGTTTTATTTGATAATCGCCTTAGATTGCATGTATATTATATTCAACTTCTTCGGCCTCGCGCGAAACCAAACACATGCTCTCAATTTTTTGACCAATTCTCCGTGAACTCAACTGGTCCCAACTCTGTTATTTTTTTTCGCACTGCTGTTTCATCTTTTTTCTTTTCATTTCTTTTCTCGTTTTCTTTAGTCTGCGGCCACAATTCTCGATATGTCACTCCACCCTCTTTGCTTTTTTTTTATAGTAGTTAGTGGTACCGTCGCCACCACACTCACTGGTATTTACACTATTATACACGCATTGCCTCCTACGACCAGTTCATCATTGTAGTGCTACAAACAGCAAAAAATTATGTTGTTGCTTTATTTATTGCTTTGTGCACCGCGCTTTTGATTTCGTTAACTTATTTAACCAATTTCAGAAACTCAATTAATCATCGTTGCCTATTATTGACTTCTTCTCGTTCGCCCAATATCACTGAACGCGTCCTTTCCGGTGCCTTTCACTGTCAACACGATGGCCAAAGTGGAAGAGTGCGGTAGTTCGAATTCGGAAGAAAATAGCCGAGGTTTGTGAGTTTGGCAAAAATTAAATGAAAAAAACAACAACTGTGCGCACGTTTTGCATTTGCAACATGCCAAGGGGGCCAATTGAAATCCCGCCTTCAAATTTTTTTAATGGTAATTATTTCGTCCTCATTATTTTTAGAAATTTGGGTTCTAGATTTATTTTTTATTTTATTAAAAAAATTTAGTTTATCCGGAGCCTTTCGTTTCGTTATCAGAAACACTCGTCATTACATATATAAGGTGTACGCAAAGAAATTTTTTTGATAACACGTTTTCCGTAACTGTAATAAATGTTTTGCAGATAGCACCTCGTCTCCGATGTCATCATCGGGACCATCGGAAACTCCAGAGTTTTCCCAGAAATATTATGACATCGAGCCGTGCTATTATAGTCTCAATGGCAAATCCGATCGCAATTGCCGCGGAAAGGTGAGAGCCCCGCATACATCATTGTGCCCATTCAACTCAATATCGAATTCTCGTCGGATTCGCCGAAAATGCCTCCAAAGAAAAAATTGCATATTTGTAATTGAGCTTTAATACGCGTTCCAAACAAAAACACCAATTAATTGTTCCACAAGTCCGTCATTGAAGAGAGCGCAGATAAGCGCACGCGTTTCGCGACACAACGTAAAATTGCGAGAGCGCGAGAGAGCACGACGAGCGAACGCCAGGCGAGAATAAGATCATTTTTATGGGGCGGCGAGTGTCAAAAGCGCGGAAATGTTTGCAACTCAAAATGATTGAGTGTTTTCTTAGTGAATTTTGAATTATAAATTAGCGGGAAAAAAAAAGAAAATCGGTATTTCATAGATTCTCGCATATATTACATCATTGCGAACTTTTGTAAATTGACGCTTGAGCGGCGTACCTAGAATTGCGCAACACGCTGGCTTATGGCTCGTGTTTGTGCACGCAACCATCCAAAGAGGCCTTGATATATGTATATATATATATATCTAGTTCTAAAATTGCCCTCTTGTATTATTTGGGCAAGGTCGTTTTGATCGTTCGCTGCCGGAATAATGTATGAAGTCGTTTCATTTATAACGCGCTTTTAATCCGTCACCGACCGATTGTTTTTGAGGCAGATTAGGATGTTGCCGCGTGGGGGGAGCGTTTGTTTGGCGAAAACAATGCAAATTTCTACAAAATACACACAAACACGAGACAATTACGTTGAACATTTTGAAGAGGTGTCAAATAACACATTTCCACTTTTTGACGCTTCTCGTTCTTCTTCTCCTTCTCCTTCATCTTCATCTCATTCTCCTCCGCCCCTGCTGCTGCCACTAAATGTTGAAGAGGGTGCGGGGCCGCCGAATTGATAGAGAGTTGAATGGGAACCACATATGTTGATTTTATTACTGCTACCACCACCGCAAAAAAGAAGGAATGAATGGAAAACCAAAATTTTGCAGGTTTTCCGGTTTCGGGAAGACGGTGATTTGAAGGGATTCGAGGCGCATGACAACGTTATGTACCATTTGAAGGACTGCGTGTTCGTCGAGATTTCGCCATCCGAACCATACGTGATCGCCGTCATCAATAGTTTCAAATATGTAGGTTATTTATTTTTTTAATGGTAAACCAGAGGAAAAACGGGCTGACGATTAATACTTGTCGAGGTTTCGGCCTTCGCTGATGGTGACAGATGGTCTTCCTAGTTGCTTCTTGAGGCGCATCCAATTCAATGTGTGCTTATGTTTTCTGGTATAAGTGGCAAAACGGGGGGAACAAATTAGCAGTAGTTGAGCAGTTGAAACGAACATCAATCTTGTGTTTCATTTGAACTTCAAATTTTCAAATTCAATAAGACATATGTTGTTTATTGTGTTGCCACAGGTTGTAAAGTTTTTTTTTGAAACCATCGTTATCCAAATTCAAAGGATTAGCGGATAATTCGATTAGGATCTTTCTGGATATATCGAATTATAGTTTATACTTTTCCACCAGTCTTGAGTGATTGTTGCAAAATTTCTTAGTGTTTATAATAAGTCATTTTGTTTAATGGTTTTTATTCATCATCGAGCAGCAAGTTGCCGTCAAATTATAGTTTACTCGATTGCGCACATCGTCGTCGTCGACGACAATGTGTGCACAATTGGTGGCTCGTTCGTTCGTGCGGCCGGCCGGTTGAGTTACGCGCTCTCGCTTATTCTCGGCCTTCCTCCTCGTTTCCCTTTGCGTCGCTCATTGTCTAATTGGCACCGAATGACATATCTTGAGAATGACCAAGATACTCGTCAACCACCGGCAAAACGAAGGGCGCGATGGGTTATGCAGATTAGCCCCGCGCACATACACCAATGTCGCGAAAATGATTTGAAATGAATGAGGAGCGCGCGCATATATATAGAACGCTGGTTCTTTTTTTTTACTGCCACATTAGGGATTTGGTATTCAAAATATTATGAAATGGGTTTCTTCAGGGTTTCAGGATCACATGATTTTCATCACGGGAAGTCTTCCTAAAAAGGATAATCGTATTTTGACCATTAGCCGAAGCTGTGTGTTTTCTTAATTTCACAAGAAAAAATGTAAAAAAAAAGTTTTAAAGGTTTAAATTTCTATGTTTTGTCGAGACAACTTTCGACCGTATTGATAAAAGGATTTATTTAAACGGCAACAAGTGTTCTTTGAAGTGTTGTCCTACGTTTTCGCCACAATAGGAATTTCATTTCTCATGCATTCGCTTTTTGCCCGTCGTCTTGCCACCCGCCGCCCTCTACTTGTTGTTCTCGGGCGCTTTTTTTGTGTGGTGTGCTCCGTGAAATATTGGCGGTTTGTTGCCAAATTTACTCGTGTGAGAAGTTTTTAAGCACAAAAATACGGGGGGGGGGGAGGTCCAAAAAAAAACATAGGAATGAGAGAGTAAAACAGAATCGAAAAAAAAAACAATATTACGACACATACAAACATGCATACACAACGCACGGCGAAGTGTAATTTATAATTGAATTTTTTTGTTGAAAGAGCGAGCCGCGCCACAAAAAAATAGGAAAGCGAATTCCAATTTTTGCTGCGGCTTCTGCAAAAAAAATCGCCATTCGGGGAGTTATTCAATGTCTTATTTGGTATATTGGTCACCGATGCGACTTTTTGCATTTTTTTCTTCCGTAGCCGCGTTGACGCAGATGTTCCGATTTGCCGCATTACACAAAGGAGAGGGGATTGACACGCGAATAGATGAGCGCTTTTTGATTTGTGGCGCTCCGACAAATCTTAATTATTTTACGATGATCGAACCACAGTTGGCTGCTTTTCATGGACAAAATCAACTCGACCTTGCCTAATTTGCCCCCTTCTTTGCGTTGCGCGGAAAACTATTATAATTCACGGTTTTCATTCATCGCGTTGTTGTGTAATTTGATACTGCGATCATCAAGAGGCGCTAGGAGACGATGTCGCTTCTTTGTACGCGCTCCTAAAAAGATGTATGAAACGACGACGTCGGCGGACTCCGATTTTGATAGGATAATGGCATTTTTGGGGTGTAGAATGGGGGAGGGGGAAGATTCCCTTTCCATCTCCAGGGAGTTGTTCATCGTGCGACACGTTTGAGCATTTTTGTTGAGAATTGAGCAGCAAGGGGGATCGGAATCGTTTTGGCTTAATTGATTCGTACCAAATAGTTACATATGATTCTGATGCCGAGGCCTCGCCGCATATCATAACTGTTTTTCGTGACCATAAACCTTATGAAAACAAATATTTGCGCTTGCCCAGTTGAGCTGCTTCTTTTCGCCCGCCGCACATCGACATGGTAGAAATTGTGGAGAGGTGTATTGTAAAGAAAACACCGAAAGAACCATTATATATTGGATGGTTGGGCACACACACACACGCACGTACGCATTAATGAGAGCGGTGAACACCGGATGGGATTAGAAGGTGAATTGCGCATCGTCGGTTCGTCGTACGAAAGGATTATCTCAGCGGGCTGACACCTGCGGAATGGTGTTTTTGAGATTGCCTAACCGTAATCCTCATCGTTTGAACTTGTTGCCGGGCTCTTCGTTGAAAAACGATATTTTTTCGCAATTTGGGATGTGCAGACAAACGACGGGGCGAATGTCAATGAATTATTCGTGCCGTTGGTCTTCTCTGTGTGTGTGTATTTGTCGCATTGGTTTGCTGCCGTGTTTCTCCAATTTATTGTGAGAAGTTCCTGGGGACCTTTTTCATGGCGCGACGAGCTTGATTTTGTGCGATGAGATTTCTTCTTTTTTTAGAAAAGGGGTAAATGCTGAATTGCGCGGGATCATTGTTGACGTTAGTGGTTCGTTTGTTTGTTTAACTACCGATTAGTGTTGCGAGACGGTGCGGACGACCATCAATGTCGCGATGAAAGCTGGCCTTCGCACAAATTGTGGTGGTATCGAAAGTTGTCATGTAACCAAGTGGTTCGAGCTTAACTGGCTCCGAAAACCGTCAAATATAATTGAGGATATAATTGAGGCTTAACTAACGCGGAATACTTGACGTAATGAGGAAAATGACCAATTGAAAGACTGTATGGTTTACAATTGCAGTAATTCGCCAGTTTCGACACACTTTTAGCATTAAAACCGAATGATGTAGATTTTATGGGAATCTCGACGGGTTTTTTGCCAGGGCTGACCAACCACTGAGGTAAATCAAATAAAATATTTTGAGAATCAAATATTCAATGATAAACTCTAAAATATTTTGAGAAATTCTAAAGTCTATTGATACTTTCTAAAACTTATTGAGAATCGCTAAATTAAAAAAAAAAATATTTTTTTTAATCTTATAAGATTTTCTAAAATTTATTGAGCAAATTCTAAATTATCTCAATAAATTTTAAAATCTTATTATAATTTCTAAAGTTCATTGAGAAAAATCTAAAATATTATAGAGACACGTTAGTTTCTCAATGAATCTCAAAATATTTTATTCGATTTGCCTGAGCATTCGGACAAACGGGGCATTGTTCAAATTTATTTTTTTTGTCGCCAACTCTCGTTTTGATTAGTGCGAACCCAGAAATGTCGATCGGTTTGGGGGGAAAGTGATGACGCAACGATTGCGCATATCCATCATGAGTTGTGACACAAAAAGAAGAGCGCGGCATGGATAGTAAACACGGCTACGGTAGTATGTAGTATTATTATTATTGTGATTTTTTTTTCGACAAGAACATAAAACCGGAGGACCGTAAAATGCGGTGATGGAGACGGCAACAATTGAATTCTGCCCATAAAAACCTCGGCGTTTATTATGCGAATAAATGTATCCGCCAGAAATTTTACGATTATGATTGTATATATGTATGCGATTATGTATGGGGGTCAACAATATGATATTTGCAGACAAAACGCGAGCATGTCGTGATGAAGCTGACGAGATATTTTCGTGCCGAAGACATACCTGAGATTTCGCTGAATTTGATGAAACAGGAGCGCGCTGAATTGAACATCAATCCACACCTGTGTCCTGTAAGTCTTTTGTTAGACGAATGAATAGATCACCCACATACGGAAATTTGGGATTTCAAACGTGAAGAAGCATTGCATTTTCAAAATTTTAAACCACAGTTAATTAAAAAAAACCCCATTGACTTCCGAAATTTTTCATTCGAAATTTCGCCATAGAATTAACTCACAAGTGTCATTAAAATGTCACAATTTTCAAATATCAAAATAATAAAATGAATGATATTAATTAGTATATAATTAAAATCACGTAGTTAATTAAATAATGATAAATTTGCAATTTATTAATTTCTCTTTTTAAATTTAAATGAGTAAACTCATTGTTAAATTTTTAATTTAAATTTATCGAGAATGGAAATTAATTAAAGATTTCAAAAAAAAGAGATGGTGCCAAAATTAATTTTGTGGAAATCCCTTCGATAAATTCTATTTTTGTCGGGCGCAGTTTGATCGTTAAAATTAGCTAATTAATCAAATAGGTTTTGTTCAAGGCTAAATCGGGGGATTCCTAGTCCCAAAATAATACATTTGCAGAGCGATTAGGAGGAAATAAATTAATCATTATCATATTATTTCAGGTTTCACTAAATCGCGAGCTGTTCAATTCGGAAATCTCGATAACACAACCGGTGTCATGTTTGAGGTTTGTTGCCTTTTTCTCCTTGTTTCTTGTGTTTGGTCATTTATTTTCTCTGATCCCTTTCTCAAAAGCAAATATTTGTCGGCTAACAATTAGCAAGTGAAACAATGAATGGTGGTGAACACGTGCGAAAAGTGAGCCGGCTGGAGCTAGCTGGTAGTGTGCACCACTCCGACGAGGGCATATGTCGCTTTCGAATCGGCTTTGACGAGAAACGAATTATTTTTGATCGCCCACATTTGATGATTTATTCGCCTCGTGGGAATCGTTGTCTGTTTAAAAGAGTTGTCAATTTCTTGCAATGTTTTTTTTTTGCGTGTGTGTGTTGTCGCTCAGCTTTCGTTTCCTTTTCGCATTCTTTTCAACTACTACTGCCGCGCGTTTCATCAAATTTTATTCAATCCAAACTGAACCAGCGCCAACAATTGCAAAATGCACAAACATATCTATATATATATATATTCGCATTGCTTATGTCAAGCGGACATATTTGTTTTGAAATTTGAGGCGAACTCGTGCCAAGGCTCGGCTGAGAAGGAAATGAGAAGGAAGCGCTCGCGCGCATAGTTTTTTTTGTTGCGCGCGTTTGGCGCCAATGACAATTGGCTTCCTCGGGGAGCGTTTTTCACTCGATTATCCATCTCATTATTAGTCGGTCATTTGTCGAGAAGATAATTGAATTTTGATGTCGCATTAATTGAATCGGTTCCTCTTTTGTGAATATATGTGTGTGTGTGTGCGGAGTGGGACCAATCCCAAGGTTGGTGACGAATTTTAGAGCCGCCGCCGCTGTTGTTGTTGCTCGCCGCGATGTCTTTGCCACCCGAGCAGAATAGAAGAAACGAGCAATATCGCAGTTGAGCAATCGTGTTCTTTCATCGCCCCGTGCATCTTGTTCAGCTGTTGGCGTTGTTGAACTTTGATAGAATGTTTGCCACCCGGTGTTCGCAATAAATCAGCTGGCGATAGCGGAAATCACATCCTTAAACGTATGCCAATAGCACATTTCTCCTCATTTTTCTTCGTCTTCTTCTTCTTTGATCGTCGTTGTCGTCGTCACTCGCTTCGTCGTCGTTGTTGTTTTCCTTCTTGCCTCTTCGCCGTTTTTCTCACTCACTCAACTGCGCGGTTAGCCTTGGACCACTGTCCATATTTGGTTTTTGTTGTTGTTGTTGTTGTAGTTCTTTTCATTTCTTTTGCCTCACATTGACATTTGAAACTGCTTACGCGATTATCCGTAAATCCTTTTTTGTGGAATTATCGCTGCTGTTTGATTCATAACGTTGGCATGCTTGTCTCCATAAAAATAATGAAAAAAATTGTCATTTAGCCAGCGAGATTGCCAATATTTTACTTGTTGTTGTTTTTGTTGATTTTTGTTTGTTCTGAACCTCCTCGAATGAAAAACATAATGTTTCTTGCAAGTTCAATCGATATAGTGCGATGTCCCTGACTCGTTGCATCTCTCGCATCGCCTAGTATTTCCCAATTATGTCGTTTTTTTTTTGTGCTGTTGGGTTTGGTGTCAGGTCAGGAGGCATCATATGACCGATGCGTCGCGACCCCCCGCTTGTTGGCAGATTGCCCATTTCGCGCGAATTTTCGTCCTGATCACTTTCTGTTGTTATTTCCAACCAATTCATTGTTGTATATATGTAATTTTGCCGCCTATTATGTATAACAACGTTTTTTTCGAAGGGAAAAATGCTGGTGGTGAAAAAGTGAAAATTCGCTCACTGCCCATTTTTTTGGGCGGTCATACTGCCTCGTTTCTTTTTTTTTCACTTTGGTCGAGTCGTTTCTGAATTCAGTGGTCAGTTTTTTTCTTGATGAATGAATAAGCGTGCGTGCTATGTGTATGTGTGTGTATATACCGGAAAATGAGCTGGAAAGAGGAAGAATTGAAAAGAAAAGAAACAAGTGTGTATGGCCGTCTGATTCGTCGTTTTGGTTGGTGCTCTTCTTGTTGCAATTTTTGTGTATGTGTGCGTGCCTCAAAAACTCGCGTATTCTCATACTCGTTGTCGTCATCGCTCTGGGTGGTTCCATTTTATTTTATTTCCTTTTTTAGAGTTTTTTTTCTTTCGCCGCTTCTCGCCATCAAGCTCCTTGTTAAAATTTTTGTTCGCATTTTGTTTCGTTTTTAGGCGCTATTGGCCCATTTGCATCTCTCATCGAAGATTTCTAATTTAATTTGTTTTTTTTTCTGTGTCGACAAGCGAATGCTCGTCATTTTGTGCTTCTGCCTCATGGGGTTTAAATTTAGGATGTTCTCCCATCTTTTTCCCATCGATTTTCATTATTCCTCTTAACTTCATTAGTAAATCAATTGAGATAATGAAAAAATAAAACAGAAATATCAATGTTATTGTTATAGGGGAAAGTGCACTGTGGAGTACGTCAACGATATCAAGCAGGCCCGAACGGTGGCCGATTTCAGTCGCGACAACGACACATTTTTCTCGTGTCTGCATTTCAACCAGGATTCCAGCAAACTGTCGTCAATCCAATATCAGATTCGCGTTGGCGACGCGTTCCAGGTATGCCCAGCCAATAATTCTTATTCTTATTATTATTTAATGACGTTTATTTGATTTGGAGTTGGAAAAATTGCGTCAATATTAGCTTTTTACTCCCCTAGCAACAGCAAGAAAAAGAGTATGCGCTATTGCAATTTGTAACTTTGGCTTCGACTACTAGGTTGCAACACAAAATTGTGCAGTTACGCAGAAGCTTATTATGCTCAATTCGTGAAGAAAGCAATTTTTATTATTTAAAAGGATTTTTATTAAGAAAAAATTTAATTAAATAAAACGAATCAATTGACGATGTTTTAATGTCGACCCCCGAAACTGATCGCTTATTTATCGTCACTTCGTCCCCCGAAATCATTTGTTTTGTGATGACGATGTATTCGCAGTCACATCAAACGTTTCGGCGGTTCGTTTTCGACAGGTGTATCAATCCATCCACCATCTTATCTGAAACTATTACATTTTTTTATCAGTGGAAGATTTATTGTTTTCATCTTCTTCGTCTTTTTCTTTTTCTTCTTCGTGTTTTTTTTTCTCACTACATTGGATATTGAAACGTAGCTGTGAAAAAAAAAAACTTCCGAAAAGAATCGTAAATTCTTTGATATATGACACGTGTTTTTTAAGCTTCTAAAAGAGAAAAACCGCAAACGAAAACGAATGATTAATTTATAATATTTGAGCTTTTTTTCTGAATCATGTAGGGAGATTTAGTTTCTGCTTAGTTTTGCATGTTCCACTTCTAAGCGATCCTTCTGTCATTCAAGTGAGCCAAAGAGCTCATCAATGTTTAACGAGACTCTATTTTTCGCCGTTTTTAATGTGTATTCGTTGGCAGGTTGTTTTCATTTCGACGAAAATTGCTGCACAGAAAAATTCAAAATTGCAAAGTTCAGAGCAAAATGTTTATTCTCGCGTCATGTTTTCGGGAGAAGCGAGACTTTATAAATGGTCATATGGGAGTGTAGTATTTCGTTTATTTGACACCATTCGGCTGTATTTTTCTAATGATATGCTAGATATAATTTCATTTTCCCTTTAAATTGACACTTCATAATTATGAGACAAATTTGAGCCAATATATATTTATATGTGTATACAAATTTTGGAGTTGTTCTAGGAAATTAGAATTCGCTCTCGCGCGCGCTAAATATAGAAGATATTCGTTGATTGGTAATTTCCGAAGCACACTCAAAATGCGGAAATTGTCGGCCCAAATTGAATTGTGTTTTTGCAGGCAACACTGCCCCCGGTCGCTGAATGTAGTGTCGGTGACGAGAAGGACCGCGATGAGCTCGTCTACCGACCCGGATGTATCGACGAACAATCGGAAGCGGTTTATATCCGATTGGCGCGTACATATCGCAACTACACACTTTCGAATGTGTCGATGTTGGATTCGCAGAAGAACGCGAGGGTTAGCTGAAATCGAAAAAAAATGAATTGAAGGCAATTCTAAATTGGGAACATTTATAGGTTAGCGACTTATTGATGGATGAGGCGATTTGTCAGTTGCATCGAAGCGGCTACAAAATCGACGACGCACTCAATGAGATGGCCGCCAATGATATTCTTCTCGCCTCGGATGTTGATTATATGACCGCCGATGATGCAAAGGTCGGCACATCATCTTGAATTCAATAATTAATGGGGTTTTGTTTTTCAGAAATTCGCGAAGGGCATCAAGTCGCTTGGAAAGAATTTTTCTCGAATCCATCGCGAACTTCTGCCACATCATAGCCGCGTAAGTTTCTTTTGATCTTGTCAAACATTCATCATAATGTGTTCGGAAAACACACTTGTGTACATAAATAAATAAACAAATAAATAAATACATCGGTAGTAAGAGAGCAAACATGACACTTTCTCGCGTCTCGTTCTGTCGGCTTGGCTTGGCCGCCAACATCGTTTTTTTTTCTTCTATTCGTCTTATTCTTTTTTGGGCACCTTCTTTACAATGCAAATAGTTGTTGATCGTGTGTTTGTTCGTTGTATTTGAGCACATGTGAATAGGAGGAGGGTCGTGAAGATGAGAGGGGAGAGAATCGCATATGATAGTTTTTGAGGCATTTCTGTAAACTTGATAGGTAAACTATTTTGAAGTAGTAGTAAGAAACATTGGCTACGAAGCGAATTGAATTTGGCGAAACGAAATCGGATTGTTTTTGCAGGAGCAATTGGTGGCTTATTACTATTTGTGGAAGAAGACTCCTGAGGCGACGAAACCCAAACAAACCACTCGGCGTGTCAATCAAACGGTCATCAAGCGGCCGAAAAACGAGAAGACGAAGGTCTCGCGGACAACGTCTACCGAATATCTCGATTTTGATTCGGCATCGGAAAGCGATGTTGAGAATAACGGACCTTCGGGTAGAGCGTGCCATCACTGCTTCGGAACCGGTTTGTTGTCGTCGTTTTCGGCGAATGCATAAGTTGATTTGTTTTTTTTTGTAGAAAGCAAAGATTGGCATCACGCCAACAACCTTCTGTTGTGCACCACATGCCGGGTGCATTATAAAAAGTACGGCCAATTGCGAAGTGTCGAGAAACCGGCGACTGTTCCGGCGTGTCTGTTCAAACGAGCCAACTCGAACGACGAGGAGGAGAGCGGTGTTCGCACCAGGGCCGGAAAGAAGGAGAATAATCGAAAAAGGTACGTACTGCTAGAAGCGACGACACCAGCAAAAAGCACCCGTGTTTTTCAACACAAAAACCTTGACTGAAAAAAAAAATGCGCCTGCATGTTGATCAGACTAGTGGTTGAAATACCAAGTTTCAATTACTATTTGTGACATTCTTCAAAGAAAAAGACAATAAGCACACGGTAGGCGTACGATTCGCGAGAGATTTCTGCGTCGCGGTCATGCGCCTCGTTCAAATACGAAAACTTTAACAATTTTTTTTCGGTTTCGTTCATCATTTTGTTTATCATCATCACTTATTAAAACCTGTTGTCGTTCATTTTTATTTCGTCAAGGTTTTGCGTTGATCGTTAATTTTTTGTTTTTCATTTCATTTCCAATTTGTTTTAATATATGAATGTCTTGTCTTGTGTTGTGTAAATCTGTGTGTGTGTGTGTGTGTGTGTGTGTGTGTGTGTGTGTGTGTGTGTGTGTGTGTGTGTGTGTGTGTGTGTGTGTGTGTGTGTGTGTGTGTGTGTGTGTGTGTGTGTGTGTGTGTGTGTGTGTGTGTGTGTGTGTGTGTGTGTGTGTGTGTGTGTGTGTGTGTGTGTGTGTGTGTGTGTGTGTGTGTGTGTGTGTGTGTGTGTGTGTGTGTGTGTGTGTGTGTGTGTGTGTGTGTGTGTCATTTATAGGTGTTTCACGTGATCGATAGTTTCAACATTTCAACGCTTGTTGCACTTTTTCTCAACTCCTCCCCGCGCTATCTACATGGTTGGTTTATTATGTTGCGAACGAATTGCGATAAGGAAATCGTTTTGAGGCGCTTTCCAAATGCCCATTTTTAGTTGCTGGCACATTACAATTGATAAGACAGCTGTGTGGCGGGGCGGTGGTGGTGACTCCGTGGAGCCGCGTGTTCGACTACTTTCCCTCTTCTATTTTTTTCTTCATCTTTTTCTTTCTCGTCATTCTTTTGATTTCGTCATTCGTCTCGTTTATATAGTCGTAGTAGATGGATGTTGGGGTGGTTGATTGTTAATTAGTTTTTCCTGTCGCTCAATGTGTCTTGTTCGTTAGTTGGTTAGTTGTTTGGTTATTTTTTCCGCCCCACCCCTCCTCCCTCTATTTTCATCATCACTCATTCGGTCTTGTTCTTCATAATTTCCGTGTGTCGCCACTCTCTTCTCTTCTTCTCGACGTCGTCAGGAAACGTGTACGTAACAATTATAACAACACATAGAGACACGCACTCACACGCGCGCAGCAGTGGCGACGACGACGACGACGGCGGCGGCGGCGGCACAGACACATATGTTCTGAGGGGGGTGGGAGAACTCTTCTTCGCGCCTGCCTATATGCAGGCTGTTCTTCTCACCTACTCCCTCTTCTGCCCGTTGCGCTTGTTTTCGTTGTTGATGTTTTTGAGCTTTTCTACGTTTTTGTTCCCATATTAATTGCGTAATTCCATCTCGCTCCTTATTAGAACTTTTCTCTTTTTTGTTTAATCATCATAACAACATTTTGGCGACTCTCGCTCACTCACTCACACACACACACACACATACATACATACACAAACATTTGTTGTGTTTGGCTGGTAGCAATGTTCAATCGGCAAGTTGTCGGCGGGGGCCTGTCCATCGGGGCAATCGGCTGAGGTGAGAGCAGGCACGAGGGCCTTTGGATTGCGGCGGGGCGGCTGCGGCAACGAGCTCGTCTGTCGGTCCGCGCGCGCGCGCTCGCTCGCGTGTGCACACGCACTCAACGACAATGCACTATATCGATTGCCACTTGGTTTTTTTGGTTGTTGCTGTCATCTGTTGTTGCGCGACCATCTGTGTGTATGTGCGCGCGCGCGCGCGCGAATTTCATTCTGCCAAAGAAATGACTCTTGAACTAATGTCCGGTCTCTGTTCTCGGCCTCTTGGAAGAACATTGACAATGTTTGAGCTCGGCCGGAGGTGACGAGCCTTGAAAATCGCGCGCGAGCGCCCCAATGCAAACAGTATTATTCTCACACTTTACTCGTTTTTTTTTCTCTCGTTCCTCCCTCTGTTTTTTGTAGTTGTTCTTCTTTCGCATTTGCCCCGTGGTGTCAGCTTCGTCTCGTGCGCGCACTCTTCTCTTGCGCTACGCGCGCACTCGCTCGCTCGCGCGTTCAGGCAAAAGTAAAGTTTTTTTTGGTTGTTCTGCGTATTTGATACTCTTTTTTTTGCGACTGACGGACCTCCTCGTTTCTTTTGCGTTACCTCTCAAGTGTCAGTATGTATGTCAACGAGAACCCGCAGCAATTCCGCTCGATGTGTGTTATTTATTTTTTTTCCATTTCATTTTTGCTTTTTAACGCTGATTCTACTGCTTTGTTGGCATTTGCCCAATTTAATGGGTTTTCGCCGCAATCATTATCGACTGCGTATCGGTGTTAAAATGTATGATCAATCAATCCGCCATTTTTTTCGAATCGCTGACTTCTATTTAGTCTATGTGTGTGTCTATCTGTCTGTATATATCTATGTGTCTATATATATATATACATATACATGTGTGTGTGTATTTAAGTGTTTGTCCCCTTATCGGTTCTTTTTTATTTCATCCGGCCTTGTTTGCCCTTATTCGCATTGCAATAATGAATGTTTCAGAACACCGTCATCGATGAGTGAGACCCCCGACAGAACACGATCGCCGGCGGTAAACGGAGCGAATCATGACGAAGGCTCGCCGTCGAAGCGTGTTAATGGAAGCGCGAAGCGTAATGGCAAACGGCCTCTGAATCAGCAAATGCAGCAGGCGTCGTGCTCGAATGCGCCGTCGCCATCGGTGTCGCCGCCGGCTAACACCAATGGCATTGTAAACGGTTCATTGGAGAATGGGCACGTGAAGAATGGTGAAACGACACCGAAAAAACCAAAGATGGTTGGTTGTTGATCTTGCCTCAATGTTTCATCGTCAAATAACTTGCAGGATATCGATTCGGACGATGATGATTGCAAAATGATGATTGATGAAGGCGACGATTCCAACGATTCGAAGCCGACGACGAATGGTGTCAAGAAGGATGAGCCAGAAGCTGCGAAGCCGGTGAATGGCGAGATAAGCAATGGTGTCATTCAGGTAAGATAGAAGAACTAATGGGATTATAGGAAAATGGTTTGATTTTAGACTGCTACCACATCTGAGGGAGAGAGCTCAAAGAAGGAGGATGAACAGATTGATGATGAGGATGATGAAAATGTGACGCCCGATAATGCGGAAGACACGTACACGATTGGAAGCGAGGTGATTTGCGACACCCAAAATGCGAATTTCGTTCGCGCATTCGTGAGAAGCTGCGGACAGCGGTGTGCTCGCACAGATCTCATATTCAAATTCAAGGTAATCACCTAGATTTTTAGTTTTCAGTGTCTAAAACGCGATAATTTTGTAGGAAGGTAGTGTGTGGGACGTCAAGCGAAGAGAGAAGGAGAAGCGAAAAGCGGATGCCGAGGCGGCTGCGGCGGCGAACGCGGCAAACGCTGCGCATGCCGGACCACAATTGCATTCGCAGATGCCCGGCGCTCCGCCGCAACTCAAAAAGGAGCAGATGAGCGCACAAGTTCCACCGCAATTATTGCATTCGCTTGCGAACGGAATGATTCCGAATGGGCTCACACCGCAGATCATTGAGCAGATTAACCGCCAGTTCATGGTCCCAATGGCCTCGCAGCCACAGCAGGCGTTCAATATGGTCGCCGGTGATCCTCTTCAAGCATTCTTCGCCGTTCTCCAGCAACAGCAGCAGCATGAGCAGTTGGCGATGTTGCAGCAACAACAGCAGCAACAGGTGAGCGATTGTGCGAGTAATGCGGATTGGATTTATTTATGATGTGTTCAGATAGCGATGAAAATGCAACAGGAAATGCAGCAGAGACTGATGCAGCAACAGCAAGCGGCTGCCGCTGCCGCCGCGGCACAAGCGGCGCGCGAACGCGAACAGCGTGAAAAGGAGCAGCGCGAGCGTGAACGCGAACGCGAACGTCTTCAGCAGCAGCAGCAACAGCAAGCCGCCGCTGCAGCGGCTGCTGCGGCTCAACAGCAACAGCAAATCAACAACTTCATGAGCATGTTTGCCGCTCAGCCAATCGCTCCGCAGGATATGCATCGTGTGCAAATGGAAATGATGCAGCTCTTGCAACAGCATGCCTTCCAACAGCAACAGGCTCAGCAGCAGCACCATCAGCAACAGCAGCAGCAAGCTCATCAGGTTCAGCAGCAGCAGCAGCAGCAGCAACAGCATGCTCAACAACAAGCCCAGCAACAAGCTCAGCAACAAGCTCATCAGGTTCAGCAACAACAACAACAGCAGCCACAGCACCCAGCAGCGAATCCGGCTCAACATGTAAGTGTCGGATTAATCAATTCAATTGATAGTTCATGTTTCAGCCAATTCCTCATCCTATCGACATGCAACAGTTGATGCTTGGCCAGATGATGATGCTGCAGAATCCGGCCCTCGCGGCTCAGATGCAAGGCCAGATTCCGGCGGTGCTTCCGCACGGAATGGTGCCACCGTCGACACAGGCGGGCGCCTATATGAACTCTGAGATGATGCGCAGATTGACGGCCGACGCTGCGATACGTCCGCAGCACCAATAGACGTGTGATTTTATTTTTTGTACAATATCTCCTAGGAACGGTGAACCGGTGTTCATTAGTCCTCTGTTTCTTTTCGTTTATTAATTTTATATTATGATAGCTTCATGCATTGTGAATGTTCAATTCTCATCGATCTTTCCAGACTCTCCCTGCACATTTTACCGTTTTTCAGTATTTCAATCATCTCTCATAATAATAATATTATTTTGTTATCATCAAACATCCAACAAATTCAGGAATTTTTATATATTTTTTTTCTCTTCGAGCTCGTTCCATCATCTCTTCGAAATCTTTCCCAGTCGTGTTTTTGTTCAACTTGGGTTAATTTTTGTCGTTCTCAACCATAATTAAAGAACGGCGAGAATCAAGCAACAACCGGTATTTCCTTAATGTTTTCTGTTTATTTGCTTGTTTTTTGTGTCTTCTTTCTTAATTTTAAGCACTTCTTACCTATAAAGTGACCTAGACGTTTTTTTTTGTAGATTTCCTTAAAACCTCAATTCATTCCTACTTTCAATTGTTCATTTTTTTTATTTGTTTATTATTTCCTCTTTGGCTCCTCCCTCCTTCGACTTGGTCAGCAGTTGATTCTTGTTTCATTGACGCTTTTTTTTTTGAAAATCCATTGCTGTTTTGTTATTATTTTATTCTTCTTTTATTATATAGTAATATTAATGTGTGTGTGTGTTCACATAAAATGTTCTCATTTGTTTATTTCGTCTGAATAGTTTGAAAAATAATATGGAGAATGACGTAAAAGTGAAATTGGAGAATCTAAATTTTAGGGAAATTGTGAAAAATCACCTACATTTAAACAATGCTGCTCAAAAATCGATTGGCACAAAAGAATTATCTCAACGATTTTCTATTTTCTTTTTGGATTTCATTTTTTATTATCTACACATTCCGGCGGGTGGGTGATTATAATAATATTATGTCACTTATATAGTTAAATAAAATAAATTAACTATGTACACGACTAAGTTGATTAGGAATTGGTGGAATTCAACAAAAAACACCATGTAAAATAAATAAATAAATGAGAGAAAGAGAGAGCGATTAATATAATATTCATTTCTTTTCGTCCTTCTTGTCGCCATCCTCCTCGACGGGTCCGAGTGTGTGCCATTGGGCGATCGGGCGGCGCGGCGAGGCCAACATGTCCATCCAATGCCTTCAAATCGATTTTTTGCCAAATTTCAGTTACATCATCCTTTTAATATGAACTAGAAAATTCGTAATATATTTATTGGAGGTGCCCCGATTAATTTTTCAAGAAGGGAGGAAATTTGAAAACTGATTTTTTATATGCATTTTCCAGAATATCTATTCTTTTTCGTCAACGTTCTCTCTAAACCATTTTTTTTCTAGCAAATTTGAAACGGAAACTTTAATCAAAAATTTGATGATTTCAATCGGAATTTGCTTCTTATCATCAACACATTGATCAAGTGTGCAATAATGTTGAATAATAATTTCGTGACATCTTGTAAAAAACACTGATAATGATAATCGTTAAATTGCATCTCTAATGCGATGAGAAAAAAAATTTAAAGCGCTTATCGAATTGTGAATGTGTTGAAATTTTGAGAAACGCAAACATTTTTGTGAATTGGTGGTTTGATAAAATATTTGGAAAAAAAATTCATGAATGGGTGTTCGAAAGGAATTGAATAAATATTTACAAATGACTCATTGTCTCGAAATTTGCCGATTTGAAAAAAAATGGCTCATTCAAAATGGGACATATTTCTGATAAATTTTAGTCGCAAATGGAAACAAATTGGGATGGTTTCACGGCATCCAAAAATTTCGAATCTATTCGATATTAGTTTTTAATGAAATATTTTTTTTGTGATCAGATCGCTATGTTCAAATAAAAAACTTGTTTGCTCGATTCGTTATCAGAGAAATTGAAATTTCTCCATTTGCGATATAAAATATTGAACCGCTGGCCTCATTTTTTGGAAGTCGACCAAAAAATGAATGGATATGGAATTACCTGAGTTCCGCTCCAGTCGCATTGCAACCCAAAAGACATCGACCGATCGCGTCGTTTGATCCGAGTTTATCGTAATCCATAACAGTAATCATGAGGGAAACTTTCTGAAATGACAACATATTTTTATTTTGTTGAAAATTTTTAAAAAAGGTTTTGAAGAAATTGTTAAACATTTGGTTGAAATGTTAAAGACGAAGCTAGCGAATGTTAATTGGAATATTAACCTGAATCTGCTCAAAAGGCACTTCGAAGCTGAATGATTCATTGTAGTACGGGTTGAGTGTGCACTTCTTAATCGACGTCTTCTTCTTTTTGAGCCGTTTTCCGCCTTGCATGAGCACTATTTTCACATAGGGGTCTGAAAGCGAACAATCGGGTCAAAAACATGGTTAGTAATGAAGCATGATGCGGGAATTTTCAGATGAGGATGACACCTTTATTCGGTGAAGTGGCAATTTGTCGAAAACGAAACTCTCGTTGAAATACGGATTCAACGTGTTTCTCTTGATATTCGTTTTGCGTTTTTTGATACGTTTTCCGGTCTCGTCGCGAGTTTCGACTTTTACATACGGATCTGGATATGTCAAAAAGAGAATTGATTATTACGTGATAATGGCACCCAAAATGAGGTAATGTGGGAAATTCAGAATGTTTGATTACCTGACAATCCACCGACGTCCATTTTTTTGAGATTTTTCGCTTCGAGGACCACAACGGTCAATTTTCCGGCAGTTGGCACATATCGAAGAGAGAAGCAAATGTCTCCCAGTGATTTTTCCTAACAATTCGAATTATTTCAATAAAGGCATGAGGGTTTGTTTGAATTACCGCTTCTTTATCATCTGGAGGCGGGGCGATGTCCTTCCATTCTTCGATCACTTGTCCTAAATCGATTTTACCCAGCGGAATGAGCACCTTAAATCAAGCTCAATATGATTTCAGATTTAAAAATTCCAAATGGCGAACCTGTCCAATTTGGTCGTGTTTGCTGAACCTGTCGAAATCATAAATGGCGAATACGAGGGTTTTTGAAGTGATTTCATTGAACGCAACCTGAAATGAAAAAAATTTTTTTTTTTTTTTTGAAATAATTGTTGACGTGTGTTGGCGAGACATTAAACCATTTTCCCATGAATAAAACAATTTTGTTGATGAGAAATCATGAGAATAATGGAAAATTCAGGGAAAATTGAATAGAAAGGAAATGGTCACAAATTTCGAGAATTAAAGAGATCGGCAAATTCAATCAAATGTTGGGATATCCTTCCAATTAATTAGTAACAGCAACTGGCCGCGTGGCCGTGGCCGTGGCCGAGTCACACTAACGACATCCCTCAAAAATTTTGCGCCTCATTTGAGTTTAACAATCGCCAACTGCAATTAAGTAATTTTCATATAAATTTGTTTAATCATTGAAATAATTGTCGTTGCATCATTCGTGTAGTAAATTCTGGTTTAAATGTCCAAGTTTGGGGTTGCAGAATGCTCTTGGTGAACAAACAATCAATTCGGGTCCATCCTACCAAAAACTCATACCTTGAAGATAAACGTCTCGTTGAAGACTGGATTCAACGTCTTTCTGTGCACTTTCGTCTCAACCTTCTTTTTCTTCTCCGGCAATAAATAGAGTTTGACGTATGGGTCCGACGTTCCGCTCATGTCCATTCCCGGCAGATCCTCCGCTTGAATTACAGTCACCGAAAGCTGAAATTTGCGATAATCTCGAAACGCCCAATTTTCGCATGATTCGCACTTGTCCCTGCTGGAAATCGTAGTCCAATTTGTATTGTATCCGCCCCAATTTGACCTCCTCCTTCTCTTCGGCTTGCGCCTTCTCGTTCTGCTCCATTCCGTCGTTGAGCTCTTCGAGGTCCTGCGCCATCCCTTGAATATTTTTGCCATCGATCACGTCCTGTCCCTTGCCGAATAATCCTTTGATGCCCCCCTTTTTGTTTTTGTCGCCGTGCCGCTTTTTGCCGAACAACTTGCGAATGATCATGAACGCGCATGCCAACGCCAGCAGAATGAAAATGATACCAAGAAAGACGAACGCCCATTCCGGCACTGAAAAGAAAAAACAAAGAGGAAATGCTTCGCCGCTTATAAATGTATGTTTTCTTGTGTACATGAAGGCGTTTTTTTCTGGTTGGGTGTGCAAATCCCGTGGGGGAATTCGAAATGAGATGAACAAAAGACCGGTCCTTCACGAAGGCGGATGACGTGAAAATTGGAAACGATCTCTAATTGGGTCAAATTGAAACACACTTCAAGTTTTTTTTTCTTTTCGTGTTTCACAAAAGAGCAAAGAATACAATTGAAACAAATTCAAATTTAGAGTCATTTTGAAAATAAAAATAGTCGAATTGAGGCGGACAAATAATTGAGATCAAATTTCGTTTCAATTCTTGACGCGAAACGAATAAATTTTTGAATGTGCCTTTAAATATACCAGCCAATTTTGAAAATTACAGCGGTGTTTGAGGACCGCAGATAATTTCTGGATTTTTTCAAAAATATAGCGGTGTTTGCGGACTAGAGAGTTTTTAAAATATTTTTTTTGATATTTTATTTTCATTTATTAGCATTTAAGATTTTAAAAGTCAGAAAGATTTGTATAATTGGTGTGCGCAAACACCGTGCCGCAAATATTACAGAAAAAACGATTTTAAAAAATGTTAATTTCATTTGATTTTTCTCGCAGGAAATTCGAAATTAAATCATTTTATTTTCTAGGGAAGCTCGAATTTTGGGGGGTTTTTTTAATGAATACTATAATTTTTTATATAGTAAAAGTTTTTGATGTCACCAATTTTATATGCCCGGGGCAACATTTTGCAAAAATTTGAAGCTCGATCAATAAAAAAAAATAAAAAAGCAAAATAAAAAAGCGTAGTCCGTAACGGCATGTACACGTGTACGCACAATTGCACACATTTGATTAATTTTTTTGAATCCACAGTTGAAATTGTTTCACTTCAGATTTTAATCGAACATAAAAAGTCATTTGTGTGTATTTTTTTCTACATAGGATTTTAATTGAAAATTGAATTTCGGGGAAATTTTATTCGAAAAATTCCCACTCATCCAAATCAAATCAAGGGGTGACACCAAATTGTGTAGTTCGAATTTTTCGTGCGCTCGGAAGTCGTTTGTCATCGAAAATATGTATATGTAATAAATCTGTGCATTATGTCGTCACACGGTGTCCGTTGTGCGCACGAGAAACAAAAAAAAATGGGTCCCCACGCCAATTTCGCCCCGGCAAAAGAATCGGCGTTTTAGAAATACGATTGTTGGGGGGGGGGGGCTTAGGCTTTCGAAGGTCCCAACAATCGTGCGATGTAATTCGATATTTGGCGTCGCGCAAAAAAATGCGCCAAAAACGTTGATGGCTTACTTCCAGTTTGCTGCATCACTTTTTCTTTAACAACGTCTTTGACATCAATCACTTTGTTCACAACAACATCCTTCAGCGTTTCCTTAGTCGTCGTGGCTCTGAAATCACACACCTCAATAAATATATCCATATATGGATATAAATAGACAAGAAGGTCGGTTGCCTTTTTTGCAAATTGAAAAACCGACGTGTTGAAATTGGGAAAAAAATGAGAAAACGAATGGCGTGCCAACACGATGATGGTTTTCTCGGCAATAACAACGGCAACAACCCCAGACCGTCGATATTTTATGATTGTTGGTGGCCGCAAAATCGTGACGTCATGAATCGATAACTTACACTTGTTTGACGGCTTCCGTCGTCGCTTCGTCTTCCATCGGTGCCTCGTCCATGACGAACTCCTTCGTCAAATCCTCGTCTTTGTCATCCTCGCCCGACAAGTCTAATTTTACCATTTTGATAGGCTCTGCAAAAAAAAAACCGGAATGTGTGAATGAAGTGAACCAAGACGAAAGCAATGAATAGAAGACGAATTGGGAGGCTCATATTGAGCTCGATGAATTCTATTTGTTGGCTCAATTTTTTGGGTTAATGAATACAATCTGCGGACAAAAATTGAGGATCGGAAATCTCTGAAAATGCAATTGAATCTGTTATAGACAGTGTTGTAAACAAAAAAAGAAGGTCCTGGACCGCGCCAGGGGGCTAGCTTGTAGCACATCCCGGAAAATGTCCGCAGATGGCTACAATGAAATTTCAAGCTTGAAAAAGTAGGGTCCCGTGGGCCCAACCCAGTTTGTAGATAAAATATAGAAGCAAGAAGAAGCTCATTCCAATTCTCACAATAGTCGGTGTATATATATATATATATATATATTTGCATAGTGCCAATAAAACTATAAATATATAATTTATATGATAATTTATATTTTTTTCAAATTTTCTTTTTCAAATAAATATGTGATTAGTCGAATTGTTATTGAAAACTCGTTGTGCACTTATTTTCGAAATAGGGATATCGAAAATATTTTCGAGAAGAAATGTTGAAGCTTTTCAGAAAATATGCATCGCCTTCCCTCTATTTTGACTCGATGCTCTCCGCTCGAAAAATCGGCGAAAAACAAATGAGGGCGAGAGGGTTTTCTTGATTAAATCTGCATATTTACGCGACCAAATTTGGAATTAATGAAAACCGCCGGCGTACACCTGGCTATCATTTTTTTTTCTGTGCGACGAAAATAGACGAAATTTGTTTGGCTGGAATACTCACACACACGCCCCAATGGTTCCTAATTACTTTTTTTTGTTGGTGAAAATCCATCACATGGTTTCGAAATGACAACCCCATAAATGGATTGAAAAAGAAAAAAACGAACAATGGGCAAACGGACGCAACGGTTTATGGGTTTATCGGATAACGAGCTTTCTTCTTGATTCTCAAATTTGAATTTTCGCGCACCCAATAATTGGGGGCTTTCTCATCCGTTACTCTAGAGTCGTTGGTTGTACTATTGAATATCGAAATTTTAGTCCGAGAACGAACTCACATCAGGGAAATCGATTCGAATTTTTTGAGAATCAATTATTCAATTATAAACTCTAAAATATTTGGAGAAATCTAGAGTTTATTGACATTTTCTAAAACTTATCGAGACTCGATACACTTCAAAAAAATTTTAAAAATCGTATTTTTTAATAAAATTTAAATTTTATTCGAGTTATTTGAGGACTGCCTGACACTAAATAAAACACATTTTGAGGTTTTTGAGAAGCTAAGGGATCTCTATAATATTTTGGAAATTTCTCAACGAATTTTAAAAATTATTATAAGAATTTAAAATTTCTTGTTGTAAGTCTTTAAAATGTATTTTTAAATTTGCCGAGTCTCAAAAAGTTTCAGAATAATATTTTTGATTTTTTTATTGAATATTTGATCCTCGAAACATTTATTCGATATGTCTGATATTAAAAAAATTCCCTGATAGTTAAAGATAGTGATGCCTAATAATTTATAGAGGACAACTGGAAATGGAATTAAAGAATGAAGGGACCAAATCGGTTTGAATCCATTGTCTATTTTAATGGGACATTGTTGGTTGTTTTTTTGGAATTCATTTAGAATCTCTGGATTTCTTTAAATATGAGAACACGCGTTGAGCTTCTCCTTTTCCCTCTTTTTTTATAATTAGCATATAGATGAAAAAAATGGAGAGAGAGAAAAGTGTCACTAGGCGTTTTTTCCCATTATTAAAAAATATGCGGCTACACACACAACACACGAAAAAAAAATGCTGAACAACATACTAATGTGGCGGTGTTTGGAGGAAACGAGCACACACTAAAAAAATTGGCGAAGAATAAGAAAAGATGAAAGAGATGGAAGAGAAGGCGTAGTAGAAGAGAGAAAAGTTAGAAGACGTGGAGTGCGCGTGAGGTGTGCTGCCGCACCGACCGAAAAAGGGGCTTCGAAGAAAATCGAGAGTTTCGAGCAAGTTGGGCTCCGACGAGACGACTAGAACAAAAGTTGATGTGTGCACTGCGCTCGCGCGCAGCACTTCTTCAGAATTCTTGACGGAAACAAATCGTTGAGACAAATACAATATAAAAATATGGATTATCTCGAAATTTCCATTAGGAGCCTCGAATTTTCTGTGAAAGAATAATGAGAAAATGACGAAAACAACGAGGAGCATTTTCTCGTAGAAAACGTCGATATTATTTTTTTAGCAAGGAAAAAATTGACAAAAAAAAAACGAACTAAATTTCAATTTTTTGATGAAAATTTGGGTCTTTAATTTATATTCTAATGCAAATTGGGCTCGATTTTCTTCCGCTATATGTTTTCCTATTTCAGAATAACAACTGGAATTGATTGGAAAATCCGCAGGGTCTCGAAGCGAACAAAGAGTTTGAATCAATTAATTGTCATATTAGGGAAAAAATCAATAATTTAGTGATGTGAAAATGAATAAATTAGCATACCAATTTTTCATTTCACATTTTCTCATGATACTTGGGACCACCGGATAAATGCGTAGGGGGAGATTTGAATAGAGGTTCTCAACGGATTTATTTATTACTATTTTTACTTTCAGACAGAGTCTTTGGGTTTCGGCGGTCTCGGTGAAATATACGAGCATGTGCCTTTAAATATTTGTCTTATAATTTTTTTTGCAATTCGCTACAACCGCAATTTTCGTGTGCCCCATTTTTTCTCTAAAAAACCAAGAGATCAAAAGTGACCGATGTTAAAGGTGCATTCTCGTAAATCTGCCCAATATATCTGTTTCTGATGAAAAAAATTCGGTGCACCTAAAAAATATACGTCTTTAATTACCGTACCCAAGAAAAAATTTCAAAACTTGAAAAATCTTTAAATTATCTTAAACCACTGATTTCGGCATTTTCGTGTTCAATTTTTTGATATTCAAGAAATCTTAACAAAATCGTGAGGGAATGCAATTCGATCGCCAATTTATTAAAGGCTCATAACGCGAAATTTGAGACGGGTCTCGTGGCGACTGATTTCGGTAGCCGCTTTTTTTTTGGAAACGAACTATGCATATTTGAACTGCAGTCGATTACCTATTCATTATTTTTCGTCGTGTTTTTTTTTGACGTTCAAAAGGAAATGGAAATTGAGGCGAGTGAAGAAAAAAGAAAAAAATGAAAAAAAAAAACAATTGAGGGAGAAATGGGAAAAAAAAAGAGCGAAAAAGAACAATTAACTGAATTCGTTTTGAAAAAAAAGGTCAACTACTATTTTAATTATTTTTCCTCCAATAGTTCACTTAAAATAATGAGCGAATTTAATTTTTTTGGGACGTCACAAAATCCTTTTTTGGTTTGGAAATTTTAAGCCGACGTTTGATTCTGAGCAACGACGCTCCGTGTTTGCATGTGCCCTACGTTTAGCGTATTTATATATAACGTTGAAATTTTTAAATGATTTTTTTTTTCAGAAGAACGGTCAATTTTCTCCCAACTATGCAAGGTATAATTACAAAAATTGCAAGATTTGAATGGCGGAAAAAAATAAGAGGAAAATCACATAGCACGGAGGCGTCGGACGTTTAGTTTTGTTAGTTTTGTAGTCCAAAAGTGAGAAAGCGACGTTTTAGGAGGCGTGCGATTGGTTGACGAGCTCGACGATGTGCGCGAAGCAGCGCAAAAAAAGAAACCCGATGCACAAGCGAGGGCTCGAAGCGAAAAGATGAAGAAGGAGAGGAATTGGTTGGAGGAAAAAACGACGAAGCATTAGGGGAGAAGCTGTGCGTCGTCGTCGGCCGAGCACACATATGAAAAACGACGTCAGATCGATGCCGATGGGCGCCAAAAGAGGCGTTGGCGGACGGAGGGTGCAGAGATCCGTTTGGCGCACCAAGAAAAAAAAGAACCCGTTGGATTTTTGCGTGTGCATTGCGGTTTTCAACATTTATTTTTTTTTTTGCGAAGAACGAAAAAAAAACACGAAAAAGCACGATGAAACGAAATAGTCATGGGAAGTGGGTCTGCAAAATTTCGCCTAAAAATAGGATGTTTCGTTTTTGTGGAAAATCTCAAACGGAAATATGAGGAAGAAATCAATCCGAAATTTTAGAAATCAGTTTTTGATGATTAGAAGTGAAATCACATTCAAAAATATAATTTTATAAAAAAGAAAAGTAAAAAATTAAAAAAATTAATTGGTGGAATTTCTCCCGAAAAAAAGAATGTTAATGTGTTATTAAGAGCATTTATTTTAAGATTTTCTTGGAAAAAACAAGAAGAGAAAAAAATTTGGAATGAATCATGATTAATTAGGAAAAAAAATATATTAATAAATTAAATTTCTATATGTATTTTTTCTTCAATTTTTGCCCAAAATATCTCTTTTGTTTGCCATTTCATTCCATGCGGTTTATCGCGCAAAAGATCATCTAATCTCGACGTCGTCGAAGATGCCATTCACACATTTTTCGAATTGTACGAATTGCTTCGCGAATTCAAGATTAATCTACCTGCTTCTAACAAAAAAATCATCTCATGGGACCATTATTAGCAGTACCCATTCATTGCAACATCAAAATACATACACGAGTACTACAAATGGGCATCGAGGATTATTCAAAGATGAGCAAAAAAAAAGAAAATTTCCCTTCAGGATTTTGAGGGGGCGAGGGTTTTGAAATGTGGTCAAGTGGGAAAGGGATAGTTTTTTGGGGGGAATAAATGAAACTGGCATATTTCCAAAAAGAAACATTGATTTTTAAAGCAATTCATGAATAAACTGGTATCCATTTTCCGGCAATTTTGTTGCCATTTTGGACATTTCAATAAAGTTTTAATGATTGACGCAAAACGCATTCACCTGTTAAAGACTTTTTTTTTGAAATTTTAGCCTGAAACTTAACATTTTCATGATGAACACATATTTTCAACGAATGCCAACTTCGAAAAAATGATGGCTTGAAAAATGTGACTTGACGAATGGGGTCCCGAGTAAATTTTCAATTAATAATTATGAGCAATTTTCGAGGAACAGACAAACGAGTTGATCAATATGGAGTTTTTTTTTGAAATATATTATTTGGCAGACGCCATGGCGTCCAGCGACTGCCGGGTAGATTTACGATTGCGCCTTTCGAAATGGTCTCGCCACGTGTGAATGCTTAGCTCGTTGTTAATTCGGCGAGCTTAGTTTTCTTCAAATTTCTAACGTCATTCGAATTAATGATTATCTCAACTGACCCCTAAAATGCTACTCGACGCGAGACCATTGCGAAAAGCGTTCCCCGAAAATCTACCCGCAAACAGCAGTCGGCCGACGCTGTCTGTATATTGTCGGTGTCGTAGGACTTCGGAAAATTTGCTAAATGTCAAAGAAAAAGAATGCCAATGGTCTTGGCGCAAAACTTAAAATGTAGATTTACGGGTCTATGTATAAGGGTAGGTTAAAGGCGCACGCCGCGCACCGAGACCTTTTTTTTTAATTTTATGGCATTTTGCCAGTTTTTTCAACAATATCTTTTCAAAATCAAATTTCTTCGATTTTTTTTTTGAAAAATTCGGTCAGAATAAAACAGTACTTTTGAAAATTAGATATTGTTGGACCCATTAGCAACATTAAAAATTTGGTTTTAAAAATTATTTATAAAATAATTCATCTGTCAGATTGGATATTTCGCACATTTGTTTTCAGATTTGGCTTAAATTCAAAAAAAATTGCGTTCTTTATTTGCTCGAAACGACATTTTTGCTCTTTTGAATATGCATAAGTTCGTCGGCACTTTTCGCCCGTTTTCTTTGGCGATAAATTGAATTCAAAAATATAAATTCGAATGAGTCACGAAATGAATTCGAAAGCGAACTTGTGATAAATGGTGTTTTCCGGTTTTCCGGAGAAGCCAACAAGTTGTACAAAACAAGAAGTTGCGAGGAAAAAAGGCAGCTGCGCAAAATAAATATTAAAAAAAACTAGCAATGAACTTTGATTAAACCCACTTTTTGTCGATTGTTTCGATTATTTGTTTAGCTGGAAAACTAAAAAAAAGTTTGGATATTTGAAAGAATGAGAAACTCGATTGGATTTAATTCGAAGGATTAGGGGGCGCGCGTTTAAGAATGATGTGATATTAATTGAAGCAATAAAAAAACAAATTATTAGCCACACAAACATGATATCATATTGAGATCAAATGTTGTACGAATCTCGTTTTTCCTTTTTTTTAATCAAAAATCGATGATGCTTCGGAGTAGAACTCACCGGAATGGATTTCGAACGGAATAAAACTTGATTGTCAATAGAGCGCAATTGCATTTTTTGTTTTTTTTTTTCTAACGTCAATTGTGACTTTTGATTTTTTATAGATACTATACATTTTTTATAGATGGTATCATACGATGCCTCGTGGTCCGATCAGAGATATAAGAATTTTTGACGGATTCTGCATGAAAGTATATCGGTCTAATAATAAAATGGAAGGGTTGCAATTGCGCTCTATTGACAATGGAGTTCTATTCCGTCTGAGTTCTAATTTCGGCATGTTTTTCTCAGGGTAACCGGATTTGCGTGTTCATGCATAAAAACAATTCGACTGTGAAATTTTGGACTGTTTCTCCTTAGCAGGAAGCCCGATGCTCGCCCGTTTGGGCGACTCGCGCTGATCGCCAATTTGATTCTAACCCTCGGCCAAACTGTTCGTCTCAAAGCTAATTTTGGCATTTTTATAATGATTTTTAAATAGAAGGGAGTTTTTTTTGGATATTGGTGGATATTCTTCAATGGAGCTATTGAATAAATCACAGAACAGCCGCGAGTTCCATGTTGGGACCTTTTACTAAAACTACATTCAATTTCAAGTATATTCCACAGAGAATGCTGCATTCTTTAAATTTTAAATTCTGATAAGCCAAAAAAAATTATGAAGAATTGAGTGATTTTACACTTACGAAAAAAAAAAATCATAACTGATTATAGGAAATTAGGTGAAATGAAAAATGAAACCTATTAAATCAGGTGATATATTTTCTCAGAAATGGGGAGATTTCTTAGGTATGGCCAATTATGAAAGGGCAATTGATATTTTGAATATTTCTTCAAACTTGGAAATACTTCTGATCGTGTGCTCCTCGATTCCAGATCCATCCGAAGTGGATCCGCGACGGCGGGTCTATCGAAGAAATAATCCAAAAAAACTCTTGATTTTGGTCGTTCCAAATAAGCCCATTTTCGCCATTAAAAATTGTGCAATTAGAAATTATTAATTTTTCGCATATAAAAAATAAATAAGTTACTAATTTAAATAAATAATTTAAATAAATAATTTACTTTATTTCGAGAAAAAATTATAAAATTTATTTCGACATTATTAAATGCTCCAAGTTTTCTATAATTTCAGGTCAATGCGATTTTGAAGAAAAATAGGGAAATATACCGGTATGATAGGATAGAAGAAAATGGAAAATTAAATAAAGGGAGGGGGATAGGCGAAGAACATGAGAAGGAGTAAAAATGAGAAAATCGTAGACTAGTAATAATTATTAATAATAAAAAAAAGAGCCTAATAGATGAAATCAATTGAGAATTTAATCGCTTTCATTATCATTTTCCACATCATTTTCGGTGCAATTCTCATCTTTTCGAACCACTTTTTTGTGTTTCATTCGTCGATTTTGAAACCAGGTTTTGACCTGAAAATTCAAGCAATCTATACAATTTTTTCTGTTGCTATAATTGGCAACCAACTTGTGTCTCACTCAAATTGAGGGCATTTGCCAATTCGATGCGTTCCGGTGTGCTCAAATATCTAGAAAACAAAAACTAGTTGTTGAATGAGAATTTGAGACAAAAATCGACCGACCTCTGCGATTCAAATCGGCGTTCGAGTCCTTGCAGTTGCTGATCGCTGAACACAGTGCGAGCCTTTCTGCGCGAACTGAAATAAATTGCGAAAAAATGCGTCTCAACAAATCGTCATAATAATCGAAACCTTCTGTAAGCCTTTGTCGCGTTCGCGAGTCTCATTTGCTCGGTCCAGATTCCGGGAAAAACTAAAAACAAATTCAAATGTTGCAACAGACAAAACAAAAACGAATGACTACCATTGCGTTGGGCGAGAAGAAGACTTTGCTCGAGCGGGAATGCGGCAGCGGCGAGCCAAAACGGAACCTGCTGATCGATGGAGGTGATGAGCGGAATCGTATCCGATTTGATATGAATTGTCGCCGGCGCCGCCGATTTCTCAGAACACTGAAAGAGTGACAATCAATTGGATCAATTGAAATTCAAACCGAAACTCGAATATTTGCTTGAAATGAGAAACGCGTTTGAATTGCCGCCAAAACAGTGGTGATTGCAGACCGCAGATAATTTTTTTTTGGATTTTTTCCAAAAATATCATTCAATTTTTGGTATGTGATATTGATTTATTAGCATTTGAGATTTTAAAAGTCAAAAAATTTGAATAAATGGCGATGCGCGAAAATGTGTGTAAACACCGTGACACAAATTCACGGAAAAATAGCAACGTTGCTATTGGACAAAGAAATAAAAGAAGTTTCGACGGCACATCGAGTTTGACGGGTTTCTTAAAATGGGACCAATTGGGTTTCACAAATCAAAATTGTTTAATTAAATTAAATGTATTCCTTAACTACTTATATAAATATATTATTTTAACTAAATTCGAGCTAATCGAAATAAGAATGTTGAAAACCTTTTTAGCAAAATTTAATGGTCTTTTGGGGACCAAAATATGCAAAACTATTCGGGATTTTAATGTATTCCAGGGCAGTTTTTGAATGAATTGGTTAATTTCAAAAAAAAATCAAGCTTAATCTAAAAAGGGATTCGAATAGCTTTTCTCAGAGCAAGCAACAAATCTTTAAGGAGAGTTCTCAACATTGTCGAAAAAATGAGGAATTAGCTTAATTTTAAATTTTTTTATTTTTTTATTCAACTCGAATAATTTTGTTTGGCGAATTGCCCGTTAAACACACCCATTATCATCGATATCATCAATTAAATTTGGCGACAAAAAAAGTTGTCGCTTCAAATTGCAATAAAAGATAGATCGATGATAATTGCATTGATACACTTTCACTAATTTTCCCCTCAATTTGTAACAGTTTTGATGAAAAAAATTCGCCGAACGACGTCATGTGAAAGCGTTGATTTCCGTCATTTTCAGATGATACCGAACCAACGATTTCAATTGTTTCGAGAAAAAAAAAATGCAGAATCGAAAACCGATCAAATGTTTACAATAATCGCTCAAAAGGTTTGAAGACTGCCAAAAATGAATAAACAGCAAAAAATAGAAGACCAACCTCATCGGAAGACGACGATGATGGCGTCGTCACGCTGTCGTCGCCTTTTAGCATTTTGACATGATCGCGAAGAAGCTCCGACGATTGTCCGCGTAGAAGATCCTCAATGCTGAAGCGCGACGTCATCGCTGATGATGTCTACAAAAAATGTGCTCACAATTATTAACACGGTAATCGCATGGGGAGGGGCGGAGCAACGGAATACAAATTGTGGGCGGCGTCAGCCAATCAACGCAGCGCGCGTGCACGGCCAACGGATAAACGCACCAAAAAGAGACACACAGCTGGGTGGGAGATGGCTAATTAGAAGCGAGTTCGACTCATGTGTAGTTAGTTATCTTATTAATTAGTATCTATGGGAAATTAGGCAAATTTATTGAGAGTTTCAATTCAAAAAGCAGGGGTCTGTTCGAAAAGTTGAAGTAGGCGTCGTGGAAGTGGCATCGCCGAACAGGTCGAGAGAATTGTTGATAAAATGCCGAATCATCGGGGCCTCCAAAATGCACAACATTGGAATAATATTCGCACGTTTAATTTGATCGCAAAACGACTTAACTTTACGACACACGTTTATATGTGAAAAGCAAGAAAATGTCGCCGCGCGCCATTTATGGTCGAATAATGGCGAGTACCATCGGGTCGATGATGATCGCCAGTTGTGTTGTGCTAATCATCGCAATTCCAGTAATAATTCGAATAACAACAATGCGAAACAAAAAAGAATGGGCCAAGTGTGAATGAGCCTCGCGATATTCTAATAGCTATTGTGCAACTCGGCAATTTGAGCTCGCAATTGGCTTGTACACAGATGTGCAACTCGTCGACACATACATAAATACCGTATTCGAAATATTATTAGTAGGAGATGTTGTTGCTCATCTGCCCTTTAATTAGGTGTACGAATTGATATTTATCATCGAAGTTGAGCACAATGGAAATTGTATATCCTAATTAGGAGTGAGAGAGAGAGAGGTATGAGTAATAGAATAGTGTTATAGTATCAATTGAATGCACATTCAAAGTGAGGGAACACGACGATGGATGAAGTGATTCGCGGGTTTATGAACTATTTTGGTAATTTTTTGCGAAGACGCGAGTCGGCCATAAAAACGAGGGTTACGATTCGATAGGCAACAAAAAAAATGAATGAAAATGATACGAAATTTTTTCTTGTCTCATAATCGAATAAGCCAGTTAGAATTGGATTTAATAAAAATAAATTTAATTTGAGGAAACTATCAAATTGGGGTGGTTAGGGGAGGTAAAAATGAGAAACTACTTGAATGGCTTCTTGAATTTTTTTTTCGCTTCAAGACCTTGTAGTTGAGATGGATTGCTGGCGACATTCAATAATTACGGTATCGCACTATATAAGGGGGGAAGTCAACAGAGGTGACAAAATGATTTAATTATTCCTCAATTTCAGCTCACAGTTTCCACAGTTTCGAAGCATTCTTCAGCTTCTGACCCGCGATATTGAGACATGCAATAAATACAAAACTGACGTTGTTCGGCGAAATATGGCGATAGTATGTCAGAGGCGGGTCCGTGGGATAACCTAATAATTCTCGACGCACATAATAACTTAAAAGCTGCCTCGTCGAGTTTTCGACTGATGCGCGCCTATAATGTAATAAGTGTCGAAAAGAAAAAGCCGCGAGCAATTTGGAGAAGACAAAACCGAATTATTACATATTATTATTATTATTATACATATTCGATATTCGTAGAATGTGTGTTGATCACTCCTGAAAACACTCATCGACGATTGAATGCGAGAATAGAGGCTAATATATTGATACTCGGAAAAACAGAGCAATTAGGTCGACAAAATGGGCGTCGCTTGAAAAGACGATGATGGCTAATTTAATGATGTGCTTTATATTCTACCGTAGCAATATTGCGAAGGAGCAAACGCGCCGCGGCGAGGGAAATCCGCAAATTAATTGGAATAATTGTTTATTTGCGAAAATGTGCCAATATCGACGACGACAATTCTGGAGAACAATGCATCCGGTGAAGAAACCAGCGGGTGTCGGATGCTCAAAAGAGAGAGAGCCACGTGTCAATTAGGTGCCATATTTGGAATGGGTGACAAACTTTTTCTAGAGGAAGTCAAGAATGTCACGCCAAGCAGTTGGGTAAAGACATTATTCGAGCTTTTCCATTCGACAGTAAGATTTTTCTTCTTCTTTTTTTTGCCTTCATATGCAGAAAACTATGTTCGAAAAAAATGGGGGTCCTCAATAAAATATAAAACGGAATTAATTGAAAAGTGGTCGCGGGGAGTTTTTTGTCGGCAAACTCGTACCGTCGGCCACTCTTCTTTTTTTTTTGGCAAAATGACCATACATGGGATTACCGTAGCACTTGAACTCTCGACACGCGGCAGGCAGGTGGATACTTGTTTGTTGCGCACCTCGCGATTAATTGCCGCATTTTCGAATAATTCGCTTGGCTGAATTTTTTGGGATTCTGTTCGAGTTTGGAAAATGAAATAGTCCTGCTTAGAAAATGTACTTCAAGGTCAAAAATCAATTTTTGAATGATTGGAGATTCTGGAAAATTCCATGATTCCTCTTTCATTTTAATACGATTTTTTCAAATTTAAAGAGTACCTTCATTTCAATCCAAGCAAGAACTCTTTTCGAATTGGCGCTTCGAAAAATAGGATGGTCCGTAAACACCCAAAGGGTCTTCTTAATTACTCGAAGACACCCTTCTGTTACAACACCAACTTGTTGCTCAACAACTTTCGAATCATCTGCCACATGTGATCCGAGACGTCTGGCGATCGTCTCGATTAATCCGCCACACGTTTTTTTCTTACTCACATTACTATTATTATTGTTATATTACTATTATTATGTTCGCCTTTTTGTTGGGTCCCTAATGAGAAGTGCAAATATTGCTCTAATTGCGCGACATATGCCGCCAAAAACCGATATTGTGGTCGGGCCGCGGCTCTCGGTCATCGGCTAGGTGCGACTTTCTTTAATTATAGGGGTACGAGGGGGAGAGGCTTAATGGATTGGCAAACTTGAAGCGCAACATCGGCTGGATTGTCGAAAATCAGAAATAAAAAAAACGCGGCAAGTGAGAGAGCTAATAAATTACGAAAAAATGGCATTAATCGTTTTTCATATGTCTCAACGAAAATGCAATAAATTTAAATTATATGTGTTTAGGCTTACCTAATTTTCGTACGAAAACTTTTATTCAACAATTTGAAATTCGTGTTTTAGATATTATGCAAATACATTTTTAATTTTTCAGATCGTCATTTTCGCGTTTTCAAAATTCTCTTAATCATCAATTCAACAGAAGTCTTGGTGCAAAAAAAGATTTTTTTTATATTTCAAATAAGAATGCAAAAACGGAAAAGTTTTTGGGATTTTTTTAGAGAGTTTGTGATTTTAAGAGACAGAGACATTTCTTTTCACAGCCGTTTCATTAAAACTCGTTTTTACGTCACGAGAATACGAATATTCGAATGATGGCCGTGGACTAGGAGTGAGCTCCTCTCAAGTTCGGCCATATCAGCTGAAATAAATTTGCAACTGCGGAAATTCAAAATGCCTTCAAAAAAAAATCAAAAACTCGTGTAAATGAAAGTCAATGGGATTCCAAGAAAAATAAAATATAAAAATGTCTGATTAGCTTGCGATTCTTTTTGATTTAAAACGAAATTCTTCCGATATGATTTTCATTTGTCAAAAATTTGGGCATTTCAGATATTTCAGAGAGTCTATTCAAGCAAATACTTCCATCCGATGGCTAATAACTTCGATTTTCCGAAAATCGATTTTGGACAATCGAGAGAGAAACGTCTTCATAGCTTGGAGAACTAAACGACATTGACCCTGACGGATGGAACTTCTTTGGAACGGAGCAATCAAGCGACATCGAGCGAATCAAGACGTCAGCTTGACTCAAAAAATACATATCCCTTCAACTTTTTAAATTTATTCCATCTGTTCGATTTATGTTCTGAAATAAAAATTGAAACATTTGAGCCGCCCAGTCTAAATCTTTTTTTTTTCATTCAATAGGATTTATTTCCTCTTTTGGAAATTTTATAAAAACTAAAAAAAAGGAAAAGCTAATGTGGATAGTTAATATTTTTTCAAAATTGCGAATATTTGAATAATTCATGAATTGAATTGTACTCAAGCATTTTATTTTCTCTGTATTAAACTGCATGTTCCTTTTGATTCAGACGATCATTTCTAGAAGCGCTCAAAACGTTTTCATTAATTTTGAAGGGATGAAAAGAAAAAAAAATCGCGTTGGTGGTCGATAAATCAGAATTGCGGTGATTCTGCTGGGTCTCGAAGTGCACACCCATTAATAAAATAATCGTTAAGACATGTTGATTTATTGGGTATCTTTTCAAAGAAATCAGATCAAAATATCACACACCGGCGAGAATTCGACGGCTACTCGAGCCTCGAGTCTGTGCCATTTTTCCGACGTTTTGCGTTTCACCGACAGCTGCTCATTTTTCGACAAAATCGCCGCGAATAATGCGAGCCGTGCGGATCGTGCAGGAGTGGCCGCGGAAAAATGATGAGATGAGAATATCTTTTTGCGAGATTCGCAAGTGGCTCGCAAAAAAATATTTTCTTTTTTTTTGACGCTTCAATAGCTTCCGCCACTTTATTTTTAAACTCCGGTCATTTCGTTGCCATTGAAATTGAGATTTTCAAGATTGCTCGTTGCTCTCGATTTCATGAACTACCAAATTCAAAATTGGTAGTTCTTTTACTATATTAATTATTTGAAAGACACTGTCGGTGTCAATCTTGATGAAATTTAAATGGCAGCGAGAAGTACGCGAGATTGCGTACATTGCATTTTAGCTTACGCGCATTTAATATTCAGTCAATGACAAATTTAAATCTACGCTAATTTCGCGAATTTGAAGTCCCAGGATTCCTTCAGCCGTTTTTAAAAACGCAAAACATTAATTTATTGTCTGCAATTTTGCGTCACGGTGTTGCGGACACAGTCCAAAAATTTCAGGGTTTTTTGAGCATAACTGTCGGTTAAAGTATGTCGCCAGTGATGTTCAAACCGATCGATTTCGATTTCAGGCGATTTCAGCTATTCTTTGAGAATTTCATGAAAATGCTAAAAAATTGGAATTTCGAGATTTTTGCGCTTTTTCCTTCCTCTCCACTGTTCTCTGGTAACTTAAAACCAATCGGATCCGACAAAATTCGACTCCGGAATCAACCTTATAATTCCACGGATAAGATTGGAAAATTATCGGATCAGATTGGGTTTTGCGTATTTTCAGATCCGATTGGTAATTTGTCAGATTCGATTAGATTTTCTTCGAATCCGATTGGTAATTTGTCGGATCCGTTTTGTTTTAATATTTCAATTCGAATCGGATTAGACAATTTTCCAATCTCATCCGTAGGATTACCAATCGGATAAGGTTGATTCCAGGGCCGAATTTTGTCGGATCCGATTGGTTTTAAGTTATCAGCGAACGGTGGAGAGGAAGGAAAAAGCGCAAAAATCTCGAAATTCTAATTTTTTAGCATTTTCATGAAATTCTCAAAGAATAGCTGATTGGTTTTAAGTTACCAGTGTTTTTGTTTTGTGAATTTTTCAAAGTTTTTTGCGAAAACAATAAACATCGAGTTGTCAACTTGTTTCGGGTGCCAATCTACTTTGTAATAATGCTCGTTAAACTATTGCCGGCGTCTCGCGCTTCTCCGCACTCTTCGCATCGTGTTGACCGGACCATTGTAATCGAGACATCGTTCGGACCTTGTTAAAAGCGTTTCCTTTCGTCTCGATTGCACTGTTATGATTGTGTGTTTTTCATTGCAGGTAACCAACGGCAAACGAATTATTATGATCTAAATTATTCTCTCACTATTTATTGTTTCCTCGATGACCATTCAATTATTGTGTATTTGCCATTGTTGGATATTTTTGATTGTCTCGATCATTGCGAATTCGTTGGATCACGTTGAGATACCATTGGCGCCGTATAATGTTAAGGTGGGCAACGCATTCTCTGGGAAGCGAATTCAACGAAACCGATATTATTTTCAGCTGATGTGCCGCCAGGGTCGTCGATATACGAAGGAGTCGCAAACACCGCGTCAGTGTCCGTCGTCGTCGACGTCATGCGGATTTTTTGAGTTTTCGCTGCAGGATTCAAACAACGGAATCTCAAGTGTAATATTTCATTTGAAACAAACAAATAGTGAATGTCAATTCGAGGCATTATAGATTTTTTTTTCGAATTTTGAATTAAAAAAAAATAATGGCATATAATATTGCGAACCGAATTTTGGAAAAGCCACTTGTGGCCATAATTTTAGCGTTGTGATCTTGATTTGATCTAGTATGAAATGCACTCAAACCTACAGTAGGCATTAAAGGCGCAAACAAAAAAATTAATATTCAATTAATCAATAGAAGCTACAAAATATCGCCTTTTTCTAAAAAAAAAGTAGCAATCTAAAAAAATGTAAAAATGAACATACTATAATTTAGAATCGTGTAAATATATTTTCCATCGTTAAACTTTGAAAATTCAAAAAATTGGACCTGACAATTTAACAGTCATATCCGTAAAATAAAATTGATTCTAGAGCCGACTTTTCCGGATCCTGTCGGTTTTGAGTTACCAGAGTACCTTGAAAATCCAATTTCAGTGAAAATTTCAAATTTCAAGCGCACCATACTTGCAACGGGGCTTGGCGGGGCGGGTCAGAGTGAAAATTCTACCGACCCGCCCCGACCCGCTCGACCCGCTAATAGATTTTTTGAAGAAAACTTTATTTAAAAAAAATCGAAAAAGAAACAAAAACAGTGAAAGCTGGTTCAATCAATTTTGTTTGAGAACTTCTGAACAATTTTTGTTGCGAGAATAATTAATTCTACTCAAATAATGTAATTCGAAAATTTTTTTTTGCAAGTATGAAGCGGAAATTTGCAAGTATGAAGCGCACAAAATTTCTGTTCTAACTTTGATTCACCAAAAAATGTCGCTTCAATATTCTTCAGACTGGTGTCTATGATTGCGTCGACGGCGGAATTCTGTATGAAGATTCAAGCGAAATTGACGACGACAGCGATGATCGCCAATCAAAGCGATTGGCAAGTTTTCAAAAATTCAATTTTTTTTCTCTAAATTTCTATAATTTTTAGCCAATTTTCTCGCAACTTTGCGGCGCGATTCCAAAGTGTTCACGTCTCGAAGTGCATCATTTGAATCCGGCATTTGTCAAATATTTGGTGCAAGAAGTATGTTTTAATTATACGTCAATTATCAATTAATCATCACATTTTGATATAGTACGATATTAAACTCGAAAGTCTGGACAATGGCCACATTCGATTCTGCTGTGCGATGTTCCATTCGACACTTCAGAAGTTGGTGACGTCTTCTCGCGACACCCTTCGTACGAATCAATTGAGCCAATCTCAATCGCAATTTCGTATAATATTCAGCTCAAATGATGGCTCCGCCAATATCATGTCAAGGCAAATTATGCGATGCCGGAGCGGTCGGATGCCTACTTCATTCACTTCACGACGGCGCAGATTACGAAGAGGAATATGAGGAAGAGACAGAAGGCGCGAGAAAACGACATCGGCGACTAGCTCTTAACGATTATATTGAAGATGATGAATATGTTAATGCCGTCGAGGTTTTTTTTCGCGGGACCATCAAATATTATTCTTTTTTTCTTGTTTAGCTCAACTTTGAAGATTTTGATATTGAATTGATAACAAGAGAGCCGCCGATCGAAACGACCACTCAGAAGCCGACTCTACCAAGTCTGAAACTTCCAATGAGTTTTGGTACGATCTATATTTAGGGCTTCCTTTGGGGCGGCAAAATTTTTTGAATGTTTGAATTTCCGCCGTGGGTCTCGTTGGAAAATATCCTTAAATGTTGTATTTGCGATTTCATGAAAAAGAATAATATTTACGTGAATTTTAAGTGCTTTTGTCGGCAACAAAAATTCCAAATGGTGCTGAAAAGTTATTAATTAGACGACCTATTAATTTTCAGCTCGTTCATTTAAAATCTTTAAGCTCTGCAGCAATATTCTTCCCATTTTTAATTAAATCTTATCTAAAAATTAATACATATTAAAAATTGAATTATTTTTCATATATTTAATACGTTTTAAAAGAAATTGGCAACAAAAAGCTCATAAAAATATACATTATAAATAAATGTGGCCTTGGCCGAATTTTTCGCGGCCGTGTGATAATTCGACCACACCGTATGGAAGTCTTATCCTTATTTGGTTAATGTTTTATTCAGATGAAATAACGACAACTTCATCTGTGACGACAACATCTGTTCCAGCAAAAGTGGTCAAAATGAACTCATATGAAGGTTGATATCAATAAAACATTTTTTTTTTAATTCAAATGAATATTAGACGACGACGGCGAAGTTCAACAAGACATGCATTGCGTTTATCGCCACTTGAACAATGAATTCTATCGATACTGCCTTCTTGTCCACCAAAGTCGCGATGGCGATCGATGCTATCATCATCAAGGGCACACGATTTGTTGCTGTTTCGTGGCGCCAGGTGAAATTCGAATTTGCACCAACGATTAATTAATTTAAATTATTGCTGCAGATCGCGACACGTGTGATCCGACGGAAATGGACCTCGTCGTTCGTCCACCTTCACCTGGCATACTTCCGCCAAGAGTTATTATCACCTTGCCACCTCCAACCACTAAAGAACAACCAACGACGACGTCTTCGACATCATCAACAACAACGACAACATCGACCACTACTACTACTACGACGACGACAACGACGACAGTTGAACCTGAAACAACGACAGTTCGTCCAACACTACCACCGCAAATTTATCGGCCGAGACCAATCGATCAAATAAAAAAACGGAAGCAGATGAGGAAACGGTGAGCAAAATGTTGGAATTCTGAAAATTATCATTGCAAAAAAATCGTTCCCCTCGATATTTCGTAAAGCTTTCGGGACGGCGGTAATTCAAATTTCGATTTGAACGATGGGACTTTGATACCGTATAGCCCTACTTCAAAAATTATTTCGGGAGAAAATTTTCAAAAAACCAATTTGGGTTTGAAGGAAAAATAAGCAAAAATTGAACGAAAAGAATATTTAGCCATGAATTTCCAAAAGAATCGATTCTATTTTTATGTAACTAAAACAATTCTGACTTTTCGATGAAAAAAAATCAAATTTTTGAACGATTCAACGGAAATTTTGAAATTGTAAAATGATTGCAGGAATAAATCAAATCCGGAGGTGTTTTTTCTTTTCAAAATCTACATTTTTCATCTTATTGTCCTTCTGAGTACAAAATTGAGAAAATACCTTCTGAGAGTGGCTTGTGGAAATTTAAGTATCGCTCCTCCCCTCCATTCCAGTATATCAATGGTCCCCGTTTCTCATATTTTGGAGTGGGAGTGATTCAGTTTTTCTTCGTTTTAACAATCCGACCGCAGTAGAAAAAAATGTTGGTATTCTTTAAAAATCTACCCAATCTAATTTCACTAATTATTTAAATATACAGCCATACCTTCAACTCATCCAGAACGAACCTATTATTCAAGTTGTGGACAATTGGTGAGCCTCGGGCTCCGATTGGAATGAGAAAATATATCTGACCGTCAAGAATCTAGCACTTATCAATATATATCGAACCATTTTTATATTCAAAAATGATATTGTCTTCATTTTTCACTATCATAATTATTTGGTGTCACGCTTCAGAATTTATAATCTACATATAAGACGGCGATTCCTAGAGGATCGTTATTAGAACCCGACTAACCCTTGTTAGCCGCAAATTTCTCTAATTTTGCGCTGAATATTTTTGAACGTTGCTGAATAAGAAAAAATGCTTGCCAATTGAAAGTACACAGTGAGTGGGTTATTTTTTTGTATTTTCGTGGACGGGTCGTGAGTTTGGTTCGCAGGCTATGCTTACTACTCAAAAACATACAAAATTCGAAATAGCGAATATTTGTTTCCGACGATAATATAAATCAAAAAGAATTTGAGGAAGAATTTCGAATAGTTTGATTTCAGATGTCGTGTTGCATACATTCGTACGAAGTCGGGTAGTCGTACGCGTCCAACACTGATTTGCGACTCGTCAATTTCGTCAAACCTCATCTCGTTCGCTTCAATAATCATTCTCACATCCCGAATGTTTATATAATAATAAAAAAGAGCAAAATACCTGTGTCATCCGAATATCATATACATAATACCTGTCTGAGCTCATAATGAAGTAGGTGGTGTCGAAAGGTGCCGCTCTTCGCACCTTCTCCAGCTCGCCCTCCATGTCTATTTACTACGGTAACCAATGTTGTGCAATGCGATGTCGAACAAGTGGATATTGAATCCGGAGCACCTCTTCACAATGATTTGCTTTTCATACTTATTCTTGCGCTTGTTTTAGTTTCGCCTCGACGAGATGCAAATAGATATCTATCTAGCTGGCTCGTCGATTGTGCATCAAAACAAGACACGCAAATGTGTGCCTGCCGATTCTATTATATATTATGCCTATTATATTTATATGTTTACCGTAATCGTGCTCCACGTATCCAGTGTCATCAAAACAATGGTACTGTAGATGGGACGAACGAAGCCTAACCCCCCCCCTCAACTTCAATAAATAGCCAAGTCCAAATTTTTTTTTTGAATATTAGTGTCAACATTTGAATCTGATCAAATACACGCGTTCCTTGTTTTAAAAAAATGAGCGAATTTCAGCTGCGTGAGAAAGTTTCAATTTTGTGCTTCGAATGAAACAGTGGTGCATTTTTTCGCCCCTGAATTCCAGAAATTGCCATCGCGTCGGGTTTTCTAATCGAATCTGGTCCCGATTAGTATCAACCCCCCCCCTCAACCACCTACAACCCTCTGTGTTCTAATATGCTCCCGAAAATGCTTATTAAGCGTGAGCACCGACAAAATGTTTGTTGTTGAGTGCACAAATAAGCGGTTGACACCGAGCCGATTTCAATTAGTAGGTAGTCCAGGGGGGTCTAAATTAGGTGAGATTAACTCGAATGCCGACAACCGACAACAATGCTCCTGCTGGTCGCTCATCTTGTATTAATGGAAAATTTTGGATTATGGTGCTGCCGTGTTGTTTTTCGATGACGCGGAATTGATGAGTCTCGAAAATTTCGATTTTAAGACAACACGAGGGGCGGAGCTTGATCATTTGAACTTGGTTGCGTTGAATGCCGAAACTACAGTATACTTTAAAGGTGCATGCAAAATTATTGCGGAAAACCTATCATTATTTAAGGTTCGCCCTCTTCAACAATAATTTCAACGCGATTCGGGTTTCAAGTTATAATAAAGTTAATTGTGGACCATTGCACTTTTTTTCGAGGCGGCAATTCAAAAATAATTTTCTTCAGGGGAAATTTGAATGCCGAAGTACAGGCTGCCGATTGTAATAGCAATTTCTTTCAAATTTTCGTTTCATATTTTTACAAATTACTAAAAAAAAAGAACAATTTTTAGAAATATTCTGGCATTTTTAGACTATGTATTTATTTCTTGTCGAATTTGCCTAATTAAATCACTTTTGCCAAATTTGACGCGAAAAAAATGACCAATTTCGACTATTTTGCTTTCAGCCACCAAATTTCAGAATAGTACAATTGCATTGGTCGAATTTGTTGATTTTTTTCAATTTTCGTCATTTTTTGATTGCGGAAAAACCACCAAAAAAATGGCGAGACATCAAAAAAAAAATCAGAAATCCAAATTCAATTTTTTTTTGTAATTTTTCGACACCCGAACATCTCATTCAATTTCGATTTATGGTAGTTGGCGACACGCGATTGGCTGCCGCCTCCTTCTCAATCCTCGCCGCCGCCGTTGACCTTTCTCGGCAATGGGGGCGGAGCTTGATGAATAGCTCATTGAGCAGCTCTAATGTTTCCGGTGTGCTCACGCAACATTCGCATTGTGCACCTCCCATGTTTGCATACTGCCCGCCTCCCTCGATATCATACTCAAACTTTTGCTTTTTTTGTTTCGTCACCCATATTCGTCCACACCAATTTGTTACATTTCGATTCGATTTTGTTTTCGGCGTTTTGTGTGCACAATTATTGATGTATTCATTAATAAATGATTGCTCACCTTCGAAAAGAAAAATCAATCGAAAACATCGACGATTCGCTCTTCTCAAAACGCCGACAATTTCCATTCGTTTTGATTGTTTAATATTATTTTGTTGATTATTTCATCTCGGCGCATTTCACAACAACGGGGGAAATTCGATGAAATCGAAATACGGTAGCATTTTCAGCGCGATGTCGTCGTCGTCGTCGTCGTCAGCCGCCGCCAACATTCCGCCGGCAAGTCTCGAGCAGATTCTGCGCATTCGACAGGAGCGCAATCAGCGGACGCCGAAATGCGCGCGATGCCGCAATCACGGCACCGTGTCGGCTTTAAAGGGGCACAAGCGGTTTTGCAAGTGGAAGGATTGCCTCTGCGCGAAATGCACACTGATCGCCGAACGACAAAGGGTGATGGCGGCTCAGGTAGAACTCGGCGCCGCCATTTTTCGAAACGTGAGCTTTTGCTCTTCAGGTCGCACTTCGACGCCAACAGAGTCAAGAAGAGAAGGACGCACGCGAGCTCGAGATTTTGTTGGGCTCCTCGGGAAACGGTATGTCTTTCAAAAATGAGTGGGACCAACTAAAACTCGAGACAATTTGATATCGACATACTCAAATCGTCTTGAATTGAATTTATATTATATGTGATTGCTATCAACTATGCGGCATTTTGTAGTCGGCACACACACAAATCGAAACACCTCAATTATGACGGCATTTCGAAAATAGAATAGAGGCGTGTTAACAAGAAAAGCTCACTTATAAATAACAACTTCTAATAAATAGAAAACACATTACTCGTGTACAAAAGATTATTCGGCAGGTGATGTATCAATCCGAATTATATCTTCTAAATTGGAAATTTTCTAATTATCGCGACTATTTAATTGCCCCATTATTTTTGACGATGCGATTTTGAGAAATTATTCGAAACTGACTTTCTCAATAGTCGTTGAGTTTTCGAAGTGGGTTCAAATCTTGAGTGGATGCAATCCTCTACTCAATTATCGAGGTGCCTAATCTGGACCGCCTTTTGGACCATTGCACTTTTGCGAGGCGGTAATTCAAATTCGAATTTAAACAGTTGGAATTCGGGGGTACCGTAAATCTCATAACCAGCGAATCAAAATCGGCGCGTTTCTTTTGCAATCGTAATAATTCAAAAATGTTGGTGGCAAAAAAATCAATTTGTACTGTAATTAAACTGTGAGACCCACGAGACAATTTTTTGCCTTGCGCCATTCTTTTTTCGAAATTTCCAGTATTTATTTTTTGCCAAGATTTAATTTTCCTACCGTTTTAAAAATAAAAGCCAATTGTAGTTTTTTTCCGGCGCGGTAATTCAAATTTCGATTTAAACAATTTGTATTCGGATAACTTACGAATCAACCTTGTGGCAATTGTAATATTTTTGTAAATTTTTTAATATATCATTTATATTTTCTTTCATTTTTTTATATGTGAAAAAAAATGAATACCGTAACTTCGAAAATAAGACGCATGGCAACAAGTAGTCACATGGGTCTCGCAGTTTTTTCAGAAAATTAATTACTGTACGCATTTCATTTTTTGAATTCCTGCATTGAACACATTTCTATTCATTTCTACACTGTGAAAGTTTAGGTACGTTAAAAAATCTCTTAAATCCATTTTTTTAGAAAGAATCCTCGCAAACATTAAATTGTATGTAGCAATTGTGTACTTCTTGTTTCACATAATGGTTGGGTAAACATGACCGGGTTAGCATACAACTCCAAATTAGATACGGTTGCCTTGTTGAATAGGTGTCGATGGGACAGATCAAGTTTCAATCATTGTTGTAGCAAAGTTTTTTTTTTTCAGCCAGCGAGTTTTTGGAGTTGCTTCGACGCGACAATGCCGACCAACAGCCGCAGAATCTCTCCAACTGCTCGAGTTCCTCAGGTGAGTAACACTGTTCATTTCTTGAAAATCTGCGCCGGACAGCTGCCGATTTCGAAATCCGCCAAAATACGAGCAATTTTCATTTCGGCGCTCGCGTTTTTTTTTTTCGCGCCTGTGAGAGCGAAATGACACACATGGAATGGCGGCGAGGGTTGTGCGAGAGAGGAAAAGAGACGGACGCACATGTTTGCAGTTTTCGCTTGGAGCGGTGGACAGCACGATGGCCGAGTGGTTAAGGCGTTGGACTTAAGTTCCAATGGATGCGAAATCCGCGTGGGTTCGAACCCCACTCGTGCTAGAATTTTTTGCAAAGTAACCTAATAATGCAAACAAACGTGCAATTATAATAATCTACAAGAAATCGTATTGTTTGGACATGCTCGTGCAAAGTACAGGTGTGATTAAGCGAATTAAGTCAAGTGATTTGCTAGGTGCGGGTTAATCCGCATATTAAGAATGCACAGCAGCCACCACAAAGGTGCTATTTATATAAACGATTGCGCAACTCAATTAGCGGATCATCTCCAGAGACATCTGGCTGGCTGGTACTTGTCGTTAATTGAGTATTCTGCAGACTCTGGCGGTGATAAACATGATGTGAATGGAAAACAGCCGACAAGGGAAGATGAGGAGATGGTGAGTCGAAGTAGTCCGAGCAGTCCGACGAGCAGCGAACAGAAAATCTCGTCGGTCTCGCCACCGACGAACAATAACATCGAATGCAATATTGGAAATGCGGCAATGTTTCGACCGCAGAATTTCGCGTTCCCAATGTTCAACCCGTTAATGTACAATCGTCATCTCATGCGAATGCCAAGTAAGCAATAGTAACTATATTAGAAGATGATGAATATTGGAATGTTTCAGTGATTCCGCATTTCGGCTTCGCAGGCGCTTCGGGCCTTGGGATTCCGGCGGATTTCACCGCCGCAGCAACACTTGCCAATGGATTTCCGACGGCAATTTCAGCTCAACACCTTCCACAAACCGCTCAATCATCTCCATCAACCACCTCAAATAGTCCGGTCACAAACACGATATTTCCTCAAATTTTTCCACTCGATTGCCGTCAAATCAAGGCTGAAAATGCTGAAACTGTCTAAAATATTCAACATGTGTAGTCGGTGGTGTGTGGCCTCAAGATTTCTGTTGGGGCATGAGCCTTTTGTCGTGATCTCGCCACGCTTATTGAATTTTATTTTAATATTTTCTCTTTGGAAATTGGTGAAATCCCAAAATGGCCAGTTAGTCCGCGCGAGACCATTGCGAAAGACTCATCCCTGTAAATTTACCCGAAAGCCGACTATAACTAATATATATAATTCGCAATATATATCTGATCTCATACCTGTTCCAACTATTTATGATTATTGTATAATATGGAATAACTTGAAACCTCGTCCCCTCTCATTCCCCCACCAACAATACTTCTTCTCTATTATGCGTGCGCTCTCGTATTAAATGTTTCAAGTTCTCTTTGATGCGTTGGTGGTCGACTATTTGCAACATATGAAAAGATGAAGAAGCAGCAGCAACAATTTGCGTCGAGTTAATCAGCTTACGACGAGACAAATTTTGCCGCGGCGGCCACGTTACAGTTCAACCAAATACTCGCCCACTGTTTGATTGTGCAAAAGGGATTAGCAAGTCCAGAAAAATGTTATTTTAGAGCAATAAGAAAAAAAAAAGTCTTGAAAATGTGTGGCGAATAAAATTTATTGTCATTTTGCAGCATATTATGGCGATTTTGGGTTTTTGATCTACAATTCAGAAAAATTGTATTTGAATGAAACTGCATCGTTTTTGAGTTCCATTGAATTTTCTAGGAATATGAAAGACCGCAAAAATTTATTCAATGAATTTATCTGTCGTCTATTTCTGTAAAAGAAATCGTCTACCGGAACCAATCGCGATGGGACCCATCTCATGATCGGCATTATGCACCTTTAATGTATTATTTTTAATTTCGCGATTAAATTGTGCTTATCAAAATGCTTTATTCTTGACATGCAAATATCAAAAAATTGAATTTTTTCCGGTGAGTTTGATTCGCAGGTCACTCAAGCTCCCAAATTAGTTCGTCTGGTTTTTCAGCTTCGAGTCTCGCCACTTTTATAAGACACAGATTATATTTATAATAATGATGTCAGTTTTTTTTTGGTAATTTAACATCTGCAAAGTTTCAAATAAAATTCTGATTTGTGGTTTTTCTTGAGAATTTCTGTTGAAAACGAATCTAAAAACTGAAAGTTGAAGAAAAAATGAATTTTTCATTTTTGCCAATGAGATGGGTCCATAAATTTGAGAAATCCCATCTAAAACTACCATTAAAGAATTTCCTTAAATGGTGAGAATATCGGACCAAATTTTTCACAAATTTATAGTCGGCGTCCGGCGACTGCTGTAGGGATTTACGCGCATGCGCCTTGAAAAGGTCTCGCCACGTGTGAGCGCTTATTTTGTTTTTTTTTCGCGTGAACCATTTATTTTTTCTTAATGAGTTTCGCATTTCTGGGAATTTCTAACGTCGTTCGATTTCAAAAATTATCGAACCGTTCCGTAAAATTTGAAATAACCTGCTAGTCCTTGCGAGACCAAGAGAAAGACGCATCCCCCGTAAATCTACAACAGTCGCCTGACGCCCGACTATGCTCAAATAATTCCCCGCTCATTTTATTAAGCCAACTCTCGCCTTTAAAACAATTTCCCCGTGGCACGAAATCGCGCTTTTTCGATCTTGTTACGACAATTCGAAGCAGCTCGTCGAACAAGTACAGTCGAATTACAGTAACCATGTCGGCCAGTATTTGCGTTTCGTCCTCGTCGCTTTTTTAGTCATGCGTTCGGTTCATTTCGCTTATTTTTTTCCCTGTTTTGCTGATGCCGACGAATCGAATCAAATTCAATTCATCTGATTGAATCTCATTCGAAATGGCGGGGGCTAGAGAGAGAGAGAGAGAGAAAAAAGGACTGTCAATTCGGTTTATTATTATTATTTAAATTTATATATGGGAACAGAATGATCTTAAACCATATTGGCATAAATTGATCGTCTAATGATTTCAAAAAAAGCTTTGGAAAGATGGGGAAATATGATGATTCAAAACAAAAAATGTTGAATTCAAGGCCTTCCTTATAGGGAAAATGAAAATACATTCATAAATCACAAATTACATTTTTTTGTGGCAAATATTGGAATGTGAAACCATATATATTTTATGATGTAAGTGTTGACATACATACATGTACCGGTGAGAGCCTAGAGAGCGCCAAATAACCGGAACCGGCTTATTCGTCGCGGTCGACGCGGTCGAAAATCGCCTACTAATATCGGGCGCCCGATTTTGCCTATACAACGCCATATACACATTTTCAAACGTTTGTCACCACTCACCTTCTCATTTCTGACGACGTCGCTGTTGTTGCAAACTTCAAAAACGATTCCGACGGCGGTATTTCAACTATTTTTTTTTCTGTTCGTCTTTTTATAAAATTGTGTACACCACACCCAAAAAATTTTGAAAGGATGACTCACAGAAGTGGATTCGAAAAGAAAACGCCGACAATTCGATCGGAACGGTATAAAATTGAGGAAACTTTCAGACCCTGGCCGCGTTTTTTTTTTTTGGCGGCCTAGAATTTCTCAATTTGAGACAATTTTCTGTGTGAGTAGATCGTCAAAATTGTTCGCGATTCGGATTCCCTCGAACATTCCAACCGTATCCGGTTGATAGCCGATTAATTAACGATCAGGAACTATTTTCTAGGTAGTCGATCTATCAATCATTCGAATTTTATTTCCTTGGAGACCGCCATGAATCATTTCGTCGCTTTTTTCCGGCCTCCCGTTTCATTTTTTTTTGCACCAATCAACTTGTCGAATTGATTTAGTATCATTTCGAATTGAAGGGAACACATTCCGCTTCCGTCATTCAATGTTCCGATGCACTTTTATCGCATTACCTAGTTGCCTGAATCGAATTTGATCTATTGGCTGGGTGTCCTTGACGTGGAGGTGGAGCTCGACGACGACAACAACCATCACGCTCATCTATAAATTGCGAGGGGCGAATTCAGACGTTCGGTTTGCGCTCGTTTCGATTCGATCAGAATCGAACGGGTCATTCGTTCGCACGCCAAATTGTCACCGAACGTCCTCGAACGCACAAACTTCGTTTCGATTCTGAGGTATAATCCGATGTGAACCTCCTCCGCCAAATATTTGCATATTCGCCCATTGATTCTTGTTGCCCAATTTATTCACAACAATACCAATGATTTGAATGTCCAAATATCGAGAGAGGAAATAAAAATTCTCTTCTCTCCCCCCCCCCGCCTCTCCTCATTTTCTCGCATTTTTCAAATTGCAATATTTATTTTTTTTCTCGTAGATCAACTACGACCAACTTCTTAATCAATTCCGAGAATTTCCTTATTAGGCGCCGTCATTTGCATTTCGAAATGTCAAAAAGCACTTGCAATTTCGATTCCGGTCGCTTCCTTTGGGCGTTGTCGTTTTCCCCTCTCTCCTCAAAATCCTCAATCTTCTGTTCTTCGACCATTTTTCCAACAATTCTCAAATTGTCATACATTCATAAATTTGGGGTTCGCACAAATCTAACCGGAATGCCGCGTTCGGCGTGTGTGTGTTTTTTTTTTTCATTCGGATCTAATTTATCGGTCTAATACGTATAACACGATTACGGTACGATTAATCGAACTCATATATGATATATGAACGAAAATTATTGTTTTAATTGGTTGTTGAGTGAGGAGGCCTTTAGAAGAAAAAAAAACGTCTGTGTGTGTGTGATTCATGAATGTTTCAAGAAAAAAAGTTGGCCGAAAACCGGAATTCAGTCGCTCAAATTTTGAAATAATAGACCAATAATGGGACCCAAAAAGAACTCGCCTCTATTTAATTTTTTTGTCAAGATTACGGTAGCACTAGTTCCACCCATACAGCTTCTAACCCCCTCAGAATATGCCCATTTTCGGATAATTCGTCCGTCTCATTATTCGGCGCGTTGAGACCGTTTCGTTTTTGCGACTTTTGACAAACAATTATTTCGTTCGAGGTCAATCAATCATTCCGTTTTCTTCGCTCAGCCATTTTTCCGTTTTTCTTCGTCTCATCTACAATGCGTTTATTATCATCATCGTTGTTTCATTGAAACCGTGTTCGCTTGAAAAACGGAACCGACGGCGCGACGCGTCCTTGAACGGCTTCATGCCTGACGGTCTCGCAACGAATTCCGCGTTACATCATCAACGAGCATCGAAAAACAAACAGTAAAAAGCGTCGGTCGGCGAATCAAATCTCGTTTTTGCGGGGGCGGAGTCTGTCGGCAAGCGTACACACTGGAAAAAAAAGAATGGTGAAAGTGGGCGGAGTCGCATGCAAATGCGAATCTGACGCCAAACGTCGACTCCGACATGTCTTTTTTCTCGGTCTCGTTTCGAAATTCGAATTGTTCGGAATCGAAAGCAATGCGTTGTCGAGCTTAGTCATCGGCGGTGCATTGAATTTCAATTCCCTCATTTTTCGATCGCGATTTGAATAGACGCCAGCGAATCATTCGAACCCCCCCTTGGTTTTTGAATGTTTGTTGCACATATTTGGTGGCCGAGTGTTGTTTGTTCGTTCATCAAAAAGATGCAACCCATTAGGCGTATATAAAAACACACACACAATCCGACGTAGCCGACGAAACACAGCAAATCGAGGGCAGAAAAAAAAACCTTCAACCTACCTCGCTCGTCAAGGTTTTTTCGACTTTTTCATTTCTATTGATTTTTGCGTTCGAAATTCGAGAATCTTGCTTTTATGAATTGCCCCCAAACATTCACAAAATCGAATCTCAGTTGTTTCGACATATCAGATTTGAAGTTATATCGTAAAACCTCCGATTTTTTGAGGTCAAATCCATTGAATTTCCCATTTCAATCGCCTATTCGAATCTGGAATTTTAATTTCCAAAAATACCCCAAAAATTGAATCCATTTGATAGTGTTCATTTCTCACATTCAGCGTCTCAAAATTGCACTATTTGATTTTGCTGGAACCCTTACAGCAACTACTAGTCTAAAATGGAAATCGACAAATATTAGATGCCATGAATCAACATCAATCGTCGTCCGCCTTCAACCCAATTATCGTATTCAATTTTTCGAAACACCTCAAAAGCTGGCCTTGCGAAAGAAGACAAAAAAAAGAAGAAAGAGAAGGAGGCGGGAGTTCTTGTGAAATATCCTTTAGGCAAATACCAACGTTCTCCACCTACCACCATCGCAAACTTTTTCGTCTCCACCATTTTTTTTTTCAATTCTTTTTGACTCATAACAGATATTGAATACCTATTATTCGACGCACAAACAATACGAGGTTTGGAATTTAATCAAAACATGTCAGACGTGCGAGTAATTCGAGAATTGCGCGCGATGCAAACACTTTTGTGCGACATTTCCCACTCATTTTGGTGACTAATAACCATATTATGGGCGGAGTTTGACAATATTTGTTTTTTTTTCTTCGCTCCTTCTCTCTCCCTCCCATTTTTGCTTATGTTTAGGTGTCAGTTCAAATGTTTATATAAAAACTTGGTTGTTGATAAAGCGAGTCAGTACACCGCCAAGGCACACCTCATTTTTTTTTCGCAAAGCTTCTCTTCTCTTACTAGCGCCTTGTTTAGCGTTTCGCATTCCAATCGTCGAAATTGCAGCTTCAAACTTTTGAGCATGTCGTCGTCGAAACAAGAATCGTCGGAGTACGAGATCCAGTACAGATCGACGATTCAGCCGCGAACCGCCGTTCGCAGTCAATCGCGTCAATCCGGCAACTATGTTTCCGGTGGATCCGGAGCCGCTTCTGGAGGTCAGTCGGTTTTTTTTTCGCAATTTTTTTTTCACCCATCGGGCGGTTGTTTAGGCACAGAGTTGTTGAAAATGAACTGATAAAAAACACAGCGATTGATCGGTTTATTGTCGTCGGGTTTTTGAAATCAAACGTGCGGTTTGATACGCAAATTGTACAGAGTTTTCGAAAATCAACAATAATAATAATTGATTGCGGAAATTCGGCAGAAATCGAATTTTAAACGTGCCAACAGTTTCGCAATTTTGTGATTTGAACTTCCAGATTAAGAGTATTTTAGAACTAATCACCTCGCCTATCAAATCACAATCATTTTTGATTAATCTTTTTTCGAATGCAGTGAGATCTCTCTAGAAATGAGAAACAAAGTGTCGTCTATTTGATAGCGCCCGAATTTTTTTTTGTTGTTGGTTGAGAGGAACACTTTGCGACACATCGCAATTCCGAATCCGCCCCACCCAAGCCGATGATGGAATGAGATTAGAGGATGGCAAGGTGTGGCGCTCAATTGTCCCCGTCTTGATGATGACTCAATAGCGGTTGTCGAAATCGGCGTAATTGACACCTGTGGGTCATTTTCGAACACAATTTATTGCATTTCCATTTTTTGGCTTCTGTTTTGATGACGACTGATTAGATAAGATCGAATGAAGTAAGCGAGTGATCTCGGATGAGATGCCCTTTCTGTTTGGCACCCAAACAATGCCCATAAAAAACCAATAAAATCGATTCGAGTGGGCTATAATCTCACCGATTTTGCATTCAAAAAAAATCGTTTTTTGTTGTTGTATATTTCGCATACGAAATGCAACATTTGTTTGACACACTTGGCCACATTTCGGAGTCGTTCAATTCCAAATCAAAATCATTTTTTTTCGCCATTCTGATATACTCGCATATCACATCTCAAGATTTTTGTGGCCACCGAACAGTGGTGCGCTTAATGTAAATAATGTTGAGTACCGAGAGAAAAAAAGAGATTGTGATTTGTTTTTTTTTGCGCATCTCATCTCGACGATTCCACCAAGAAGCGCATAATTGATTTTTGTTATTATTTCTATGCATTGTGCCTTGGATGGTCGGACGAGTTCCAACATTCTCAGAATATTTGCCTTTTTGACAGCGCTGGTTGTGCGTGTCTACTATTTGTTCGACACCAATGTTTACAGCTTTCTTTTATTGATTTTATGGTATACATAAAGTTGCGTAGAGTTGAAATAATTTTTTCTCACATCTTCACTCTATTAATATCGAAATCACACAAAACAACGGGCAGTGCCCTGCGTATTGTTTGAATTCAAATTTGAATTGCCGCCTCCAAAAAAAAGTGCAATGGTCCACAAATAGGCAAAATGCTCGCCTTTCATATTTCGAAAAAAATTTGATGAATTGCATTTGTCGTTTTGGCCAAATACAAGATCAGAAAAAAAGTTCTCATTCATCGTATTTGTGTGTTTTTTCGAACGCTTTGTTCGCTATAACAATTCCGGTTCGTTACTCAACCATTTTAGAACAAAATTTCAACCAACAAATAATAATTTTCCCATTTTAAGAACACGTTTTTTTGCGGTTTTTTTCTAGATAGTTTATTTTTTTTTTCTAAAATCCACACGATTTACTAGAATGCGCCTTTAAAAGTGGAATAATAAAATCTCAAGACTCGTCGTTCGTTGAATTCTTTCAATAGCAATTTTAACGGCGCATTGCATCGATGGACTTCTCGAACTTTCGGGTACTCATGCATACATGATATGTATATGTGATTCAAAAGTCCTTATTTGCATTTTCCCATTAAGACGACCAAATTGTTTTTTTTGGGTGGGCGACCGGCGAACATGAAAGGTTTTCTCAATAAATTCGCCCACATTTGAGCGCTATCAGCGGAATTGCGAACAGATTTGCAAATCAAATCACAACGAAATAATGATTAGTGGCAGAATTTCGCACCACCAATTTGATTCATCCCGATCGTTCGTTCGCTCTCTCTCTCTCTCAATTCGACATCAACACAGACGACGACGACGACGACTACCAACTAACCTTGAGGGCGTCGACCTCTCGATTTGTCTCTCTCATACCGTCGCTCTGTCTGTCTCGCTCACTTTAGCCTATTTATCAGAATATCATCAACATCATCGACGATTCTGACCACACCTCTTCCACTCATCCAAACCATCGCGTTGGGTTAGGTGTAGTTGTTTGTGTGCGTATTCAATAAGTCTTCACGTTTCATTCTTTTCATCGTTTCCTTTTAATAGTTACTATCGTATTAGTGTTCTAGAAGCGAAATGGAATCCACGACAACCTCATCGCAACCATTATCAGGAGGTAAACAACAACAAACCCAATGATAATAATAATAATAATAATAAAGTGCCTAAACAACCAAAATTTGGGATCAAATTCCAAAACTATATATTTGATGAATGTTTAGGACGTGTCCTGAAAATGGTCACCGAAATGGGATCGGCGACGATCGGTGGAATCTCGCCGGCTCTTTCCGCCAATGCCGCCAAGTCGTTCCTTGAAGCCACCGATAAGGAAAAGAAGGAGCTTCAGGTTTGTCACAAAAAAAATTCAACTACGTCTGATCGTTTAATGGTCCAAATTGAGGCGTTAAGAATCAGATGGATTGCATTGATTATGCGATGTTTGATCAAAGAAATTTAAATAATGTGTCATTGAATTTAAAATAATTATGGTGAAATTCAGTAAAAAAAATATTTTTTTTTGAAATTTTGTCCCTCATTGAAACCATTCAATTTTCGAAGATCCCAGAAAAAAAAATTGCATCCGTTGATTTCAGGGCCTCAACGATCGCCTCGGTAACTACATTGACCGTGTGAAGAAGCTCGAAGAGCAAAACCGCAAACTCGTCGCCGATTTGGACGAGTTGCGCGGCAAATGGGGAAAAGACACGTCGGAAATCAAAATCAAATACTCGGAGTCGCTGTCGACGGCGCGCAAAGACATCGATGATTCGGCTCGCAGGAAGGCCGAGATCGACGTGAAAGTCGCCCGCCTCCGCGATGATCTCGCCGAGTACCGAAGCAGGTGAATACATACACATTCTAGTACTATTGGGTGTGGTGACCAGCGATCATTCCAATTAAATTGGGTGTGGTTCGACGATTCAGACGACCGGTTATTCATCGATCAATAATTTCAAAATTCATTGGCGACACAAAAAAAAGATCAACTTTTCTTCTTTTTTTGTCCTTTAAATATTTGAGAAAAAGATTAGGAAGCAACTCGATGTCTTTGACGCCGCAAATTTTCGATTTTTTTTTGTTACAGATATGAGGACATTCAGCACAGACGCGAAGGCGATCGCGAGAAGATCAACCAATACACGAATGCGATAGCCGATGCTCAATCTGAGCTCGAGATGCTCCGCGCTCGATTCAAACAATTGACTGAAGAGGAAAAGAGGTTGAACGGAGACAATGCCCGAATCTGGGAAGAGCTTCAGAAGGCCAGAAACGTATGAGCAATTTCGAATAGTAAAAAATGGCAATTAGAATAGTTTAGGACCTCGATGAGGAGACGATTGGCAGAATCGACTACCAGAATCAAGTGCAGACGTTGATGGAGGAGCTCGAGTTCCTTCGACGTGTTCACGAGCAAGAGGTCAAAGAGCTTAATGCGCTTTTGGCTCAGGCTCCAGCTGACACTCGCGAATTCTTCAAGAACGAACTCGCCCTCGCTATTCGGTCAGTTTTGATTTTTTTTTTCTCGCTCAATGCCAAAATCGAACCGGTTCTCGTGCGGCACCAACGAAACGTTCGACATTTCGTATGAATACATGAAATTTTAGTGATATCAAGGACGAGTACGACTACATTGCGAAACAAGGCAAGCAGGACATGGAGTCGTGGTACAAGCTCAAAGTCTCCGAGGTCCAGGGATCGGCGAACCGCGCCGCGATGGAATCGAACTACCAACGCGAAGAAGTCAAGCGAATGCGCGACAACATCGGCGACCTTCGCGGCAAACTCGGCGATTTGGAGAACAAGAACTCGCTGCTCGAAAAAGAAGTCCAGAATTTGAACTATCAGGTGAGAGTGCGATTGGCTCGAATGCCGTCATTCAACGAATTTCCAGCTCGCCGACGATCAGCGACAATACGAGGCGGCGCTCAACGATCGCGATGCGACACTCCGACGAATGCGCGAAGAATGCCAGACGCTCGTCGCCGAACTGCAAGCGCTTCTCGACACCAAGCAGATGCTCGACGCCGAAATCGCCATCTACAGAAAGATGCTCGAGGGTGAAGAGAGCAGGTATGTCTTAGCAAATATATTACACAAGACCACCCCCCTTCCTCGGTTATTTTTAGAAACATGTGAAATATGAAAAAATGTGTTGAAAACGGTTTATCATCGCGTTTTTATCGCTCTAATACTTTTACACTCTTATCGTAAAGCGTAAAATAATCGAAATTCTGCAAACGGTATTTTTGATGGAAAAAAAAGAACGCAACAAATTGTAGAGTCGGACTCCGTCAGATGGTCGAGCAGGTCGTCAAGACCCATTCGCTTCAGCAGCAAGAGGACACCGACTCGACGAGATCGGTGCGAGGAGAAGTCTCGACGAAGACCACCTTCCAGAGATCGGCCAAGGTTGGTTAGTTAGCAAATATGGAAGTTAGAACCTGCACGCATCATTTCTTTTTTGTTTGGAATCAAGCTTTTATCGTGCACAGCGGAAGAACACGCATTGATTGCAGGGCAATGTGACAATTGCGGAATGCGATCCAAACGGAAAGTACATCCTTCTTGAGAACACCAACCGAAACAAGGTTTGATTTTAGAAAACATCGACGAGACTAATTAATAATTGTAGGATGAGAACCTCGGCGAGCACAAGATCAAGAGAAAGTTGGACGGTAGACGCGAGATCGTGTACACGATTCCAGCCAACACTGTGCTCAAGGGAGGAAAGACGATGAAGGTATCCGAAAGCGACGACCCCCCTCCCATTCGCAATCAATCTTGTTCAGATCTATGCCCGTGAGCAAGGCGGAATTCATATGCCACCAGAGACATTGGTGTTCGAAGGAGAGAACACCTGGGGAATCGGCGCCAACGTTGTCACTTCATTGGTGAACAAAGATGGCGAGGAGAGAGCTACTCACACCCAGAAGACCCTTCAGACCGGAAACTAAACACTATTGGTGTCCAATTGTATTTAGTTTGATGCTCGTTTTCTTATTTTTCGTGTGTGTGGCGTGCCTGTTTCTTGAAATTCGGAGAAGTCCAAAATTCTCCATTCATCTAGCCACCCAACTCCATCCAAAAATTGCTCTAATATTTCAACTGCCTTCATTGTTCTTTTTTTCGTCTCAAATTGTGATTTCAAATTCTTAACAACGCATTCTAGTTATGACCAAAAATTTTTTGTATTGAAATTACCAATTTTTTTTTGTTTTCAAAAAACCGCTGGATGTTTTAGATTTCATAAATACTTAAATTTGCAAAATGCTTCACTTTTTCCGGCAATCTTCAGCTTCTCGCCTCCCACCGAATTATCCGATTTCGATCGGCTGCGCCTTCTTTTTTCTCTCCATCTGTCTTTTCATTTCACCGCAAAAAGCTCATACTTTTATTGCTAATAAATGACTTATTTTCTCAATTGAGGCATTCGAAAGGTACGGAAAATCAAATCACAACGCCTCTTATCAATGCACAAAATGCGGAAGTACGTGCGTACAAAAAGTCTTCTCAGGGTTGTTAAATTTTGGGCCCGGCCGGTCGAAAGCCGGCTTTTTTCGCTGTCAAATTTTCGGCCCGCGATTCGGCCCTCGACTCCGTTGTTTACGGCCGCACGGCCGAAGGGGGAATTCAAAAAAAAAAACCGAAAGCCAGGCCGGCCGGCCGGCTTTCGGCCCCGGCTTCAATTTACCAACCCTGAGTCTTCTTATATACATAATATACTTAAAGGCTCAACAATGAATAACGCTATTTTATTGCTTAAACATTGAATTAATAAAAGCTGGAAAAATATCATTCATTAAAAAAACTAAACCTGGCGTCATTAAAATTTTAATCCAAGGAATTATTACTGGATTATAGCACGAAAATGCCAAGTGACAATGGCATATTATATAATCAGGAAGACTCATTGATTTGGAATTCCGTTGATCAAATTCTGGTGGTTCACATGATATCATTTGTTTAATTGGAAAAAACGAGCTTCCGGCCCCCGTTTTAACATCTCTGATTTTATAAAGCCATTGTTGGTATTTTACGTAGAGCTGTCTTCTTTGGCCGTGTGAAGTACAAGCATTGGATGCTAATCGTCTTCGTAAAACTGTAAGGCATGGAATTGATAAGAAGTTCAGTCGAACTTCCAACAACGAAAAGAATTTGCCAAAGATATTCAATAGTTAGTCTAGAAAGGATGCAAGTATCAGTCGGCTCGATATCAGCGGAAGAATGACTCGTCTGAACACTTTAAATGGGCCAGAGGTTCACTAATAACCGCTCGAATTTCTTCGGCGCCTCCACATGAAGTGCGTTATCTTTTGTCGCGTCGAACCCTCCCCCAAATTTGGCAAAAATTGAAAACCGCTGGCAACAAGTGGGACCGATAAGGCGTGCTACAATAAAAGAGCGCGTTGAGGTGATGATAAGGCAAACTCGCGGAGCCGATAGTCGATTCAATTCTCATTAATGTCGCCTAGTTTCGTCCCCCTTCTATTGACTATTTGTTGCGTGTTTGTTCATTTTAAGAGCCTCTCTCCTAGCTAGTATCAATTGGTTTTTATCGTCTTCGCATTTCATTCCTTATTTGACTGCAATTCAATCGCTTCGTTGTTCTACAATTCCACAGCGCTTTCAATAAAAATGTCTGATATTCAGCGGGAAGACATGAGCACCCAATACCACATGTCGAGAAGCGTGGTCCACACGGGTGAGTTCCCAACAAAAGATGCATTTCAATATGTAATTTTGGCACTATTTAGAAAGCTACTCGGCGGGTCACGCTGCCGAAGAATTCGTCGCTTCTGCGGAACGCGAGAAGAGAGAGCTTCAAGGCCTCAACGACCGTCTCGAAGTCTACATCGGTCGCGTGAAGCAGCTCGAAGAGAAAAACCGTTCTCTTGTCCTCGAATTGGATCAACTGCGCGCATCGTTGGGTGGAGAAGTTGGACAAATTAAGGTTTCAATTCAAATTTGGACTGAAAATATCAAATTTCGCATTTTGAATATTGTACGCAAACGTAGTGTCTGATAAGGTCGCCACACTATTTGCATAAGCAAACCGCAATTCAGCAATACGCGAATTAAAGGGGCGATTCTGTTGAGGAAAAATTGGTCAAAAAATCGACAAAAGGAGTGTGCGGTTTGATATGGTTCGCGTCGAGACCCAAAGCACAAAATTTAGGATATTTTCAGTAGAAAAATTTAAAAAAAATTTTTTATTTACAAAAAAAAAATGAAAATTGATAAAGAGAAAGGATTTTCGCGGAAATCGCATTGTGCATTCTGCCCATTGACTTATTCATGGAATATAAAAAATTTTTATAATCACAGTTTTCCAATGAACATTTAATATAATTTTTATATTTTTTGCAAAAAATTAAATTTCATGAATACGCCCATAGGAATTTAGAAATTCGAAAATAAAATATTTTGACGACACTCCATCGATACGCCTGTTCGGTTTTTAGCGGCTCTTTTGATTTTTTTTCAATTTTAAATTTCCTAGCAAAGACTGAAACTTTGGAATAGTTTCGCTCTCTTTCTTAATTACGCATTTTTTAATTAAAATTAAAAAAATGTTACATACTTGCATGATTTCCATAGATTAACGACCGTAAAAATTCGATTTATAAATTTTTTCTGCGGATATCAATATTTACATTTTAAACTCATAAAATACGCATTATTAAAATAATTGTTAGAATGAGTGCCCAATTTGTTTGCATAGAATATTGATTCTGATTAGTACATTTTAAATTTTAAATTATTTCCATTTCCAATTAAAATGCATATCAGTCAGAATTTCTTCCGCTTTCACATAAAATATGCGAGAGTATGAGAATGAATTTATCGTGTGCATCGTTTTACGTGCTTCTTCGAGCGGTCTTATCGCAAAATCGTTGTACACTTCGAAATGTTGTCAACAACCGCAAACGTCGTAAATTCCTTTTGTGCCAAACTCAAACGGCAAAAAATGTCGGAGCTGATAAGACAAAAATTTTGATACCGCGTTTCTTTCAGTTCAAATACAGTGACTCATTGACGAAAACTCGCGGGGAGATTCGCGACGCTCGCGGAGGAACCATCGGAATTGAAGTTAAAGTTCATCGACTTCAAGACGACCTTAATGATTACAGATACAGGTGTCGTCGATATTCTTATAAGCCTTAAATTGCAATTTAGATATGACGAGGCAAGACGTGAAGCTGAAAAGGAAAAAGCCTCATGGTCCTCTTCGATTGCTCAAGCTTCAGCTGAACTTGAGAGCAGCAAATCGCGTTACAACGCTATCCTCGAAGAGGAAAAGAGATTGTGGGCCGAGCAAGACAATCTGTACGTCGAGCTCGCCGCTGCCAAGGATGAGCTTGATGCCGCTATCGCTGACCGCATGCGTCTCCAGCATGAGGAGGAGGGATTGAAGGCCGAATTGGAATTCCTCGGACGGTAATTCATTGTGAAATAATTGCAACTAATTACATCATCAATTTAGTGTGCACGTTCAAGAAATCACCGAACTCCGCACCCTTCTCACTCAAGCGCCAGCCGACACACGCGAATTCTTCAGAAACGAATTGGCACTCGCCATCCGGTAGATCAATTTTCGAAATCATTTGCAAAATTCCATTTTCAGCGATATCAAGGCGGAATATGAAAAGATCGTCACCACATCGAGACTTGATCTTGAGACCATCTTCCAGAGCAAGGTTTCTGCCGCTCAAGCCTCGGCTGAGAGCCGCAATGAATTGAGCATTCACCGACAAGAGGAGATTCGTAAGATGACCGAATCGATCTCGAGCGTCCGCGCGAGACTCTCTGAGCTCGAAGCCAAGAACGCCGCCCTCGAGAGAGAAGCATCGAACCTTCAATTGCAACTCAGCGAAGACCAGAGAGCGTACGAGACCGAACTCCAGAAGAGAGACACCGCCCTCCGATTCATGCGCGAGGATTGCCAGACGCTCATCGCTGAATTGCAAGCCCTCCTTAATACCAAGCAGACTCTTGACACTGAAATCGCCATCTACCGTAAATTGGTGGAGTCGGAAGAAAACAGGTTGGAATCCGATTACCTAATAGTCACTAAGCTGTAAAACGATAACGTTTAGAGTCAGAAAATATTTTCCAGCAGACGATAATGTTGGTAAAAGGCATGTAATGCTAAACTAGAGCTTGTATAGATAGCACTGTAGAGTATTAGATATATTCTCTGAAAAATTGCATTGCCAGTTCCTTCTCGCCAAAAAATTTTTTATTAAAACTAAAAATAGTTTAATGACTTCAATTTCTCAAAATCACTGCTTAATACTTTATCACAATTCCTTTGCATACTCCACTCGCTGATAAAAATGCATGATAACCATTGGAGACGAGTAGTTGAATTCCCCCGACAAGCACTTATCGCTGAAAAACGTTTAAAAGCAATTTTCAGGCAGACCAGTATTGTCAATATTGGGGATTCGTCATTTGAGTAATAATAGAATAGAGCTTTAACCTTTAAAATAGACTTCCGATCTGGATTATATTTGAATAGAAATTTGTTGCATATTTAGAGTCGGAAAGCTTATCGTCGAGACGGACAGATTTGATTCTGGAGAGGTTGCGACGCGCACGACATTCAAACGATATGCGAAAGGAAACATCATCATTGCTGAATGCGACGCCACTGGAAAATATGTGATTCTTGAGAACGCCGGAAGCACGGTAATCTAGCAATTTTTGAAAACGCCGAAGTGTTGAAAACGAATTTTAGGCCGAAGACATCAGTCGTTATCAAATCAGAAGAGTCGTTGACGGAGTGCACACGTTCACGTACACTCTTCCACCAAACACCATTCTTCGTGGACACTCGCACATCAAGGTAAACACGGCAAACCGATCGAAGCTCAAAAATAATTTCTAGATCTACGGAAGAAACGCCGGCGGAATCCATTCGCCACCAGACTCCATTGTTATGGAATCGTATCCAAGCTGGGGAACAGGAACTGAAATGAACACGATTCTTTACAACCGCGAAGGAATCGAACGAGCTTCATACAACCAGCACAATGAAAAACGTTAAGCCCCTCCAATATGTACACTTATGAATTCTTTCTTCTAATTAACCTGCCGTCACTATCTTTCGATAAAACATTGTTGTTTTTTTTTCGATTCGTGTTCGCCTAGCAATAAAAACGCAATTAATCGGAAGGAGGTGATTTGAAATTAATAGTGTGTTGCGTGACACCTATTGCGCAATTATACACACTTACCGAGTTCGTTTTTTTTTATCGCGTCGAGATATCGTTGAGCGCGCAGATGCACCGCTTCCCTAATTAGAAACCAATGGATGTGCACAATGAAGGGTCGCACCTGCCCAAACTCGCGTTATCACTGTATTAAATCTTGTAATAATAGTCTGACGTATCCGGTGTTATGCTAATTGCGTCGGTGTAATGCCCAAATACCATATTGTTAGCATATTTCTCTGGTAAATCAAAACCAATCGGATACGATAGCGGGTTTTTTTTGGTGTTTTCGGATCTGACAAGTTTGCAATCTCATTCGTAGAATTGACAAGTCGGATCGGTTTGATTCCGGAGCCGAATTTCGTCGGATCCGATTGGCTTTAAGCGGTTGGTAAATTTGATTGCGAGTTTTTCAGGGAAATCGAAAAGGTGCATTGTACTTTAAACTATACAAATAGAAAATCAAATTAAAGCATAACAATTCTAGATTGAGGTATTCAAAAAGAAATTCCAACTTTCAAAACTTCTCAAAATTTCTTAAAACCCACTGATTTCGGGGTTTTTGTTCGACAATTTTAATTTCTATTTTCATATCCGAATGAAAGGCGATTTTAATGAAAGAAAAGAAACACAATTTAATAGTTACCTGAAAATTTAAATAATTGATTAAAGGTGCATAAAGCGAAAAATGAGATAGGTCTTGTGGCGACGGATATTAATCGTTGATTTTTTTTCTGAAAAAGACGAATTAATTTGTTTAAAAAAATTGCATTTATTTATTTTGGTGGCCGAGTTTTCGCCAGCCATTAACTTGCATTATGTTCGGCCATTGTCAATCTGCCTTGTTTTGGTTCGGTATTTTACTTTCATATGTCGGAATCCATAACAATATTGCATAACAAGCATCCCTCTAATACCCACGCTGACCCTAATTGACTTGTGTAATTGCACAACACCAAAGGCCACCGTAATCCGATACCGGCAAGTTTTTTAAAGGGCGATCCTGTTGTGTTTGCGAATCATCAAGCGACCGTCGGCGCCGTCTTTTGGCGGTACAACTTGTTCGCGAGTTGGATTATGCATGTTTGGCAACAACGAAGCAAACAAACCGTGTTCGGCAAACAAATGCTCAATTAAATAAGAGGAGGCACTTGACAGCGTGATGTACCGGCTGGCAGTCACCGAGAGCGACGACTAATTGATTGATACCACCGACCGGCGAATACGGTAGATTTGACGACCACGAGAAACAATACGGGACACCACCGGCTTATTTTTCGGCTAATTAGCATGACGGCGGCGACCTTTGATTTAGGACCCATTCAACTTGACACTTTCATCGGCTTACTATTGTTTTCGGTCGCTCCGGCATTATTATAATAATTTGATTTATGTTTCGAGAAAATCCGAATCAACAATTAGACAAATCCGATATTTTTATGGAACATTAAAGATTGCAATGGGGCGCACTTGTTGCAACGAAATTAATATCGTAAATATACCCAACATTATTTTGTGGCCTCCTCGGATTTTTTTTTAAATAATTGTTTTACATGTGATTCTTTAAGCGATAGTATGGCGCACTTTTTTTTTCAATCCCAATTCCAAGGCTATGTGTCATTTTACTACTTTCCCCTCATCCAAGTTTTTTTTTTGCGTTGCGGGTGGTCTTTGGCGGCGTGCGAGACACGCTTAATTGTTCAACCATCAGCATTTTTTTTTGGTATGTATGTCAACTTGTTGGCGATTCGAATCGAACTCGAAAGAAAATCAACCGTTTCGTCGTCTTCTTGGGACCAACCAGCCGAGTGCGCGAAAAATGGCAATCGATGAAATATGGGTTTGAAGAGGAGGCAAAACACTTGAGCATCGAAACTCGCCCTGTAATTATGATCGGGTGCACCGCCGCTGCTGTGCGTGGAAATGATTTATTGTTTGTTCGCCGTCCTTCTTGAGGTCTTCATCGTGTTTTCACGTCCGGCGACTTCAAAGGAAGGCGACGTGTGTTCGCGATGCGGATGAGCTGCAATCACGTCGTTCGCGCCTCATCGCGCGCTTCTTCTTCGGCACCGCAGCTGCGCCGTGCCGTACATCTGCATTGTATTATGATGAAATCGTTTTTTTTCTTCTTCTTCTTCTTCAAAATGCACATGCTTCGTTTGAAGGAATATCCGCGTGTGTCGATTCAATTATATATAGGTTTATCTGTATAATAAGCAAAACAGTAATTAGCTATCATACTATATTTAGGCCAAATGCATCCAGCTGAAAAAAAAAAACTAAAAAAAAAAGAAACTGTAAAAAGGAATCAACAAAAATTAGGTTAAATGCGTAATGTTTTATATTTCTTCCTATAAGTTCATAAATATGGCCTAGAAAATAGAGGGAGAATATTAAATGTCGGTCACGGCCATCACAGACTACAGTTATAATAAATATGAAGAATTATAAATAAAACGAAATAGTTTTTATTGTCACTTTCAGAAAATAAAAACCAAACGCGTATTTGTGCAAAGTCGTCAAATGAATTCGCAATTATCAATTGCAGTTGCTTTCGGTTTATTCAATAACAACAATACGCGCTGCATTCAAAATGATCGTTAATTGAATCAATCGAATGGATTGATTCGAATAATTTGAACCTAAAATTCGCAACAGGTGAACCGATCTTTGCACCACCTGCAAATCAAAATATATCAATTCGAATTGATCCTGGCCACTCTCGCGCCATCGAGACCTCTTTGCGAGCTGTGACAAGGCCGTCCTTTTCGATCATTTCGTGTGAGTGTTTGTGTTTCGAATTGGGTCAATTCAAGCACATCCATCACTCGGAACACCTTGATCGACTGAGGGCCTCTTCTTACCTTAAAGCGCCAAAACTTTTTTTGGGGCTACTCTTTGATTAGCCGAGTACCGCGCATGCGTCCTTGACTCGGCTAATAGGTGGCACGAGTCGAAACTTGCATAATCCGTCTAAGAACGCTTTGAAACATGCCGACTAGTATATAAATACTAATCCTTAGCTTGTTAGGCGGTTTTTGTCGTCAAACAAGCCCGCACAACCATTTGATGGTCCTAAAAGTTCAGGAACCCATCATGCTCGTCGAAATACGATTTCAGCCGAGCTACATTCCGATCAGTGCCTTCATTCGTCCCATTCGGATGTGTTTGTTAATAGGATAATATTCAAAAATTGTGCTAAGCCGGTGTCAGTCGCGAATTGACTTGATCCTATTTGAAGGTTGACACATTCAATTTTCGTCTTCTATCGTAATGAGTGAATGCTACTTGAGTTTCAATTTCACGCACTCTCCTGAATTTTTTCGATTCAAGTTTTTTATGAAAAATTATTGCAAGCATAACATATTGTAGATTAAACCATCGAATTCTCAAAAAAAAATCAACTTTCTGTTACCTGCGAAATTTTCTCAGAAATTTGTTGAAAATTTATATTTGTCAAAAATTGAGATAACAGATTTATTTCGAAATAAGTGAGAGTATTTATCTGACATATATATATATCAAAACACATTTTTAATGCTACTATGCAGATTTTGAGGATTATATTTAGTGATTTTAAAGAGTTTTTTTGCGTTTTTTTTCCAAAAATTTCAGAGTACCATAAAATGACTGTTTGCATACGATAGTTTGAATACCATTTGTTCAAATTTCTCAAAATAACAAAAATAAGGAGTCACTTTAATTATGGTGTATACAGAAAATGCAAAACGCTACTTTAAAATATTTTTTGAGCGTCGTTTAAAATCCTAATTGAAATTTTTTTCAAATAATTACAGTTCTTCAGCAAACTAGAAATTAATCCCAATTTTTACTATTCTTTTTTATAATTATGATATTTTCTTGGCTGCACTCCATACATGGAAGGAGGCATGCGCGAAAACCCGATCGCCACAACGCCCCGCCCCCTAATTGGTGAGGCTTGGGTGGGTGTGTTGCACCCGCCCGCCTGGGTGTGTTGCACCCGCCCCCCCCCCTTTTGGTCGGCGCAACACCATTCGGCTAACATTGCTACCGTTCGAGACACCGCATTCCATTTTCGTCGCTTCCTTTTTTTCGATTCATGACTTATTCCGTAAATTTTCAGAGTTCTTCTTCTTCTTCTTCTTCAACCAACCGTTTGTTGCCGATTTCCTCAACGATGACATCGCAAAAGAAGAACCAATTGAAGAGAAACGAGCGCGAGCGTCGTCGTGTGCATCAAGTGAACGACGGCTTCGACTTGCTGCGAACGCGCCTCCAAAAGCCGAACTCGAATCGCAAGCTGAGCAAAGCGGACACACTTCGCGAGGCCGTCAAATACATCCGACAACTGCAGGCGATGCTCGATTCGACGAACGCCTACCAATCGAATGGTTCGTTTCCGTGATGGATTGATTGATTGACCCCATTCATTTTCAGGCTATAATATGACACACGCGGCCAACTATTTTCCGGTCAAAGAGGAGCTCGACGTCTACTTCCCATCAGACACCGGCTCGAATTCATCGGTCTCGTCCGAATGCCAAGTCTCGACCAACTATCCAATGTCGGCAAGTGTTCCATTCACCTCGCCATCAAACTCGAACTACTCCCCACCGCAATCCTACTACTCACCCAACAATTTCCATAATGGTCAGTTATTTGAACTTGCAATATTTCAAGAAATTCTCAAATATTTTCAGGAATGCAATCATCGCCGTAATCAAACGAGCCATATCAGTTCACTTCAAGCGATTTCACGGTGTTCATTTAGTGTGTTTGACTATTAAATGACAATCATTCTTTATCTACGGGTTTTGATTCATGATGATTTTATTGTGTTGTGTATATTAATATATATAGTGATTCAAATGAACTATTGCGTATTAAATGTGTTGTGTTTAAAGGGAAATATACATCAAAAATTTCAAAAAATTAGTTGGTTCGTTTAGTTAAACAAATCTATCCAGTTAAATTTGCTCAATTTTTGAGCAACTGCACGTTCTCTTCAAAAGAGGCATCGATGAAGCATTTTCCTTTGTCTACATGTTGTTTTCTCGAATTACCTTATTATGCCGTTCCTGTGTTCTCTTTTTTTTACCTCATTCCAGTCGACTCAATTGCACATTAATGGCATTGTGACCCGCTTCGATTATACTCGCGAGACACATTAAATCACTCGCATACACATTGTAAATAATAATAAGCGTCGTCTCAAGGAAAGACATGAATGGAAGAAATAAGAAGAAGAAGAAGAAGGAATCGGGTGGCACAAGTCTCGAAAATGGCTTGCTTGTCAAGGCCGTTCGAAACAAGCCAATCGGGGTCGGCCGGCCGGCCGGCCGAAGCTAATCGGTCCGGGTGTGTCGTCGTCGAGCTCAAACAACTGCTGGTCTCGGATTTCAAAAGGACCTCATAAATGAGCACAGAATAAAAAACCTCAAGAAGGAAGAGATGGGGGGGGGAGTGCTAATTTGGCACTTAAATGAGGACGGTTTGATGTCGAAAGGAAGCCGATTGGCACTTTAAACCTTCGCGGCATCGTGCGAACAAAACGATTTGGCTCCTCGAGAGAGAGAGAGAGAGAGAGCCGGCGATGGTGACGAAATCAGATACTAGAATTGACCGCAAAAGAATCGGAGCAAACCCGGTTCAACGGCAATTCAAATGTGTTGATACAATTTAATAAAAGTGATTACAATTTTGAAGAGGCTAATATTGTTGGAAATTTTAATATATTGAAAATTCATCATATTTTTGTTCTACTTGGTTTGGCAATATTTACACGATCAATTGCTGCCATCAATTGTCCAATTCTCATCAACATGTTAACCCAGTTTCAACAGCAAAATGAGTAACGGGTGTCACTCGATCCGTACAGTAAGACACGCACAAGCAGCCACCATTAAGAGTCATAACAAATAAGTTAAACGAGCATTAATCAATGGCATCACATTGTCGAGCAGGTGCATTTCGAAACGCAGCCGTTCGTCGATCCGCGCACTATTTCGCGTTTCAAGGGTGATTATCCATTCAATGTATAAATGACTTGTATTAATGATATTCTTGTTTGCCTTGCCTTCTGTATTTATGCGACAACAATGGCTCGCACAAATCGAAGATTAAACCCCCAATATCAAATCGAGCACCACAAATGGCCGTTGCGGTAAAACGGTTGTTCCGTTCGTTGCGCGCGAAATTGTCGATTCAAAAGACGCCGACTTCGCATTAATCGACTCGTCGATGATTAGCTCATAAAGATCGTATCAGAACGATGAGGAGAGGGTTCCGAGTGATGAATGTTGCTTCGCGTCATTATCGACAATACAATCTCGTGTTATTACAAGTTTTATGACATGATTGCGGCAGGTCAACGCGGGCGAATTGAAAAGGCCCAAAAAAGGAAGTGATCGTAAAATGATTTTTTATGTTCCGAAGATGATGGATTACACGCGGCAACCTTTTTCTCGGGCAATTCCAACAACTTTGGAATTGGCACTCAAAACGAAAAGTAATAAAATAGCCGAGTGATTTTTTTTTTGAGAAATTGATATTCAAATAAAAATGTGCCAATTGTTCGCGTCGTTCCCATGAAATCTTTGCATTCCTGTCATAAAGCCAACACTAATCACATTATATTGCAATTCGCATTCGATATTTGGCGACACATCAATTCAAGTGCTCTCGGTTCGTCGACAATTGACATACGGTCGAGTTGCGTAATCCTTTCGGCACTTCCGGATTCGCGCCTTCTTGATTCATTCGCGTCGAACATCAAAATTGGTCGGCAACAATTGCGTCAACTCGCAATCTGTTCAATTCATTTTCATCGATCGTCGTCGATAATAAGGCAGCTTTTTGCCTCGAGACCACCCACTGTGCGGCGGGCGGCAAGTTGAAATGGACAACTTGTGCTGACAGGTGATCGCGCGTAATTATATGTTTTTTTTTTCTGATGCGACGATTATTCGGTGTCATTACGATTTGATAATATTGTTGATCATTCATCCAAGCGTATAATTCGATGAAAATTCGAAGAATCAGCAGAATCAATTTTCAGTAAAAATTCTAACCGAATGAAGCTGATGAATCTATTCTATACCCCTTCTTAGCACAAATCTAACAGGATCGCAATTTGGAAAATTATACAAATTTGGAAACACCGAATAGGATGAATATATGGAATACGGCAAAACCTTATTTTGTTGCGGTAATCTTATGCGCATATTTTAGCATAAGTCGAATATTCAAGAGATTGAGCTCGAAAGAGCCGCTATATAATAAGATGTTCTGGGCTTCAATGAATGTCGTATTTCCTCTATGGCTAGCCATCATTTATAAATACAAATGTTCTACTGTATCCATGATTGGTTGTGTCAACACAAGAGGGCGCATGCCCGAACCACTTTGCAACTCGAGACCATTCCAATCGAGACTAAAACTTCTTATCCCTAATCAGATTTTGTCGTACTTGTGATGCAATCGAGTAGATCCTTCGTGCGCCTCAAGTGGAAACAGGCCAGACGAATGGATCGGATCGGATTACGGTAGTGCGTGCCAATCTGATACGAGATTAGCGTGTGCACACACACACACACACACACCATACACGATTCGGGACGCGTTTCGCGCCAACCTCAACCGGAATCGTGTCGTCTCACCTGCTGCTTTGCTGTGGGTGCTTCTTAATTCGTGTCGTGTCACGCGAATCGAATCAACATCTGCGCTTTTTACAGTTGACGAGTGTTGTGACATTTGTCCCCCCATAAAATGATACTATATTTATTATTGTTATTCTGCCCCAAAGAATTTTAGCTTCACAAATCGAACGATGTGAATTCCTCAAGTCTCATGTTTCATAATACCCGACATCTGTGTGCCCAGCAAATTAAGAGGTCATCATGCAATTTTAGACAGTGTCACTTGTCTGATGAGCAAACAGTTGAAGCGTATTCACGCGAGAGCACACTCCTCGCGATTCCTGCACTCTTCAGCAGGTGCTAACTAACATATTGACCAAATAGACTTTTGATTATGTAACGAAATCTGTTTGGAAACGGATTGCCCTCGCCAACACCCGATAACGCGTTATGCAATTTCCTTAATTGCGCTATTATACTGTTAGCAACTATTTCAGAATTTTAGGGGATCCTATGAATAAAGATAATTATTGACTGATTTAATAGTTCCGACGACTTGTTGACTTCAAAAGCGGTTTGGTGCGAAAAATCGGATGGCGCAATCAGCGCCATCCGATTTTGACACCATAATAGCGGGGCCGAAGTTGTTTTCCAAATTGTTCAACGATAAAATCAGTGTAAAAGTGTGCACACATGGTCAAATTACTAATCGATTGCGTAATCGCAAACCGCAAAAGGAGAAAAAAGAAAGAAAAGCCGACCGACTCGCTCATTAAACTCTTTGCGCCAAATGGACGACACTCAATCGTAATGACTTTTGGTAGTTCGCGTTGCGCAACATCCAAGTCCGTCTCGATTTTACTATTTACGATAATACGCTATGGATGAGGTTGGCGTGAAAGTCGATGAATTGAATATTCATATGTCGAGGTGTTCGCTGTTCCGGATGTGTGCACTCGAATCGAATCAATTCTCGATTGGTTGTCACGCTAATGCGAATTGATGGATTAAGCGCCCTCGTTTTATTTATGAGCTCTTTTATTCTTTTTCTTTTCACTCCGATTCAACTGGCACGGACATGGTATATAATTGGCAAAAAATGAGCGAATGAATGAGCGAACAATTCGAGAATCTGGGTCGAAACATGCCAATTATCAAGCGCACCTTGGGATTAACCAGAAAAGGGGGGGGGGTGCGAGCACCAGACAGCATGTATTGTAAAAAAGAGCAATATGTATATATATAGTTAACGGAAAAATTCTATCAACCAGAAACAAATTTAAACCACAGGTTGCTTCAGTTTTTATAACTTGCTCCAAAAATGAAAATATTTAGCATTCAACTCTACCGTTCAAGACTTTATGCAATAAATCAATTATGCAAAAAAAAAACAAAAAATTGAACTACTAATCTCGAAAATAAATCAAGGAATTTGAAAAGAAAAAAGTAAAACTGGGCGGCAAAGCACAAAATTTAGACACGACTCATGTGTTGACGTCAAAAGGAGAAAAAATCAAACAAGAAACTAACGGTGGACGAACAAAATTGAAATAAAACAACCAAACTCTCAACAAAACTAGCAAAGGCATTCGAAACTCACCTAAGGCATACGATAAAACCGGTTTTCGTGGATACAGCGGGGAATTTAAAAAATTTTGATTCACCGTTAAAAAAAATGGGGTGAAATGGGGGGGGGGCAAACAGCGATAAAAACAATATCAATTCAATTCACAAGAAAATAATTTTAAATCATCGTAGTCCTTGGTCTTTCATAGAAGGGGTTTCTGAAAAAAATTATGTATTTTTAGGGGTTTATTTCCTTTCATTTTAGGGTTACACGGTGACTAGGGAAGTAACTAAAAACTAGTAATAACTATTAATGGCGAGTATTTGAAAATCAAACAAAATATACCTTTATTTTTGTTGACATTATTGATTAGAAACAGAATAACATCCTTAAAAATCAATTCCCAAAAATAACACAAATTTTGCGGAAGTCAACCAAAATGTTTCCCATTTCCATTACAAACGCTCACCTCATTTTCAGTCAACACTGGATCTTCTTCGGTCTCATTTGGCACCGACAACTTGCGAATGTCAGTACTATGTTTGGGCATTGGTTTCGGTGTCGATGTTGCATGTCCATTCATATTACCGTTCATATGTCCATTAATTTGTCCGTTGGCATGACCATGAAGCTGTCCGTTTGGATGCCCATTCATATGGCCATTCATTTGTTGTTTGCTGCTCATCGGAGATTTGGCGATGAACAAATTCGGATTATCGTAGGTATGAATATTTTTTCCGAATGGAATCATTCCGTTTGCATTCATCTCCTTTCGTCGCGCCATATAGTTAACAGAACCTCAAATACTGATTTCCAAATTTCGATGGAAAACGCAATCGTACCATTATTTCCATTGGCATGAAGGGCCCATTGACGCTTTTCGATATCCTCATTCAGCAATCCAATGTATCCCCTTGATGCTTCCTCTTCTCCCGACTCATCGGTTACCTCCTCGAGCTCACCATCGCCAGTTTCCTCCGCATCGGCTTCATCGGCGTTCAATTCACCAGTCGCCATCTGCTTTCTCATTTTGTGATGTTGCACCTTCAATAAATAGGCGACGATTTCGTCATGACCGAATTGGCGGGCATCTTCGATCGGCATCCGATTCCAACGATCCACCACATTGTGTTTGATTCCTACAACGTTGACAAGGAATCGGCAGATGTTCGCATGACCCTCGGCCGCGGCGACGTGCAACGCAGTACGCCCATCGTAATCCTTCACAGTCAAATCAGCGCCTTGCATGAAAAGTCTAAAAACCAAAATGAATTGAGAAAGTCTTGAAAGGCAAAAATTCGACTCACTTTCTCAACGTATCAAAATCATTGTACTTGGCGGCAAACATGACCTGCACAATCGCCTCTGTTTCGCGATGTCCGACACGACGACGTGGGTCGCACTTCTTCGAATCATCGGCATGCAAGAGACTGTCGTAGTTGTGGAAGTTGAAGTTCTCGATGAGTTCCTTACAGAAAGCGACGCCTCGGCAAGAGTTTCCAGTTTTGTCGAGTGGCGGTGAATAAAGAGCAATTCCCATGACATTCGGAACAACAACGATCATCGTTCCAGACACACCAGATTTGGCAGGAAGTCCCACCTTAAATAAATTGGTCACGCATAGTTTCAGACGAAAAACCCATACCTGGAACGAGAATTTTCCAGAAAAGTCGTACATTCCACACGAATACATGAGCGAGAGTACATCACGACATGGTCTCGATCCGATGCACTTGTCATTCGTCAATGGACAAACTCCTAAACGAATATTGATATTTTGAGAATAACGAGGTGGCTCGTTTGCCTCCATTCGCCAGTGTCGCTGCCATCACTGCGGCAGTGTCGCAGTTGGTCTCCAACGAGCACAATTGAAAGTAGAGATCGAGTTCCTCGCGAAGACCCTGTTATAAAAATTGATAAAACCAATGCCAATATACGTAAATGAACATATAGTTTAGCCGAAACATTCATCCGGCTAACATAATTCTAAACACTTAAAAACATAGATGTGTGTAGGTTAGTTGGTAAATACATATTTAGGAAAGCCTATGGGACAAGTGAAAAACCTTTGCCTTTTCATAGACTTGCGAATCATCAGGGAAACACTTGTATTCTTTCATGTAATATGAAAGAGCGTAGTTACGATCAGCAGTATCGCGTTCCGACAAAAATCTAAAAAATAATTCGACACTCATTTGGAGCTTGATAATGAAGCATTACGTGGCATTGTCGAAACCGACGTGTCCACCGCCAGCCAACTGTCGGTACTTCTTTAGCATGAAATCGAATCGATCCGACATTGAAAGTTGGTTTTTGATCATCGAGGTGACAACAATCGCTCCAGCGTTGATTAGAGGATTATGCGGCATATCTGAAACATTGCAGTTATGAATGGAATCCCTCAAAATGATAGACTTACTATTCGAATCAAGACAGATTTCATTGAAGAGTCTTCCGCTCGGCTCGTGCCCGACATATTGATGAAGCAATTCCGAACCGATTTCAGAAGCAACAATCGCATAATTGAATGCCTAAACATTCAAATTTCGACTCGTTTTCGTTGATCTTATTTTTGCCACCTTCGAAACACTTTGAAGACAGAAGTTCTTCTTGCTGTCACCCAACGAGAATCTCTGCCCGTCAATTGTGCAAATCGACATTCCCCAAAGATGCGGATTTTCACGAGCGAGTTGCGGAATGTACGAAGCAACTTCGCCGTCTTCAATCAGTCGAATCTTCTCGAATATTTTGGTGATCGTTTGAGTGAACTCGAGCCAACTCGGAATAATGAGCTGCTGGCGGAGAACTCGCGAGATCAGACTCGTGCACGGGTAGATAATCCTTCAAGAAATGCCAATTGCCTATTTAAACAACAATTTGCGTTCGATTACTCTTTGAATTGCTCGCGACACATCAAATAATGGCGGCTGCTCTCATCGTCCTCATCCTCTTTCTTGCGAATTTTGTCGAACATTGGCTTGAGGCGCGGATCGGTGTCGCGAATTCCAAACGAGCGCAGAACCTATAATAACAAATTAACTTCATTTATTTGATTCAGACGCATAATTACCTTTATAAGTCGAATGAGAGATGCCTCATCGCTGTGAGGCGACTTGAACAAATCACAAATCAACTCAGCAGCTATTTCCTTCCGTTGATCAGCAGTATTGAGTTCAGAAATCGTGCGCGTGATGATTGGAATCACCGATTTCTTTCGATCCAAAATCTCACCCATTTTTTCCACTGAAATACAATGAGTTGAAACATTTGGAATTGATAAATGCGAATTTACGTTCGTCCACGGAGAACCGAAGGTTCAAACTTCCAAAATTGGAAGACAACGTGGAATATGGAAACTATCGGTCTCATGAGTTGTATATAGAGTATCGTGTGACTGGAAGGTCTCAAAAACCGAACATACGGCGCTCCTTAACACACTTTCTAGCTTTAATTGATCTCAAATCATCAATAAATGTACAAAAATGTTGTTTCGAAGCTATGCCAAAAAAATACAAAAAAAAAACAGGAGAACCGGATAATTCCATTGATAAGTATGCTATTTTTGTCTTATATTTATCGCATAGAAATCTTTAATTTGTTGAAAATATGGTTTCTTATTAACTTACAAGACATCATATCCATTTGAGGACTTTTCGCATCCTCACGAAGTCCAGAATTAGGATCAGAGGCATCGACACGGAGAGCATCGAAAATACCCTTCTCTGGTCCTTTCGTCGACATAGTAAATCAGAAATGTTTTGTTTCCCTGCAAACAAATGATGTATTATCCTTAACTATTCGATTATAACATATAAATTAAAACGACGATTCAACAAATTGAAGAACGCGGTTGTTCAAAAATCGGTTATTTATATAGAGAGAACTCGTCAGTTGCGCTAATTCGGTACGTGCGTAGGTAGACGAGGATGACAAAGAAGCCGATCGTTCGAATGATATGTTTGTGGTTCGTCTTATCACATATTTTAGGTGATTTTGCGGACGGAGACCAACATTTTGACGAGCTTCTGCGCACCACGTGAGGCGCTCGGACCTCTGCCAAATAGATCGCCAACAAAATCGAAAAAAAGATAAGAGTCACACGTTTAAATATGACAAAAAACCAACGAGTCATGGGAAAATATTATAATAACGTCTGTGTGGCGGTCGGAACAAAAAAAAAACGCCGCATCATAATGATTACCGTAAGAAAGGAAGCGTGGGAAAAAATGTAAAAAAAAAATTTTCGTTGACAGAAATATTTCATCACAGTTTGATTCCCTGAAATGGACCGAAATGATAATGCAATTGTGAAGAGTTTTTCACGTTAAGACTTCAACAAAAGTGATGAAATCAAACGACTTCCGTAATCTTAGGAATTCCGGATGAAAGAAAAAAAGGCGGAAGTAATTTTAAAAATAGAGAAGTTATGAAAAAAACAAACATAAAATAAAGATGATCGGGTGAAACTTTGATTCATCCACGTCATGAGTGACTAAAAAATACAATACTTCAAACCATTTTTTGCTTCTTCTTCTTTCTTGTGATTTTTTTTTCATAAAAACATGAATAATGATGTAGAAGCAATGTGATTGTCTCGTTTTTGTGCGGCTTCTCTCGCTCTCCACCTCGCGCGTGGCTCTCACAATTTGGCGCCCTTCGAATTGGGCGCTCTCACCAGACCTCTCCGCCTATTGCCCACTATTTTCGGGGGTGGCGCAATGGTCCGCGCCGAACGCAAAAAAAAAAGAAGAAAAAGAACGCTGACTGGCTCGCGCTTCTCGAACGTTCCACTCCATTTTCAATGAGAAATGGCATCTTGTTGGAAGCGAACACGATGGCTAATGGATTTGTTGTAGAAGAGCCGCTTCGGGATTCAGAAGCGTGTTAGAATGTGAAAAATTGTTTACGGACCATGAAAACGCGGTAATTCAAATTTCGATTTAAATAGAGGGAAATCGTGTACATCGATGTCCTGTGAATCAAAATCACAGCAACTTACGCTGGAATTGTCACCAAATCATAGTTATTGTCATCAAGACAACAAAAAACGAAACTCGGATCAGTACTTGTATTTCGTCTGTGATTCAATATATTATAATTCAGTAGAAACTAAGAAAACTATCGGCTATAATAATGTTTTAGGTCAAATAAAAACTAAATTCGATACCTAAATGGCATATAAATAATAACTAAACGATTATTCGGGAAAAAACCCGAAAAAAAGAATTTGGAAATTTTCGACGTTCAACACGCACCTCGTGCATTTGTTTCTTTTTCTCTGACGGCTATTTAAAAGTCCACGAACAGCTGTGAATTATCCTCAAATCCTCGCCACGTTTTCTCTACATGACCAGTTGTAAAAAAGAAAAACTGATGTAAAATGACGAAACACAAAAAACATTTAGCAAAATGGTGCACTTTGAAGAATGTTTCCAAAAAACGAGCGCAAATTGGTGGAAAATTCAATAGACTTTTCACAGTAATTGTTTGGCTTAATAAAAAATAGCGGTCATAATAATAGCTAGCTTGGTTCAATGATCATCTCAACTTTTTTCAGACGAAAAAAAAGCAAACGAACTTTGGTTTATAAAAGACAAATATTTGAACCGAGTTGTGTAAAGGGCACAAAATGAAGAAAATACGAAAAAAAAAAGTGAAGTTGCATCAGTTCTTTCTGTTTACATACGTCATCGTGGTTCATATTTTCCACGTGGTGACAACTAGGCACACTTATTTTTCAATTCGTTTGTTTTTTAAGGGAAACATGAAATTTAATAGTTGAGACATGCAATTGGACTTCGAAATGTTTCGATGAATGGAAAAATACAACATTTTGCCGAAACGAACTTTCCAAATTAACGGGCTTCCTTGAAACAAAGTTCAGTTAAATTTATTGTCTCATTGCGTGGTGATCTACATTAGAAAGCAAATGGTCAGCGCAAAATCAAAGTTTGAGATCATAAATACAAATAGTTTGATTTGATACCAACAAATTTCCTCGACATTTCATGTTTCTCTCTCTCGAAATTTTTGGGGGAATCCCCCACCGCTGCACGTGCGGCGATCGTCATTGAATACAAGAACGCGTTGCACTGAGTTTTGTTGACGGGAAACCCGGAACGAGTTTTTCTTCCTCTCCTTCTCCTTCTTCTTCAGTGTCTTCATAACCACATGATAACATACCTCAAATTTTTAGGTGTTCGTCAACTAAGATGCCGATGATATTTAGCTTCATTCGCCAAAAACTATCCAGTAAACGCATTGAATCCGATGACGAAATTCTAGTAAGTCTTCAACTAATAAAACTATTTGTTTGAAGACTCACCTCAGAAATTCGCTTTGGGATTCTACTTGGAACAAAAACTGAAGAATACCTCAAACATTATAAATGGTTATATAAAACGAAAAAGGTTAAATATAGTATATAAGACGTATATTTATAAACAATCTATTGCGACCTAAATGAAAACGGCAGCTGATATTTCTTCTGTGAAATTTACCAACCGCGTTTAGATATAAAAATTGAAACGCTTATATAAAGTGAATGAAAAATTTTTAATACGCATTAATTTTACCATTTTATAATAAAATTAAAAAAAATATATATATATATATATAATCCTTGCGATAAAAAACGAAATGAAGATTGAAATAAAAATCGCTTCATCAATGACGTAATTCTACAGTAATTTTAAAAGGAACATTCGCGATTAATTAATGGTCTCATAGTGAAATGAAATTACAGTACTCAATTTATTCTGTGTTTGCGGACATTGCCTTTTTTTCAACAAAATTCGAAGATTTTTCGACTGGTTATTTTTCTAGAAAGCTATTTTTTAATTTCTAGACATATGGTTAAAATAACCACAGGGCGTGATGCATATTTAGTAGGCCTCACTCTTCTTTATTCGTGAAACCCCTATAATTTCACTAGTTAGGCGTTGGAAATGGTTATAAATTGCGCCAAAATATCTATATTGCAAACGATGAATCAAAAAAAGCGGCGACAATAAAAAAGTGATAGGAGAGATTATGGTTTTTGCAACATCTTTATTACAATTTTAGCGTCTTTGAAGAATCCGACGTCTTGCAAATTCCTCAATTATAGATTGAATTTTTTTTTTAATTAAAAAAAAGGCAATCACATATGCAGGAAATTGTGCGTAGGTGTTAAATCTCTAAAAAAACAAAAAATGATAGTTACTAATTTAAAGAGGGCAATTAGAAGAAATGAAAGAAATGAATGGTGATAGTTCGAAAAAAAACAAGACTTATTGCGGGAAAAATAGAAATGCTTATAAACGAGACGAAAGGGATTCCCCCAACATCTCTGCGCGAATCACTCGTTTTTTTATCAGTTGGTCATCTTTTTCTCGAAGGTAATTCAAAAGAGACTAGTGCTGTCCGAAGGTTACGCTCGTAAAATTGAAAATGCGCGCGTATCAATGGACCCTTCTATGTAGAGTATGTAATGAAACTAACCCAAGTAGACACTAGAATTTGATCATTTTGTCTATCACATATAAATATGTTCCTACAGACGGTATGACATAGATTACACTGCCGACTTGAGGGCGAAAATTGAAACACAAAAGTACAGAGAAGTGTTATTAAAGTTCGAATTGTTATACCTTGTACGATTAAAATAATTATGCCGATGGAATTTTTTAAATATATTCGTGCCTTCAAAATAAAAAATAATAAACTAGGATGAAGTTATTGACTGCTACTATGATGAGAATGGTGTAATCAGAGCCGATTTTAACGAATGCTCATGGTACTTCTGAATAGGTTTTACGATTTTCAATCTCAACTAAAATTTTGAAGACAGCTTATATACTCAAAAAATACTCTAAAGCATACGAAAAAAACGGCCACATTTTGATCTTCTTGGTTCTTTTTTATGATCGCTAGTCTTTCGAATTTTATCACTTTAGATAAGAAAATGCCGGGAATCGTTCATAAACACAGATAGAGAAATTTCGACCAAACATTAAAATGTTTCGTAGAAACACCTTCGGTTTTCGAGACGATTCTATCAATACATCGAAAATCGGTTGATTTTGTTTTTATTTCTATTTTTTTTTTGAGGTGGAATGTGTTCTGAGATAGACGCAATTTGTAGGAAGTTTGAAACTTTATCTCCTGTACAGAAAGCAAACAAATCTTCATTGAATAAATATTGAGATCTATTTCAAATTGCAAAAGTGCTACAAGTTTGGGGCTCTTTGAGCAACGTTACAGAAACAATCATCAACATTTGCTAGACGGCGACGGGCGGCGTTTTCGGTCGATGCGCGTCGCGGACACTGAGCCGATCGGCTGTTCGTTCGCCGATGCTCCGGTTTGAAGAAGTGTTTGATACAAGCGTGGGACTGCGTGTTCTGCGATTGATTCATTTTCAGATGTCTGCCACGACACCAACCAACCTATTTTGGGAAATGCCCGAAGCGTCTGAATGACTCGTCGGACTTCTTGATCGATTCATTGCGAACACTGACGAAATTTGCGAAGTTGCTGTCGGACTACGCGGTCTGCAATACATATCATTTGATTCGCTGTCCTTTGAATTTGATAATCCTCAACCTAATAGACGAGGATCGCCTGGATGGCCGAGTGGATTGCGAAAGATCGGTGGGACTTCGCGGTCTTCCCGAATCATGAGAAGCGTCGGTCGGCGATGGCGGCCGATGCCTGCCGATGATTGTCGAATTCTCATGAGCCATTGGGCTCTTCGGCCGGTAGAATGACATTTGCGATGTTGGCCGGCACAATGAGAGCTGCGAGACGTCGCGGGACATATTTGGTGTGATGATCGATCGGCCGGGAACCGTGAGAGTGTTGAAGCTGCTGCCATAAATGCGGTGTTGATGGCGTGTCGACATCATGCTCGCCGATGAGCACGAGCCCATTCGAGAGCGCATTTCCTCAACGCCCTGCAATGAGTTTCATCAGATTTCCACATTGCTCGACCCATTTTTGGAATTAATGCATTCACACGGTTCGATTCTAAATGCACTGCAAGCTTGGTAAAGCAAACATAGGAAGTCTCGCAGACAACTATAACACACGGTCATGGTTAATACTGTTACCTTTAATGTATTTAGACAGCTTCTTTCCCTTAAATGGTAAAACAGAAGTAAATTACTCGAGAATAAACGGTCTCAAGTGTCCTATTTTTTAATTACCTGTAGGCGATTCTTCATTCGCGAATAGGCGGTTTTGAATGTTGAACGGAAGTTTTGAGAGATGAATGCGTAGAGAATCGGATTAATGCAAGACTGGCAGTATGTCTGAAAATTCAAAGTTGACTTTAATTAAGTGTTTAGTAGATAATCGTGTCAATCAGATTTGAGGCCACAAATGAATCACTAATCCGTACCAATGCGTTGAATCCCATTCGCATATGCTTCAGAGTTTGCGTGTTAGACGTTCGGCAGATATAGCCAAAAGACGTTAGAAGCTCGTCAACTGTAATAAACAAATTGAAACGCCCATGTGATTTTGTTTTCGAAGATACTGATTGTCGGAAGCCAGCAAAATGTGTACATGCAAACAATCGAGATCAGCATTTGCACAATTTGCTTCTTATTCGCCTCGACAACACGATTCGATCGGTGTTTGCTGTACGAGTTGATAGTCGTCGTCGCGGTTTTCAAATTTCTCGAAGTCGTCAGCATCGGAATCGCCGAGTATCCGGAGAAGGTGACCGCGTCGGTTGCCGCTTTTGAGAAGGCAACCCTGCAATTTTGAATGATGATCACCAAAAAGAAAAAGAGGCTTCATCAATATCGTCTACATTGCTTGTGAAAGTATCACTCGGTCCTTGGATGATTTGTAGACGATTGCCGAAACTCTCGCGTAGCAAATTGACATTGTGGTGACCGGGAAAACGATGAGAAGAAGCATTTGGTAGACGGCGTAGGCTTTATTGAGCTGCCGTCGTTGATAACCCAGAAATTGGTTGGGGAATCGACGACGACACCAATGAACTCGCTGGCCAGATAGGGTTAGATTTGTCTCGTAATCCATGCGAACCGCCGTTGGTATTGCCAGTAAAGCGGAAGCGAGCCATATTAATAATATCACCTGAAATTGAGTTTTTCAGTGGATATAATTGAATTTCCAAAAATTCATTTCCTACCTTCTTCGCTCTCCCAATACTCGAAAACCATATATTTCGCATCGGATACGCGATGGCAAGAAATCGCTCGAAACTGATCATTGTCATTGTCAGAACCGAGCAGAAGCACGTGAACTGTTGAATGTAATGAACCGAATAGCACGCGAATCGACCCATCCACCATGAGTGCGACATGTACTTCATGAACATTATCGGAACACAGAACCAGATGAGACACAAATCGGCGGTGCTCAATGAAGCCAAGAAGATATTCGTGACATTTCGCATTCGTTTGAAACGATTCACAACAAATATTACCTAAACTCAAGAGTTTCATTCTTTTTTTTTTCATTTTGAAAATTATATACTGCTGTACGCGGGTAGATTTACGGGAATGCGTCTTTCGAAATGGTCTCACACGGACTAACAGGTTATTTCACATTTTATGGATCGATTTGATAAATGAGATTAGAAATTCAAGAAAATGCCAAACTCATCAAGAAAAATTCAACAGTTCACGTGAAAACAGCAAAATAAGCGTTCACGCGTGGCGAGACCTTTTCAAGGCGCATGCGCGTAAATCTTCCCGCGTATAGCAGTCGCCGACTATACTAGCATATAAAACTTGCCATTGAATTTCCAATTGTTCCTACAAGAAATACAATAAGGTAGAGTAGTCCGGGTAGAGCAATTTCGAATATCTGCTCTTCGGATAATGAGAACAATACTCGACCGCTATCCTCGGCGCTACATTTATTGACACAAACCTGAAAATGCGTATTTTTATTGTATTTTCGACGATTTCTGATTTTTTTCTGCCTCCTCCTACTTTGATGGGGGGGGGGGAATTTATTAAAATATTCAAGTTTCTCTCCCACTCTGATTTTCAATTTGTGCGCGCAATTTTTGACCTTATAACTGAATTCATTTGAATAAATTCCGAATAAATATCAATACTAATGAATTGTGAATCATGGAGGTTGACTTAAAAATAAATAAAATTGGTGTAGACTTCTGAAAACTAACGGCGGCTATCAGAATCGGTCTCTGCAAGGCCTATGCATAGCCCGACCGGCCTCTGAATCTGGTCGGCCTGAAGACCAACCCTAAATGGGAATCACTAAGTTTGCAAGCGTTAGCTATTTTCTCAATAACTGGTTCTCCAAATTCAGCGATCGTTTTGAATTTGCTTCTGATCATCGTCCAAAATGTATTCTGCTTCAACATTTTTGAAAAGATACTTTAAGAAGTAGCGAAGCATTAAACTTCTGAAGACGTAGGCGTCAAATTCTGATAGCCACCGTTTTTTTCGAGAAATAGACTATACCATCACAGAAAAAAGCGAGATTTTTTGAAATCAATATGATAGTCTGACCTCTAGAAAAAGGTGCAACGGATGAGTGCAATTGCACTGTGAAGTGGTCATATTCTCCCAGTCGAAAGTGTCGTCGTACTCGTACTCAAAAGTCTCCTGAACCATATAGCAGCTCGGATCATCGCCGTCGTCATTCATGATCACCTATAAAATGATAATATACGAAATTCGATATTGAGATAAAGCCTGCAAGAATAAATCGATGGCGACGGATGAATATATATGATAAGCTCATGTGCATTCTCATGAAAGGCGATTATAACGGGAAATGTCTCTCGCTCGTCCACTAATCCGAGTTAAAGTGACGAAGAAGTAAAAACGAGGTGTCGTTTTACACATTAATTATGAATCAATTGAAAGCGGTTTTTTGCGCATATTGAATGAGGAGTCTTGCAGGTCAGCTGGTAGTTGATTGACTTCAAAAAAAAAGACCAAAAGAAATTTTTAAAATTAATTTTGAAATAATAGTATGATGTAGTCAGCGACTGCTGTACGCGCATGCGTCTTGAAAACGCTTATTTTGCACTTTTCACGTGAACGCTTTATTTTTTCTTGATGAGTATTCCGCGCGAGACCAATAGAAAGACGCATCCCAGTAAATCGACCCGCATTCAGCAGTCATCCGACTATTTTTATTTATAAAGAATTTTTAAAACATTGGCAAAATATGAAAAATGAAGAGTAACCTTTTAATAAATAAATAATCAATGCTAGGCAAACTAATAAGGATTATTCACAATCCGGAATTCGAGACGTCAATTTTTTAAGGTTTTCGGTAGGGTCACGAATAATCTAGAAATAACTAAACGCTTTGTTCTCGTGATGTTTTTAATATTATCAAGTAATTTTCACGCGACCTTATAAGAAAATTCGAGATACTGTAATACTAACATGCAAATTGTCACTTTTACCCGATTCGATCACCTTAAAATTTGGATTAAAAATGACTATTCCGACTATTTAGAATGACACTGAATGGATAAAATAATTGCAAGAAAGGTTTTTCATGTTTTTTTTATTTTAGTTATTGAATTAAAACTGGGAAAAGAACAAAAAATGGATAAAATGTGGATCAAAAATTGTTTGCGACTATCTTATATTATCTATTTCTTTTCCATTTGTTACTATTTTTTGTTATTTTCCCTGTAGCGGGGATATATTTTAAATGACAAGGGAAGAAAAGAATTTCTAGATGAATTCTGGTATGAATAAATTGGTCGAACACTGGACGGAGCCAGAGCCAGATATCGAGAGCAATGGAGAATTGTGATCCGCGCGAAGAAGAGATCGACAAAATACGAAGTATACTAGTGGTTTTTGCCTTCTTTAACTCTAAAATATTTGATCTGAAAGAAATTTTCGAGTGATGAACCGAATAAGCCTCAAAAAATCAATTGTCGGGTGAAAAAGAAAAATCGAAGATTTGCACGAATATCTCATGTGGAAGATTCGATTTCGCGGGTATCCAAGACAAATAATGATATTAGGCAAGAAAAAAATTGAATTCGATTAGAAATGAGCATAAAGTATAAACGTTTGGCTGTTGGTGAGCAACGCGAATGCGAAAAATTGTTCCAACTATGACGTACAAATAAATCTCTTGGTTTTCTCTTATTTTTTTTCAGAAAAAAAATCATAAACATATAAAAAATGAGAACTAATAAACAAGATGAAAAATTGATGTCTTAGAGAATCAGCGAGTAAATTTGAAAAGCTTATGCTTAACTTTCGAATATCTGATTATTCAAACAGATCAAGTAAATTATTCATCCACACGTACACCCTTTTGATACTCATTATTATATTGTTTCAATTGACGACCCTTTTTGTATAAGATGTCAAAAATCACTTTCAGGGCATTAATCTTAGACAATGGGAGCGTATTCAGGAAAACAATACACGTTCGAAAAATGAAAGAATGAGGTCTACATACAGAAGAACTATGATGTCCATAGCGAAAAAATTCACCATTTTTCAGCTCAAAAATGGCAAAATAATTGTAAAAATTTTTGGTTTTTACACTTTATTTATATTAAGCTTCTAAGTTGCATATTTGGTGTAAAAAAATGCAAAAAAAAAACCGCTACCCATGCTTTATTTGGAACGAAAAATTGTTGAAGTTTGAAGGAAACCACCTTTTTTGCGGTTTTCCAGATCGATGGGCTTTCAGCGTGAAAAAAATAATAATAAATCGGATTTGGAATATTCGCGAAACATTCTCAGCGATTCGTTCAAAATCAAAACACTTTGAATTGAATTTTGACTCATCCTGATAAACATCAACAAATGCTTAACACTGGCCGGCTTGTGGAAAAGAATACACGAAATGTATTCAAAATCCAACCGGAAATTGAGCGTATTAAAAGTAGAAACTCCTAGGCACACCTTCTGACGGGATGTTGTGAGTCGATTGAGGCGGGGGGGGGGACGCGAGGAAAAATTATAATACGAGCTCGACGATGGTCGAACTCAGTGTTTTTGGAGAGTCGGAGATGAACGAGAAAATGCATGTAGCGAATGATAAGATGAATCCGCACAAAATCTTTGACGACGACGACTCACATCGGATTAAATCAGGTGTAAACTAAGCCAAGCTATCCACTAGATTCATTGAAAATATGAGGATAAGGGATGAAATTTTGATACAGAAAAGTCCGCTATGCTTCGCCATTTGTGGTGAACTGTCTGATTTCCGGGAAAATAGCAAGCAAGAATGATCCAATCCGTGGAAAATGGTTCGGGATTTGATGAATGTTAGGATTCGGCTCATCGGAATTAAAAAAAAAAACACATTTTCAACATTTGTATAATCCTTGAAAACGATTATTTGGTTGGGAATTCGAAGCGGAAATTATAAAGTCCTGCGAATATCCTGCTTCGAATGCTAATTGACTTGTGTGTTTTTCGAGTATGCTTGATTGAACCTAATTAAGTTGTGTTTTGTAAATAAATAAACAAATAGCATGCGTCATTACTGCATTTAAAACTTGAACTTTCGAAGATGAGATGTACTGTTGAGAAATGTACCCAGGTGTCGTGGGATTCTGCGTTTTGTACGCAATGTGGTCAACCAGTTACCGTAATCGTCGCAGCGATTTACGGGGGATTTTTTTTAATTTCCTATTTTAATTTTTCGCTCAATTTTCTTATTTTCTTTCGAAATTGTTTATTTCAAATTTGTAGAACTCGAATTTAATTATTTATTTTACAGAATATGCACTTCTAAACGATATTTATTATTTTTTTCGGTAAAAACAGCGTAGATAAAAAAAAAACAAATTTTTGTCTTTAATAGAATTGTTTATTCGTGTTTTGCTCTTATTCCGCGTTTCTACTATCTTGTTTTTGTACTCTTTATTTCAAAAAGATTTTTCGAGCGGGAAAAATATCGATAAATACCGTTTTAAAATGCATATTGTGCAAAATACATAATTAAATTCGGTTTCCACAGATTTTAAATAAACAATTTGGAAAAAAATACGAAAAAATGAAAATAGGAAATTTAAAAAAGTCCCTCGTAAATCGCTGCGATGATTACGGTAATTAGTTAATTGCATTGCGTACAAAACGCAGGATCCCACGACACTTGGGTACATTTGTCATTGCTCGACAATATAAGAAATGGGACAGAGAGATTTCATAAAAATTTTCCATATAAAAAATCAAATAAAATTGTTTAATCAAAGAAATTCCAATTTTAATGAAGATATTTTTTTAAGAATTAAGTTATCTCTATATATCTAATAAAAACCAAATTTTTTGGGCAAGACGTTTTTTTTTCGGAAAGAGAAAAAGATGAACAATATGTTATGATTGAAAATGTCTCAAAAACATGCCATCGAATAAACAAAAGTTGTCGAGTTTCGAAGAATTTGCATATTCTGAAAAGGCAAAAACGCGCGCAAAAAAAGATGACATTTGCGCAGCAAAATTGAGTGGCATGTGATAAGCGCAAAAGTCGGATTCTCGAAATGGTTTAGCTAATCTCATTAGAATTCTTTGGTTGAGATTATTTTACGTCAAACTCTTTTTGCCTTTAATTCATTTTTGAAGGACGGATCTCAATTAATTATTTTTAGATATGAACTCCTACTGAAAAATTCATAGACTGCAAATTTTTGCATTAAATTTCATTGCCAAATCGAATGTATTGGTATTTATCAGAATTGATTAAAAAAACGAGAATCCTGTGTAGATTTACCGAGAGTTCAAATGATACGATGGTCCATAAATACCCAGGGTGCTCGTTTTTTGAGGCTACAATAGAAGCTCCAAGAACGAGAATTTTTCAAGAAATTCGCAACTCAAAAATAGAATCGTAGTATTCAATTTTGTAGTTTCAAACAAAGCGAAATCAAAAAAGTCTGGAGCATCGACGGAAGTCGGTCTTCCATTGTTCACAATTTTTGCTCGTTTAGGCGAAAATGTTTTCCCAGATGATGCCGCTTTTTGCAGACAACGCATCAACTCGAAAAATAAGACAACTTCGAATTGTTGAATAGACATTGATCATCGGCGTCGAAAAATAAAGAAAGTGTCCACTGTCCAAATTCGTTTCAATTAGCTGTCAAAGTGACATGAAACTCTTGATTAATTCTCAGGGTGTCACATTGCAGAAAAACGTAATTTATTATATATATACCCAACACACACATTTCCGTACTTGGTACCACAAACGGCAAATTCCGGAGAAAGATAGACCCGCAAAAAATGACCAAAACACATTGTATAATAAATTTACATCCTTGGTTTTGTTGGGAATAGATGAGTCGTTTCGTTGAAATAGTAGGAATCGCGAGTCATATCATCGAAAACTCCAATCGCAAATATGATATTCTCATCATTCCACACACTCTTGCAAAGGTCGAGCCTAGAAAACGAAATTCATTTTCTTTAATTCATTTTTTTTTCAAACCACTTTCGTTCGGTTAATACTCCAGGCGTGGTCGTGAAATTGCTGCGATGTTTTATAAGTTCTTGTCGAATTGATAGAATTGACTGATCAAACTCATCTAAGGCTTGATCCTCTGTCTGCATATCAATATCATTGCTATCTGGAATACAAGAGCACTGACAATTAATTGAATGAAATTTTCTAACAAGAACCTTGCAATTGATCTTTCCTCACGCTTATTTCTAAAATGGGAAACAAACATTTCTCATTTAGCTGAAATCTTGTCGAATCTTCAAACATTGCCCTCAATAATTTTTCATTCGTCTTTCTCACGCTTGGCTCAAAATCGCGTCTCTTTGCTTTTGTATGAACAAAAACCAAATTTGTTTTTCGTTCGATCGACAACTTCAGATCAAATGTACTCAATGTCGGGCGAATCAATTCAGCCATTCGAATAGTCTGTAAAAAATCTATTTCAAAATGTTTAGAAGAAATAAATTACTGAAATGATATTTCGGTCGATTATAACTTCGGTGCAAACCAGAATCGTATGACTAACTGATATCAGAAGAGCTAACATCCGAAGCATCTGCAAAAACAAAAAAAAATTCAGATAAAACTATTTTTTAAAAGCTTACCCAACTCTCATCCGTGTAAGAAGCATTGGTTCCCTTTTGTCGGAAATTCGATTGTTCTGCAATCGAATAGCTGTGCATTGGTTGACAGTCGATGAAAATGTGTCCGTTTGCGACAAAAATTTCTAATTTCGTTGTTTGATGTCGTGATTGTTCATTAGCTTCTCGAGAAACCGGACGGAACACGTACTCGCGATACATTTGTCTCGATGTATTTCCAGCAAGCATACTCAGTATCGTCGACTTTCCGGAACCTTGCGGTCCGATAGCAGCTATAACGTTGTAATTACAATTTGTCGGAGAGAAGTATTCCTGAAATTAATGTAGGGATTCTATTCTTTTTATTGTAGATACTAATAAATTATAAGAAGTTGAATTGCTGGGGCTGCCCTCTGAAACAATACGAGGTCAAACTCTGTGATTTGACAACTCCGCTAATAAAACATTAAAAATACACAAAAATCATGTTCTTTTACACTATTTTAGCCAGAAAGCGCAAAACATGCTTTTAGGAGTTTTCCGATACAAGACTCAATGCGGAAATCCAAATGATAAAGCAATTGGATTTGTCCATCCACGACAAATCATCGATAAACTTACGGATAAATTGTCTGCAAATTCATTGAAGTCCGATATCAATCTCATCCCTTCCTTCATATGTTTTGAATCAGATTTGTTATCGTTTATAACAGTCGAGGGCAATTCTGAGTCACGGTGCCGATTATCTTTCTCAGGAATGGTATTTCTGGATTTGATGGCAAATCGTGGAGGATCATCTCTTGTCGACTTTTTGATGGATCGATGATATGACGACTCCATTTTTACCTATAAAATTAAATTTAATTAAAAAAAATATTTTGACAAAAAATTGATATTTGGAGAGGAGAAAGTGTGTATGTAATTATTGGAGAAAACAGACGATAAATTGTTCATTAGAGCGGATTTGCTCACTTCATATAAAAAAATAATTATTTTTCCATGTGCCCAAAATATGGCCTTAAAATTTAGGAAAAATTCAATGTTTGAAAGTGAAAGCTGATTGTAAATGTGAAAAACGTAATTTACGAATTTTATCTTTAATTTAATGTTAAAATAGAAAATTGCGAAATATTGAACAACATTGCTAAAATCAGTCGATGTTATAAAAATGTTTGCGCGCGGCTTCCATTCGCTTCAAAATTTATTTTTAACATTCTAAATTTTTCAGGTTTTTAATATTACATGAACTCGTTTAAAAATTTCAAACAAAAAAAGAGCGAGAGAAATAGATCCAATGGCCCACAATCGACTTACGTCGTTCTACCACACGTTGAATCGAACCTAGTTGCGGAATTTTTAGAATGGCCAAATGCTGAAATCGAGAGTGCAGTGGAAGATGTTGTTGAGGTTATATCAATTGTTAATTTTTTTTTGTGAAATCTGCTTTTAGGATCAACCATCAACCTCATCTGCTCCACTATCGAAGTCGGCCAAACTAATTCCTGGCATTGTGGAGCAATTGAAAATTTTCTATCCAGAAAATCACGAAAATATCATAAAAAGTCTATTTGAGATGATAATTTCTACAAAAAGCGACAATGATTTACAAGGAGAAGTGAGACAATAGTGAAGTTCTCGCCAATGTAGTATTATTACAGTTGATTGATCTTTTGGGTGTCGAGCAATTTGAATTGGCCGCAGAAATTTTAGACAAACGTTGCCAATTATGTACTGAATTCATGAATGAAGCTGAAGATGCGAGGAAAATGGCTAAAATCGCTGCAAAGGTATGCTTGTTTATTCATTGGCTACACAATTTTTGAAAAATGATGTGGTTAGTACAATAATTATCAGTAGAGATGCGAGATATCCGATTCCGCCTTGAACGCATCGTTCATTGCAAATAAAAAGCTCGAAATCGTGGCTGCTGTAGTTCGATCGTGTCGGGCAACCAATCATTTTGTGAAAATTCTGAATATTTTGTCTCACATTTCCATTAATGCACGGTTTTCATTGAATACCTGCAATTTTGCGAAATAAATTCTTCCGTCGATGTAGTGAAATGGGTTCAACGAATAATCGGGAGGAACAGGAACGCAGCTCGAGAATTGATTTACACCGGTCCAAACGCAACTCAAAACATAGTCTTCGACGTCTTCATCAAGAATAAATGCCAATGAATCATCTTCACATAGATTTCTCTGAATTGGAAGTAAATCCAAAAGTTTTGAGGAACTTAAATACGAATTTTTTTGAATTTAAAAATGAAATTTAATACTTATGAATGGCGAGTATTCCCAGTTCTGTAATCTGTACTAAAGCTTGGGCGGACCTTCTTAACTTAACGTATCGATTGACATCAGAATCAGCAAACGGGCTGAATAATTGAACGTTTACCAATAATAGAATTCCTTCAGTTCTTACCGAAATCCCCGTTTGCAAAAATTGTTATTTCCGCATTGTATATACCCAGCGTATTTGGAATTTGCGTCAACGCCACTTGGCCCATTATTGAGAATATTCACGAAAATCGCATAGACTACTATTATCATAGAACGAATCATAATTTGGATGTAGAAATGAAATTGGTCGCTCACGTGAATTGTTTCAGGCAAATGTGCCGGCTTTCCTTCAAACGGTAAGCGTTCAATCGCAGAAGCAAAATGAAGCGAGACGGGAATTGAGGAAAGAGCAGAAAAGAGCACAAAGAGAACTGAGCAGGTATCATCCAGAAAAGAAATGTTCGTTTCTCAATATTCCGCTTGTTTTTAAAGAGTAATTCATGCGTTTGGAAACGAGGAGAAGCTGGAAATGGAGCTCGCCCAAAAAGAAATCGCCAGACAAAGACAGTTGGAAATTGATTCGATGAGATTCAATTCTTCAATCAAAATCAACGGAAGACCCCAGGAAATCTATCCATTCGTTTTTGACTCAAGAATTCAGTCGATCGGAACACAGATCGAGCTGAATGGAATGCGATTCGCACTTCCTGAAGGATCAAGACGAGACAATTTCAAAACGCATGACATGGTGTTCGTACCGCCGCCACAAAGGCAAGACATTGATAAAATTCAGCATGTGTATATCAAGGATATGGATGAGGTTTGACTTGATCATTTTTCAGAAGTTCAATGTTTTTTTTCAGCTCGGAAAGAAAGGATTCGCGGGATATGAAAAACTGAATGTGATTCAATCGATTGTGTTCGAACAAGCCTATAAAACAAAAGAAAATTTGCTCATCTGTGCTCCAACTGGAGCAGGTAGGAACCAATTCAGTTCAATTCATCGAGTCGATTGAAATTCTCAGGTAAAACGAATATTGCGATGCTAACAATTCTCAATACGATCCATGAGCATATGAATCAGCGAGGTGAAATCGTCAAGGATGATTTTAAGGTTTGATTTGCACCCATCCTAATCTGTTTTCATAAGATATTTTAGATTATCTATATTGCACCCATGAAAGCACTGGCTACTGAAATGACGGAAAGTTTTGGGAAACGGCTTGCACCACTTGGGCTGAAGGTTCGAGAATTGACCGGAGATACGCAATTGTCGAGAAATGAAATCACTGATACTCAAATGCTCGTATTGACACCGGAAAAATGGGATGTGATCACGCGAAAGGGGACAAGTGACAATTCGTTGATTTCACTCGTTCGACTTCTTATTATCGATGAGGTCCATTTGCTTCATGACGAAAGAGGTCCTGTTATTGAGACCATTGTTGCCAGAACTTTGAGACAGGTGATCTTTGTTTTATGAATGTCGAATTTTATGAAAAAATTCTGAAAATTTTTGAAATTTCTCGGTGAAAAACTGAAAATTTTTGATACCATCTCAATAAATAATATGAGTTTTTAGGTGGAAATTTCACAAACCGGAGTTCGTATCGTTGGTTTGTCGGCGACACTTCCGAATTACATTGATGTTGCACGATTTTTACGCGTCAATCCTTATAAGGGGCTTTTCTTCTTTGACGGTCGATTCCGTCCGGTTCCACTCACACAAAAGTATTGAAAATCAACAATTCCTTATAATATAATGATTCTAGATTTATCGGAATTCGAAAAGCAGGCGATTTTCGGCAGAATCAAAAACTTCTCGATGATGTTTGTTACGATGAGGTCATCGATTTCGTAAAAAGAGGACATCAAGTATTAGTGTTCGTTCACACTAGGAATGGAACGGCGAAACTGGCTGAAGCATTTTCTGCTAGAGCATCTGTATTAGGGCATTTGGAGCATTTCATTCCGCAAAATAGTTGTAGTCAAGGATATTCGTTATCGGAAAAAGCTGTAAGCACATTTGGATCACTTTTTTTTTTCAAAAATAACTTTAATTTTGATTTTAGGTGAACAACTCTCGCAATCGTGGTCAACTGAGCACACTTTTTGGACGAGGATTCGGTATTCATCATGCGGGTTTATGCCGCTCCGACCGAATTCTCATGGAGAAATGTTTTGCCAGCGGACACATCTCGGTTCTTTTCTGTACGGCAACCCTCGCATGGGGTGTCAATCTTCCTGCTCATGCAGTTGTTATAAGAGTATTTCAAATCAATTGATTTTGCCGAAGACTTGCGTGTCAATTTTCAGGGAACCGATGTTTTCGACGCCGAGAAAGCTTCATTCGTCGATCTCGGCGTTCTCGATGTTCAACAGATTTTCGGAAGAGCTGGACGTCCCCAATTTGAGAATGAAGGACATGGTGTGATCATTACAACACGCGACAAAATGGACAAATATCTGATGATGCTTGTTCATCAAAATCCGATTGAAAGTCAATTCTACAAGCGAATCCACGACAATCTGAATGCTGAAATTGCATTAGGATCCGTTTCGACGATTGATGAAGCTGTCGAATGGCTTACCTACACGTACATGTACACGCGAGCATTGCAAAATCCGATGGCCTACGGAATGTCGTACAATGTACTTGATCGCGATCCGGATTTGCGGGAGCATTTCACAAGGATGATGAAGGAGGTCGCATTTCAATTGGATAACAATCAACTTATTCGATTCGATCAGGCGTAAGTGATTCTTTTTTTTATATTTTAAACGCCCGTTTTTCTTTAAATTCAGGACCGAATATCTTTATTCAACCGATCTTGGGCGAATCGCGTCGAATTTCTATGTCAAATATGAGACAATGCAATTTTTGAAAGAAGCTGGTTTGTAAATATTTCTAAATTCAGTTGTGTTCAATGTTTTTTTTTCTCAGAGAATGACAAAGGACTTCCGGTCTGTTTCACCGGTTTCATGCCAGATGACATGGCACTTGGAATCATCTCGATGGCTTCCGAATTTGCGCAGCTCAAAGTTAGAGAAGAGGAATGCCCAGATCTTGAAGAGCTTGTTAGCTACGGGTGCATGCTGAATGTTCGAGGAGGCGGTTTGGCGTCGGTGGCGGGAAAAGTTAATGTCCTCCTGCAAGTAAGTCACTGGGCAAATGTTGTAGTAGCCGATTCAGCGACCTTTTGATTTTTTTTTTTCAATTTTCCAGTCGCTGATTTCGCGAACTCATGTTCGCAATTTTGCGCTGATGTCCGAACAAATGTATGTGCAACAAAACGCCGGAAGAATATGTCGTGCTCTGTTCGAAATTGTAAACTGTTTCACCGAATTGAATCGAATCATTATTTTTTCCCAACAACTTTAGGTTCTTCGAAAAGGATGGGCTCATGCGACGAATGCCTTTTTGTGTATGGCCAAGTACATTGAGAAACAAATGTGGCCGAATCAGAGTCCGCTGAGGTTCGGCAACAAAAAAAATGTAAAATACAATAATTTTCAAATTTTAGGCAATTTTTGCATCTGAACATGATCCCGATTAATTGGATCGAAAAGATCGAACGTCGAAAACTAACAGAGTCTCAGCTATTAGATTTGCAGCCAAAAGAGCTCGGCCATATGTTCAGTTGTGATGGCGAGAGGGTTTACACGATGATGAGATATTTGCCGAGAATGGATGTTGAGGCGAAATTTAAACCGATCACATAGTAAGTCGGAATACTAATGGTACTAGGATGACAGTTCGAAATACTCTAATACTCTAAAAAATGCTATGCCGGATTTGCAAGAAACTAGATTTGTCATGTTTTTCTCCAACGTCTACATAGAAAAAATTGTAAATCCTCATCTCATGCGAATTGATCATTTTCAGCACTGTCATGCAAGTCGAAGTCCAATTGACACCAGCTTTCATTTGGAACGATCGAATTCATGGAAAATCCGGCCAACAGTCATTCTACATGATTCTTGAAAATATCAATGAGAATCTCATTGTCCATCAAGAACGGATAGGCGTTGGAAAACTTAAGGTTTGCCGAAATTATTTGAAAAATCAATTTCAATTCAATTTCAGGTTTCGAAACAAGAAACTCAACACATAATTTTCACAATTCCAATTAGCGATCGACAATTGACGAATAACTACCAGCTGAGAATTGCAAGCGACTATTTCGTAACAGAAGACGTCGTCGTGCCATTGTCGCTTCATAATTGCATTCTGCCCAAATCATTCAAAGCACACACAGGTTTTGAACATAACAAATTTTATTGGATCATGAATATTTTAAAGATTTACTATTATTGGATCCTCTTCCGGTCAAAGCATTGAAAAATGCATTATTCGAATCAATTTACAAATTCGATTATTTTAATCCGATTCAAACGCAGGTAATTTCAATTTTGTGTGTTTCCGAAAATAACTGAATAATTCAAGGTATTCTTCTCGCTTTACAAAACCGACAAAAGTGCACTTGTCGGAGCTCCAACCGGATCCGGAAAAACGTGTTGTGCCGAGCTTGCAATGTTTAGACTTCTGCAAGGACATCCCGGAAAGAAGGTAATTTTTGATTAATTTACTTAATATTTATTCGTCTCCAGATCGTTTATATTGCTCCGTTGAAATCGCTCGTTCGAGAACGCGTTGATGACTGGAAAAGCAAATTCGAGGAAAATATGGGGTATAAAGTTGTTGAAGTGTCTGGAGATGTGACTCCCGATCCGGCCGATCTTGCTGCCTCCTCAATTCTGATCACGACGCCTGAGAAGTGGGACGGAATTTCGAGAAGTTGGGCGACGCGCGAATATGTCCGTCAAGTCGGCCTCATCGTTCTCGATGAAATCCATTTACTCGGTGTTGATCGCGGAGCTGTTCTTGAAGCGATCGTTAGTCGACTGAAAATGATTACTAGAAGATCCTATACGCGAGATGAACCGGTTCGACTTCTTGGCTTGTCAACTGCTCTTGCGAATGCGGGAGATGTAGCTGAATGGCTTGGAATTCCAAACGTAAGCTTCATGGTCTCTTAATCAATTGGAAATCACTTGATTTCATTCAGGAAGGATTGTACAACTTCCGACCATCAGTTCGTCCCGTGCCAATCAGCGTTCACATTCAAGGTTTCCCTGGACAGCATTATTGCCCACGTATGGCTCTTATGAATAAACCAGCCTATAAAGGTACGAATTTCGATACTTCAAAGTGATATTCACTTCAATTTTAGCGATTTTGACCTATTCGCCGACAAAACCAATCCTTGTGTTCGTCTCTTCGCGTCGACAAACTCGCTTAACCGCACTTGCGTTTGTGAATCTTCTTATCGCTGATCACAATCCGAAACAGTGGCTACATATGGATATGGGAGAGGTTGGATTATTATGTATCAGATGATTGTTTAAATGATGTTGTTTAAGCTCGACATCCTAATGCAATCCATCAAAGATGAGAATCTGAAACTCACGCTTCCATTCGGTATCGGAATGCACCACGCGGGTTTATCTGCCCACGAGCGAGCAATTGTCGAGCAGCTCTACATCGACAAAAAGATTCAAGTGCTGATTGCCACCGCAACTCTCGCCTGGGGCATCAATTGTCCTGCGCATTTGGTCATTGTTAAAGGAACCGAGTATTTCGATGGCAAGAAAGGGAAATACGTTGATTTTCCGGTTACTGGTAGGATTTTTATTTATATACAACGACTAATCTTTTGATAATTGTGTTGGACAATCGACGAGCTCGATTGATGCCGGCTTTTTCGTATTCGTAGTTTTTTCGACATTTATCATCGTCGATTCGGCGCTCTTTCGTTTCTCGATAGAAGTGGACTTCTTTTGCGGTTTTTCCTTAAATTCACGAGAATCCTTTTTTGCTGGTGGTACAAGTGGATGAAAATTGATAAGCAACTAGAATTAGCCATTTTGCGAATTGTAAAATCAGGTACCATTAAAAGTACTACGCAGATTCCGAAAAAAAGCTGGTTTTAAAAAATCCTTAAAATGCTCTTAAAGCTCCTATGCAAAATAAGAATAATGCTATTAAAATCACAAAAAAGCCGAGGGGGGATTTCGGGTACTGTGCTACATGCGAATCAAACTCACCGTAAATCTACACAGGGTGCTGATTTTTTGCGAATGTAAATATGCGAAAAGTTGGCTTACTGTAAGCACTGTTGCCGTCGTCCTTGTCTTAATACTATCTTCTTCTTGGAACTCAATTCGAACTGTCTTCTCATGTCGTGCTTCCGGAACTTGAACGCTCTCATCGCCTTCTTGTCCTTCGGCATCAACCTCGTCGAGAAGCGAATTCCGCGTTTTCTCCTTTGATGTCACTTTCTTCTTAATCACTGACATTCCATTTTTTTGTTTTTTCGTCGCATGATGCGGCCGCTTTGGCTTCCTTTCATACGCCGAGCTATGCTTGTTTCCTTCTTGGGATGTTGTTGTACTATCGTTTTTATCCTGACACATAAATGTGCACACAATCATTGCTAGGATGAAAACTGCCAATTTTTGTCAAATATCAAATTGAAATCAATGCAGACAACCAACCGACATGATACATCACTGGTAAGAGTTGGTCAGAAAAATAGAAACGCAAAAATATGTGTTGAATCATTTTGGGGATAATTGCTAGAAATGGGCATAATTGATTCGCGCGCTCCCATTTCTTTTTTTTTCTTCACTCCGTTCATTATATGGCGTCACGTGCATAATTGCAGATGTTCTCCAAATGATGGGAAGAGCCGGACGGCCGCAATACGACGACTCGGCTGTCGCTGTGATCTACGTGCAAGATTCGAAGAAACTCTTCTACAAAAAATTCTTGTATGAACCGTTTCCGGTCGAGTCGAGTCTGTTGCCAGTGCTGCCGAACCATGTGAATGCCGAAATTTCGTCGGGAACGATTGATTCGAAACAAGGAATCGTCGAATATCTTTCAGGAACGTATCTCTATCGAAGATTGTTTGCAAATCCAAAGTGAGAAACTCGAAACTAGATTTTTTGAAACAAATTCCTTTTTTTTGCAGCTTCTATGGACTTGAAGAAGAATCTGATGAAGCGATGCTTCATTTCATCACCGAAGTTGTTGATAATTCGGTAATCGAGCTTGTTAAATCCGAGTGTATTACGGTAGACGACGAGAGTAATTTGATCAAACCCACCGCTTATGGACGAATCGCGTCGGTCTATTATCTCCAACACGAAACTATTCGATTATTGATATCCGAACTTCATGATGCGTGTGGAATCGAGGAAATGCTGCGTATCATGACGGTAATTATTGGGATTTTGTTTTATGTTGAGACAGAAAATTTGAAATTTTAGCATGTTCCGGAATACTCGGAAATTCCCGTTCGTCACAATGAAGATTTGATTAATACGTAAAAATTGATGATTTATTTATCTTGATGATGTTCAATCTTTTTTGTTTCAGCGAACTTCAACGCAAGCTTCGAATCAGATTCTCGACGTCTCTTATGGGAGCTTCGCATACGAAAGCCCATTTACTATTTCAGGTTTGAAAAAAATCATTTTGCATTTTTATACATTTCCTTTATCGTATTTAGGCCCACTTTATGAGGACCCTTCTTCCAACCGACTATCGCACCGATTTGAAAAGCGTCCTCGACCAATGCGTCCGAATCCTTCAAGCCATGCGTGAAATGACACGGCTCAAATCTTGGCTTCAAGCCACTCTATGCATTATCATCCTTCAACAGATGTGTCATTCAGCACGATGGCACGATGATCACCCGCTTCTTGCTCTTCCCAACTTGTCTGTTGATGATGCTATTGCGTTGGGTGCTGAAATGACAATTCCACAACTTCAACAGCTTCTGGGAGTCGAATCTGCAACGAGTGCGACGGACGCGAAGCTCGTCAAAAAAGCGAAACAATTGTTTTATGAGAATACGACATTGGATGAGACGCAAACGATGGAAACATTGAAGGCGATTTGCAGCTGGCCAATTGTGTCAATCAATATTGTGCAGTTCATGGATAGTTCTGGAACAGTCTTGGCGAATGTCGATTTGGATGGAAAATGCAGTCCAATTCGTGTCAAATCGGCACAGAACTATCGTGTTCGAATTGTCGTCGAGCGACATGGTCCGTTCAGAAACAGTTCGGCGATGCATCTGCCACAATGGGGAAAACCGAAACAAGCGGGATGGATATTGTGCATTGGCGATGTTCAAAGAAATATGCTGTTGAGCTCGACAAGTCTGATGGGATCGAATTCGACTAGATCGACGGCCAAAATGGAATTGCGAATTCCAGAAAAGAGGTAGTGTTTGGTTGGATCAAGTTTTATTCATAGAAATTTCCTGAAAATATTTGTGAGTTCCACAAAGAATGGAGCGAAATTGTCGTCCTAATTACCGAATATGACGTTCGGAACTCAATGGTGCGTTAACGAGTCAAACAACTTTGGCCCACCAAACTTTGCCATTCACTAAACGCATTTTGAAAACCACAAAAAATGTCATTTCAGAGGTAAAACAACTCTATCGTTGTACTTGATGAGCGATTGCTATCTAGGAATCGATCAGGAATATCAAATTGCTCTAATTATTGAATAATAGGTGTTTTTAATAGGGGTTTCTTTACATTTTTCATTGTGTGATATATGGTGTTTTTACGAGTTTAGTTAACAAATTTTGCAAATTTTATCACCCGCAATTGAAATTTATAAAAGATTGTTGTTGTTGCTGGACTTTGAGTTTGACTTGGAGAATGTTCGGAACATCATTACCGACTTCTTCTTCTGGCTTCCTGCGCCATTCATCATCACGCCGCCGCCGAAGCCGGCTCGGAATTTCTCGTTTCCCCGCTTCGGGACCAACAATTTTTGCTTCTAAATTGTATTATTGTAACAATTGCGTCAATTTCGACGATATTCACCCGCTGGCCCATTTTCTGTGTGATGCAATTGGCGACATAAATTGCAGCCACCACAACTATCACCATTATCCCGCCAAAAAGTAGCGCCCATCGTGGAATCGATGCATGCACCTTTAAATCGATTTTTGTTGTTGTCGTCGAGGTGCCCTGCAAAATTACCGGCGTCGAATCGACGTGAATCAAGCGACCAGCGTGATTTATGGCGTTTTGCAGCGAAACTAAAGTGGTTTCTCGCGAAGGCGTCACAATGGGAATCGAGAATCGACGAAGGTGAGGCCATTTCTCACTAAAAACCAAAATTCACGAAAACGCTCATCTCGAAAAGCATGCCCGAAAAGGGGAATAAGAATTGGCGTTCGAAGACGTTCCGTTTGCCATGCTCGAATATAAAGAAAGATTACATCAGCATCACAATGATCTGAAAGAATGCCAATAATTTGAACATTCAAATATTCTGGTCGAAGTCAAACGACTTGACGAAATTTTAAAAATGATTGGCTATGTGCCAATGCGTCTCGAGACAGCGAGAAGTACGCGAGATTGCGTACATTGCATTATAGCGTACGCGCATTTAATATTTAGTCAACGAGAAATTTAAATCTACACTGATTTTGTCAATTTGAAGGCCCGTCGCTCTTCAGTCGTTTAACGACGATTTCGCAAAACATAAGGCGTCCTTCTCCGATTTCTGACGAGCTAACTTCACAAGTTATCCAGTGAACGGTACCCAAATTCAAACAATTCAATATCAAATTTGAATTACCGCCTCAAAAAAAGTGCGATAGTCCACAAGCGCTCGTTTTATTGCGTTCGTAATACATAATAGCGAATACCTTGCCATCGCGACGCCAACAATTGAGCGTATAAAATGGTTGAAGCTGAAATTGAGGATGTCGTATATGTTGGATCACAGGCTCGAAGGCTTAATAAAATATGATGTGATTCAAAATAAAATTGTTGACTACCTTTGCCAGCTGACATATGGCAGCAAAACGACGGCAATTTTAATGCCTCGTTGACATCGCAATCGCGTATAAGGAGTGTCGCAGAAGCAGGATGTCATATTGTGATTATTTGCGGTTGTTTGAAGCATTTCAACCTCAGTGCGTGATAGAATTCCACCGGGGTCGCATACATATGGACTCTTCAATTAGAACGAGCTAAATAATCGCATCCCCCAACCATCGTATTATATGAAAAAATTTCCCTCTTTTGCCATTCCCGTGAAATATCCAATTATATTCGAAATTAAACATTAATTATTCATTTTCTTTTCAATAAATAGACGTCGAATAATCTACTGACCTTGTGATAAGATATCTGGCAAAATGCGCTGAAATTGCTATAAGTGAAGAGGGGGAAATTGCATGGTTCTAAAAAAAACGCTGAAATTTTGAGCAAATTTTAAAATTGATTAATCACCTGAAGTCACATCTCTTGTTCGTCTTTCCGATGAGTTGGCACTGAAATAAAGAGCTCTGCGGGAATATTCGAGATTATTCGAACTACCATTTTGGAAGAATCAAAAACGACAAGAGATACTGTAACTGTCGCATACCCGCCGGATCAGGAAATTTCGCTCATTTCGTGTGTCGCATCGAAACGCGAAACAAACGATTAAAAAAAAGATGAAGGCGAGCTGAAAACAAAGCCTAGTTTCGAAATTAAAGAAAAAATGATGTAGCGATGAAGAACGGAGAGCGAATGGGAAAAATTAATTGAAAAAAAAACGGAGGATGCAAAAAAAAATACGGAAGACAATTAGACACGTCATACTCCTGTTGTGTGTGTGTGTGTGCTCTGCGAGCAACCGTTAAACGAGTCTCGAGTGATTTATGGAATTCAAAAACTGGAAATACGATGAGCAAAAGAATCGAGTTTGAGAAGTAGAGGAAGAAGTATAAAAATCGAGAAAATTCAAATTTGAGTGCAAAAAAAGTGGAATTAAAATTTGGATATTCCAAATTCTCGAAGGATTAATCAAAATAGTGAAACAAATAAACAGTAAGAGAAAGTGAATTGTTTTTATTTTCGAAGTTAAAACAAAAATAAGGAATGAAGAAATATCAGCATAGCAAACAGCAATTCGTAAACGAATAATGGATGAATTTCGAAACCCTTTTATGGCACACATCTCTTTAATGGGAGTATTGTGAAAGAAAGTCAATTTTAGGTTTTTATAACGTTTTTTTTTACAGCTGAGTAAAAGAATTAATCATTGAAAAAAGCGTTCGTTTCGAATTTTCAATGAAAATTTAGGCGTAGGAATCCGTGCAGTAGTAGTTTTCGAAGACTTTCTAATTTGAATGAAATTTTGAAGCTTCAAAGTTGCAAAAATTGTTTAGTTTGCTCAAAATTGGAGCATCATTAATGTTTCTACGTAATTTGAACTCAAACCGGGGGTTTTTTTTGGACCGCCAATCCTATTTCCGGCAATCAGCCGATTAAATTCCACAACGCGCAGCCCATCCTTCTTCCACCCAATATTTGTCTCTCGTTCTCACTTCGGCTTTCCGACACATCAGTATCATCATGCTGTTTGTAACCGAATTACATTGCGTTGGCGCCAAACATTCGCTGGCCGATGGTGCACATCATGAAACGGACCAACAAAACATTATTCGACGAGGGGGGGGGAATAATTATGGGATGACAAAAACAAAGCCACACGAAACTCGGCAACAATGTGTTGCTCTTATTCATAAGGCTCGTTCAAGCATAGAAAATGAGGCGGCGATTTATTTTTGTGGACCGACGCCACTAAGAATACTCGTTTCACAACAGCTAAAAAAAATCGATTGTGATCCCATGGGATCTGTGTGTCATTTTTGGTCGCAAACGTCCGAGATATTGGTCGGAAAGAGGGCATAAAAAATGGCACGAAGATTTATATTTGAGCGAGTTTTTTTTGTTGTTGTTGGTCCCTTCCGAAAATTGTAATTGGCCAACCCAAATAATTTTCGGAATTTTTTTAGAATCGCAAAAAAAAGTGAGCACTTCTGTAATTTTTTTTATTGAGGTGAAGCTCGCCTTTTAAGCTGCTGATATGTGAGGGCCACTGTCGAGGGCCCATTTAGGACGAGGTGGATTTATTCATAGTAGGGTATCCGAATTTTGCGCTGTTTTAATCGAAATTTGAATTACCGCCAAGAAACAAATGCGATGGTCCACAATTGTTCGAGGTGCTCAGTTTTCTACGATCGCATAATTGGAAACTTGAAATGATGGTAGCAGATTATTCGGACCACTTTAAGCGACGAAAGTAAAGGCGCCTGAATTTATGAGTGAAAAAATGCGACTGAATAAAACATGAATGTTCGGGTTCAACATTTTCGTATACCAAATCCAAAAATGGCCATTATGAAGGCGTGAAGCTGGCTGTGGTTTTATTTGACAACCCCAACGTGCTTCAAGAAATCAAGAAAACAAAGATGAGGAAAAACCGCGAGAAAAAAAACTGGCAACGTCATGGAATGGGGCACGATTTCAGAAACGCCCAAAATATGATCGCATTTTTAGATTCTATCGTTGAGTTCCTCGAAGTGAACACAATATTTTGGGATTTTAAATTAAATTTTAAAAGATTCCATTGGACAGGGACTTGGAGAATTTAAAGACAGACTCATTCTACAAAAATAGTTTCATTATTCCCATTATTCCAGTCACAAAAAAAGAGAATTCCAATTGAGTTCAGATAGAAATCTGTTTTTTTTTTTTCAAATATTGATAACTCTTCATCGAGTCGCCCCGATAAAACTTCCGTCTTGCTACTCCAATTCACTCTTTTTGAATAATTCACCAAAAAAAATTCATCCGCTTCTAAAAAAAGATCGTACCGAATGCGTGAGCGAGAAATGAGCTCGGACGTGACTATGACAAAAAAGGAACCCTTTTCACTTTTCGGTGACTCAAACGCGCGCATACGCACGCAAAAAAAAGGCTGCAAATGTTGGGAAAGGGGAAAAAAGCGATGCGGCAAAAAATGGCACGAAAAGTATAAGGACGAACAAAAACGCGGACGGAAGGGAAGGAACGAGCCGCATAACGCGTCGATTCGTCATCATCGTCGACGTCGTCGCCGACGAAGAAGAAGAAGAAGAAACGATGTTATTTGTCTTCGGTTCATGTCAAAACGCTAATTATGCTAATCATGCCGTGTTCGTCGCACTTGCGCGTCGTGCACACGCAAAATGCCTCCTTTTTTTCGGGAGAAAAACGAACAATTGCGTTAGATTGGCTCCAAACAACACTGATTTCTCGCCTTTCATGGTGTTTTTCTTGTTTTGCCAAACAAAACATTAAAAAGAAAACAACCGAAAATTTAGGGTGTCTCAAAATTTCTGAAAAAATAAATTTCAGCTTGGCAATTTTGCGCAACTTTTTTAGAGAGACTAGACATTTTAATTTTTTCTTTTTTTAGAAGGACTATTCATTTTACATACTAGAAGCATATTTCCTGAAAAATGTCTGCAAATTGGCTGAAACGTTGGCGTGACACTAGTCTGGAAGAATTTCAGCAAAAAAGGCGATTTTTTCCCGAGACGGCACGCCATTCGATTTATCAAAGTCAACCACTTCTTCTCTGAGAAACGTGAGTTTTGCTCTTGAATCTGTTCAATGCAAATCCTTTCCTCGCCGCAATTTTTCATATTTCATCCCATCCCATGCGAAACTCGCAACAAATGACTCCCTTGTGAAAGCTTTAGTCATATTTTTCAAGAAAACACTGCCCATTCAGCATTCATCGATATCTTGAAGCACAGAAAAATTTTAATGACAAGCATGAAACGGATAAAACATAATAATTTGAACGCATTGAATTCCATTCTTTTTCCGCAAATCAAAAAATGAGCAAATCCTTAAAAAAACCGGTTGTTCATAGGAAATTATTGTAAATTCCAGCACGGATGCGCCTCTTTGCCACGTTTTGAAATTGTTTTACAATTGTGGAAAAACGACACATTAAAAAATCGAGGAATCAGAAAAAATTGAATGTGGGAAGTGAATACAAATCTATATATATATATATTCATGTTATCTACTATCTACTACGATTATAATTACTACTATTAAACATTAAAATTAAATGTTCTTCAAGACTAGGAAAAAGGAAAAAAAGGGAACTGTTGTCAATAAAAATCATATAAGGAAATTTTAAACCGAAAGCTTCTTTTCAAACTTTTACAACATCTTTACATCATTTGCATTCAACAACTTCGTACTGGTCTTTCATACGACGAAGACGGATTCTCAGAGGAACACGTTTTCTTGGCACCTGGAATACTTCGAATAATTTTTTTAAAATCAAGTTCGAACGATGACCCTGAAGGTTCTTGTAAACCAATTTCCACTAAAAAAATATTGAAAACTTACAACTTTTGAGAGAGCATTATAATGCGACCATTTCTCAATCGTTTTCCATTGATTATAATCCACTTGCTCATAATTATTTTGGGTCATTCGTTTCACGATGATACCTAGAGACATGCATTTTTAACAGGACGAACGATTGTACTCACTGTCCTCCGAAATTCGCTTGAAATTGATGCTTAACTTCGGAATGGGTTCTCTGTCACGAACGACGATGACCGGTGGTTTTGGGGGTACAACCCGTATCTTCGGACTGCAGTGAGATTTCAATTAAATCATGAATATTCAAAGATTACCGTTTTTTGAAGACTGGCTCAGAGGAAAATGTTCTATGTTTTCGAATTTTGAGAACCAAACTTTTATCGTGTTTCAAATCGACAAACACATTGCGGTCCGGATAATTATCACCATGGAGGTTTGTATCAGACGGCTGTATTCTACTGACCTCGTCCGCTTCCCATCCTCTTGCCGCCTCCTCTTCTTTTGAGTCATGCGAGCTTACGGGTACAACGCTCAATCGCTGTCTCTTGCTCATTTTAGGTTGGCGGTCAATCAACTTTTGTTTAGCCTCCATTATTCGTTTTAGTTCCATCTGCTGCTCAAATCTCAATCGCTCCTCATGACGCCTCTCAAATTCGCGCCTATAAGCCGGTATACGTCCACGTTGTTTCGGTCGTTCTGGACGAGCATTAATCGGTTTGATTGGCGAGATTAGAAAACTCGGCTTTGAACTCCCAGCTCGATCAAAGACAGTTGGCAACGAATGCGACTTTTTTGTCGATATTGCGTCACTCTAAAAAATAATTCACAATATTTATAATAATCAAGTAGTTTTTTTTAGATTACATCAGTATTAAAAGTAAGCGAGCGATCGGTCAGCTTTGAAGACGATTTTCGGTTTCTCTGATCGGCTGGCTTCTGCGGCAACGGATCAATTAGGTTTGGAGGTGCCTTTGGGACAACCGGCTTGTAATAATTAAAACCAAGTTGCAGGTCATCAAGATCATCGAAATGTGGTATTCTAAATACAAACATTCATTATATTAAAAGGATGTTCAAAAATTGTACGATGAGGGCATTGTTTTAGTCGTTCCGGCACATTCTGTGTGTTTTCTGCTTGTTGCTTCAATCACGCGACCATTCGAATTTGACTGAGAGTACGATCCATTGTGATCATCTGATTTTAAAACTTCCTCATCTGGCTAAAAACAAAAATTATTACGATAATTTTACTCACTTCCTTTAATTACGTCTGGTGGAAACGGCTTAACAGTAGAAACGTAGTCTTCAAGTTTACCTAAATCAATTCCTGCTAGCTTGTACATGAATACAACATCGAAAAGATTCGCTTTGCGTTGGCAGCCTTGCGATGGATCTCCTAAAATGTTATATCGGTTATCGACTTCCAACAAAAACTGACCATTTTCTGTGAGAATTTTCAGATTTCTGCACATAAACGCGATTTTGTCAGCCAAATATTTTGTCAATTTCGCATGGGCCGCACGTTCCACGCGCGCAAAACCCATATTTTCCAAAATTCGGCTGACCGAATTTTCAAGTATCTGAAAAATCGGTCTGAATTTGAAGATTCTGATCACTCCATTCTGATCACCTCTTTCGTGCGATTTTTCGAACAATTCGAACTCATTGTCGCTAGGTTTACTCACTGAAAACAAAACTAAATAATTCTTAATAAAATTTAAAAAGTTGTATAATATTTATAAATAAATCCTTCGATCAATCAAAACTTTCGTCAATTTGAAAAAAAAAAACAAATCTGAAGCATTGTCCGTGTGAACTACAACTAAAAGAGGTTGTGTTGATAATTAGGCCACGGCCATATTTAGGGACACGTTTTTTTAGTTTTTGATTTTTTAACTGAAAATTTCTTCTAAAACGAAAAAAGTGTTTACATTATTAATGTACATATTCAATATTTTACAGAGAAGCCAAATGTATTGCACGACGATTAATAAAACGAATCAAATCGATAGTAAATTACTGGTAAGCTATTTAAAACATTTTACTAATTATTTTAATATTCCAAAAAAATTACCAGAAATCCCAATAAGTTAAGTATATGCTACGTAACAGTATCATATTCAACACACCGTCTGATCTATTAGTAGTTAGTTTTATAAACCAGTAATGTGATCAATTAAAATTTCTAAATATTCGAATATCAAAAAATTAAAATTTTTGAAAATTCATTGGGTTTTGAAAAAATTTGAGGAATTTTCTGAAGTCGCCACTATTCAAATCGAAATTTGAATTACCGTCCGAAAAAAAGTACGATGGTCCGCTATTGTTCAAGGTGCCCGTTTTTGCGATTGTAATAATTTATACAGTGCTCGACATAATTATATACTCACCCAAGTTTTGTCGAATAACTCGAAAACGCGAATAGCTCCAAAAATGGTTTCAATTAGAAAAATATGCACATTTATTATCAGTTTCATATTACATACACAAAATTTAACAAAAAAATGATTTAGAAAATGTTGTCATTTTCACGAAAATGTCAAAAAATTTCCACATAATTAGAAAATGAACGATTATTAATCAACTGGATCTCGATTGAGTCTTGTTACATAAATGACTACGATAGAAATCTCGCCCATCACAATTGCTTTTTTTCATCAGAAAAGCCTACCTAAAAGAAGAAAAGAAGTTCAAATTTTGCAATTATTCTTACATTTCTCTGGTCAGTCCGTTGATTCTTTTTGGCAAACTCAACGTGTTTTTCACTACGTATTCGAATCAATATTGGTGTTTTTCTCATTTTCCCGTGCTTGATGAAGTTGCTCTTCGATATAACGCGCCGGACGGTTTCAATTGACACCGCGAGATTTAGTTCCTTTCGAATCGTTGAGCACGACACGGCCGAATTTGACGCTCTCCGCAAAATTTTGCGCTTATCACGGTCCGAAAGCAGTGAAGGACGACCTGTCAACTTTTTTTGTCCATAAGCGGCTGGATTCTTAGCATATTGACTAATAACATTATGAGTTCGTCCCAGATCATTCCCAATTTTTCGATAAGAGAGACCTTGAGCCAGCTTTTTTTTAATTTCACCTTTTTCGAAGTCGCTGAGCAGCTTTCCACGAGGCATGTCTTAAAGAACAAAAAAGTTGCGAAAAAAATTGAAAATACGAAAATGTACGAAAAATAATCGAAAAATAAAGTCAAAGAAATAGATAATGTATTTAATTCTGTGGATTTTTTTTGAATTTCGAAAATGACGAAATTTTTAAATTATTATTTTTTGTTGAATTTTGTAAATTTAACATGAAAGTAATAATAAATTCGTATATTTTTCTAATTGAAACCATTTCTGGAGCTATTCGCGTTTTCGAGTAATTCGAAGAAATTGGGGTGGGTATATAATTATGCATGTAAAAAATAAAAACAATAGAGCCAATATTTAAAGTAAATTCTATTTTTTCGAAATATGGATATTAAAATAAAATTAAAAGTATATTCTGATTCGATTATCGCTATTACCATAATCAAAGGAACATTTTAAATATGCCTTTTTCGGAGAAAATAGTTTCTAAATTTGGGTTTGTGCAAACAAAATTTTTCGAATAACTATGCGAAAGCTCTAATTTATAAATGCGATTACGGTAATTAAAGGATCATATTTAATGTAGATCTTGACACGAAAATCTCAAGAGTACGGTATTCAATTAGTTTTTCGAATCCATGTCGATAATTCGCTGGATTTTTGTCAAAAATTCTATTTGAGCGGGCTCAACCCCGATTTTCTTGTGTCGCGATATCCTTTCGACAATCTGCTGGCCGACGGATGGTAGCCACTTGTACTCGGCTCTGTGTTGCATAATATATATATTTAGTGCTCGAACGAGTTGCGCAATCGCTTATTCTTTCAATTTTTCGTCGTGTGTCGTCTTTCTTCGCATCCGATTCATCCCACTCTTCGTCTCTGTCATCTGTCCTTCTTTTCGTCCTCTCCTTTGTCCGAATGCGTGCCCTCGCCACTCCCCCGTTGCACCCTTATTGATCTTAGACGAAACGCCAGCAAAAATGGCCTACACCATTCGTCACCCACGTGAGATCATTTGGCCGCTGTTCTGCTGACTACCTGTCAGCTGTTTCTACACACACACACACGCTCGTTGATTCTTCGATATCGCGTCTGGATTTCATCCATTTTCTCCCTCGATATCATGAATTGCGAATTCGCCCATTATTATCAATTAATAAATAAACATTTGAAAACTGTTTAATCGCCGCTGGCCTTTTTCGTAATATGTTAAATAGAAGCTCGCGGCGTGTATTTGTGCATGCGCACCCAATATCCATTCGCACGTTCGCGTTTCCTTCTCAACAACCTTGTGTGTGTGTGTGTGTATCGTTCATCTTCCACGGCTGTCTTTATTACGAAAATTCGTAAATACGACAAATTTTTGGTTTTAAAATTGAAAAAATTATTTTATAGGAATTTTACACCAATTTGGTTGTTTTTTTATTCGAAATTTTAACTTTAAAAAACCGCTGAAAACGTGACTTTGTAAATTTTTGAAGTAGATTCCTGACCTTTGAAAGTCCCCATATAGAACAAAAAAAAAGAAAATTGTATGCTGTCACATGGTGATTTATTTAGCACCAGCCGTCGAAGAAGGTGGCCTTCAGTTTTTCAAGGATATTTTTCGCTAAAATCCCATCTGCTTTCTTTTTATTTGAAAAATCCTTCAAAATACCTTGAAGATCATCAAATTCAAACATAAAACTAGATGGTTTAAAATAGAACATAAAACTTGGTTTTCTTTTCCATTTTTATGTGCATCTTATATGACGGTATATGGGAATTTTCTTTGGTCAAAAGTTAGTGAAGCGTAGAGTAGAACGAGTTTCAACGTCTTCGAATAAAAATTCATTCTCTTTGTCTCGTTTCAATGATATCCATTCCTTTGAATACCAATTTTTCTATTTTCAACCGGTTCATTTTTATTGCAAAATCTGGCCGATTAATATGAGTGGTGATGATTTAACCTGGTTTGTCAATTTTTGGAACGGTAGAATTTCATTGTTGTTTTGAAAAATTTAATTTTGATATTATCTATCCATTTTTTTTCAAAATCATTTTTCATCCTCTTTTTTTCTTTGGATCGACAAACTCGAATAAAAGAAGTGACGGTCAATTTTTTGGAGAAACGGTAGCATAACCACTGAAACAAATTGGCTGTCTCACTCGAATCGGCGAAACAGGGCAGCCAAGAAAAACCGAGACGAGATGCCCGGTTTCGCTCAATGAGTTTCCCGAAGCTTTTGAACTCCCCCCATCAATCCCATAGATCAATTTCTACGAAAATAATCGCACACTAATCTCTTCTGATAAATCAACTCGGAGCCCACCAGTGCTGCTGACTTTTTGAGCTCTATTTACATTTTTCTCCTCGGCGTTCGTCTCTCGAATCGTGTGCTATTGTGGCGATCCCGTGCCACTCCCATCAACTCGGTCGGCAAAATCAATGTTTTTTTTTTGTTCAAGTTGAATTAACCGGCCGAAACACACTCAAACCGCCCTGTTTGTTGTTTATTAGGCCATATTCGTCGTATCATTTATTATTATTATTATTATTATTGGTATATTGTTGTTATTCATTGAATAAGCACGTTGTAGGAATGTTTGATAAGCGAAAGAAAGAATTGAGGCGACACCAAGCGATTTGCCATTATTTATGCGTGTTTGCTCAACCAACAGCCTTGTGTTATCGAATCCATCTGTTCCCTCTAATTAGATCAAACAATTTTCAGGGGGGATCGGTCATATGATCAATTAAACGACCTTCTTGGCCGCATTCCGTTTCTTTTCTTTCTTTTACTGGTTTTCGCGCGCCTAAAATGCCAAATTGGATTTTTTTCCTCTGACATTGAGCTTTATTTTTGATTTTTAAAACATCTTGAAAATTATCATATTTCTGTATGTTATGGGATATGAAAACTCAAAACTAATTAAGCTTACTTATAATTTCATTTTTTTTTGTCAAAACTCGACATTCTTCGAATGCAACGATCTCCTAAATTGCGAGATCGATTAAGATAATATTCTGATGCAATCAATCACCGCGACACCTTTTTGCATTGTCTTCATTCGCCGCTTCTTTTAATTTCAAATAAAAAGGCATGGCGGTAAAATTCCCACGATTCCCGTCGACGGTATACGCGCTATTTGTCTAACATAACAAATCGTTCATTTCTTCCAATTTTTTTGTTCTATTTCCTTTTCATTTTCTCTCTTATTCAATAGGCGTTTTCCGACGGACGCCGACATGATTACTATCCTTTTTTTGAATAGTAATATATTTAATAACATAACAAAACATGTCGATTGCCTCGCTATGTGGTAGTGTGGCGTGGTGTTCTCGCCGATTTGATTTGCGCGCTCCAACGAAGCGCAAATCATAACCGCCTCGTCTTTTGTGATCGTTCGAATTATTACATTTATCGTTTTGATGAAGTTTTGCATAATTCAGGCGACTGCGGGCGATTAGACTCGAATATGATGGCAACGAAGACGTCGCTCGTCGAAACCGTCAATATTAATGTCGACGATTTTTCGGAGACGTTTCTGACGTGCAGCACGTGTCTACACACCTACGATCAGGTTAGTTTTATACTTTCCATTTTTTTAATGGATAGCTTGCATTCACAATTAATTATAATAATGTGTTCAAATTTTTGCATAATTATTGTAATTTCTTAATTTCTATTTGCTATTCTCGGTCAAGACTGTCAATTAAGCTAATAAGAATGTCACCTGATTGTGAAAAGGCGAACCAGATGATTGCCATCTGGACGCGGTCCAATTTCATATATACACATATATGTATATTGGTTAGCAACATTCATTTTCCGCGCGGCCTGCCCATTTATGTATATTTGCTAGTGGTGCTGCGTGCTGACAGCGACGCCTACAAATCGCTGCTTGATTCCGCACCGCCGGCTCTCGCCGCGTTTCGCTGCCTCATTTTGTGTCCCAGTGGCAGCGGCGACGACGACGGGGGTGGTGTGTCTTGCTTTCAAATTCGCGCCCTCCAATATAATTTCTTCATGATTCGACGGCGACGCAATATTTCGCCGCTTTTCCCTTTTTCGAGGGTTTGTCTCCTGTTTTTTTTTTCTGCTAGCATATTTTCGTCGCGTGTGACATTCACCGGCTTTTACTCTCTTCATTTCACTCACTTTTGTCCGAGCGCCCTCATTTTTTTTTGCACTCAATTCTATTGTCTAGTTTTCTTGCAAATATTCTCGACGACCTTTACGATACGAATTATTAATCGGGTTGTCCCGAGAGATTTGAAGAAAAATGAGATGAAAAGAAATCAGTTTTGCAAATAAAATGGACGCCAACTCGTTCGAAATTGTTACGCCAACTTTTAGGCATTTTGAAGTTCCATTTTTTTAAAGATTTTGTTTTTTTTTTATTATTTTCGGGATGAAATATTGCACAAACTTTCTTTTTTATAGACTTCTGTAAAAAAAATGTTGCAGAAGATATGCTAGAAAATTGCTTCAGCTTTACTAAGAAATTTCCACGGGTCTTAAATTATGCTAAGAATTTGACATCACTTGACGACAATTTCCTACACACAGAAAACGACATAGCTTACACGATAGGGAATTTCGCGAACTATTTGTGTGCAAATTTAGAAAAATTCCAAAATCCCGAAGAAAAACGCTTCCCTTGTTAATAAACCTTTGGAATTTTTGTAGCAAAAGTCTACAAGAAATTGCTGCAATTGTTTCTCAATTCAATTTTTAAATTTTATATTATGAATGGGTAAATAATTTCCTGGTGTCAATTATTCAACCATTCATGTTAATGTATTCAGAAGTGAAGATATTAATTCCGATGCCTCATATTCAATTGTGCCGACCTCTATTGTCTGCAAAATTTCACTATCTTATCAATTTCTGAAGCATTCCATTTATCAGCAGATTTTTCATTATATCGTGTATAATATTCGGTATTGTTGGTTTCTTTTAGAACAACATGGTGTATTATTAGCATAGCCTTAATTTTATTATTTTTTTTTGAATAAGAACTTTTTGATCGTCAATTCGTTCTTCATCAGACAATCATTCTCTCTTGCATTCGCTTCATTTCAGGATACACGAAAGCCGAAGCTACTGCCTTGCTCGCATTCGGTGTGCTTGTTCTGCCTCACCCAACTCGCGTCACTTTCGGATCCATCGGTGAGCATCGAATCTGTTTGGCTCTCAAGAATCCGAGTTTTTTTTTCAGACCGATCCACTTACCATCAAATGCCCATTGTGTCGTGATGTATGTATATTGCCTCCTGGAGGTGTAACATCGTTTCCAGCCGCGTTTTTTATAAATCAATTGTTGGATGTGATGCAAGTTCGTGCAAAAAAAAACATTTTCTCTATTATTTATGAGACTAAAAAAGAAGGCAACATTGCATTTTTGAATTTTGTTTCAGCTTTGACGAAATTATTTCAAAATGAATTAGAAATAATTGCAGAAGCAACGGAAGGATGTTGTCCCATCGTGCACAACCCACCCGTCCGATCAGCTCCTCTATTGCGAAACATGCGATTTGGTGTTCTGCGAGCAATGTCAAACCTCGGCTGTCAAGTACGTTTGCAGTCATCGATGATTTTCCAATAACGAATCAATATGATTTCCAGCAAAAAATGTAATGAGCATACGGTTGTTCCATTGTCGATCGCAATTAAACGAATGTCGGAAATTGTGGTGTACCGGGCGAAAGGTCGCCTTCGAGCACTCGATTCGGCGCATTTGGCGGTCACTCAAGAAATTGAGCAACTCGATGGAAATGTCGACAAAATTGTCGAGCAGATCAATTCGGCAATTCAGGTTCAGTTTTTGTTTGTTTTTTTTTTCAATGAATTCGATTTTGTGGATGTGAATGGGCAAAGAATGTTTTGGCATCGGGCGGGTTCGAAACAACAAATCTCAATTAAAAAAGAAAACCTTTTGAAATAGTATTGTCGAAATCACGCGACTGCGACAAATTGATGAATAGCCGCCGAGGCGAAGAGTTGTGTCTGTGTACTTCGCACGAACAATGCCATGCTAAACAACGCTGCGCAAAAATCGTCACGCGTAAAACGACACGTATGTTGCGTGCAGTAAAAGCGTGATTTCGACAATAAAGGAACCACTAAATGAATATTAAATTGGGGCAGGTTTATTTTTTGAAATTAAATAGTGCCAACTCTTGCAAGTGAAATAATAGACTACAAAAAGGAAGAGTTCTTCACTATCTAGACGCAAATCAAATTCACATAACTGTTTGAATATCCTTTACAACTGACAGAATATTAAATAAATACAATAAACCAGAAAAGTGCATTTCTTTTTTTTTTAGATGACTCATCTCGTACATTGAATTTTCCCAACTAGTCTCATTGATTTTTTACGTTTTTTTTGCTAATAATTTTCAGTTAATTTGATCTGAATCTCCAGTAGTTTTGACCTGTTTGCTTAGCCGCCAAATCGCTTCTTCTTTTTTCAAATATTTGTTTGTATTTTCGTTTTACGGTCTCCCTCTCTCAATTCAATTTTTTTCCTTGTCCTCTATCCTGCTTTTCTTGTCTACCTCCTTTTTCTGTGCGGTCAATTCTCTATTCAATAGTGTTTTCTTTCGCATCCATTAAATCGGATGCGTCAATTGGCCCCACTACTCGGCATCTGATGTGGGATGTCTCCTAATTACGCTGTTTTTGTACCAAAAAATGTCATTTATCGCGTTTGCAGGAAGTATCGAATCTTGTCGAGAATCGACGTCGCGAGCTTATCGAAACGGTGCGAATTCGACGCGACGAAAAACGAAAAGTGCTCAAAGATCAGATTGAGTTGATTCACGACGAGAAGAAAAAGCTTGAAAAGGTGAGTGAAAAGGTGCGAATCAAATTGAATTTGTTTGTTTGCTTTTTTTGCAGGAGCTTGAATCATCTCAACTTGACATTCGCTCAATGGCTCGAAAACTTCGAGATCAAGACGGCGAGGAGAATTGGCAACGGCAAATCGTCGAGCCACGCGAGAACGCATTTCTGCGAATCAACACGAATTCTGCACAAATGTTGTTGGATGTCGAGAAGAGTTTGTCGGATTTCGGCAAACTCTACGCTTCAAATACGTTCCCCGGAAACTCAACTATCGAGATCAACAATCATCTGGCGATTTACATTGAAAACTCGATCACGTTAATGTTGGACAATCGCCTATAAATGGAAAATCTCAAAAATTCGATTTTGCAGAACTCGCGACGTGCAAGGTGTTCAGCGAAAAACTGGCGGCGATCCGATTGAAACCGAAATGATCTACATTTGCGCTCATCCGGAAGAGAAAAAAATTCCGAAAGGATCTTATACGTTTCCGAAGGTGTTGCCAGATCCGGTTGTTCCTGATCCAGTGGTGACTGTAACCGATAATGGAGATGGAACTTACGCATTAAGTTTCAAGTAAAAAAAAATTAAAAATCTATTCAACAATATTTTCATGAATTTCAGAACGGATTTTCCTGGAAAATACGAGCTTTGTGTGAATATCTTTGGCCGTCCCGTGAAAAACAGTCCGATCACAATTGACGTTTACCAGAGTCACTCGCCACTCTACCAGTTGCCAGTCCAATTTCGATATCCGACGAAAATGCACATCGATGAGAATAGCACGTTCTACGTTCTCGACACTGGAAATAATCGAAGTAATTCAAAATGAACACATTCGAAACGAGCATGTTATCTTTTAGTTCGTGTTGTCAAACAAAACGGCGATGTTATTAAGGATATTCGCAACGATCCACTTAGTGTAAGTCAATTTTTGGAAAAAAATAGTTTTGCGCAATCTGCAAAGGCTTTTAGCGTGTTTTTTGCGAAATCTGCCTAGTATCATAATATTTTACTGGCTTACTAATGAATAATTGGTTTTAGGATGGGCATACTGTGGGAATGGCTTACATTGGAAACGATGAGTTTGCGATATTGAGTTGGTCAAAGAGATGCTTGTCGAGAATCAATACCAAAGGTGAAGTATTGCATTCGATCACGTTTTCCGAATTCCATGAGCCAATAGATGTAGTAATCGATAGTCGAGGCCGTTTTGTGATTGGTGATACTCTCAAGGTTCGCTTTTCTTATTAATCGGTCAATTATAATTGGGCATTCTCAGGTGTTTGTGTTCGACCAACAAATGAAGCCGGTGTTTAGTTTTCCGATCAAATCGAAGCGAAACGGAAAAGTTCTTGGCATCGCCATTGGTCTTAATGATGATATCATTGTTGGCACGACTTCTGAGGTTCTGCTCTATGATTCAGGCGGCAGAGTGCTTCGCCATGTGCCCACATATTCGCCAACTCATCAGTATGAGCGAAAACAGGCGAATATTAGCTAATTTTGGTATTTCAGCGGTCTTGTTTCCCATCATTCTGTTGCGTGTTGCCCGGAAACGGGCTATATTCTTGCCGGTGTCACCGATAAGAAGACGAATCGCACGTCGATCTCGGTATGATCACAAAATCGAAAAAAAAAAGAATACAATATAAAGGAATTTGTCAATTTCAGGTAACTACTTACAAAGGGACTTACCTGTACTCAATCGAATATCGCGGTGTTGAGAGGATGTCGGGACCATCTTGTCTACTTCCTCAGCCCGGAAAATTCAAGAATGGCGAGGTGTTTGTTGTGGACAACAATTGGCATAATGTGCGAATGTTCCGTTACAAATAATTATGTACATATATTTTTTTTCCATTCTAGAGTTTTCTTTTTCCGTTTCGCTCTTTTTTTTTCAGCTCTCGGGTATAACCTTTACATCCTTCCATATAGTTTGATTACCTCGTCTCCCCTTGCGCAATATACATATATTGGATATTATTTTGCCGAAATTCAGGTACTAAACGCCTGTGATTACATAAAATGTTTATATTGAAACGTAACCGTAATAAAATAATTAGTTGGGCAAAATTTTGCAAAGGCAATGAATTAGAGTTCGGGTTTTCCAGTGGCTCTCGCCTTGTAGTGGTTGAAAATCTGGAAAAGGTACATCGACCATTGGTGGTAGATGGATTGAATATAAGTGGATGAGAGTTTGGCTAAAGAGATCGGCTCTCCTCGAGCAATTGAAGAAGTTGTGATCCAAAGTCCGGAAACTGGAACGATGCCGCGTCCTAAAAATCTCGGTTTTGATTATTCATTGTTGTTGCTTTTTTTCATCTTATACCGTAGCATGCAATCGTAGTAGTTGGCTCGAGCGAATAAACGAAAGATTCAAATTGTCCATGTCGGAAATTTCCTTTCGGTTTGGTGGTTTCGGAATTTTCGAGAACCGCGGCGTCTCTAAAACGAGTCACGGAGCCGGTGAGCACGGTGCAGCTTGTGTTGCTCCATTGGAATCCAATTCTACCAGTCGAACCTGCTGGAGAAGCAATTACCACTGCGAATTCGGTAAAAGTCAGATATAACGGGTACAACTGCAAAAAAAAAACATAAGTGGTGTTCTCTTTTTAGTATTCCTAAATACCTGAACATCGTGATTGCCCAACTGGACTGGATGCCATTCAGCATTTCTGAGAATTGTGACTGGATAGGTTTTAGCTAATGATGAGACCAATTTGTTGACAGCAGCGCGCGGATCACCGTTTGGTTCTGAATTTAGGAATGAATAAAAATGCTGCCAATTTTTTGTAGTCTTCTCACCAGCAGCTTGAGCAGCGAATGTCTTGAACTGCTTTGGCGAAATTTCGTATGATTTAGTTCGAAGAACCCAGTTTGCAGCTGCATACAGAATATACGCCACAAGAATATAGCGAGTTAATCGCGTAAAAAGAAAACCCATGTTTCTGCTGAAAATTACGAATGAGCATTATTGAAGGTTAAGAAAATAATTCATCTTAATGCGTTTGAAAGTTGTTTAAACTAATTTGAACGTGTATTATCGAAAAGTAAGCGAAGACGACGCATTGAAGTTGAAACGAATTCAAATTAGGTCACCTATGCGAAGTTCAATTGCGGACAATACGACATATCTTACGAAAGTTCTTTGTGTATGCGGTCACATTGCCTTTAAGTGTGCCGCACATTGCAATTTGATTTGTTTTGGGCGGGGATATTCAATTTAGCGATTTTTGAATTTAATTTCTAGCCGCTGGAGTGATGAAAATTTGAGAAACGGTAAACTATACCATTTCAGTCGCTTTTACATTCACAAATTGAAGTTTTTGATATTAAAAAAAACCGAATCATCAAAAAATAGCATTTTTGAATAATTACTGTTAATACAGTTTTTGACGTGACCTTGTCATCAAATTATTCTAGAATAGTGACTCAAGGCTATCGATGAGCTGTAATACGCGAGGTATTATATCCGGTTGTCATGACATCGAGATTATTTTAGATTGTCTCGTTTCTTCCGCTATCGAATGTTCTAGAAATTTCTCGTGTCAACACCCCATTCCGGGGCAGTATTTGCCACGTTAGTCTCAATTTTTGTTTCATTTCAGCTTAAAAATGCCGATCGACTATTCGAAATGGAAAAAAATTGAAGTTTCCGATGATGAGGACGACACTCATCCCAACATTGATACTCCTTCGTTGTTTAGGTAAATAATTTATTTTTTTAAATGAAACTGACGATAATTGTCACTTTTCAGATGGCGCCATCAAGCTCGCCTAGAGCGAATGGCAGAAAAGAAACAGGAGAAAGAGCGATTGGAAAGAGAGAAGAATTCAGTAACAACGAAATTGCAAGATCTTGAGAGCAAATTGGCATCGACAAATATCGATGAAGCTGATAAGGAGAAGATTCAAAAAGAATTGGATGAAGTCAAAGAGCAGGAGGCTAAATGGAGAGCAAAAGAAAAAGAACTAGAAGAGCAAGAGAAGCTTGAGCCTTGGAATATTGACACTATCGGACATGAGGCATTCAGTTATTCGAGAATTAATAAGGTAATTTAATCGGAACGAGAAAAATGCTATTGGTCTGTGGAATTTTTAGATATCAGATCAAAAAGATCAGCCAACAAATTCCGAAGAAGACGATTCGAGGCGAATGGCACAATTTTGCGAAGACAATGAGCTTTCGCTACAGACTTATGGTCGTTTGACATCGCTGAAAGCTACTGAGGAATACCTTCTTGAGCATCCACATTTGGCATGCGAATTCGCTGCTAATTATTTGACTATTGAATGCCTAAACTTGGCAATCGACAAAAAGGTTTGAATACGGTATTTTTATCGCAATAATTTTTTTTTCGTAATTTTAGGATGAGGAAATGGGAATCATGGCCCAACAATGCATTATTCTTCAATACATTCTGGAACTATCGAAGAATTTGAAGGCTGTCTCCACGAATACTAACCTTTTGAGAAGCTTCTTCAAAAAGTTCGCCGCTGCCGATCCAATGTACATGAAAACATTCCAAGAGGAGGTCGCCGCTTTCCAAGAACGTCTACGCATTCGGGCTCAGGAAAAACGCGAGGCTGCGGCGGCTGAATATGAAGCCGAAGAACGCGCGAAACGCATTGAAACGTCGCCGGGCGGATTAGATCCACAAGAAGTTTTCGAAACCCTCCCAGAAGAGATGCAAAAATGTTTCGAGACTCAAGATATTGAGGCGCTTAAAGAATTGGCGATGAAAATGGACGAAGAGGTTTGGAGAATACGACAAAACTCATTTTACAAAAAAAAATCAACATTTTTAGGTATTCATGTACCATTTCCAAAGATGCGTTGATTCGGGATTATGGGTTCCGGAAAAGAAGGGAGCAGAAGAGAGTGGACAAGACGTTACTGATGATGGTGATGATGAAGACGATGGCGCTGACGCCGATGTTGAAACCGATACTGGCGCTGAAACTGAAACGGTGGTCATTTTTTGTAACAGCACATTCACCATTCAAGTTGATCTCTAATATGGCAAATTTTGAACAACTCTAAAAAAGAGCCTGAACAAGTTCTTTTTTACAATACAATAGTATAATAGAATATAATTTTGAAAATTAGTAAACCGTATATAAAATTTCGCTTTTTAGAATTAGTATCGTCGTTATTTAAAAAAAAAAATCGCGTTTGCTTTCCGATCGTTTTGGCTTTTCAATTTTTGGTTTGAATTATTAAATGTGTTGGTAAGACTGCTTTTAAAACTTCTCCGTTTTTATTGATTTGAATCTTTCAGGAAAGCGTCAAGGCATCGGATAATTCACATTAAATTCGTATCGATCATCACCCTTCAACCAACTTGTTTTCTGCATGTCTCGGATATTGATTTCCAATTATTCGAAACACTTTCCCCATTTTAAATATCTAAAGTCTTCTCTCCGCGTTCGTTTTACTATTTCCTGTATTTAAATTATTGCCGAAACGATTCCCTATGAATTCGTACCTTTCCAGCTACAATAAAACGTTTTCTTGTGTATTAGTTGAAGTTGTAATCCTTACAACATGACGGGACGACCGATTCCGTTCCAGAAAAAAAATGGAAAATATGAATTACGGTGTGTTCGCGATAATTTGTAGAAAAATTCAGACAATGTGACTCAAAAAGACACATTTTTGCTCTCGACGCGTACCGTTATTCAGCCTTCAGTTACTTTTTACTGCTCCATGCTCCATTTTCAGAAAATTTAAGTATCGTGCAGCCTGAAAGTAATGGTGCTATGTAGATTTTGGGGGAAAAAACACTCAAAAAACCAGTATTTTGTGAATAGAAAATAGCAGAATAACGTATTTTAAAGCTTTGAAGCACCAAAATTTTGTGGTGCTTTAAAAAAGCAGCATGACAGACAGAGTAGGCCCTATGCTGTTCTTGGGAGCGTCTCTGTGCAATGACTATTCCTATTCCACAGAAGCGGATAGTTCCCAATTAGAGGGGGACAGTTTCTGCCGCGGGTCCAGGGACTTTCGCTCACAGTGTTTCGGTCACGGCCGACCGTTGAGTGCCTGCGAGAACTCACCTTGCCGTCATGCTGTCAGCGCCTTCTCTCGCTGTCGCTTTTATATGCCCGACAACCGCAGCTGCCGACGCAAAGCGGGTCTCGCCACTCGCTATCTTTTTCACGCAGTAGTGGTCATCACAACGAATACACAAAAAGGACGCTTTATTGGAATATTTCAAATTCATTAAAAAAAATATTAAACTACTAGAAATCGTTAATTGAACGCGGAATTATTTTTTTGTCTGTTTCGGAAGAAAGGAGACTACCAGAATCGGACACTGCGAGACCCAGCGCAAAAAATTCATGCGGATTTCATTACCGTATCCGAAAAAGTAGTTTCGAAATTCGGAAATTTCTCAAATATTCTTTAAAACCACGAATTTCGGGTTCTTTCTTTTCAATTTGCAATTATTTTAATTTTTTGATATTCGAATATCAAGAAATTTTCATGAAAATTTTGAGTAAAAATAATTCAATCACAAAATTAAAATAATCGATTAAAGGTTCATAAAGCAAAAATATTAATTGGGTCTTATGGCGGCTGATTCTCGTAGTCGCTTTTTTCTCGAAAATTCCCATTGTTTAGTATTGGATTGGAAATTCCTTATTTACGACTTGAAATGGGAATCTATGTTTTTTTTTTACACGAGAATTTTGAGTTTAAACATCACGCCAATCAAATTTCCATTAATACAAGTCGGATTACGCCGAATGGTTGAGTAATTCTCGAGAATTCAAGGCCACTCTCGAAATCCTATTGGTAAATTGTCTTATCCGATTAGTTTTAGGTTACCAGACATTCGGTACCTATAAATAACTCTGGAAATGGTTGAATAGAGCTACTCGAAATGCCGCGTGTTGGCGATCTCATTTTATTTGCCATTTTCGTTTCAACGGCATTCGCGAACAATGCGACAATAATCGATGAAGCGAAAAATGAGACGACGTTGATCGAAGAAATCGAACACAAACAGCTTCCGACGCGCAATTTTTTTGGACCGACGACAAAAAAAGAAATAATTAAGAAATTCCGATCATTGGTTTCCGATTTTCTCACGGATCATCAAATATCAAAAGTAAGAAATTTTATTGGAATCATTCAAATATTTGAATGCATCACACAGATTATCGATTTCGCTGCTTTGAGAATGCACAATGGAAAATCTATCGAAGAAATTTCAGAAGGTTCTCCAGTTATTTATCCAATGTAATTTTAATTTTAGAAGCAGTTTCGTTCATCCAAAAAAGGTTAAATACCGATCAATTATCCAATTTGATAAATGCCAAAAAAGGTGAGATAATTATTAATTCCAATTTGAAAATTGATCAGGAATTGTCAAAACTCTTGGGAAGGAAGGCGCGAATTCAATAAAACGTCGAATTCTTAAAGTTCTCGCATTTTCGCTGCAACCACTTGCTGAACAGGTATTTTTTCCATTAGAAAATAAAATTATTCATCTCCCGATTCCCAGATAAATAAAAATGCGGTAAGACCTTCAATGGCATTTGCGCTAATATCGGAGACGCTGAATGCTCGCTTCATTGACAGTCTGAAATCGCTTATTCACGATGTGCTATCGAAATCGGAATTGGACGCCGTTCACAAGTTCTACTCGCCGAAAATTATCAACATTTAATAAATATGTTTATGATTCAAGAAGTAAATTGGAAATAATAAAATCAACAAAGGCAATCAGTACGAGAATAATGCTCAAAACCTTGCCGGCCCAAATTTCAACGAGAAGCCGCTAGTTTTTATGTGTTCGGGTTTCACTTCAAATTGTTTCAGCAGTTTGGCGGTTTCCGGATCCTGAAAAAAAAAATAAATATTTCGAGAAGATCACGGGAGGAGTGCTCATACGACAAGTTCTAAGTTGCTCTGAGCTGTCGATTTCTTCATCGCTGGTGGTGGCGCTTTGTGTTGTTCGCTCTTCGCTGGGAATGTTGGGAATTCTTCCGGTGGCACTGGAAGAGGATTCTCTCTGAAACACATAATTTAGATGTTTCAATGTATTTTGATCACCTACCTGAACCAATCATGATCAAGAGCGTCCGTCGCAGTAATTCGCTCATTCGGGTCATACGTCAAAAATCGCATAAGCAATTTGAAGCCAGTATCATTGAGAAGTCTACCGGCGAGGAATTTCTTCCTCAGCTGATTGTATGGATAATTCTCAAATGTCAATGATTTCCAACCGTCAAGTTCCTTGACACCGGGCCATATTTTTTCGCTCGGCGTTCCAAGTTCCTGAAATCACCAAAATGACACACAGCAAGTATGAATCGTAGCTGACAAGAAAGATTTTTTTGAGTTGCTCAATTTCACCGCGTCCTTGAAATAGAGGTTTGAGTAGAATAAATTCGGCCATAATGCATCCGATTGACCACATATCGACTGGTGTCGAATAATACTGAACCAATTTTTTTTGATATTGCATATTTCGATAATGTACCTTTGATCCGAGAAGTAATTCGGGAGAACGATACCATAGAGTAACAACAACGGGCGTAAATTTTTTCAGCGGGTCTCCATATTCACGGGCAAGTCCAAAATCAGCAATCTGCAGAGAAAATCGATTTCATTTCGGGATGATAATCAGTTTTTTCATTCAAACCTTAAGAATTCCCGTGTGCGAAAGAAGAAGATTAGATGTTTTGAGATCTCGGTGCAGAATCCACAAATTGTGCATGTGCTCGATTCCGGACAATAATTGACGAAGAAGAGTTTTCTGTTCACCTGACAATGAGCAAAAAAGAAATGAATTGCAAAATTTCGTTGAAACTCAATTACCCGTTGAAAACCGTTTGTTTCGTCTCACCATTGTGTCAATCAAACTCTTCAAATCGTGCTCAACAAACTCCATCGCCATGTAGATTTTGTCCATATTGGTTCCGATGAGAATTTCTTTCACGTTCACGATATTTGGATGATTTCCAGCCTTCAGGAGCATATTAATTTCTCGAAGCGCCGTTATCGGAAATCCCTCTTTTTCCTTTTCCATTTTGAGACGTTTCAAAGCGACAATCTCGTCGGTTCTTTTGTCTCTTCCTCGATAAACCACACCATACGTTCCTTCTTCGACGCGATTCACACATTCGAATTCCGCGATACTTCGACAGCCCATAATGCCTGGATAGAAGACAGGTAAACGAGATATGAGCTCTTTCTGGTATGCATCTTCTAGTCTCTTTCGAGTCTCTGCGTCAAGCTGTAATCGAGTATCTTTTTGAAAAAGAAAACAGCCTAACTTTTGGAATTTCAAAATCATTGTGATCATTGAACAATTGAATATGCATTATAAAAAAACGTTTTCATTACTCCAGTTTTTTTTTTAATTTTTTCAAAACCTGAAACATACCATTTCTCGTTGTTCTTCTGTCAAATCTTGCCATTTGACTCCATCATAATTTCGCTCATCGTCTTCGTCTGTCGCATCATCAACAGATTTATCCATTTTTGATTCGTCATCGGCAATTTCTTCAATATCAGAATCACCGCCACCAGATGGATGACGTGAGGAATGCGGCGATTGCTCGTTGATCGCATCATCGGATTCCGGATCGCTTTCGAATTTCGAATACTTTTTTGGTCCTACGTCTGCTTCCAATGTGAAAGAAGTGATTGCTGAAATTATATTATTCAATCGTTAAAAAGTGGTTATTTAGAGGGTGCAAAAATTCCCCATGAACTAAATTTTTAAAAAATCCACGGGATCTTTTGCAGCACCCTGTTGGAACATACGTTTCTCTTCTTCCGGTTCACGCAGTTCGATAGGAGACATTTCAACATCGACTATTTCCACAGTTTCTATGGTTTTCGGTTTTGATAATTTTAATGGCTCTTTCGGAATTTGATATTGCTTTTTAGGCGGCTCTCGTTCAGCCGAATGATCATCATCAGACGAATTTCTGAAGACCTTGGCGTTTAATTATAACGAATTCAAATAGTTTTGACGAACCCCTTCCTTCGGTGTCGTTCGTCTTTTCGATCGTCCCGATTCCGATGTCGGCTACGTTCATGCGATCGATCACGTTCCCGTCGTTTTTCCTTGAATTCATCACTTGAGGAATTCTACAAGCTTTTCTATCGGATTTTTGGGCCCATGCATTTGTCTATCGTAATTGCGAAAAAAATAGTTCTGCATTTTTTTGCATTCCTGGGTTGAAAACAATTGTTTCTTGACATTTTTAAAGGGCATAAACAGGTTCATTGATATTACAACAAAACCAAAACTTCCAATTTTTACAGCTATGAGTTTTTAGATATATATAAAACCAAAATAAATGAAAATACCTCGTGTTTTTTGTGTCTATCTCGATCATCATGCCGTGACTTTCCAGATCGCTCATGGCGGGCTGAAATATTTCAGTTATTGCATTCGCAGAAAAAAGACCAGAAACCCTAACTGTTATTATTATTTTTACCGACCCGAAAAAATACAATGGTCCACACATTCTTATGCTGCTCATTTTTTGCGACGTTAATAGTAATAAAATTGAAAGACAAATAGTCACCAACCTTTGTTCTCGCGATCCCTCTGCTTTATATCTAGATCACGGGGATGGCGATCCACTCTTTTCAATCTATCTTCAATATTTTTTCGAGAATCCCTTTCGCGATCTCGTTCCTTTTCTCGATTTCGGGCCTCTTCTCTTGCTTTTTGCTAAAAAAAATAATTATATTTGCACAAATTGAATTTTATGAAATCCAAATTGAAAAAAAATTATTCCTTTATTTGTTTTTATTTGTCGATAATTAATAAACTACGACTTCTTTTTGCCTGGATTTTCGCGATTTTATGGCTAACGCCTTTGAAATTCAATTTAAAAAAAAGTTGCTATGAATTTTATTTAATTTACAGAATATAAAGCTTACAGCATCTTTCGGCTGAATCGTGAATCTCTCATCATCGTCATCTCCGTCGCTGGCATCCCTCTTTTTATGGGATATTCGATTTAATAAATTTGCTCGTAATTTTGATTCGACTTCTTTCGAACTCTTTCCGCCTTCCTCGGAGTCACTACGACGGGAATGTGAACGCGAATGGCTGTCATCAGAGAGCTCGCCATCATCCGGAGAACTACCACGTTTATCGCTCATCTGAAGTTCAAAGATAACTTTTTGTTTACTAAGCTATTATTTTTCTTTATGGAACAAATAAAAATAATATCTCGGAAAACTCATCATGCGAAACACGGGGTTTTTTTTGTTTCGCAAGATGGGTTTGCCTAGATTAAAAATAACAAAAGTTTTAAATTAATTTGAGTGTACGATGAGCAATTAAGCAATGTGTCGACATCACATTCGACGGACATAGACTAAAGTAAAAAGACTAAAGTAAAACAATCAACTTGCAATCAATAAAATTAGATTATATAATATAAAAAAGACTAGACACTGAAAATGCAACGTTTCACAAATTTTTGCAGTTCAATTTTTTACAATCTACAAATCTCTGAATTCTTATCGGACATAATAATTTGTTAAGAGGTTTCAATAAAAAAGAACGTGGATTGTAAAAAACCTGCAAAAAAGTGGGCGTTGTACTTTTTTTCGTAAAATTTTAAAGAAAACTGTAAAATCGTTGAAAAAAAGAGGCAAAAACAATTTTTCGAAAATGCACCCGCTCGCCAAAAACGCCAACAAGATACCACTGACACAGTTTGAGTGCGCCGAATATTCCTATCAATGTGAACGCCGAGTTACTGGCCGTGAATTATATTATTTTGCTCCAATTTAATTGATGTAGTTTATTAAAGCAATAAAATATATGAGAATTTAAAATCACGGCAATTCGAGTGTAAGAATCACCGTCGTTTATTTTATTTCTTCTGCTAACTTCTTCTTTTTCAAGTTGATTAATATATTTGAATTGAAATCCCATTTTTGCAGAAAATGGCAGTACCAGGAGAACGCTTCCACGTTCTTGCTCAACTAGAGCATTTGCAATCCAAATATACCGGAACAGGACATGCAGATATGAATAGGCACGAGTGGGTTGTAAACCAAGTAAGTAAAATTATTCCAGTATTTGATCCAAATATATGTTATGCAGCATCGCGACACGCGGGCTTCACAAATGTCGCATCCTGGTATGAATTCTTTCATCGCAATTGTCGAAAATGAAAGCCGTGCTCGAACTCGCTTCAATTTACTCAATCGAATGATCCAACCATGCGGGCCACCACCAGAGAAGAATCCTCTTGACGATATATAATTTTTTGAAAAATAACTTATACAACTAAATCCATAAAAAACTGATCTCAAATATATTTTGTAAATCGAAATAAGGTGATTTCTCCAATATTTCATAATATAATGCCAATTAGTTTTTCAAATTTTAGTTGATGTTAAGTTCAATATCAAGACTGTGGTTGAGGAACATGTAAGAAATCGAATATCTAGTAAAAGCGAGGGAAACATTTTAGGAGTTCAAAGTTCACAAATCGTTTGGCTTTGGAAAAATCACCATATCTCCAACAGCATAAGAACAATCCAATTGAATGGTATCCTTGGGGATCTGAAGCTTTTGAACAGGCGAAATCAAAAAACCTTCCGATATTTTTATCGGTTGGATACTCAACATGTCATTGGTGTCATGTAATGGAAAAAGAGTCGTTCGAAAATGAAGAAATTGCAAAATATTTGAACGAAAACTTCGTGTCAATCAAAGTCGATCGGGAAGAAAGACCGGATGTCGACAAAATGTACATGACGTTTGTTCAAGCGGTCACCGGAAGTGGAGGATGGCCGATGACGGTTTTTCTGACACCCGATCTAAGTCCCATCACAGGAGGTATATTCACTCGCAAAATTAGGATATTGGAATTTGCAAGTTTTTCATAGGAACTTATTTTCCGCCTGACGATAACCGAGGAATGCTGGGCTTCCCGACAATTCTGAAGATGATTAAAAAGGAAGTAAATGCTGGCTGATAATTGTCGTAAATTTTCAATTCGTGAATTTTCCAGTGGGACAATGACAAAGAAAGTCTCATAAAGCAAGGAAAGCATATAATCAATTTGATGAAAACAGGTAGAAATTTTGTAAAAATGAATAGTTATTTAAAGAAGTCATGTTTACGTTTCTCAAAAAGATATAATATGATAATAGAAATATAGTCGGCGTCCGATGATTGCTGTGCTTGGGTAGATTCACGCGCATGCGCCTTGAAAGAGTCTCGCAACGAGTGATCGCTTATTTTGCTGTTTTCACGTGAACTGTTGAATTGTTTCTTGATGAGTTTGGCATTTCTTTACATTTCCAACGTCACTCGATTTTAAAATTATCGAAACGGCCCATAAAATACTAAATAAGCAGTTAGTCCGCGCGAGACCGATAGAAAGACGCGTACATCAGTCGCCGGACGCCGACTATACGGTAGTTTGAATATAAAACATTCCAGAGTTTGCATCCGATGATGTGAGAAATACTGAAGAAGTATTCAATAATATTCTTACGCATAAACAAAAAACATTTGATGGCAAGTTCGGCGGCTTCGGAAACGCGCCGAAATTTCCAAAAGCTTGTTTGTCACCTTTTTACCGATGATTAAATTATTTCACCGACTTAAGGCGATCTCGACTTTTTAATAAACTATGCTGCTGCGTTTCAAACTGAAAACGAAGCCAACTCCAAAGATTGTGTCCGAATGTTAGAAGCGACGCTTGAAGGAATGACACTTGGTGGAATTCATGATCATGTCGGAAAGGTTTCGAATATGAAAGTATCTGAACTAGATGCAAATTGAAGGGGTTTCATCGATACTCGGTTGATGCCGAATGGCATGTTCCGCATTTCGAAAAAATGCTCTATGATCAAGCGCAATTGCTTGCAACCTATTCGGATTTTCACATTTTGACAGCTCGAAAGAATAAAGAATTCGAAAAAACGATTCGCGATATTGTCGAGTACCTAAAGGAATGTTTGTATCATCCGGAAGGTGGGTTTTACGCCGCCGAAGACGCTGACTCATTCCCTCGACATGGCGATCAAAAGAAGGTTGAAGGCGCATTCTGCGTTTGGGAAAAAGACGAGGTGAAATGAATTCAAATGAATTTCCACATATTTCTATTTCAAGTTTAGATTAAAAATCTGATTGGCGATCGCAAAATTGGAGAATCTTCCATGTTCGATGTTGTTTGCGAATACTTTGATGTCGAAGATGGTGGAAATGTTCCGCGATCTTATGATCCACATGGTGAGCTCACAAATAAAAATATTTTGAGAAGGTAAATGATTGTCACATTTTAAAATCGTTTCAATTTTGTGTTTCAGATTGCTATCCGATGAGGAATGCGCAAAAAACTTTGATTTAACCGTCGAGAAATTGCTAGAAGGAATTGAAGAAGCAAAGGTAAAATAATGTTGCTTAAATTTTAATAGCTGCAAATTTGCTATAAATATCCAATCAAACCAATGAATTTTTGAAACACTCAGAAAATTCTTCGAGATGCCCGATCCGAACGACCGAAGCCGCATTTAGACTCGAAAATAGTGACGTCGTGGCAAGGATTGACAATCACGGGCCTCTCGCGTGCATTCGTTGCCACAAATGATGAGACATATTTGGATTTGGCGATGAAATGTGTGGCATTTGTCAGGAAATATCTTGTGAATCCCGAAACCAACGATCTTCGACGTGCTGCGTACAAATCGGAAGACGGAGAATCAATCGAGTAATTTTCTTTCAGACTAGTTTGCCAAGCGTGTTAGTTGAAATTCAGAATTAAACCGATTCGCGCATTTTCGGATGATTATGCGTTTCTCATTCAAGGCCTCCTTGATATCTACACATTAACTGGAAATCAAACATTGGTTGAATGGGCTTTAGATCTTCAAACTAAAATGGTAGTCTACTAATTGCATGTGATAATTTAAAATTGATTTTAGAATGAAAAATTTTGGAATCATGAAGGAGACAATGGCTATTTCATAAGCGAGGAAACTGTCGTTCCCGGTGTCGATGCGCGAATGATTGAAGATCAAGATGGAGCTGAACCATGCGCAACATCGGTCGCCGCAAACAATCTTCTCCGATTATATGATATAACCGAAGATGAGAAATTGCGTGAAATGGCGAACAAGTGCTTCAGAGGCGCTGCTGAAAGACTGAACAAGTTGGTTATTTTCTATTACGTGCAATTTACAGTATTATTAAGTAACGTTTATACAATTTTTGATAGCAGCATCAGCGTCAACCCTTCTAATCAATTTCAGAGTACCCCTCGCCGTGCCAAAGTTGGCGGTTGCCCACCGAAGATGGCAGTGCGGAAGTCATACGTATGTAATAGTTGGTGATTACAATTCCGAGTTTGTGCAAAAAGCGAGAAAAGCGATTAATCAAAAGTTGATTGCGAATTCGTCAGTTGTTCATATCCAGTCGAAAGGTTTTGTCGTTTCACATCGAATTATAATTCAGAATTCACGTTCAGATGATATTTCTGCGCAAGGAGCCTCTCATTCAGGTATGGCACATGGCCAGATGCCATGCGTTTACGTGTGCAAGAATTTCTGCTGCTCATTGCCAATTCGAAACGTCGAGAAAATTTAATTATTCGTCGTTGCACTTGTACATAAACCGAACATCACTATCATTTTGAGTAGAAACACACAGTAATAATTGATAAATTAATTATCAACTGAATCGTGTAATTAGATTCTCCCCGCTTATCACACACACACACACGCATACAACGATTTCGCATTTAACAATCTAATTTATGCAACATTTGTAATTGATCTTTAGTGCGAAAGTTCAACTATGCTACAGATGTTGAAAAAAGAAATTCGATTTTGTGGGAATATTTTATATGCCAATCGAATACACATTATAATCAAACATTTATAAATTAGACGAAAATCAGAATTATTTCAATATGCATTTCTATGATTTGTATTGTGAGAATTGAGTATTAAATCAATAGTTTTTACGATCCTGCCTTCACTTTCGGCTCCTTTGCCACGTTGAGCCAATAACTTTTTTTCAGGCTCTTATCATGAACTCGCCTCGACATGCTCGTCGTGTCGCTTTTCAAAAATTGACTTTCAATCGCGATATTTCTAATTAGGCGCTGCTACTAGTGATGGCTCACTCAAAACAAAGAATGCGCCGGCATTTTTATGATGTCTTATCATTCGGGTTTCTTTACATTTTATTTTGATATCAACGCGCTTTCAGCACTTTTTACTTTAGTTCAATGATGCACCAAAAATTCAAATCATCGTTTCCGAAAAAGAAAACGATTGATAGATATTTAAATGCACTTCGAACGTACCCAAAGAATCCTATCAAGACTATTTCACCATCGGTTCCTCGCGGTGGTGTTTTATAAAAATTTTATTTTTTTTTTCAACCAAAATTGGTGAATAGAATATATCCCAAACATGGTTTAAATATGGATTTCAGTATTCAATTATCCGATGTTCATCTCCCGCCTTAACAAATATATTTGATAAATTTATTTTGCTTTGTTTATTGATTCAATGGACCCAATATTTGGAGATTTTCGCAAAGAATAAAATAAAGTATTGTCGACGTCCGGATGCATAGGTGTAGATTTACGAGCGCGGACAAACCGGTTATTTGGCATTAAACGGTTAATGTTGATTAGGTTTAATTTTTTAATTTGAACTGCAAAATTTTTATAAGTTGTATTTTTTTTTATAAATTGAGAAAAAAACAAAATAGGAATTCACTCGTGACGAGACCATAATGAAAAACGCGCTCGTAAATCTCTCCCGACACATTGGTCGCCAGAAAATATCGTTAAATCAACATTTCATTTAAGCAGTTTATGACGCATAATGCCAATTATCATTATTTAAACGCGATTGGTGAACATTTTAATCGGTTCACCCTATCCCATTACGATTCTTGACGGGGGGTTTTTTTTATCAAAAGAGTATTCATGTGCGTCATGATCGACATTTTTGTGTTGTCGCTCAAAAATCGTTGGCATTTCGAGTATTGCGAGAACAAAAAAAACAATACAAATTAGAGATAAGAAATTTCGAACATTTTGCTCATCTGGTTCAATCGGGAGCCACGGTGGCGAATCGTTATCAAATATCATTTGCCGTCTCTTGAAGCAGCTCCACGTTTTGCAGTAACAAACCAGCAATGGCTAGCTCATTGCGATCATGGCTGTTATTTTTTGCGGTCCTCACCGCGTTCTGCATATTCTCCATTGATGCAGGATGTGAAGAAGAGGTTCGCAAATCAACCGGGAACGTCAGTAATTGGATGTGATTGTAGGAAGAAGAATATCCGACGAGATATCCATTGGCATTGTTCGAATGGAAGAATGTCAAGGTGCCGCTGACAATTTCGCTTTGGCTTATTGCGGCATCGATCGCCAAAATCAGTAAAAACCCGATTCTTTTCAGATTTAGAAATCTAAAAAAATAATGGTGTTCAGTTTTCAACTTGATCCCTCATTTGAACGACTTGTTCCCAGATTCTGCCCTTCTTATTATGATCGGCCTGATAATTGGAATCATTTTCAGCTTGATTGGTGTTAACAAGGCTAGTCTCATTTCTCTTAATTCATTACTTAAATTTGCTGATTCCAGACGGAGTTCTTCCTTGACAGCGAAGTCTTCATGCTGTATCTACTGCCGCCGTTAGTATTCGACGCCGGCTACTTCATGCCGGCTCGTGACTTCTTCGACAACTTCGGATCAATTCTTTGTTTCGCCATGCTTGGAACCACATTCAATATCGTGGCTATTGGTACGCTTGCCGATGACCGTCTCAACAATTCCAGCATTTCAGCTCTCTCACTGTGGGCTATCGGATTGACTGGATTGTTCTCCGTCGAAACACCGCTCATTCATATGCTCTTGTTCGGCTCGGTGGTCGCCGACGTAGATCCGGTTGCGGTGATCGTAATTTTTGAGGAACTCGAGGTGAGGCAAATTTATCGCTGATTACAGAAAACTCTATAAAAAATTTTTATGCGTTTCCTTTTGATAAGATTATGCCTTCTGTATTTACTACAGGTCAATTCCGTTTTGTTCATCAGCGTTTTCGGCGAGTCGCTTCTCAATGATGGAGTCGCTGTCGTAAGACGATTGAGATACTACCGAAAGTCCAAACGAGTTTCAGGTGCTTTACCGTATGTTCTTGACATTCTCGGAAATCGGAACTGAGAATCTGATCACACAAGATTATATCAATGGAGGAATATCGTTCTTCATTGTCGCATTCGGCGGAATCGGAATCGGTCTGATCTTCGCATTCTTCACTAGCTTCATCACAAAGTGCGAATTCAATTAATCATCACTACATCTCTTCTTTCCAGATATTCAAGCAGCATTCCAATTCTCAATCCTGTGTTCGTCATTGTCCTACCGTATTGTTGCTATCTTTGCGGAGAAATGTTCGGATTGTCCAGTATAATGGCGTAAGCGAGCGCATTGTCTTGTGAATATCCTTCAAATTTCAATTTAAGCATTGTGTTCTGTGGAGCTGCAATGAATCAGTATGTCAAAGAAAATGTAGCCGAGCAGTATGTGAATGCGATCAACTATTTCATCAAGGCAATCTCGCTCAAATTAAGAAATTGAAAGAACAATGGGAATTTAGGTTCTTTCGCTTTCCTGCGAAACTGTCATTTTTGTGTTCCTCGGACTCTCAACAGTGTCGTCGAATCACCATTGGGACACATCATTCGTTGTGCTCACCGTGGTCTTCTGCCTGATTTATCGAACTCTTGGAGTTGTAATTATGTGTTTCGTCCTCAACAAATTCCGCCTTAACAAATTCTCAAAGGTTGATCGAATGAAATGAGCTCATCTAATTTTGGTGTTCAGGTTGATCAGTTCATCATGGCGTATGGCGGCCTTCGCGGAGCAATTGCCTATGGTTTGGTGGTCGCCATTCCAGATTTCATTCCGGGCAAAAACATGTTTGTCACAAGCTGCATTATCGTCATCTATTTCACCGTCTTCCTACAGGTTCATCAAAAATTAAAACCTATTTCGTTTTTAGCTAACCGAAATCCAAATGTTTTAAAGGGAATCACGCTGAAACCAATCGCTGAATTCTTGCAAGTCGAGAGAAAACACGTCCATGAGAAAACGATGCAAGAGTTTGTGTATGAGGAGCTGATTGACGGAACCATGGCCGGAATGGAAGATATCGCGGGATTCCGAGGACATCATTGGATTCGTGATACGTAAGAATTCAATATGTAGATAGATAGATATATGGAATTCGAATTCAGTTGGCAATACATCGACAATCGCTATTTGAAGCCAATTCTTGTTAATAAACAGGCGATGCGTGAAATGGATAACACGCAATTGTCGAGAAAATACAAGGTTTTTGTGGTCTCGCAAATATTAATACAACAAGAATTTCAGCATTTGGTTGATCAAGATGCCAAAAAAATTGCCGAAGGAAAACTTGATCGAAATCACGTATTCTCTCAAGCTTTGCTAAATCATGCAAGAAGTAGAAGCAACACAAATTTGTGAGTTTGACAAACAAATGAGAAGAAGCGAATCAATTTCAAATTTCAGCAGCAAAACCAATAAGGAATCGACAGTAATTGATTTGGAGGCGGAATTTTTGGTAAATTAACGAATTGTTGGCATGCGAATTGGTTGCAACGTTTTAATTCAGAGAGAGCACGGAGTCGCTGAATACGATATTCATCCGAGGGTTCCAATTTCGCAGTATCGCAACGACGCCACTCCCGCTCCGACCGTTCATCAAGTTGACAGTGAGAACGAAGATTTTAGCTCAGTTGACGGAAGTTATCATTTGGAAAGAGTGTAGCTCGATTCATTTGATTACTTTAATTAATGGTCTCAATTGAATTTATAGGACTGTTTGTTATCGATTTTAAATTGTACATTGCATTTTACAATGAAGAATTTGCTAAGAAAATATTAAAATATGGTCTCAAGAACAGGGATTCTATTGGGACGAACAGGGGACACTTTTTGGTTTGTGATAATCACCAGAAAATCAGAAGAAAGGAAACGCGTTGAATTGAGGGCGATGTGTAATTGGAGTGTCGTACTGGTAGGGGCAAAAAAAGTTTTGGGACAAACCGCGGAATTTTTTGGAAACTCTTGTGGAACCCCGATGTTTAACCCAAAACCAAGCGTAGCTCGTCGTTTTCGAATCATTAAGAGACTTACGGTTAAATTGAAAATGAAAACGTTTCGGGACCACAGTATTTTGTCAACATGCTCCTTTAAACAGATTACGGTATGTCATTTTCTTGAAAAATTCATGACAAATTTATGGTTTCTAAACATTTTGCAACTTTTCCAGCTTGACTTAGCTTAGTTTTTGATATTTTTTCAGAAACATGCCTTCTAGAGAGTTTCCAAAACTGCGAATGCAGACAACTCCATTAAAGGTTCATAAATTGCGGAAATATTCAAAAAATAATAATATTGAAGGATAGAATGGACGGTAGCTATAATAAAAAGAAATTTGACTTGGAGCGAGATCACGATATTGCGTGTAAAATTGCTGATCGAATTTCAGTGAATGTGCAATTATCAAAAGAGAAGGTTTTATTGTTTGTTTTTTTTCTCAAAATCTTAAAAAAAAAGAATGGATAATTTAGCTTTCTCTTTCGGATCGCATCGAAATGATTCAGCATGGTTATGAGTTGAAATCAAAAGTGGAGACTCCAATTCAACAGCGAAATGTGTCTTTATTCAAGTATTTTCTATTATAGAGCTGTACAATGCGAATTGAAAAATTGCAATTTTAGCTATTTGAAAATTTCTTTTTCAATTCAAAAAAGTGAAAATAAAAAAAATAGTATTTTTTTTAATTCGCTGAAGATTATTTGTAATCATCATTTTAATTAAGAAGAGAGAAACCATCTGACCGATTTGATAACTTTTCTATGAAGTCACCAGCTGAAAACAATTATTTTTTCCATAAACAGGTGAATTTTGTTATAAGTTGGTTCATACTTTTTCATTTATTATTATTATTATTATATTTATTATTGCTGGGATCTCAGATGACAAACGTGCGCGGAGTGATTCGAAGTCCGTCGAAACGCCATCCAGATTCCGGCTTCAATTCTCCGACGTCATCTTTCTTCAATTCACCACCTTCAGCGTCTCCATCAAATTCCAGCGAGAAAAGTGCTTTGTAAGTTTTTATTTTGGCAGAATTACAACCAATTCTAAATTGGTTTAGCCCTCAAAAAGACGACAGCCCACGCAAAAATATAGGTTCTCGAGTTCACTACAGCAACGAAATGCCCAAAAGATATTCATAAGCATGATTTAAAAATTTTTCAATTTTTATAAATTGTTCATTTTCCAGTTTTAGATGCACTTTGAGGTGAGGATAATTCTCGTTTTATACTCTCCGGCTCCTTCTGTGCTCCTTCGATCAATTTAGTATCCAAAAACAATCCCTGAACGTAAAACTCTCGCGAAATTCCCGACATCAACGGCCTACCGAACAAATTTCTTCGCGTTTCGTTTCTTCAAACGATTTCGAATCGCTCGGACCCAGTAATAAGCCCATCCAAAGGCTTCGCGGTTTTCTTTTGAAATTTCCATCTTCAAATAGGAATGGTTATCGTGACGAATTCGATAAAATCTCACAATTGTCTTCTGGGCCATCGTCAAATGATTTATGCTTTGGATAAGCAAACAAAACTCGAAAAACGTTGATTCCGCTCTTCTGTTTTTCGGCTTCTTCTTTCCATTCTAACAAAATACGGCAATTGCTTCTCTTTTTTTTTTCATTTAAAAGATCATACTATTGAATTTGGCAGTCCACGTTTGCGGAAGATATTGCGGCGACACTAGAAACTCGTTCATCATTGCCGCTTTCAACTGAATGATGGTGTGAAAAAAATTACAATTTCTTCAATCGAATAACGAACAAAAATAAAATAAATACCTTTCCGCGTTGCATCATCAAATTTTTCGTCTCAGCGTCCACCTCGCAATTGTTCTTTTGCATATGATCGATGATTCGGTCGAGAGCCGTGTCGAGAATCGCCAACACTTCCGAGTTCAACGGTTTTTTGCCGGAGAAGAATTGCGCGAGCGCGTCGTTTTGCTCTTGCGTCAAACATTTTTCGAGCGAGCCGTTCTTTTTGGCGACCTTCAAGAGTTTCGGCGCGAGCAGAAGAATTTGCTTCTCGTCGGCCTCGCTGGTTGCCGATATTGCGTTGGCGGTGGCCGCTTCGAATTCGTCATCCTACGTCGTCAGAAAAAGAAAATGAATGAAGACGGCGAAAATAGTCTTACGTCAAGCTTGTCGAAAGCGTCCGGTTGTTTTTCGATTGTTAGCGCCTTTGCGATTGACTTGTCTGAAGCAGCACTTGACCCTCCAGAAGACATTGGTTGCTCCGATTCGATGGCTCTCAGTGGATCGGCAACTGTCGGCGATTCGTGCTTCTTCTTCTTCTTGTTGCTCATTCCCGAATCTCGCGGCGGCGTTTCCGCCACCACTTCGCCACTATTCGCAACCGCCTCGATTTTCTTGTCTCTCGGCGGTGTTTCAGCGTTTTTGTCGCGTTTCGCCGCTCGCGTTTCCCTGTGTGACGTGTCAATCGATTCGCCGCTTGTCGCGATCGATTGTCCGCCCGATGGTGTCGATTCGGCCGAGCCGGCGGATTCCGGCACCGCCTCAATTTTTTCCGCCGACGATGCTTGCTTTTTCGCCTTCTCCGATTTGACGCTAGCATCGCGCGAGCTGGTGTCAGTTGCCTGTGGAACAGTGAATGTCGTCGTCGGCGTTGATCTACTTGGAATCGTGCGAGTCGCCGCCGATGAGCTCGTCGTCGTTTTCTTCGACTTATCCTTCAACACTTTCATCGATTGCTCGCTTTTCGTTGGACCTTTCGCTTCTTTTTTTCGTTTATCCTTCTTCCGTTTGTTCTTATTCTTCGATGCCTCGCTTCGCTAGAAATAATTTCAATTCTTTTTAAGGTCGTATGCAGAAATCTCGATTTTTATAAGCTGAGAATGAAAATAAAAAGAAACCCTGGCGGATTTCCAGCGACCCGGTTTCGCTGGAAGTTTGTACACTAGAAATGATTGGTCGCCTTCGGATTTTTCAATGATCGTTGGTGAATCATCTTTGTCATCAGCTTTCACAAATATCCCGCGTCTTCTCATCTCTTCGCGTTTTGCCAATTTTCGCTCTTCGGCGCTCAGCGTCTTCTTTTTACCCTATTTCAAAATCTGCTCATTTTTTTTCGCAATTTCCATCGATCAACTTCAGTTTTTTGTTTGAGAAATTGATTATATTGGTCTTGAACAACGTCTGCTGTCACTTTCTTTCCTAAATTCGACACATCTCACATTTCGCACGATTCCGACAAACCAAGATTTGAACCAAGCATTTTTAAAAACTAAAATACGTTTCACTTTATCTTATAATCAACGTTGCGTGTATTTTACATTTATGCAAATAAACAGGAAAACATACAATATGCGAACGATAATATTATGAAGAAAAAAAAAGTAGGATAGGGTTTTAAGATTTGGGAGTAACATAAATAGGGTCCTTTTCTTTTTGATAAAATTTCATTTTTGATTATGCTTTCATTGAATTACGAGAACTGAATAGATGAAAAAGGCTACAGAATGTGTTACCCGTGCTACGAAAAAGAAATATAGGAAAATGGAATACAAGAAGATAAAATTTAATAGGAGAAGAAAAAAAAACAAGACTGTACAACTTGACACAAAGTGAAGAAAACAATCAAGGCACAATAATTCCTTACCGGAATGATGGAAGAACACAATCACAACGAGACGTTGGAAGGATCACAGTTGGCAAATGATAACAAAGGCAAGTCGATACTACAAGGCAAGTTCTTATACATAATTGAGAACGGCAAGAATATTATATCAGATGGTAGGCAAGATAAAAATACATGGTTCAAATTGGTAAGCATAGCATATGGTTTGATTAGGAGTTGTTCAATATCTAACATTCAATCTTAACGTTTTGACACTCGGCGAGCTTTTGAATATCAGCAAGAGACGGAATCGTTGGCTCGATCTTCTTTTCCGGTGTAGCGTTGACGCTTGGGGTCTCTTCCGGCTGCCATCCGCGTTCCTTGGCACGGACGTAATCCGGAAAGCATTCATGGAGAAGCGCATTCCATTCAGCGCGCATCTCATCGGTCCTGAAATGGAGATCAACATTGATTCCTTTTTCTTCTAATTGATATATCCTCATGAAATATTTTCATCAATTCAAAATCACTCTTTCATGCACAAAAAATCGATTTCAACACCGCACTATAATGTTACAATAGAAACGGGAAATCGTGTTAACTTACGTTATATCGTGCGCGTCGTCGGCGCGATGTCGACATTGTCGCGCGTGCGAGATCACGTTCGATTTTATTCCGGTGAAGTCGCAATCCCAGCACTGCAAAAGCACAAAAGTTCACACCAGAAGCACACACGATAAATAGAGGGGGTTGGAAAAAAAACGAGTCGATTGGGGAAGAATATCATTTCACACTCATGCACAATCGCATTTTTTCCATCAAAATTTTACCTTGTATGGTTTGCAGTCCGAATGGATCATAATGACGTGGCGAAGAAGGTTCCACCTCGAACCGGTCGAGTTCAAAGTCGTCGGTTTACCGCACAACTACAACACAATGCATACACAAATTGCACATATTAATTATAATTGTTTCCCTACCGCGCATTTGTAGGTGGCCTTGCAGTGCACACGACCGCAATTCTTTCCTCTCGCCGAACGACTCTCCTCGAGCTCATCAACCGGCAGCCAGCGATGCTTCTTCGTCGCCGGAGCAGATCCGTCGGCATTTTTTCGCTTTCCCGACGGTGTCGTGTTATTCGTCGCACTTGAAGCAGCGTTCAAGAATGAATCGTCGATGAAACCGAACGCCGATCCAAACGCTGGATTGAGAAGGTGCATCATCGAAGCGCGAACTTGCTCATCCGATGGTCCAAGACCAAAATCGTTTTCAAAGTTTGAGCCGGTTCCCGAGTTGTCGGTTTGTTCTGTCTAAAAGAATTGATTGATTGTATCGAATTTGCTCGAAAACGACGATACCTTCAAATCTTCTGAGCTCGCTTTCGAAATTGTCTCGCTGGTTTCGAAGTCTGGAGTCTCACGCGACTTCTCATGATTCATGAATGCTTCGAGTCCGTTAAAAGTGTTGAATGAGTTTGCTTGCGATAAAATGATGCGTTGAATTTCAGCCTGCTGACGTTCTTGCTCTTTGCGCACTTGGCAAATTTTCTGTTGCTCTTCTAGTAATCGAGTCAATGAGAGATTCATCTGGCTAATTTGTGGCGCCGTCAGGTTTGTGCCACCATTGACCTGCTTAAATGGATTATTGAACAATGAAGATTAAGAGACCAATTTACATTCTTCTCTGTCGTTTGTGGTGGAGATGATTTTTTCGATAACGCATTGGCAATTGAGTCAATTGATGCTCTTGGCTTAGTCGCTGGCTGAAACGACCAACGATTTTCAAGAATTTTCAGATTTCGACTTACCGGCACTGGAGTCGTCATCGATGTCGGCGTTGAGATTGCGGTTCTTGGCGGCGTGTGTTGGGCTGCTGTCGAGACTGTCGTCGATGGCGATTCCGGACTTGCCGAGCCGTCTTTGTACTTTAGCGATGGATGATCGCACAGGTCGGTGACCACAGCGAATTTGTCGAAGCCGTGCGTCACGAGATATTCGACCAATGTCATCGTCGTCGGCGTACTACTCACCTCAACTACAACAAACTTCTGCTGCATCTGGAATTCAATAATCGTTGAACAAAACCAAAACAAACATAAAGGAACAATTCAAGAAAGGTATCGAATAGAGTCATGTGATACTCTATGACAATAAAAAAATAAGTACAAACTAGAGATTGAAAAAAAGAGTTTATCGTAAACGGTTATTGTTGATTAATATAAGTGAGTGACGTTGCAGTAAATATAGCATTAATCACAAATTGGCCATCACATCTTCTGAAGTGAAGTGTTCATTGCGATAATTGGAACCGTTCATCGCTGTAAAACGAGCTATACAACCATGAATCACTATTCTCACAAAGAAACAAACCTTGATGCGCTTCCTCTTTATGATGTTTCCATTTTCGATAGGTTACCCCAAAGCATTGATCAAGTAAGGCACTCCATTCAGCTTCAAGTTCGGGAGATCTAAAACAAAATCAATAACACACATAATTGTGGGAAATTTGAAAAAAAATTACTTCAAATCTATTATGGTGGCATTTTGGTCCTTATGCATTGCTTCGATATGTTTCCGCACGTACGGTTTGATATGCGCATAGCCGCACATCGAGCATTGATTCGGCTTCGTTGACTGGTGCATTATCCAAACGTGTCGCATGAGATTCCACGTGCGTTGCGGCGAATACATCACATCGTGTCCGCAAATTTTGCAGTTGGCTTTGCACGATTCGCTACGCCGCGAACCTTTCCGCCGCATGATTTGACGACCGCTACCGCCGGAACTGCTACCATTGCTGCCGCTCGGATTGTCCGGCGTTGAAAACATGTCGTCGATTTGCGCGTGAGCCACCGAATTGATTGTGCAATCGAACGACGACGACGCCTCCGAATTCGACGATTCCGGTTTGATCGATGACAGCGAATACATGAACTCACTTGAGAATGATTCAGCCGAAGTCATCGGTGGCATCAGAGTTGGAGACAGATGTCGTTGTGTCGGCGGCATTTCCAGCTGATGTGGTGGTTGGTGTTGCTCCTGATGTGAATGCTGTTGCTGCGGATGCTGATGTTGCGGTTGGTGCGGTTGATGGTGGTGATGATGATGCTGCGGCGGCGGCGGCGGCGGCGGTTGAGGCTGTTGATGATGCTGCTGTGGATGTTGCTGTTGAAGCTGTTGCTGATGTGGACCCGTCTGCGGTGGTGATGGCACCTTCACAACATCGTGTTTAACTGGCGACGCGGAAGGTGCCAAATGGCTTCCATTTATGACATCTAGTAGGCGGTTGCGCTCGTATTCGCTCAAATTAAAATATGGCGATAATTGACGTGACGAACTTTGCGGAATATCCTAAAAACAATTTTAAGGCTTGGATATTTTTTTTGGAGCGAATATTACTTGAACATTGCCGTCGAATATATATGGATGATCTTCGAGACGTTGGAGCAAAGAAACACGATTGAAATTGCGTTTAACCTAGAAAGAAATAATGAAAACAAATGTGCAATGAATTGATAAATCGAAATCCGAGTTATATAATGTAAAGGCAATTGATATAAAACAAGATGAGCATCAAGCAAATCAAAAACAATTTCCGATGAGCGCGAACCGGGTCTGAGTGAGCGGCACACGCGCGCGCACCAACAGCGTACTGTAGCGGGCTGGCGAAGTGAGTGAATAGTGGGCGGGGGCTCGGCGGGCCTCGAGGCGATGGCTCAGTGAGACGCAGACGGCGACGAGAAGACGACCGGCGAATCGCCGCACTTATCGCGCGCGCGCGCGCCGCCGCTCTCACATTGGCCTAAATATCTATGGGAAGGCACACAGGCGAATGACGATGGTATGGGGAGGGGGGGCCGGACGGGCCGGCCGATGTGCGCTGGATATACGTATAAATACATATACATACATTTAGTCTTGCTAGTGCGCGCACAATGCGATTCATACAAGCGATCAGCATGAGAGAGAGAGAGAGAGAGAGAGAGAGAGAGAGAGAGATGGATGAGCTGAAAACGGTGTACACAAAAGTGGGCGGAGCGACGCTACTGGAACTTGTTAGCGAAGAAGAAGAAGAAGAAGATGTGATATGCGCCTACTCTCTGCCATTCTCATGAGAGGAAAAAACTCGAACAAAACAATCGCACGGGCTGATGAGCTGGGAAAGTTTGAAACTATTGAATACAATGGGGGAAAAAGAAGCCTCGCGTAATTCTTCAATTCAAACAATTGCGCAACATCTCCATTTCAATGGTTGCGCAACATAAAAGATCCCGAATTCAGATGAAAAAGCTGTTCCTTTTTTTGGGAGGGGATTCAATGCAGGGAGGAATGCACTGGAAGAAATCCATCAATAAAATGAAAGCGGAATGAAGTGTGAAGGAAGGAACACACTCGATGAGCCGCGGTTCCACCTAGTCTACCGTACACCCATCGTGAACAAGCAAGGTGCTTCAGTTTACACAAAAACGTGCCCCTCCTCCCCCCCCCCCCTCTTCGGGGCTTCTTCAGAAGGAAAGAAGAAGAAGAAGAAGAAGAGGAGGGAGTAGAAGTAGGCGGTGTGATGATGATGGCGACGACGACAACAAAAAAAAACTCGCAGAATTTAATAGCTCGTCACTTCCCGGGAGTCGCTGCATCTCTTTGACGCCCACAGTCTCTAGCGAGCAGAAGAGCCAAAAACGAGTTTTGAAGCGAAAGAAGGCAATAAATGAAGAGAGGTTTGGCGCGTGCGCGCGCGCGCATCGCTTCCCTTTTTCGTCCGCAACATCTTCAGGTTTTCCATATTGTTCGCCGTAAACACCAATTTGACAGCAGAAATTTTCTTGGATCGTCGTCGTCGTCGTCGTCGTCGAGTGCGCTCCCACCTCCCATCCAAAAATGGAGCGATGCGAGGCGAGGCGAAGTGAAATCGTCTGTCATGCGACTTGCCAGCGATCACGATTACGGTATCGATCAAGGCTCACTATAATTTACTGCTCGCAATTGCTCGCGCTATCAGCGTTCGGCGATCAAACGATGGTCGGCGGCGATCGGTCGCTTGAACGAATGAATCTCAACGTTGGAAGGAAAATAGGCTGGGGGATAAACGAGACCATAAAAACTCATCCCCCCCCTCGCGCGAGGCGCGCTCGGTGAGCGAGGCCGATAGATGGCTGGGGCACCAATGAGAGAGGACGATGATACGCGCAGTTGAGATCCTGTTTTGGCACTCCTCACTCACTTCGTATCAATTATCAGCGGAAGGACATCGGCGGAGAAATTGCGAGCGAGGTGACCCAGAAATCTGCACGAAGTCGCCGTCCGACTTAACGATGGGGTGTATTTAATAGGCCGGCTCAAACGGAGATGCGCCCGCCCGCTCGCGCGCGCACGCAACTATCTAGGTTGGGATTGAGGTGAATAGGTGAGAATTCATCTCTCACTTGGTAAGTTCTAGGGATCGGTAGAGGAAAAGAAAAAAAAACCACATTCAACTATTTCAGATTTTATTGAGCACGAGAGGAGGAGTCAAACTTTTTCGCTAAACCATTCGCAACTATCTTTTGCTCTTGTCAGCTAATCAATCACACACACCTCTCACTCTAATTGCGTGACAAATTCGAGAGTCAAGGCCAAACACGTTTTGGCAAATTCCGCAATGACTCATTGAAGAATGAGAGAGGAGCCTTGGTGAGACGATACGACGGCCGAAAACAGCTGACTTCCTCAAGTAGTACAGTAATCAACGGAAAACGACAGCCAAAAAAAGGCAAGAGAGAATGCCGAAAAAAAAACAACACAAAACAAAGTGATGGCGGCGAAGACGAGCACCGGTTTCTTTCTTCATTTCTCTCATTTGCCAGTTACAAGAAGCAATCAGCCAAAAAAAAAGAGACAGAAAGAAGGAGTGATAAAATTGCCTACGACGCCGAACAACGGGACGACGTTGACATCGGCGGCAGGCAATTTGACGAATGCTGAGCGCACCGCTCATTCAAATTAAAGACGAACTAGCTAGCTGGGGGCACCGAGTGTAATAAGGACATGCTGGCGACGGTAGCAAACGAAGCATCAGAAGACGACGAATCAGTGGCAATCGACCGCGGGAAAGCCGGTTTTTGGGATGAGAGTACGGCGGCATGTGCTTGTTGCTACTTCTTCTCATTCTTCGTCGTCGTCGCCAATTTTTTTTTGCTTGCGTCCCATCTTCGCACGCAATCGGCGGCGCACATTCATAAATGGAATCGAATCAATCGGTGCGCCGGGTTGTTTTTGGCCCGATTGATACGATGCGAAGAGACAGATCACATCGAGCAATGATGGACAGCCATGTTACTTCCCCAAACAAGGGGTCAACATGGCGAATTTTCAAGAAGGCGAGAGAGAGTTTCCCGACGTAAATAATAGGACAAAAAAAATAAACAACACCAGAAGCTTAATTGCCCCCCCCCCCAAATAGTTTAAAATACAAGGGCACTCGTCGATTATGCACCTGAACACGTCCATTTGGCAATTTACGCTAAGATTTATATCAGTTGGTAATGAATTGAATGAGAGGGGACGAACATTACACTCATCTCCTCATAACTTTTCTTCTTCCTTGAACGGAAATGACGGTCATTGTGATGATGGCTCAAACAACTCTGTTGTTCCCATTGGCAGCAGTAGCAGAAAAAAAAAGTTGGCGCAGAACCAGTTCTTCTGATTGTCACAAAAATTCCATTGTAAACCTTTCTCTATTCCATCTCCAAAATTGTTGTGTTGCCCCCCGCTCGGCCGCCCCACTCCTCCCGCAAACACCGACCGCGATAAAACTCGGCGCCGCCCGTTTCACTTGACAAATCACCTATCGGACGCATTCGAAATGCGCCATTGTGTGCTCCATTTCGGGCGGTATCTTCAACATTTGTGTGTGTGTGTGTGTGTCGAAGCAATGGGAGCGAGGAATACGTCCACGATGACGACGACGACTACGACTACTACTCATGTGATCGGCCTTGAATCGAATGCGTAACTCTTCGCGTAATTTTGCGACACCCTCAATCCGATTTGAATACGAGTGTGTGTGCGCACAAGGCTCCAAGATGACCTTCGACAGTTTACTCGAAACACCCCAACACCCGCTCCCCTCCCCATCGCCATCTTAAGGGGTTTGAACATTCGGCGACAATCTTAAAATATCCTAATCCGGGTCGTCATCATCACACTCGGACTCACTGAGTGTCAAAAAAAAGGCGCAGTCGGCAGATATAAATCATCGAGTCGGAGGAAAAGAAGCAAGTCGCAGAGTGGTTATCAATCGCAACCATCTCGGAACATGCAATTTGAATTATCGATGATCCATCGTGCCGCGACCGATGAGACGGCGGCTCACCTCGCTGTGTTTTGTCAACCTTGACTCGAGCACGTTACGAGAGCCTCAGATTTGCATCGACGACGAGGGACGATCAACGAGAGAGGGATGATGATTCGAATAAGATGATCCATTCGCCACTTTACGAGGCACTTAATACTCTTATGGTAATAGCTACCGGAGGAACTCATCCATTTTTTTTTCTCGTTGGGTGTAGTCTCATAAAGCAAGGTGTTTGGGGTGGGCATGGATCAATTGAGACATCCAGTCTTATCAATATCATGAAAATTTATTCAATTGGTCCGGTTTCGATGAGAGAGAATCACTAATTGGCTCAAAATCGGGATAGCGAATCCATTGCGAAAAACCAAATTGGCCTTCTTTTTTTTGACAAAAAGATCTAATTATACCTAGCATTGCTAAAGGCGACTAACAGCTGTCAATATTTAACGGTGCGATGCATTTTTTTAAAGAAAACTCCAAAAACTCGTTTTTTTGCGCAATCTGCATGATAGTTTTTTTGAACCGGTTTTTGAGTTATTTACGAAATCTGCATAGCACCATCATTGTTAATTAGCCGAGTTAAATTGATTCACCTTCATTTTCCATGTACGTCTAGGCTATAATTGCACGTTTCTCCGGTATTATGGATCTTTAATCCTTTGCGCCGAAACGTTCAGCTCGCACAAATCCAGTGTGTCCATCGTCGGGCGTGAAATCGCTGAGAAATTCGCAATTTCGTTCGGCATGAATTCCATGACGGCACACCTATGCGCCAAATCCATACAGTAATTCGAATCATCGGAATGCGAATGTGTGCAGTCGGGTTGTTATTACGATGTGCGCGCGACCGCGCGGCCGCGCTGAGATAGTATTCAGATGAGCGATGCGACTAAGATCGGAGACGAGCAGAATAAGAAGACGACGACGAAGACGATGATGACGAAGGTGACAGCGCAGCAGCAACAGCAGCAGCCGAGGCAGCCAACTACAGCAAAAACTGGCTCATCTTCTTCTCTTTCGTTTTCATCTTCTTCTTCTTCATCTCTTTCATTCCATTGCGCGGGCGTCTCCGATATAGAAAACCAGGTTGGAGATGCGCAGCGGAATTGCGTAGATACGGTGTGCAGGCACACTGTAGTAGTAGTAGTAGTAGCACAACGAGTTTTGCGACGATGGAATTGAACACAATCCGAGCGCGGCGGCGGCGACGACGAGGTGGAAGTGGAAGTAGAGAGGGGATGGGGGGGGGGGGAGATGTCTCACTTTTACAATCGGCCAAAATCGCACAATAATAACACCGGTAGAGTTTTCGACGGGTATCCCACACGTGATAATTGCACAATTGTCGGTGGGTCGGTCGGTCGGCGTTGTAAATCGCGTGGAGCATATACATGACCCTCAAATTAATTGAAAGTGCCGGTTGCCTCATTGCGTGCGTACGCGAGCGCGCGATGAGGGCAACCATCCTTCACAACACATCAAAACCGGTGAAGGTCACCTGAGCCATCGAACACGCACAAAAACAACAAAATACGCATGAACGGGGGAGGGGGCGTTGGTTTCGATGAATCGCATCCGAATCGGATTTAGGTGAGGGATCGAATCACACCTTTCCAGAGCAAGATGACAATCTACTCCTAACATTTGCACATTTTATCAAAATTATCGAACAGCCTTCAACAATTCGTAGTTTTAGAAAGTGACGAGACAAAACCCACAATTTGTTGATAATCAGCCAAACTCCACAGTAGTACTTCCGTCTCCTAGAACAATATCACAACATGTCTTGCTACGAGTTTACGACAGTAAATAACCTTGAGAGGGACCGCAAAAAAATATTACGCAAAAAAAAGGCGCATTCGAATCGTTCTTTGTTCGAACCGCGCGCTCATTTCATCGACGCGCGATCGGAGCTTTGCCCCCCGACAAACGAGTCGTTTCAGTGTTCTCATGAAATTGTGAAAAAAATTGGGTATGTGTGTGTGTGCGCGCGCGCACGTATATGTCGATATCCCGTGCCGATATGGGAGCGAGCGAGTAGCGCGATCGAATGTGCATCGAACGAAATAAAAAAAAAATATCGCGCAAAATTGCGAGAGATTCGCGCGCCGAGGAGCTGGCTGAAAACAGCCGACGTCGACGCCCTCTCGCGCAATTCGTTGTTTCGATTCGATTTCAAAAACGCAAAAGGCGGTTGGGGGGTTGGAAGATTTCAAATGTTTTTGCTCGCTTTCGAAATGTTGTCTTTCTTCGTTGGTTCACTTGTTTAGCTGATCGTCGCCATCATCAACAAACTGTGACTAGCGATGAGCAGACGGTCACAAGGTCACTATCATTCCGAGTTCTTCTTCTTCTTCTTCTTTTTGTTGCCATCGTTCACCCCAAAAAAATCGGCGATAAATTATATCATCGATGCTGATGAAGACGATAGTATGTTCTAGCAGCGACGAAACAGAAATCGTTTTCATGTTCGAAGACCAACTATGGGATGTTGGTCAACTTTCAAGTAGTTTCACAAGTTATTCGAATCGTTTTACGGGGAATAATGGACAATTCCTTTTCTAGCTGCTTCGAATTGAGAGAATGTAATAAAAAGAGGTTTCAAAGCACATTATTCTTAAATTCCAATTATTTTTAATTTAAAAAATTAGAAAACTTGACAACAACGAAGAAGGCGAGAAGGACGTGACTCATTTCTTTAAAATTTTCAAAAAGAAATTGAATAGACACAAGGTTTGGTGGAAAAAGAAATGCTCGGCGGGGGAATCAAGTAGAAAAAATTTGAAGCAAAATGTTAGCTTTCCGATTTGTTTTTCTCTCTCTCTCTCTCTCTCTCTCTCTCTGTTGTTTAAATGATTGATTGCAATTATAAGAATTTTAGATGAGCGCGATTTTCCTGTTTGTCTCAAATTATCGAAGCCACGCTTCGAATAGTCGTCATTTTTCATCGGCGCCCTACGGTTGCAGTTTCGCAGTAACAATGGCAATAGCTCTTGTGGCAGAAAAAAAACAGAATCGAGATCCGGCGACTCACAAAACCAGTTCCTCGTGCGGTGCACCACCGCCGTCATCATCATCATCGTCAACGCCGTTGCCGCCGCCATCGTAACATAATGATGATCGTCGGACCGCGCACCGATTTGTTGTATTCTGGTGCATTGTGGGGCGACGAAAAAAAAATCGGGTCGAATTTATATGCGTACGCATAATAATAAATCATGCGACGCCTTGATTTTTGGCAATTAGGCAACTTGAAGAGGGTCGAAATTAAGTGTGAGGCGACTTTCACACACGATGCACACCACCGTCCCAACACCATGCATGTGGAGGTGAAAGTTGACGTCTTATTCGAATCGAGCCTTTTTCGTCGTCGACATTCCTCAAACAGGTCGTGCAGCAAAACGATCGGCACCGCAAAAAAAACGTGAATAGGATTATTCGGACGAAACTTTCTGATGAATACCATTAATGCTTGAGTGAGGAAACATGACTGAAAGAATTATGGACAAGTTGGAAATGAATAAAAACTGTGTAACAAAATCGTCTAATGGGTTTTAACTTTCTGAAATTTAAGAATGAAAAACGAAATGAGGTGCTTGAACTGTTTTTTGCAAAGAGGGAAGGGGCTTTGTTCTTCAATTGATAAAAGGAATACGATTGTTTGACTTGAGATGGGTGCCTGTGATTCCGAGCAATTCAAAAACGACAGTCTTTGAGTTCATCCTTTCACTTTGACTTTGAATGTCAAACGAGCAATTCTCATGGTCTACCGTAGCCAAATGGGAATGTCAAGATTTGGGAATCAAGTCGCTCGGTCGGCGACGGCGGCGCGCCTACGCGGTGATTCCTTTCATATTCAAATGGGCGATTTTGAATGACCGGTGGCTCTTCAAATCCTCTCAAATCTCTTTCCGATCTAATTGTGCCCCCCCCGAAACCGTATCCGCATCGCCGCCCGCTGAGCGGCCACCGCTCCGGTTCAATCGCTCAACGCGGCGCTCTTGACTCGAATTCCGTCGCTTCGAAACTGGGTCATACGGTAGCTGGTGCGCATAAGACAGTCGGCGGTCAACAAGACGGAATGCGTCGACGGCGATGAAGAGGAATGGGGGAATAAGCAAAAAGGAGCCGAAGAAGTGAGAGAGGAGAGAGAGGCAGCGCGCTAGAATCGGAGAGCAACGACGCGTCGCGGTCATCGTCGCCCCGCAAAATGCGTACTGTAGCAATTGGTTTCGCGCATCCTGTAAAGAAATTGAAGGCAAAATACCGAGGATAATGATGATGAGGGGGAGGAAGACGAGGAGGAAGAAGAGGAAGATCGCGATGATTGCCGCCAACCCTCCCCCTGAATGTGCACTCGAAAGGATGGCGAGGTGAGGAGGAAAAGGGGGTTGAACAATTTTATAGCCATAAACATAGAATCCTTCACCTTCAGACTGTATTTGCTCGCACGAGCATTTATGAATACGTTATATTGGTTATTGAGCGTGGGAGAGGGTGTGCATTTCGATAAAGCTCCGAAATGGCCGTAAAAAAAACAGACATGCCTCCGAATATCGTAGTGTCTAGACAAAAAAAATATATATATAAGAGTATTTCCAAGTTTAATGACGAATTAGAGAAAAAAAAGAAAAGTAGGCCTAAAATTTTGAATATTGATAAATCGTTTATTTTATAGTCTGCTTTTGAAAAAATCGGTCTACCAAATACGGTCGCCTCGAGAATCGGCGAATTAAAAACTGTATGTGCCGTTAATTACCATATTCGAAACTATTTTCTAACATCAAAAAACTTTAAAATCGCTTTTAAAAACACCGATTTCGGTCTTTCATCGTCCAATTTTCTATTATTTCATTTAGAAATTGAAATAAAATGACGAAATGTAATTCAAATAAAAGAAATAATTATTTAAAGGTGTTTAAACGGAAAATGAGATGGGTCTTTCGGCGATTGGTATCAAGCTGTTCGATGGTCCGATCAAATTTATTTTGAAATGTTAGAAAGAGAGAGAGAGAGAGAGAGAAGAAGAAGAAAATAGTGTTTTTGACGAAAAAAAAATGGGAATGAATGAAAGGGAACCGCTTGGAACGCACGCTAGCGAGAAGAAGCGGCGACGGAACAATGCGTGGCTCAAATATTTTGTTTGCTCGAGCATCAATATGAATATCATTTTTACGACAATGCGAACCCATGGGAAGGCAAATGGTTCTCGACGCGAGGCGGCCAACAAAAAAAAATACCGTCGTATTTGCGCGCCGGTGTGCATTTGCGTTGTCGACGCCCACGTATACAAATCGTCGAATCAGAAGCCGGCCTTCATCGGACGTAACGAAGCAGGGGCGGACACACACAAAATAATATAAGAAATGGAAGAAAAAAGAAAAGAAAATTTTGTAATGATTGCGTCGAACGTTCTGATGACAATCTATTCTTCGCGTTTCCTATTGTCGCCGCTCGTTTCCTCGGAGCATTCGGCAACATCACAATAGGACGAGGAAAACGAAACAACAAAACGGACTGACTGTACGAGCAATTTCAAACTGAAATTAATCATACAGCACTTTTGTCATCGTTCGAGTTGCGAAATTTATTACTGAATTCGGGTTTCGAGCAGACGGAGCTGTTGTTCAGACGGCTCATGACGTCATCAATTCCGGAAAAAAAATCGAATAATCGAGTCGGTGAGTGATGATAATCCATAATAGGCAACGCAACGGTGACTTCAAATTCCGACGGGCTGCGAACGGAGTTTTGGAGAAACATGGAAATGAGAAGACGCGAAACAAAAATACATAAGCAAAGAGGCAAAAAGACGACGTTTACCAACAAAAGTTTCGAACAAAAACACACGAGGGGAACGGAGAAAGAATACGGGAGCACACAAATATGCATGCACGTATGCATACATACATGCATTGATGCTACTGATTATGACGATGATGCAGTTGGTAGGCGCGGCTATTGTTGTCGGTAGCCACGAAAACGATGACAACGACGACGATGATGATGATGATGATGATGATGATGACGCCCTCGAGGATGGTCGCGACGATTGATAGAACAGTCGGGCACAGCTCCCGACACTATCAGTTTCTCTCGATTCGGCACACTATTCTCGCGGCTTTTTTTTTGGCTCGGAATCGCGCCCCTCGCGCTCCCCCCGCCGCATGCATTTTTGCACATTATTGTACACCTCCCGTTCTCGCGTTTCTCCATATTTGTACATTATTTGGAAGCGAATCGATAACCTCGATCGCCGACGACAAGAAACAAAATCGTACCGTCGGCGACGGCGAACATTGAATGAGACCGGGCGCGCGCATTTTTTTAGGAAAAATAAAAACCCGAATCGAATTCGATCGGCACTTACGCAATAAGAGAGCAGCTCAATCGTTTCGACATCATCAAGAAGTTCGACGACGACGAATTTCGAACGCGTTGATGACTGCTTTTCTTCTGACAGATTCGAAGATGATGGTACTGTGGATGGCTGCTCAAGACGAGCAGATTTTGCGGGACTTCTGAATAAATGGAAGCATAGATTAGCAAAAAAAATTGAGAATGTCGTTATCATTGAAAATTGATTGCGTGAATGCGCAAACCAAATGGGGGCAATTATGGGAACAAATGGGGTTATTTTCTAAAAAAAAGCATTTGGTCCTTTTTTTGTCAACTGGAGCCCACGCTTCAAATTTGAGCATTACATTGTATAACGATATCCCTAATAACGTTCCAAATCCAATTCTGAGATTTTTTGGGTCCCACAAAGCAATTCTAGATTACAATTTCAGTTCCTAATTTGCGGAATATCTTGGGTATTTTCAAAAAGTTTCTCAATTGATATTTTTCAAATATTCCGCTTTTGCTCAAGGCAACAACTCGTCAGGATGACTCCAGGAATTTCGAGATCCGATGACTACCATAGACATATTTGAACAATCATGTAGGCAAACGGTTGTCAATAGTTTCCGCCAGAACTCTAACAATATTTTTTTAATTATTTAAAAAATTGCCGATGAAAAAAGTATGAAACGAGATTATTTAAAAAAAAACATTGACTCATAATGATTCCAAAAATGAAAGTTAAAAATTACTTTCAAACTGCATTGAAAAAATGCCTAATATTCAAATGTTTGTGGCATGAATAGGCCCATAAGAAAGTGATAGAATGGCAAGAAAAAAAAGCACCCTTAATAAAATAATTTATAATTTTCAATATAGAAATTTGAAATTTGAAATATCGCGTTGATGGTCCTTAAACATTGCGGGTTTTCGCTTTTTTTGTGACATAGAAATAATCACGTCACATTCAATAATTTTTCTGGGAAAATAGAAAAAATACGAAATATGGTGATATTTGGCACATTTCGATGTACGAAGAAAAATCAATGTTTTTTAAGTGAATGGAACAAAAAAAAAACGCCCATAACAGTGCATTTGAACTCGCCTGTTTTATGCCACCGTAAATACATAAAATTTGATAAACGCGAAATCAATGTGCTCCATTCGCTCAAAAACGTTTCCCCCCTTCGATTATTGCGCCCAAAAAATTGCACACATCATTTTTTTTAATTACCACCCACACCCATAAATGTAATGGAAAATCTTACGCCATTCGTCTCGATTAAAATCCTTCCCGAATTATGTGGAGATCACAAGATTAATTGGTCTAAAATAATCGGAATTTTTGAGATGAAATTCGTCGTCGAAATTTCCGAAAACAAGTATTGATGAATAGATTGAAGTACCAGTCAAATAAATTAATGCAAAATTCACTATATCGGTTGAAACAAAAACAAATCATTTTATTCTCTCGACGAAACAATCACTGGATTTTCATGTTAATCGTATTTTTGTTGTATCGGTGCTGCGGGAAACACATCGACATTGTGTTCAGCCATTCTTTCCGGATTTCGGGTGTTCTAAAAGGAATTCGAAAATCGAAACAAATAAATTCAATGAATCCCTACGTCAAGTCCAGTGGTTCAATCTTTTGATTATGAATCGAAGTCGCGTGCTCTCGAACTCGAATCTAAACCATCGATCACAGTGATATGTGCCAATTCGATATGCTTGCCTACCTTCCTGCCAGATTCATAAGGACACAGTGTGCATCGGAATGCTTTGAACTCTGAGTGTTTGTGAACGGCATGCGCGTACAGATTCCATTTCGAGCCGCCCGTATTTAATCGAATGTCAGCTCCACACATCTGAGCCGTCCTAATTAAAGCGATGTTGTTCAAGAGCGACAAAACTACCTCACAAGTGACAACCATCGGCTCCGAGCTGACTCGCATCCTTTTATTCAATGGCGATCCTTCTCTTTCTAATGATTCGTAATCATCTCCAAAATTTGAATCATTTTCAATACAATCACCATCATCAGAATCTGGCGCAGTTTTCAGCTCAACGTCAACTCGTTCGATTCTGAAAACAATCTTGGATTTTTCAAAAAAAAAGTTTCATGTGGTTATTATTTTGGTGCGGTAACGTTTTAAAACTTTAGCAAATTCATCGAATTATAATATTTCTCGCAATTTTGAGTCATTTCTACGTCTTTTTAAGAAAATTGATGAAATTAATGCTATTTTCGACAACAGAAAAAAACGTGAAAATGACGAGCAAGAAAAAACGTTAAAATAAGCTAAAAATGATAGTTTCCAATTGAAAATATCTATAATGTGTGAATTTTTCGATTAATGTCGAAACCGGACGAAAAGATTAATGTCGAAGCCGAATCAAAAATTTATAATTAAAAAAAAACAGGTTGCCAGGGCCGCGAGACTAAAAAATTTATGCGCCTTTAATTACTGTGTCCAGACATTTTGATATTCGAAAACTTCTCTATTTTTTAAATCACCGATTTTCATCTTTTTGATTAAAATTTGCAATTTTTAACTTTTTTTATTTGAATATCGATAAATTTGAATGAAAATTACGAATAACCAGGGAAAAAATTAAAATTAGAAAGTCATCCATTTCGGCTCGAACGAGTCATTTCTAATTGCCGCTTTTTTGTTTTTTTACATTTTTGATCGAAAAATGTTTATTATCGAACGATGGTGGCCAGAAATCTACGAAAAACGCCATAAAAACGTTATAGGCAATTTCTGTCTTATTCTCAACAATTCGAATTCATACCTATTTTGAATAGCATCCAGTAATTGCTCGTCATGATTCTCAGGAACGTTTTCAGAAAACGGCGACGCTCTTCTGCAACCAATAAATTGAATAAAAATGCGAATCGCGCAATAATGTTACGTATGGCTGACTGGTTGCGATGTACGTCTTTCATTTCTTCGCAATGCTTCTGAAAAACACGCAAAAATAAAGGACTTGAACAAAGAGAAGACGCAATACCGGCCAATTTCGGCATCGCCGTTTGCAAATCGGCATTCTGTTGAGATTCGATGTGTTGAAATCGCGTGAATCTATGATCAATCTAGAAACAATTAATTTGAAAATCAACATTGAGAAAGAATCATGAAAATGTATTTTTTTGTGTAGAAAGAATTTCTAATTGAACATCAGGAAGGAATTATTGAGAAACTAATTTCTCAAAACATGACAAATTATTTTAAAAGAGCCAAACAAATATTCCAGAATGTTTAAAACATCAATCAAATACGAAAATATGCAATTCAGCAAAATGCAAATTCAGTGTAACGGCTCAAACGAGCAGATTCTCTAAACGTTGAACAATTTTTAAAATAGTCGAATCGGTAATCAAAGACTTTGTTTCTGACAGCCGCGTGTCTCTCTATCAATGATTCTCAACAGCAATAAACAATATCGACGAAAATAACACCATAAGACCCACCGCCCACATTTGAATTCCGAAGACTACGGTAGTAGGTGTGAGTTGCTCCGAATATTAAAAAAAATAGAATGACAATAATATTACAATTCTCTTCAATAGAACGAAAAATTCCGATAAAAAAGATTGATTTGATAGATGCTGAAGCTGGAACATTGTTAATCTCAGCTCTATTTGTGAACATCAAAAAAATGGCCTAAAATCTTAAAAAAAATCACAAATCAAAAATTTATTGATTTTGGGATGAGATGAGAAATTGATAAATTGTAAAACAACATTTTCAAGAAAAATTGAATTTTTTCTCGAAAAATATTAATAGCTCTGAATGTGGGACTCAACAAACACTCAAACTCACAAAGCACACACACACACACACACGCACACAAAACACAAACGCAACGCACACACGCTGCGCGCACGCGCTCATCGATTATCGGCGTATCTTCGTCTCGCACACTCTCTCGCCATTTTGCCCACTCACCAAAACGCTCACTATGTCTCTGACACAACTCAATCGCTGCGTTTCATCGTGGCGCGTTATGTCTCGCACACACCCAGCAGAAGCCCTCACGATGAGGATGACAATGAGCGCGGCGATGTGTGCGAATTGTGAGCCATTTCTCAATTTAGGATTTCAAATCACGCCGTTGGTTTGGAATTTCTGATTTTTTTTCTTGTGGAAATACTATTAAATTTGGTTTTGTTAAGAAAAACAACATGCCTAGAGGACGTATGAGCAAAAAAAAGATGTTGAGATTAGTGGACAAATAAATCTTTGATATCTCTCGAGCCGACGATCAAACGTTTGAAACCGCCAAAACGGTTGTTTCCCAGAGCGAACGAATTTCGCAGACAATCGATTATAAAAATCAGACGCAAATGTTCGTTGCAAGATTTTCGACTCGATAATTTTCCCACACCGCAATTTTTATGTGCATTTTTGGGGGGACGACTGGGGCCGAACAAAGCGGTGACGAAAACAAACAGAGTTTTGGAGCGTCGAAACGCAAAAAGAAAAGAAAACTGTAAAGTAAAGAAGAAAGGAAATGTGAAGAGAATACCAATAGCGACAAAAGCCTTTTCAGCTCGTTTGGCGATGTGACGTCAACGATGAGATGTGATAAATAGGGCTTCGCGTCTTTTGACGATGGCGACGGGTCTGCAATTCATATCAGTTGGCACTGTTTGATAGTTTTTGATAATACTATTCCGAAATTGCTGCATTGTCCCATTGCAGCAATTCGAATTTGACGATGGTCCTGACAACATTTTCGCCAATAATTGCGAGGATTCATAATCGGTTGTTGAAGCAATTGATGGGGTCTCATCACATGTTGTCGTGCTCAACAATTGTGATCTGAAACAATGACAATAATGGTGATAATGCTATGGCGGAGTTGAATCACACAGATGACCCAAACGGTGCGTCATTCAAAAATGGCTTACAACAAGGAAGGGTGGACTTGCTCGCCAAAGACTTGGTTAAGAGCTGCGCATTGCTCCTGAAAAAAATTTCGAAACATAAAAGACCAATCAAAGTTTAATTTTTCAAGAAATTGACATTTTAAAATTTATTAATAGCTAGACGAACTCATGGAGCGAAACAATGATTTTTTTTGGTTTTTCTCGGTAAAACATACTGAGTGTTTCGTCCTCAGGTAAATAAAAATCAATCGAAATCGAAGAAAAATTATATATATATATATATATATATATCAATCTGTTTCGATTGAAAAATAATTCAAATTCAATTTAGAAAACGCTTAAATTCGATTTGAAATCTTGGTTTCGATTCTCTCATTTTTATTTCTCATTCTCAATTTTAAAATCGTATTCGATTGAAATTTTGGAATAATTCGAAACAGATTAATTTACATTCGATTTAGATTGAAAAACAAATTATTTTCGAATCCGATTGATTTTCATTTACCTGAGCCAAAAACCGAGAAAAACTACGGTTTCGCTCGATGAGACAATCGCAAAAAAATACATCAAGCACATGGTTACTGTAATTTATAAGTCCGTGAATTTGATGTGCAGATCTTGCGAAGTACAGTACACCAATTCCAACTATTTATTAAAATCGCAAGCAAAAAACGAGAACTCTGATTAATGGTGAGTTTGATTCGCAGGATATCTGTTGTACGGTACACAAATTTTTACAGTTTAAACTCAAATTTGAATTGTTTTTATTTTTGCAATGTTTAAAGCATAGCATAATAGAGTTTTGTGAACAAACCGATTCCGTTGCCGTTTTCTCTTCTTCTTCAAATTCAAGACAAACTTTCGCAAACTTCTCATCATGTTTGTCAATACAAATTCGACGGTTGACCAATTCCTTAATTTTCTCGTCGATCGTCATTTCGTTGATATTTGGAATAGTCCTAAAATATAGTTCAACATTCTCCATGCTGCTTCTCATTCGTTTATTCCCAAGTACTTGAACTCGTCTTTGATTCTCGCCAACAACACCTTTTTGCGATTATGGAAGTGCGATTTGACCCGTTCGATATCGGCGGCAATTTCGAATCGTTCGTTAACCTTCAAGAAAAGTGTTTTCTTTTTTTTGACGCGTTGCCTTCAACCCACAATCTCGGCAATTTTTTGCCAGTGCTCATTTCGCGCCAAATTCTCGGTCGTCAATCTTCGATTTGAGTTTTTAATGAGGTCTTCTCTTCGTTCCAGGACCAAATCAACAATAAAATTGCTCAATTCTCTGTTGATTTTCGACCCTTTTTGTATATTTAGAGGAATCATTTCTGAAATTAGATTGCGCATTTTCCAACAACAACAAAAAGAGTATTTACGCGCAAACTCGAAATTAATTGAAGCTTTCACTGAAAATAAACGAAGAATGTGTAGAATTCAAGAAAAAAGAAATGATCGTTGCCTCCAACAAGTTTTCGGCGACTACCAACCCGACGAGCTGTCGCCGCTGACCGACAGCTGCCGATAAACTGGCTGGCTGGCCGTTGTGTGTTGAATGCTCGTCGATCGTTGTCTGCTGCATTCTCATCTCTATCTCGACGGCCTCGACTCAAGGGCATTCCGAGGCGCGCTTTCTCTTCGCAACGCCGACATTTCAAGGTTGTAGGACGGCCAGGAGTTCGGCACTCGATTCCGACAGTCTTGACATTTCCTCATTGATCGTGCGCCGAAATCTAGGTAGAAGTGGACGAACGTCGAATGGGGGAAACAATTAAAAGTGAAACATTTTGATAAGCTTATCGTTGAAAATGATGGCGCAGGAATAAACGTGACATCAAAAATATAGAGAAATGATGCTTACTGGAGTTTATACTTTGCATAAATGAGAAAAATACAAATTAAAGGCGCATACCCCCACAAACATTTCAAATGCCATAATCTCTTATCTTCCAATACACATATATATACATATATATATATATATATATATTCAATTATATCTTCCATTTTCAAAAAACTACTAACGATTGATTTCTACAAAATGAGCATATTCGAACCAAAAAAAGGATGCATTTTTAGTATTGTTGTTACTTTTCGGCCAATGTATTATTGGAATTTACCTAAAGAAAGGAAAAATAATTTCCAAACCTTTATAAGATAACAATTAATTCGATGAATTGCGCAAAAGTAACACAAATGTTATCCATACCATCGTTAGATTTCAAGTAGATTGGTTATTGTGTGTGGGTATATTGAAAACAAAAATGTACAAAAATAAGCAAACGGAGCATTCGGCGGAAATGAATTGAAGAGATCACGTTTGAATTCGAAAAAGATTGAAGAAAATACAAAAAAATGAATAATGAGATTAAAGCGCTTCCAATTGTTCAACGAGATCCGTAAGATGAGCAATGTATTTGTCTTTGTTCACGTCTTCAACGGAGAAAACTGTCACACGTTGGCGAACTTCCTCCTATGAGAATTTTCAAAATTACGAACAATCTTTTTTGAAAATATTACATTATACGATTCCATTTTGCATCTCACTCTCCACATTTTCGGTTGGAATTGAATCTTTTCGAACACCGCATTATATTCATTTTCATCAACCTCACGAATTGCTCCCACCTCCTAAAGAACACACATTAATTTTCATCGTAAATAGAATAAATTCACACCGCCGCAGATTTTCCAACAATTTTCGCGGCAGTATCACCAAACGCAGTCACATAAATTTGTCCGGTGGCGTCGGCAATCTCGAATTGTATCATGTAGAGCCATTTGAATGTCGTACTACTTGAATTGCATTTCTCGCAGCGATATTCTCCATCGCTTTCAACTACCTATAGCATATATTTTTATTTATTAATTAAATATTGGAAACCTTCTTCTGGCATCCTTCGTTTGAGCATCCTTTATAGATGGCATTTGAAGGATTGACTCTAGTGATCATTGCTTTCAAACTGGCATAATCTCCCTTCTCCGACTCATTTCCAAATCTCATTTCAATAATTCCCGCGATTGTTCTAGGAGCTAAAAAAAAGAAAATAAAAAGTGAATTATTAAATCCTATACCTTCACTATTGCTAGGCGCCATTTGACTGATCGTCTGAATATCCACCTTCGGACGCTCATTTTCATACCACTCGAAAAGTTCAGCAACGCCTGGAATGTCCGGAACGCTGTGGATCCTAGTAGACGAAGTCGTGTTCAGTGAATAAGCTCCTGCGATAAGAAAAAAAATGAAATTGGCTAGTAACAATGCCGACATACCATTGAACTCTTTTGGAATAAGACCTTTGAAGAGAACAACTTTTCCCACCAAATCCTTATTAACATTAGTCGCTTCTTCGCCCCACATGGTGACACGAATTTGAACTCCACTCTCATCGACAACATCAAGTTCTCGTTTGATGAGTTCCTTTCCTTGACGAGATGTGAACTGCAAAATGAAACATTATTTTAGAGAAAATCGAGATCATACACTTACATGTGTTGGTTCTTCATCCATACGCTCAACAACCACAAGAACATCAATCATATTTCCAATTTGGGACGGAATTTTGTTGAGCTCAACACGTTTGACATTCAATTTTGGCGTCGAGAAAATTTCGCCTCCTGGTTCAACCTATAAAATCGTTTGTTTCATCATTAAAACATTTTAACAAACCTTGGAGTCCGATCGAAGCGTAATCTCGTAATCATGTCCCGTACTATTAAATCGTTTGTTTGCAACTCGAACAGAACCACCGGATACATAATAAGACTGAATTTGAACAATTTTTATCAATACGAAACGCAAATATTCACCATGTTTTCAACAATCAAACTAGCCATTGATTCGGCAACCTCGTTAAAAGCTGTTACGCGTATGCAATCACCGTGAACATCGGTCAGTTCGAAATTGAAAATCTTCATATTTTTGGCAGGCAACGTTCGCATTTCTTCTTTTCTTGAAACCATTCCATGAATTTTGAAGTTGCTCGCATAAGGAGTGACTGCCGCAATTGGCATCACACCGCCTTCGGTTTTACTGGCTCCTTTGCGATTCATTTGCGGTGGTGGCGCTCTGGCTTTATTAACTGAAGCCGCTCCTGGAAACCATAAATTACGCATTATCGCTGAACAAGTCATATTCGTACCATTCTCGGTTTTTTGAATTTTTGCCGGCGGCGGCACACCGCGATTCTCTTGCTCATGAGCAAACTCTTCGGCTTCCGCCCAATCATCAGCAATTATTGCACTTGATCTATATCCCATATGCTCTTCTGGTTTTCCGTTATGCGTTTTTGGTTTGGTTCCGTCGGGATTAAGAAGCAGCTTGTGGTAGCAGGAGAGTAGGTCAAAGTCATGTATAACCAATGTTGGTTTATTCTCGCCATTCATCAGTTCGAGATCGGATATGGCGATGATCGCTCCTTCGACCAAAAAATTTGTGTACTTCTCCACTTTGGCTTCGCATTTCGTTGAAACAATAGAATCTGCAATGTTTTCTTTTTGTAACAATAATATTGCAAATTTCACTTACTATACATAAAAATTCCGTCAGTGATACGAAGGCGATAGCAAAAATCGAATCCATTTAACGTTCCAACATCAGTTTTTCCTTTCTAAACATTGCATTACATTGAAATGATAGATAGGAAGTGATTTTTATACCACAATCTGCACAACACCTTCATGACCAGGGTAACCGTGGTTTTCGAATATTTCTTGAAGATAGGAACAAGACAGTTTCAATTTTCCTTGATAATTGAATTTATCATAAACTTGGCGTGAGATTTGAATATCAGCCATTTCTGAAAAAAAAACACTTTGGCATGGTTTTTAACGGACATGGAAGAATTTTAAAAATTGAATAGTTGAAATATTGCGAAATACGACCAATGCAAACAAATGGAATGGATTTTCAAACATAAGAAAAACAAGAAAAAACAGAAAAATTTAATTTCAGTGCATTGCAAGCCGATATAGCCCAAAAAAATGATAAAATTGGTACATTGCATATAATTTCAGTTAAAATATGGCTAATATATGTATATATATATATATATATGTCTATGCACTAATTGTCTAAAAATAAAGACAAATATCAGGCTAAAGAGAAGCTTTCAAAAATATTCAGCACAAAAATCAGATTGATTCAAAAGTTGCAGACAAATTAGGTATGCGATAAACCGATTCAAATGTTGAAAATGAGCGCGCGATGTCGTCATTTGTTGTGCTTGCGTACTGTGCGGAAAATGTTGCACACCGTAATTGACTGCGTTTTTCGCACAATTTTTCCTCCATTCCTCATTTGTTCATTACGAAGATGAAAATTTTTCATACTTGTAGAAATATGTGCCAGCATATTAATGATTAAAACAAATATTCGAACTCGAAAATTACAGAATTTTTCAAACTTCATTTGAAAATGTACAAACAAGAACCTAAAATATGTACAATCAATAAAAATAAATATAGAAGACTCCATGAATCAATTCATATAAATAATGGGTTAGTCTTGTGTTGCATTGATCTCGAGGTTGGGCAACTACTTTGTTTGGAAAGCGCTAAAGTCTCCATTGCGCACCCGGTTTAATTGTGTTGTGTGAATTGCAAATCTGCAGCGTTTGTCAATTTTCTTGCCGATGAGGTCCCTGTAAATTAATTGCTTCATTCTCTCTTGTCCAAATTTCTCGTCAAACAAACTTTACAGCAGGAGCAAGGTTGTCAATCATCGTCGCAGCAGCGTCGAGTGGCTGAAGAAGCATGTCCTGAAATTCAACAAATCCAATTGGTTGATAACCGAAGTAATTACGAGAGCCAGCCATCCACTAAGCGGACAAGCCTGGTTCAACTTCTTCGTGACGCATGGAAGCGTGCATTGAAGAGATCCGCAGAGCTCGCCAAGGTGGTCAGTCACGATGAACACATTTCCGCCAACCGTCGCCGCGAATCTGATGTTGGCATCCTTGGAGAAGGCGGTCAGATTCGATCTGGCGTAGCACGATTTGTCGCATTCTAAATGAAATCGACCACTTAGCTTTCGAGCTCCGTCTTACGCTTCATGACATCGTCGACGACCGGCTCAAGGCACTTCTCCATTCTCTCGAAAAGCACAAACTTTTTCGCGCACATATATTCGACGCTGCTCGTCGCCACATTGAAGATTTTGTGCACATCGCAAAATTGGTCCGTTTTAAGGCACGCGATCGATTTGGCATGAGCCGAGCACATGCTTCGCGCCTGTGTCACCACATTGCTCATCGTCCACAGTGTTGTCGTCGTGTTGATAAATGAATCAATGCATTTGCGCATGCAAAACGGAACGCCAAGGGCTCGGAATATCACATCGTGGTCGAGACCTGAATGCTCATTTTTTTTGAGTTTTGCAAAAAAAATAGTGCACTCACGTTCAACTTTGTCAATCTTCTCGGGTTTTGTGTCCTTATCCTTATATGTCGTTGGAACTTTTGAAAACGCGCCGGCGAACAAAACAGAAATGCAAATCAAAGATAGAGCGCGCATGGTAAGAAAAACCAAGGAGACTGACCACCGACTGCCATTTTATTGAGAATTCGACATTTTTTGCCGACTTTGGCGCCATTTTAAAAATGTAGATCAAAAAATCCAACAACAATATTATGTTTAATCACAGTTTATTTTCAAAATAATGTATTTAAGCATTTGTTTAAAAGACCTATACATGAAACAAAAATTTGTAAAAAATTACATTAAAATTGTCATTTTTATACCTGCCGTAAAATGATGTGTAATTTTTCCCATTTTTATTGCATGAACAGGTCCATAAGTAAAAGCCAAAAACATTCACAAATTAACGACACGAAAATGGGTAATCGAAACGCATTTTCGAAAATCTCCGTTGAGCTGAAGGGGAAAAGCTGAAATGCCAAAACTGGAGAAACAAAAACCGGGTTTGAGCTAAAATTCGACTAAAGCGCAATACTAAACAGAACTAAATATACATCGGACGATAATGAAAATACAAATTTAGGGTAGAAGAAAGTGTACACGAAAATTGACCAGAATTCAACAAATATTGTTCAAATGAAAGAATATGAAAAATAGATTCTTTGGTAAATGGGAAGAGAAAAACTAATGTTGATACATAAAATGGCAAGAAAAATTGAATATACAGACGATACAGAGGACAAGAAAAAGGAATCAGAAGAATCGAATCTTTGGTTTTTCGCGAGAATGAGCGGCAAGAAGTTCGGGATTTCTCTCCATAACTTTCGAAATCTAAAATAAAATGAACAATCGCATTGTATGCCATTTCGATTTCCTACAAGGTTATCCATGTAGCTCTGCATATCCTTCATGCGACTCTCCTTCACTTGAAGCTCTAACTTCAAACTATCGATGACAGCAAGCAAGTCCTGCGCATTTCCAGGATCGATATTTTTCTAAATTTCAAAATTTATTTTCCCCCCTCAATAAATCCTCATTTGGATTACTTGATTTTTAGATGACTCGAAACCACTTGAAGCGTTGCTATGAACACTCGGCGCCCGCTGGAAATAGTCTTTTCCAATCTGAAAATGTAGCTTTAAAATATTTTCCAATAAAATTATATTATAAATCCAAAAACAACGAGCACACTGAACCAATTTACGATGAGTTTGATTCGCAGGATATTAGTACCCAAAAAAATTGGGTAATTTCCCCAATTTAAACTCAAATTTTAATTATCGTATCGAAAAAGAACGATGGTTCACAAATACTCAGAGTGCCCGTTTTTCATCGCGTTGGTAATCGAATAATACCGCCGGTGATGTATAATTTCCATGTGGAAGTGTCGCTGAATGCCGTGATGTTGGAGTGGTGATTGCTCTTGGCGGAGGTTGTGGCGAAGTCGCATCAGCAAATGGATTGCTGCTGTTTCCAAGCGCGACGCCAACAGTCGATGCAGGTCGAGAATAGCCGCCGTTGACATTGTCGAATACATTGAACGAGCTGAAGGATTCCAATTGGAACAAAAAAGAAATAAATCAGCAAATTCTTTCAACTGCTTTGACTGTATGTATGTTCTAGCAAAAAATACAAAATGCATTATAAACCTATTTTCTCGGCTTCCAAGTCCTTCCGTTCCACCAGAATTGCATGTTTCATAAAGCCCGTTGGATGTGTCGAGATGATTATCATTAGGCGTCAGGAATGTCCCAACCGGCAAAGTCGAGGATTTGTCTTTGATCCCAAGAGTTTTTCCAATTTTTCCAAAGAACCGCTGGCTCTTCGTGCTCTTTGTACTAGCGACACTCCACGCAGAAGCCATTGACATCGTGTCTTCGGCCTGTTTGTGCCCATTTTTCGCTAGTTTGATTTTCCGCTTCATTTTGCTCATGAGACCACCGCCAGATTCTGAACATCGAATAGTGAGAGGCGGTCAGACAAGAAAAAAAATCAACCTTTTCCTTCATTCGCCAAATGATTAAGAGACGTCGACGAGATTGACATTGACGGTTTCTCATAGGAGAATTGGAATTGCATTTGAACTTCTCCTCGATATTTCTCGTCGTTGCTTCGCTTCTTCAATCGCAGCCAATTCGGACCACTTTGCAACGATTTCGCCTGTTCCAAATCGATCTCGCATTTCCCAATAACATCTAAATGAAGTTGAAATAAAATTCGAATCGATAAACTGTTCAAACCGCCCGATCCCAGTTTCGCTTTACTGTAAACTGCAATCGTCAACGAATTAAATTTTTCGTTAAGCTTGCTGAAAAAATCTTAAAATTAAGGAAAAAAGAAAACGTCGATTTGCTTACAATTCGCATACTTCGTCCCACTTGCAGTCACCTTCACACTGAATGGCCTCTGTCGCCGCTCTACTCCTCAACGAACCTTTTCCCTGAAAAACAAATGCGCACAATGGAATCGTGAATCAGGCAATCTCACATGAAGGGTTACTGTACAAAAAGCTTCCATACTCGTTTTATTCTTCATATAAAGCCCACGGGCGCCACATACTGAAACAGAATTCTTTTGTGAATACCGAATTATTAATTTTTTTTCAACGACTCACTAGTGGCAAGCATTGTGTTCGGTTCCATTTCGCCCGGTTGTTTTGTTGCGCAATTCTTTGTCTTCTTCTCCTTATTCTTTCCCGCCGAAACTCGATTTTGTGAGCCTACAACGATGGAAATGATCGAAAAGAAAATGTGATTAAAAAAAAAGAATAAGGTAAACATGTCCCAAAAATGCAACGAAAAAACCAAGAGACGTTTCCATTGAGAAATGCAGATATTAATCGCGACATTTCGAACGCGTAATATAATAAGAAATGAGCAAAAATAAATAAAGAACAACAACTTTATAATAACAATTATAACAACAAAGAATCGAGCAACAATTGAAGAAATCGATAAAAATTGATTGGTAATGATGATAATGAGCGGAAATCAACAAAAAATTTCAACAAAGAAAAAAAAACCAACAACGTTTGGAGAAATGAAAGCCGAAGAATTGTTGTCGCCTGAAATATTTTACGATTAAAATGTTGAAACTGTTTTGTGACGTTTGCGAGGAAATATGATTCATCGAGTTATATATCAAATTTTTAGTATACTTTACTTTTGCTTCGAAACCGCACAACAAACATTGATTGAGAATCGAAAATGTTGAATAAACAACAATTCGTTAGTCGGAAAATTTTCAGTTTTTTATCACCGGAATCAATCGATCCCAAAATGATTACGAGAAGTTTATCAGTGAGTTTGAGAATTAAAATTTAAAAAATAGTTCATGACAATTGTGCGTTGGTTCCGTTTTGCATTAAAGTGAACTGAAATGCCAGATATTTTTAATTTCAATATGAATAAAGTAATTTTTATAAAAATTATTTGATTTTGAGTGCCAAAAATCAGTTCAAATCGAAAAAGGAATGAAATAATTTTCATTCGGTTATCAATTTCAAATGACGCACTTACTCATAATTCTAAACGGAACTTGTATCGCAAATAGAAAAATTCCTTAAGGGTCAAATAAATAAATTGAGAAAATTTCAGGACTTCAAAATAACAGTATGGTACGAAAAAAACAGAAAATATTTTTTTCTTTCATTTTTCTTAATTTTTTTCCTTTTTTTTCTTTGAACCTTTATGAAATAAAATGTAATGTCAAAAAAAAATAGCAACGAATATTTCTACCGCATTATCAACTTGTTATCAATCAAAAAACCTTACAATTTCTTTTTAATCTCTCAACCACACGTGCTATTTGTCAGCGAAGAATTGATTAGCGACACAAAACGAATCGAATATTTAACATGATTGAATAGGAAAAAAACGGAGCGCGTTTGAATGTATGAAATTTGAATTTTCATCGCATAATAACCATTTTTGGCAATTTCGTTTTCACTCGAAACGCAGACAATATATGACAACTTTTTTTTGTTTTTGGGCGGATACACGACGGCTGGATTGCGCAAGATCAAGATAAAGCTAATGACGAAAGAAGATTCACTCGCAAAACGACAACATTTGAAATCTAGCTGCCACAAAATCGCAGCAAGCGACAAGACACATGAGATATGACATGAATTCCACAATGGAAAAAAAAAACTGACCTCTCTCATTCGTCGTCCTCTTCAACTTCAACATTCTAAAATCGCATTTTTATGTGGGAAGGAATATTCGAAAAAAGAACCCCCAACCTCATCATCTTCCGATCCCGATTCAACGCCAGTTTTTTCTTTCGATTCTTCAGCGGTATTCGATTCTTCATTATCATAGTGAACAGGCAGTACGGTCACCTGGTTTCGGGCTTCTTTCATAACCTTAAATGAGGGGCACTGCGATTTCAAAACATATGTCTTTTGTTTTTTTCGAAGGAAATTTCAGGAATGATATTACATTAGTGTTACACTTACCCACCACCGTCCATCTTTATGTTCTTTTCCAGATGCCACAGCGATCATTTTTCCATTTGGCGAGAATTGCAAGCTATTGATGAATCCATTCTAAACCAAAAAAAAATGTTGGTTCAATGAGATTCGCGCAAAACTCACAATCGAGTATGAAAAGAAGAGCGTGATTTTCTTGAAATCTTGCCCGATTTTCCACAACTTGAGCTCACCCTCGTTCGATCCACTTGCCATCAAATCTATAATTGCTGTCAATTAGTTTCGTGTGCTAGTGCTTTCATGAAATAAGCTCACAATCTCCCCCCAACGCTCATCATATCCTCTCATTTTTTTTAGCACTTAAACATTTACACAGCTGCTAGTTGGCGGCATTTGGACTCAATCTATTTGACAACACAGCTTATTTTCGACAAAATTGCGAAGAATTGAATACATGGGGATCATGTACCTGTATAAGGTAGAACCGTGAGTGCCACAATCCATCGGCCACTTCCATTCGCTGAACCATGGGCTTCTTTCCTCACAAATAACGGCCGCTTCTTCCAAAATGACCATAATGCGATGCTTCTGAAAATGAACAAAATGTCTAGGCGTCATTTGCTGAACAACGAATTCCAGTATGACGAATGGAGTTTTCAAAACAAAGTGACTAATTGAACAAACGTTCTAGTTGTCGGGAAGTTCAAAGAAAAAAAAGAACAGAGTGTTCGAATGATCAGAAAAATGATACTTCGAGACGATAATTATTTTTTGCGTTCAAACTAATTTGTAAAAAAAATAACCTAATTATTTTTCAAATAAACATTGCAATTCGGTAATTCTATTAAAAAAAGGAAATATCACAGACGAAGTAGTGATAGAAAAATGCAACGAAATTCTTAAAACATTGATGTGATCCATTAGATTGATTTGAAGTCGAAGATCGTTCAACACATGGCAAAATCATTTCCGCTACCAAATGATTGATACGCTGTTTTCGCTCGCTATATTGATATCTATCAATTATTCCAAATGATAGTGAATAGCCAATTCAATCAAATTGAGGATTATTGACTTTTCAAACGTTTAACACTGTTATTTACTTCAAAAAAAAGGGAAAAATTGAAGAAGGGGCCAAAAGAAAAAATCAAACAAAGTTAACCAAATAGCAAAATTTCTGCCAGAATTTGTGTACTCAATCGATCCCAATATAGAACAAGAGAAATCAAATAGAAACATTATTGAAATTGAGTCGAATGTCGGAAGGGAACGTCCACAAAAATCATCTCGTTCAACGACAGTTCATAAAACGCAACAAAAACCTGCCGTCGGCAGCTTAATTCCTCAAGTGCACGGCCGCTTAATGATCCACGTACGTGTATCGGCTCGCCGTGTGCGCGTGTGTATACAATAAATAGGAACAGCTTCCGGACGATGCGTGGTGTTGACAATTGTTTCTCGTTCGAAGAAGAAAACGAAAAAAAAAATTGCATTATTCATCATTGTACAGAAGACGCACGCCGCCAACCATAATTATCGTCAACCGAGCTACTGGTGTGAAACTGGTAGGATTAGGAGCGAAGATTGAGGTCGTTGTAAAAAAAGACCACGAAATTACAGAAATGCCAATTTAAAAGGGAATTCGCGCACGCGCGCGCCTTCTGATGGTATCTAACGCTAGGTTGCGGGCGCATTTTTCAACACTTTCCATTTCCAAAACTTGGATATGACATAGGATCGCAACAAAAAAAAATCGCTTCGGGACACCCCCCCCAGGTGGAAACTCGTTCAATTCCATATCTTATTACAAGCGTCCAATCTATCTATAATCGAATCTTAAACCAACTTAAAACGATGGCCTTATAAGAAATGATTTATAGGAGAGAGTTCGAGAGAAACATAAATAAAAATGTTAATGAAAATGAAAGCAAATTTCGAAATTGCATTAATCGAAACTTCTAATTACGCATAAAACCAGATGGTGAAAACAAACGATGTTGTATATAGTTCGTTATATTAATAATAAGGAAGAGGAAATGAGAACAGCCATTTACAGAATATATTATCTTGAAATTGTAAAGGAATAGTTAAATAAGGAATAGTATAAGGAATAGTATAGTTAAAGGAATAGATTTCATCAACTCAGGAAACACATTCTCTTACAACGAGAAAACAAAACGATTTGGTTACTAGGCGACAAGGCGTGTAGAGATTTGAGAATGCCGAATCTGCATTCTTTTTGCGCCTCATTTATCGCACGTTTCTTGCCATCGGTTCTACGATAATTCAATACATCGCTGCCGAATTTCGAAAGAAATGAAACGTCGAAAAACACAAATTCAATTCAATTGTGTAAAATGTGAAGTGTTAGGTTTAAAAAAACAGACACAAATAATTTTTACCTAGAAGTACCCTAGAGAGAACCTCAATGACCGAACGAACGAGACTGGGTACAATGTGAAAGCGCACGCGAAAATTTCGACGGCAACTCAAAGCGCTTCGCGTCAACAAAAAAAAGAACGTGTTGATCCTTTGGAACGATGCGAGAGAATACTCGTAAAGCACACCGCGCACCTGGAAGAGCAAACAAATTCTACAAAAAAAAAACGAATCGAAACGAGAAGAGCTCGAGCCACAGTATGAGAGGCGCGACAAGACAAGACCGCACGTACGAGATTATTCATTCGGTGTTCCGCGCCATGCGGAAATGCTCGGCCGGTTTTCGGCGGTCGGGGCGCGGTCGACGATTTTCGCGTGAGGAGAGCACGTAGGACTTGCAAAAAGAGTGATTATCCCGATTTCGCTAAAGCAGGAGAATCCTTTTGAAATTTAAAAGAGCATAAAACAGAAGGAAAATATAACGAGAAAAATTCAATGTATCAAAAATATTAATTTTAAAAAGCCCAACAAAGAAAATGACGCGAACGCGATAATACAAGATAATATTGAAATGAGCACAAAAAATTGAATCGACAAAATTTCAAACTCATGAATTGCTTGGTAGGTTACGCAGAAATAGTTTCTCAACGTTGATCAAGTGAGAACAATTCCAAAAATTTTTGACGCATCACTATGTCATCGGACGAGAGTAAAACACCACTTTTTTCTTCTCGACACCGCCGGTAAATAGAGGAAATCAGTAAATAGAGGAAATGCGCGGCCAAACTTGCCGTAGTCGACCAATTATGCTATTGGCAACCATCGATGAAGAGGTCAATAGGAATCGAACCCAATTGAATGAAATGAAAATAACCGGAATTGTTGTGAATTGAGAGGATTGAATGGCAAATTGGCCAATATGAAATGAAATGGCAAAAAAAAAACAAATGACCGTACCCGTCTGCCGATCCCGTCGCAAAGTGCTCCTCGTTGATCATTGAGACGCAATCGAGGCTCGTGCAATTCGGCATTCCGGTAAACATCTATTATGACATGATGTTTTACAAAAAAAATCGCAGAATGCAATTACCAATTGACTTTCATCTTCAACTTTCCACAATCTCGCTGTTCGGTCGCGACCGCCGACAGTTGCAACTCGTTGTTTCGAAAGAATCGAAATCTGCTGAACACCATCCTGATGGCCATACATTGTGTCGACAAGTCCGAGTTGATCAACATCCCACATCTCAAATAAATTAGCCGCGATTTTTTTTTTGTTCAACACCAAAAAATTGCATTGTCATACCTTTACCGAACGATCTTGACTAGCAGAAAATAAATTATTGGTTTTGAGTTGAAAGCAAAGTGAATAAATGGCGCCTCGATGCCCACTCAAATCTTTAATATGATCTAATGTGTTGAAATTCCAAATCTAAAATCTTTCACCATCTTATACATACGTTTTAAATGATAGCCGTCACCTTGACTACATTATCGTATCCTCCAGAAGCTAAAAATTTCTGATCTTGTGATACAGCCAAAGCAAAAATAACACCGTAATGCGCTTTTTGCACTTCGTTGGATTTCTTGACTCGTTTTATCACTCCAACTATTTTTTTCTCTTTCACGTCATCTAGAAAAAGAAGATCAACCGACTGTTTGTATTTTAAAATGGGGTTTTTCTAACAATTGATCTTACATTTGACAATACTCGATTCTTTACCGGCACTGACAATATATCGAGAATCTGGTGAAAATGCGACGCACAACGGCGACAACCTTCAAAACAAATTGCATATAACATTCGTTTTGAACAAACAAAAACCTGTGCGCCTTGTATGTAAATTCATCGTCATCGCTGAGACTGACAGAATCTGCAATCTGTCTCATTTGTGTTCCAGTTCTCATAATTGCGTCCTCCTTCAGCTTCTCCTCAACCTCTTCATCATCTTTGGCAACGGTCTGCAGAAGAAAATAATAAACAAATGGTTTTCTCTCGAAATTATTCGAAAAATAAAAAAAATGCAAATTAATTGTAATTTTTTGAATTTGATGAATATGCTCATAAAAAGTATACCTGAATTTTCTCAAGCAACTTTTTTGCTTCTCGAAAATTCCTCTCGTGTGCGTCTTCATATTCAACGTCGCTTTCGCCTCCAGAAGCTTGAGGACTTCCCATTAGTGAATCCTATATAATCACAATTCTATATTATTTTCCTCCAAATTATTATCATTAGACAACCTCATCATCCGAGTGTAACTCAGTGTTGGCCATCAGCTTTTGCCGTCGAGACATTTTTGCGACAATTTCTTCATTTTGGGTGTTTTTCACGTTTTTCTGAAAACTTCGATGAATGTTAAAAACAAAAATAACCCTACCCTCTTTCGATTATCTTTGTTCGGCGTAGCTTTCTTTTTTCCTTTCAAGAAAAATGATGGCATTTTCTAATAAAAAAAAAATAAAATTTCAATCTCAATTATTAAAAAATAATGTTTTAAGCGAAAAACGCTCGAAAAAAAAGGAGAGGCCAATAGAACAAATTCAGAGAACATTTTATCACCCGAATTTACATAAATTGTGTGTGAATATTAAGAATTATAAAATATGTAGCAAAAAACAACAACAACAATGAAAATTATTGAGAATCCGTATCAGTCGTTCAGTGCTTTCTGAAAAAAAATGAGACTCAAAATATTAGAAAAAAAATTACACCTTCAATGTTTTTGTGGCAATTTCCACAATTTCTACATCTCCGATCAGCTTGTTCAACAGAGTTTTTCCAGATCGTCCGTTTCTATCCGCCCATTCTCTCAATATCCGTAGACAAAAATCAACCTCCTGCAATTTTTTTTAATAAGTGTACATTGGAAAATAAATTTTCCAAAATATTATGAATTCCACATTCAAAAATTTTTTCTGAAAAATAAAAAAAAAATTACCTTTCCAGAATGCCTCAATTGCTTTTCTGATTCTTTCTCATCAACATTTAGCACGACAGCGAGCTGTTTCGCATGTTTTGCCAAGGCTTTCGCCAAATTTTCAAAATGCTCATCCGTCAACGCATTTTCCGTATAAGAATTTGGTGATGACGTTGCTGATGCTTCCAATTTTCGTTTCAACGATTCCTCAACCTTCTTCCGTGCTTCGGCTTCCCGTTTTTCTCGCACAGAAATCTCTTCTTTGAATTCCTGATAAAATCGGTAGATGAAATTCAAGGCAATTGGCAAAAAGAAAATCCAATACCGGATGCGTTTTGGCGGTATTATAAATGGTCTTCTCCAAATACTCTTTGATATTACTCGTCGCTTCCTGAGTCTTTTCAAGTTTTGCAATGTATTGCGGTGATTCCGTCATTAATAATCGGGCACATCGCCATTGGAACATTGGAGAATTGACAGATCTTGCAAAAAAATATGAAATGGATTAAATGAAATGTTTTATAAAGAACTTACTTGTACTGTTCTTCAACTTGCTGTTCCGGATCCATCTCATCCAATGGGTCTCGAATGAAGTCAACGATATTTGGGAAAAACATTCTGCAATTTTTTAAAATACAATTTCAAATGAAAATAAAACCGCTTCATAAATTCGAATATTTAAATCTATGAAAGAATCCCATAAATGATTTGAAAAACGTTCGCCTACCTTTCCAAGCTTTTACAAGCTTCCAGAATATTCGGTTCATTCGTCCATAATTTTGTAAGTTCCGGCGTGCCGAGATCTAACGAAGAAGGATCGAATTCGGTGCGAGCTCGTCTGATAAAAAATTTTTTATCGACAATCTTTTCATTTTTCTCACTTCCTATACAACTGCATCGGAGCTTTATCAGCTTTTTCGGTGAAATCCGGACAATTCAAATTTTTCCAAGCCGACCATTCTGCTTCGCGGTGCAAAATTTTCTACAAAAAATGTCAATTTTTTAAAAATTCAATCAACTGACGAAAAACCTTGCAAATCGATGTGAACAATGAACCTTTTGGCATCGTTTCGGCGAGAAGTTTGAAGCATTTCTCCTCAGTGGAATTTATAAACTTAGTTTGTTCCTCAGTAAGCTTTCTGAAATTTCAAGTAACAGAAGCCGCTTTTAGAATAATTCATACTTGGGTTGAGTTTTGAATTTAACATCTGAAACTAGATACTGGAATACAAATAAACACTGCAACAGAAAATGGCGGCGAAGTTGAGAATCGTTCAATTGAAGTGGAAGAAGCTTGGGACTCGTCAGATATTTGGGAAAGAATAGCTCATCCGATTTGCTTTTCGTGTTTTTTTCAAGCCCTTCATCTTCTTGCGATGGTTTTTCTAACTTATTCGTAGCAATCAAATTGAGAACCATTGATAAATCCTAAAAATTTTCCATTCACCATTACATATGAATTTAAAAAATATACTTGTTTGAAATGAGAAAATTTATCTTTTTCAAAAATTGACGGCGGATTTGAGAAGAATTTTTGAAGATTCCAAAACTGACGGTACATTTCGGGTGTTATTTGAATTTCTCTGCATAATTCATTTCTTTGTATGAACTTAAATCAAATCCACAACTCACTTAACCCCATCATCGTCTATTTCGCCCACCTCCATGTCTTCGCTTGGTTCTGCTTCAGCAGTCGTTCCAGCCATTAACGACTCCATTTCGGATTCGGTCTAAAATAATTGTATAAGAAAACATCTAGAAAAATCAATCCCACCTGATCATACATGGTGATATTCTGCACATTAAAGTGTCCCATGAGATTGAGGCCAGACTTTTCAGACAATGGCAAATATCTACTTAAGAAGAACATAATTCGACCACAAAACGAAGTCTCCGCTGTTCGGCTGAGCCTTCGCAGAAGATCATTGCAGCATCTCAAAATCGAGTTTTGCGCACTATCAATTAATGGAGGCTGCTTGAAATCAGGCATGTGCTCTTCAACAATTGTGAACAGCAATTTGCACTTTTCGATAGTGCTCGATTCGAGGATATCTTGTAGAGTAGTGATTGGAAGCATTTTTGAGCAGAAACCCGCTTTCATTAATTGCAAGGAAAAATGGAAATGGCGTCGGGTGAAGTCCTCAATGGTTGCCGCTGGCTGTTGAGCAACTTTAAGTCCTCTTTTTCGCATTAGCTCATCAACTATCGATGTTATTAGTTCTTCATCTTTTCTAAAATTGTTTTAATAATCAAATTTTTAACAGAAATACTTACGAACTCTTCTTTTCTTTTTTAATATACTCTTTTAATCCATCAAAGTCGCGATTTTCTATAAGAACTTCCATCCTGCAAGAATATTTTCCTATTTTACTAGATAATAATGCAACGATAGAGCGAAAAATAGATGAGATAGCAAATAAAAAATTTCACGAAATTTATAAATGTTTTGTCAACAAAAACAAAAAATAAATTTTAAAAATAAAAATAAGAAATGAAGTTTAAAATATTCTCGTTGAATATTTGAAACGAATGTTTTGTACGAGGCTCCGCGTTTACACTTGCCTCATGTTTAGCCTACGCACTGTTCATTTCGTTTTTGTTCATCATTCCCCAATTTTCTTGCGTAACTGCATAGAAATGATACAAATCAGTAATATTTATTTTTAAAACTATTTATCATTGCTCTTTATAACATTTAATGTCTATATTCCCTTATAAAAGCTTAAATAATTTTAAAGTTTCTTTTCAAATCAACCATGAAAATATGTTTTATTTTTTCAGGTTATGGCCAGCAACGCAGCCGCCAAGGCAATTAAATTCGCCTACAATGGTTAGTTTTCAATAAAAATTAGAATTTCAAATTTATAAAAGTGCAAAAAATTGTTTTAATATATTAATCAATTATGATTAAAGTCACTGATTATCACTCGTTTTTACAATATTAAGGACAACACAAAAAATAAAAATAGAAATTTTTCTCAAAAAGGAAAGAAAAACCATCACTTTGCATTGTTTTTTCTTTTCTTGCAGCGTTAACATTTTCTATACTTTTAAATTCCCAAACCCTTTTTTTTCAGGCCCAGTTGTCAACTACATGCGCAAGTTCGCTTGGAACAACCTTTGGGGAGGACGTGAATACGGTTTGTCATTCTTTGTTAACTTCTTTTTAAAAATTATTTTGACTGCAGGCCTTCTATTCCATGACACCTACTTCGAGCCTGCTCCAGAAGTTACCGAGGCTTTGAAGAGATTGAATCTCAAAGAGCCTCATCTCTTTGATCAGCGCAAAGTAAATTTCAAATATTGTAGTAGTGTGGAAAATTGGCCAAATGCCAAAAAATTTAAGGGCAGGTCTGAGTGCGTGGTGCTTAGCACATAAATCTACACTAGATTTGTGTTAGGACTGCTGTTATTTGGGTGTTTAGCCAATTTTCCGCAGTCACGTGACTTTAACAATATGTGTATAAAAAAAAAAGAACGATTTGAACATTCAGGTTCGTCTTTCTCGCGCTCATACTCTCGCTCTTCACGGAGAGAAGCTTCCAAAGGCTGAATGGACCAAGTGGGAAGATGTAAGTTTCGTATTATACTAGAAATAATTTCTACAGATTAATTTTAGGAGACTTGGTATTTGAAGCCATATCTTGATGAGATCGAGGCTGAGAAGAAGGCCAGAGCCGAATCTTCTGGACTCATTCCACCATACGAGATGAAGCAGCATTAAATGATTTCGAATCATTTAGAAAAGTTCATCGAGCCTTTTTTAATGTTTTGTATAGATTCATTTATTTAACCGTTCCCGTTTAGAATGCGAGATAAATCGTTTTCACAAGTGAAACATTTATTCAGTGGAATTTTGATGCTACCCGTTGGTATTTTTCGTTAACTTTTTTGACATAATTATCGATTCGTGTCACGGAAGCCCGTTTTTGGGCTTTAGGACTTGGCATGCTCATCGATATCCAATTGACGCGTTCGACTTTTACAAAACCATATCCTAGATTGAATTGATAACCAAATAAACAAAAAATTCCGATGACGGCACAAATAAAGACTAAAGGAAATGCCAATAAACTGGCAAACGTTGGAAGTTGCGAAATGAATCTTGCGACAAACACACCGCAACTTTCACCGATCTGAAATAAAACGAAATTTATAATATTTCAAGGAATCGCTTACAAAATAAGCTATCAAAACTATTATTCTTCCTATTAAGCTAATTGGTACTGTCAATGGATTAACATGCCAGATCACTTGAGCTTCGTCGTGAGACGCGAATAAAATTCGATTTAACCATCCAAATAAACTATCTAAATATTAATTTTATTAGAAGAAGAAATACTTGAAAGTATTACTATTTTTCCATTTCCGCTCCTCGATTATCAACACAGCTTCGAATATAATTGCACTTTAATTTAAAACTAATTTTTCAGAAGAAATATTGTTTCTCACATTGTGCACAAAGATGCTCCATATATTGAATACTTTCTGTTGTGAAATTTTAAGAATAACACTTCTCTTGATAACACAAATAATCCAAGAAGAACAATTATCCACAATGTGTAGAATAAAAGCAATAAGAGCATCACGCCAATGAATATGGCCGATATAAATATCTTGAAATAAATTCGGCCACGCGTTGTTAATTGCGTACGTGTGTTTGCAGACCTTACATAACATATTACGAAAACAATTCAGCATTATTATTTTTTTCGTGGTCCGTTCAATCCGTTTCAGTAATTTTGCATTTTTTACTTATTATTACGCTTTGAAGAAAATTTAGTAATTATTTTTAAATATTTTCAATATTGCTATTACCGAAAATTTTTATTTCGTAATTGAATATATTTTTATAGTTATTATTTTAGTTCCCAAGCTCATCCTTTATGCACGGGCATATATTTCTGTAGCGTCTACCTCTTGACTATGTCATACACACAAATGCCTTCAAGCAATGTCCATGGATATGATGTAGAACCGTATCAAGCACAGGTTTAATTTTTTATTGACTATCTTAAATGAAATTTTTCAGATTGACAATACAAATGGCATTGTTTTCGGGGACAATGTGACGACAAATCAAGTAGCAGAGGTAATTTTTCATTCAATAATGAATTACTACTTTATAATTTTTAAATTAGTTATATAACATTTCGAATATTATTGTTATAGATTAACAATTGAATTGATATAAACAAAATTGAATTTAAAAACAAAAAAAGTTTATTTGTTTTTCTGGTTTTTTAAATTTATAAATACTTTAAATTATTATTCATTATCATACCGAGTAGAGTGTTGAAGCCAAATTTGATATAGAAGAATGTAGCTCAAAAATATCTGTTTAAGAAAATGCTATACAATTTCTAAAATTGTGACATTTTAACAGAAATAAATTGTTACGCACTATTTTCATCTTTCAGCAAGAACCTTGTTCGACTAAATCTTATCATGATCTTTCGCAAAATACGAATATGGTAAGAGAAATATTAGAAACTCACATTTTATTGATATGAAATCATCATTATTATAGAACTATAACAGTCCGGAATGCTCAATGCCGTACCAAATTGATCCGGTATTTTAATTGATTCTACTTGGTTTGATAATTGTTGCTAATTTAGAAACAGCCAACAACCTCCAGCGATATTCAAATGGAACAACAACCAGTATATACAAATTCAACCGAATCAAATGTCACATGCACGATGATATCGTCAAATCATCAGGAATCGCTTCCAAGTACATCAATTGCTTCGAATTCATTTGGTTCTGAAGAACCTGTAAGGAAGACTATTGGTCCTCCAAGGTGGCACAATACAACAATCCCTGGTCCAAGTTGTGTTAGCTTAAAAAAGTATACAGAGCATTTTTGGGCGAGTAAAAAACGACAAATGCTGACAATAACCGAGGTAGGCGAAAAATGCAGCAAAAAATAATAGAAAAATGAATATTTTAGGAAGAAATGCGCGAAAAATGTAAGCACATGACACTTCCAATGGCTCGAGTCAAAAAAATTATGCGACTGGATGACACGATGAAAAATCTTGTTAGTTTTTTGATTAGTCAACAATATTTTTGATCGTTTTCATTATTATAGATGATTGCTGGAGATGCTCACGTTTTTCTTGCTGCCGCATGCGAATTGTTTATTGAAGAGGTGACCGCTCTAACATGGCATTTCGTCGATGAGAGTAGGCGGAGAACATTGCAAAAGGTTCGATATATCAGCGTTGAACTCAACAATAAAACCAATCAAACAATTTTTAGTCGGACGTGATGATGGCTTTGGAAAAAAATGAGCAGTTTGATTTTCTTGTCGATTTGATACCAAAAGAGCCAAAGAAAATGTTGTCGGTATGAATCTCAGCAAGTTTTGCCGGCAAAATATTGGTTTCAGGAAGGTATTGACCGGAGTATGGATCACAGTGCGAAAACCTACACTAATAACATAGTAAGTTTCTAGGTTATTTCGCGATTTGTGTAGATTTTTTGGTAATGCGTTTTGAATTTTTGACCGTTGACGATATGAATTCTTCAAATTTTCCTTTTTCATTTTAGGTTATTCCTTCTGAATCTACGAATCAATCAAACACGCATATAATACGAATTGAAGGCCAGCCAAATGTGCAGTAAGTATTGCGCAATTTTCAAATGTGTTAAATTTCCGCTGCTCAGATATATCGTGACCGATCAGCACAATGGATTGAATGGTGACAAAGTCACGACGATTACACTAGGTTTCAGTTATAATTTTCTTTTTCTGAATCTGTTCTTTTTATACAGATGAACATGGGAATCCAGTTGGGGAAATTCCGGAAGGCATTCGTGTAATAATTCAATCTCAAGAGGAACAACATTTTGAGGTTTTGCTGGAATTTACTTTAAGTTTCTTAAACAATTCATTTTTTAGCAATCAAATGAACCAGGCCCAAGCAGTACTTATAATGAAAATAAATATCCACAAGCAGAATCCAATAAGAGTAATCATCAAATTCAAGTTGTAAAGAGAGGCAATTGAAAAATTCTGATTAGTATTGTTTAGGGATCTCGTACAATATGTCGACCAACTCGACGAAGGCAATAGAATTCACTTCCTCCCCATTCCACAATTAAAAATGTATTAATGATTATGCCTTTTTTGATTAGGTTCCTCTTTGCAGCCAATCTATTTGAAGAGTCATCAAAATTATCTTGCTTTTATGTGTGTTTTATCCTGCCAAATCACAATTTTTTTCTCACTAATCAGTTTAATTCTCTTCTCTCTTAATGTGACTTAATTCTAAATTGTATTTGATCTTTATAAAACGGTTTAAAAATTGCCAAAAATCGATGAATTTTCATTTTTTTTGGGTTTTTCGCCCGCAATAGTATTTGAGATTGTGTAGATTGTCGTATTAAAACGAATTTTAGATGTTTTTGACAAGTGAGGAACTGCGAAAAACAAGAAATACACGAGCAGCTCATAAGCGAGAGCTTTTGGATAGCGCCGCTGAAGCTGATATTGTTGCCAATTTTGTTCACAACAGGCCGAAGGATTTAGAAAAAGTGGGTGATAAAAATTAATGATGAATTTCAAATGAAAATTGTTTAGCTGCGATTCGAGAAGCACATGCCAGAATCCCGTCGAGAGCCGCCGTTTTATACAGTGAAAGGAGAGATTAGTGAGAATGTCATAGAAGTTGGGCACGAAGTGAATTGTGTTGATGAGGGATATGATTTTGTGACGGCAATTGTCGATAAGGCAAATTTTGTTTTGTACGATTCTTCTCGAAAATTGATTGAATTGTTCAGGAAACTGGTGAAGTCACATTTCGACCGACGCGTTTATACTCGTTCGAAAGCAAATTCGCCACAAATGTTGAAGAATTATTAGGAGCCAAGTATGTATTTCAAGCAGTCCACAATTTAAACTTATCAATATTTGAAGAAAAGTCGAGAAGAATGACTTCAACAAGGATTATTCGATTGCTGTCGAAAATTGGGCTGAGAAGCGCAAATTGCTCACCGAGAATTTCGGATCAGCCAAGAAAATAAAAATGCAAGAAGCCGCGCAGAGAAGAACAATCGAGCAGGTGAATTTGCGTTTTACACATTTTTGAATTGAAATAAATTGATTGAAGGGAACTCTCGACGAAATGCGAAAGACGGCGTTTGCAGACTCGATCAATACCGACGAAAATGTGGAGGAGAAAATCAAAATCGAGCACATTTCGATGGTTTCTGCGACGGCGTCGTCGATTTTGCCACCGGCGGTTCATGGAAATCTGCCCAGAGAGATTTATCCAATCTCGTTGTTTGTCACCGATGTTGAGATTGATGCTGTATATGAGGAGGCCACCGAATTGATGTCGAAAAAACGAAAAGCAAAACTCGAAGCGGGTTGGATTACAAACAAAATGCAATGCTTAAAGAAAAACAGCCTCTCTCATTTTTAAGGTGTTCCCGAAGCTGTTCTTCTCATTATGTACAACGAGAATACTAAAGAACGTGCAGCGGCTTATCTTCTACTTTCGACAATGGTCGAATTTCTTTCGGTAATCTTTGAATTTCTTTCCAGTAAACATATTCTTGATTTTTTTCTTCAGAAAATTGGAAAATCGCGAAGCTTGTTGAAAAAGGATTTGAATGAGATGCGAATGCCGTTAACATTTAGGCAGAAAATTCTATCCGATTTCGTTTCAAGTTTGTTAATTAATTTATGTTTGTTTTTTTTTCAAATATACGAATTTAGATAGCAAATCAGATCGAGGATCGACTGGACGGTCTGCTGAAAGAATGAGAGTTACTGTTGGAGATTATGATCGACTTCTTGCCTATACATTAGCACTGGCTTTGACTCTCGGTGAGGCAATTCGAGAAAAAAAAATGTTGAATTCTTTTTTTTTCAGCTCCCGAACACAAAGTTCCAATTTCTCCTTTCCAAAACGCGTTCGGCATTCCGCCATCGAAAATTGAAAAGCTTTTCGAGGCGCTTGGTGCAGATCTAGTTAAACTTGACGTGGCCAGTGCTCAACAATTACATTCACTTCGAGCTGCAATGCTCTTGAGGCCCCCAAGTAATGAGAAAAAGAGAAATATGAAGATGAAGCGACGATAAGTTGTTGTTTGTTAAGTTGTTTTTTTTTGTTGATCTTTATTGTTACTTTAGACTATTTTTGTTGTGGATATAAATATTTTTGTTTTAAGTGTTTCGAATTTTTGTATATATTGATTCAACTATTCAAAATTTGGAATATTTTCAAAAATTTATATTGAAAAAAATAGTTACAATTTTAAGATATGTTAGATGATTCAGAGCAATCGTCGGCAACAAATTCGGATTTGATTGGTGAGTTTGAAGTTTGAAAAAATTCTTGGATATAATGATTTTTGTTTAGAGCTGCTTGATGATTATGGAATCCAATTTCCTTCTCAGTTCTTCTGCCGTGAGCCATCCAAAGATTCGACGGCAGTTCGAGCAACCAATCATGCTCTATATTGCATCGTAAGTTAAATTCATTTCAATCTGATTCAACTGCTCGATTCAAGATTGACCAACTTCGAAGGCCGTTGAGTCTCGAAGCGGAAAGCCTTGTAAAATGGTTGATCTACAAGCAATGTGCTGCTCAGCGTCATCAGAAATTTTTCGGATTGCTTCGCACTGTCCATAGATACGTGAAGCAATTCAACGACATGTCCCTAGTCCGAAAACTCAACACGATATACAAACGCGCGACGAATTGCAGTGACGAAATGTACATGTTCGAAGAGAATGCGTTGCGATTCGTTGGAGCCGCCTATTTGCGTCGAATTTTCATTTTAGACAAGGTATTTAATTTAAATAATTTATTTGGATGGCGTTTGATTCGAAATACGCGAATTAGGCCATCATTCCTTTCGGCATTCCTCCTCCCTTTTTTCCTTTGCGCTTTTGGGTCTTCAATGTTACGTGATTGAGCGATGCAAGTTCGGCGGCGTGTTGAGCGGCGATGGCGGCGAAATTCGGACGCGGTATTCCGGTGGTGCGTTGTAAAAACGTCGCGATTTCGGCCATTGTGAAACGCTCATTTGGATTTTCTGCCCAACATTTCGTCTGAATTCAACTCTATAATTGCGGGGGTGACCCGATCTTTGGTGTCCTACTGTAATCATCTTTGAAATTTCTGGATTGACATTTGGTGGAATTGGCATTCGATAGCCTTCTCGAACTTGGCCATTCACCTCTGCAACCGTCATTCCGGGATACGGTTCAACCCCATTGCTGAAAATCTCCCAACACATAATTCCTAAACAATGATTGTTCCTTATATCAAACGTTACAGGCTTCTCTTGTTTATACCGTAACTCCAGACGTCAGTCTTTTGAGAGTAGATTTGCTGTTTGAGTGTCTCAACAGCTAGCCATCGAATTGGAACCTTGCGAGATGGATCCATCTGATATACGGTACCGGCACGCGTCAGACCGAAATCCGAGATTTTCACCTTTCCGTCACCATATAAGCAATTTCTCGCGGCAATATCTCGATGTAGTACAGGCTTCCCGTGAAGATATTCTAAACCCCATGCGGCTTGTAGAATCATCTCATTACGCTTCTCAACGGGTAAATCGGGATTTTTCTGAAGATAGCTGTCGAGAGCGCCGTTCGAAGCCTAGAGCGCCAAATTTTGTTTTAGGCATTTCGTTGAGCAATTTCGCATACCAACTCCATGACCATATAAAGTGGCTCTGAACCGGCGGCGACTCCGTAGAAGCGAACAACATTGGGATGACTGAATTGTCTCATCATTCGTGCCTCGCTCATGAATTCCTTGATCTGCTCTTTGGTGACTTTGTCGAGTTTCGCCTGTTTGATCGCCACCGGAACACTTTTGTTGAGCCGTTTCAGCCGCAATTGTCCCATGCTGACCTCGCCGAAAGCTCCCTCGCCGAGCTTCTTGACAATTGTGATGTTCTCATGGTCCAGCTCCCAATGCTGTCGCAGCACCGGCTTGGTGATCATCACGTCGTCTTTGATACTTTCCTTGCCGTTCATGTGATGTTCGATCATTTGTTGAATGGTATCGAACGAGTACTTTTCGATCATAAACTTATTGGCTGCGTATTTGATTACGAAATGTTTTATCTTGAAGCAAAAAAATTATGGGAGCTTTCAAAGAAGAAAGAATTACCGCGGATGCCTCATCTAAAGCTGTATTATGCATGACTGACAAAATGAACGAGCGCGGTTCTCCTTTTTTCGGCTCCGATGTACGAATCAAAAATTCGCCATTCTTCGTAAGCATCATCTAGATAATATCAATCGGAATAAACGAATCGAGATGATTGATATTACTTTTACATCCTCTCTAGGCAGCAAGCCATGATAATAAAGCTCGCGCTCTATCGATTTTTCATTTGTGCTCATTCTGAACTCGATTCCATTTCGCGTTCGTCCATTGACGCCAACTTACGATGATCCGACGCTCATGATTGTGTGCCGTGTTTGCTCCTTTCGGATTCTTCCAGTTCACTCAATTGGAAAAATGAAGGCGATTGGTGGCTCGCAATTCAATATGAAATGAGATTTGAAATCGAAATTTGCCGCATTTGTAATGCAGTTTCATTTTCACGCAACCATCTCCACTTGTATTTTTTTGTTGTTGTTACAGATTCGTGTTTATTGCGTGAAAACGGCGAACGTTGTCATGGGATTGTTGGAGCTTAATCATTGGGTGAAAATCGAAGTCTGCGCTGAAATCTGAACGCATTATTCTTGCAGGCCAATTTATCGCTGGTGATTGTCGCTCTGTGCGCTGAAATTCATTCAGAAGTCGCCAAACAAATCGACGAGATGGAGAAAACGTATAAATTTTGCTTCAAACTTCTTCGAAATGTTGATCGTCGGTTTCCGGAATCTCTCAACGACATTCATGTTGTGAGGGAAATCAAAAATTCGAGTGGCGCTTTCGATTCGAAGATAGTCGATCTTTCGGAAGTTGCAAATCTGCTGAAATTTACTGATGATCGGATGTTAATTGCGCAAACATCGAATGAAATTGATATTATCAAGTAAAACCCCTTTAACATTTTTTTAAATCGAGATTTTGAATTTCCAGAAAAGAAGTGCTTACGGAGCTTCTAGGAGACGAAAAATCCGATGAGAATATTGGTAAATCACAAACGTGTGAGATTGGAATGGCTGTTTCTCGAGACGATTTAAGCTTTTTGAACAGAATAGGTATAATTTGAAATAGTTTAAAATTATATATTGAGGCTTTAGAAGAAGAATCGACACTTGAAGATTCTTTATTGTCGCCTTCATTATTTGGAAACATCACAATGAGTTCGAAAAAGAAGAAGACGAAAAAGAGGAAATCGGAGCCGACACTTGAAAATTTCTTAGAGCCTGTTGAAAAAAAGGTAATACATTTCTCATTTTATTTTAAATTACTTAATTTCTTTTTTTTAGAAGAAAATTGAAAATGGCGAAAATAAAGCACACATGGAAGCTCGGCAAGAAAAACCAAAAAATCAGGAATCGACGAAGAAGAAAAAGAAAAACAAGAAAAAGAAGAATAAAAATAAAGTGCTATAAAATCGATTATTGTTGATTTGTTATTGTTATTGTTTGTTGTTGCGTTTTTAATAAATCTTAAGCGAATATTAGTGGACGTTAGAAAAATATTTGTCAATGGTTCAAAAACCATCTTCTCATTTTTTTTCATCATAATATGAACAGCGATGTTTTATCAATGGCAGTAACAATAATAAGCGAGAAGTGATAAAAATGTGTTTGCAATTTTTCCAAGCCGTTTGTGCGTGTTTCAATGAAACGATGAGTTTTGTCCAATTTCGAAAGTGTGGTCAAAAAAGAATAAAAAAATATATTCTCTTTTTTTTTCGGACATTTATTTAATTATCATTGAACCTTATTTTAAAAAATGCTCTCAAATTCCGGTTTTCACATAATTCTTATCCTAGTGGGGCGATTCCTCGTGTTTTGTATTCATGCACTTCAATTAGGTGCTATGCTTGCGCGTCTGCGTCTCGCGCACCGTATGCATTTTGAAATAGTTTACATACACTCTCGTAGCGGGCTCACCTTGGAAACAAGCATCTTGTATATTGATTTGTAACAATATTCATGTTTTTTTGGTTTCCAGAAATGGGTCAATATGGATTCCTGTTCGACGAGCACGGCTCATTTCTTCATTATTCGCTTGAAGCGCTTCTTGTCGCTGCATTGATATTCCTTTTAGTTAGGAGTCGACGATCAAAAAAAGAGAAATTGTCGAAGAGATTAACCGAAAAGGTAGATATTAGGCTATTAAACGTATTAAAATAAATAATTTTTAAGCAAAAAGATGAGCTAATTGCCGAATGGGAACCGGAACCGCTCGTTCCAGAAACTCCACAAGATCATCCCGTTTTGAATCCGAAATTTGTTGATGGGTATTTAATTTTTTATTTCTATTTTTATTTCATATTACTCCTTTTCTTTATAGTAAAATGACCAAAGAAGTGAGCATCGATGGCAAAAATTGTCTGAATCTTGCCTCAACCAACTTTTTGAGTTTTATTGGAATGAAGAGAATCGAGGAGCGAGCGAAAGCAACAATCTTCAAATATGGCGTTGGTTCATGCGGTCCACGTGGATTCTATGGTACCGTTGACGTGCATTTGGATTTGGAAAAAGAGCTGGCAAAGTTGATTTGAAAGCTTTTATTTTTTTCTTTTAATAGCATTATTTTAGTTTTATGCACACCGAGGAAGCGGTTTTGTATAGCTACGGGTTTGCCACTGTGTCAAGCGCAATTCCAGCATACGCCAAAAAAGGGGATATCATTTTCGTCGACGAAGGTGTCAATTTTGCGATTCAAAAAGGATTGCAGGCATCGCGATCGAAAATCGAATTTTTCAAACATAACGATATGGAAGATTTGGAACGCCTTCTGATGGAGCAGGACGCCAAAGATCAAAAGGTGCGCTAGTGTTGCAATTTCAACAAAAGACGTTTTTTGGGGATTTCAGGATCCGAAAAAAGCGAAAACAATTCGACGATTCATCGTCGTTGAAGGCCTTTACGTGAATTATGCCGACTTGTGTCCACTTCCAAAAATTATCGAATTCAAATGGAAGTACAAAGTTCGCGTGTTCATCGATGAGAGCTGGTCATTCGGAGTTATCGGAAAAACTGGAAGAGGTGGGCTCGTTATATTAGAAATGATCATTTATTGAAAAAAAAAGAAACCAACAAACATTTTATAGAACCCGTTGAGAGTAGATCAAAATTTGACATTCTTAAATTCCGAATAAGACCGAAAACGCGAGAACGAGAATTGTTGTGAAAAGACTTTGCGACGAACTAAAGCTCTCTTCGTCATATTCTGTTGATTTCCATGCCATTGTATTTGGCTCCAATTCAACTTTCTTCTTGAATTTCAACCGATCTCCATAGGTCACCATTAGATCCAATGCAACACCATTTGTCCATCCGAATCCTGGCTGAACATCATACTCGCCACCAGATCCAAGTCTCCCTCGTGGTTCAGCGATGTCGTATTTCTCCCACATTTGGCCGGTTAGCTTGAACGCGTCCATGTTCGAACGAATCCATTTCTCGGCTAAAACGAATGCTTTCTGTTGCATTCTGCAAAAAAAAGAACATCGAGCTGAATAATTGCTCAAACGATTCCAATTTTGTTTTTACATTGGACTAGTCGATTTTCGGAGTCCTTCGATCATCATATGATTCAGCGGACTCCATCCGTTGGGGAAATCCCATTGTTGCGCCGTGCCTTTTTGCAAACTACAAACAAACACGAAATTTGCAAGTGCATTCATTCGATTTATTTACCTTGTTGGTACCCCTCCTTCATACCCAAATGCGCCACTTTCTTCCATTTGGTTGTATACATCAACTGCCAGGCGATAATTTAAAGGATCATAGCATTGTGTGAATAGTGGAACGGCGATAGTTGGAAAAAAATTGACGTTGTGCATTTTCGATCGAATATTGTAGTCGTACCTTGGAGAAAAAAGCATGACGAAATCGAGTAGAATTAATTCAACTTACCATCCTCGCCGTGATTGCACATAAAAGATCCTTGTGAATTGCTCACGGAATTGCTTGTAACTTGTCGACCATTGATTATGTTTGATCGGATTTCCAAGTTCACCATAGAAGAACGCCAGAATGTTCATATTATAGCAAATGAATGCGTTCAAATCAACAGGAACGATGTTTGTCGTCTCGATCGTTTCGAGATTCTTGTCGTCTTTGAACCATCGACTTGAGAAATCCCATCCCGACTCAGCGGCACTTGCGATATCTCGGAAAAATCGCCGCCGAACGTCGGGATTCTTGATGTGCTTGGCACTTATAACGTCTTCTCTAAACGATTCGGGTCGCGGCGTTTCGGCTTCGGTGTTGTATTGGAACATGCTGATTGTCTCCTCTTGCCCCTCATCCACCTCAAGTGTCACGTTGACGGTGCGTCGATTAGTCCAGAACTGGAACTCCTTCTCGATGGCGGGTATCGTGTCAGCAACTAGTTGGCGATCTTGAGTCGCCAAGTAGTAATCGTACACCATGGCGGCGAACAATGGTGGCTGAGACCGACGAAGATAATAAACGCGTCCGCCGTTCGGAATAAATCCGCGGGTATTTATAATATGCGCAAAATTGAGTATCATGTGGCGAGCGGTTGGATAGAGTTGTGAGGCGAGTAGGCCTTTGATAATCCAATAAGCATCCCAGTAGTAGAATTCGCGGAATCTGCCACCGGGTAGGATGAAGGGATGCGGTACATAGAGAAGAGAGTAGCGATCAGGGTGTTCAGCGACTTCGGGCTTCATTTGTCGGTACAAGCCGTTCCATAATTGGTGAAGTTCCATTGCGAAACTGTAGTATTCCGGATCGAGAATTTTTTGGAGGCGTGCTGGATTTGAATTGAAATTGGGAATGCTAACGCTGAAAATGGAAACTGGAATAATTAGAAACAAACATTTTAAGCAATAATATATACTTGGCAAGCTCGTTTCCTTCTTTGTCAAAATGTTCCATGACGAAATCTTTGACATCTTTCTTTTGAAGGTTGGCAATTGAAGTTGGAAAACTGAAAATATTATACTGCTCAGACGTGCCATTTATCGGATGCGATTTTATTTATTTCAAAATCTTACCGCTCGTTAAATGCATTCATTATTTGTTCGCCCGTCATATTTTTCTTCATCGGCTGATCCAAAAACGTTTTCGAGTCCTCGTATAATCGCACAGCCATGACCGCTTGCAATAATCGACCGCTACAGTACACCATATAGCGGCCAGGCGCCGTATTATTGTCGCAAGCCAGCACGCTTCCTGTGAAGTAGTCTTGAGCAATGAGCTCGGCAATTTCAGTCTTAACACGAATATTCATATAAGACGGATTTGAGATGGTACCGAATTTTCGAGCTCCATTTGAACAGTGTTGTCATGCGATGATGATGATGATGGCGGTTCGGTGGCAATTTGCACGACATTCTCCGCGACGGTGTCTGTTAGTTTTTGAGGAAATGGCAATGTGGGGTTGTAAAGTAGAAATAATATGGTAATCGAGTTCAGAATAATGAGCATTCCTGTAATTGTCTTCAATAAACAGCCATTTTGTGTCATTTCGAATATTTTAAATAAACGAGAATTCTCGCTACAGCCACGGAAATTTGTAAAATATCAAACAAAACATTAATTTAAATTTTTAATGTTTTACAAATCGACGATGAGTGTTCCTACAAGTCTGATGTTCTTTGTAAAAGGTTTATTGAACTTTGATACCGGTAATTGAGATGTCGTGCGAAATGACAAGTTCGAAATGAACCAGATTTGAAATGATATTAGTTCATATGAGATTTTTGTGAGCAGAAAAAAACCGGATATGAGAATTCATCAAAAATCTCTGTAACAAAATCAATTGATAAGAGGATTGACGACAAGGAAGTTATGTATAACCATAATCAAAAAATATTGAGATTGAATGATTGGCAGGAACTAGAGGTAGTGAGAATCGAACAAATTAGCGAAAATCTTTCGAGAATTTTTGAATATCGTGTATTGATGTGGTTGGGATGATTGTTACATCATACCGTGTTGAAAGGTGTGTTCAAAAATCATAGTGTACAATATAAGATCATCCTCAGAAGCATGCGTTCTTTTTTCTTTTTAAAGATGATAAGAGACTATTTACCAATGTGATCAGAGAAATCGAAAAAATATATATATATAAACGCTTGAACAATTTTTTTGGGTGTCAAGTTTTCAATTGAAAGAAAAGCGACATATCTGATGAAACAGATATTTCGTCGACGGGTTTTGAAATGTGTTATTTGAAATGTAGGTGTGGTGTTGATTCGTGTGGGATCGAACGACGAGAAGGTGTGAAGAACTGGAATTGATAAGTGAGACGAGAACCAAAGTTTTAAGACAATATGGAAGTGTTCATCGAGAGTTTTGAGGGCTTGGCGAGACCAACCAACTGGCTGCGAATTGGATTCTGAAACTGTGATATCATCTCGATGTCTGATAGATGATCCGGGCAGATAAGCGACGAATTATTATTGTTTTATTTGAATGTGGATTCGCGACCACGTGACACTCGAACGTCGACACTATATCAAAATATTGTCTGACTGTGGAAAATGAGACTAAATATTAAACAAGTTTTTTCATGAAACATTTTTATCACATTTTTAATGATTGAAAGAAAAAATCTAGATCATGAGACGCTGCATGATCTCATTTTATACCTCGAGGTTTTGCGTATTTACCACACAAAATATGCCAAATTTGCGAATATTTAAATTTTTGGTGATTTTGAAAACACTTTCATACATCAAATGGCGTAACTGTGAAAGCCCAATGCGAACCGGTCGTATTAGTCTGTATGGGTTTCGGTACAGACCGGATTAGGTGAATCATATGGTTTTGTTGCAGGTGTTACCGAGCACTTTAATGTGCCGATGGATGATGTTGACATGGTGATGGCGTCGCTTGAGAACGCAATCGCGTCGACGGGCGGATTCTGCGTCGGACGCTCATATGTCGTCGGACATCAGCGACTCTCGGGACTCGGATATTGTTTTTCGGCGTCACTTCCGCCGCTTCTCGCTACTGCCGCTTCCGAAGCGTTGGAAATTATCAAAGAGCAGCCGGAGCGCGTGCAAAAAGTCCAGAATATCGCCAGAAAAGCTCATGAGGACCTTCGAGAGGTCTTAAAGGGAACAATGTTTGTGATACAAGGGGTCCCCGAGAGTCCGATGAAGCACATTTATTACAATGATGTTAGCGATGACGAAACCGCGAATCGAAAACTCGACGAGTTTGTAGAAAAGGTACATCTAAAATAAATTCAATAAAATTGTATTCAATTTTATTATTTGATATTAAGTTTGGAATAATTGTTTAAATAGTTTATTATTCGTAAATACGATTTTTGGTTTCAGTTATTCAATGAACACAATATAATGTTGACACGAGCGCGATATTTGGAGAAGGACGAAATGTTTAAAGTGCGCCCCAGGTATTCAAAAATAAATTTATAATTATCGCTCGTTTGAAAATCGTATTTTCAGTGTACGAATTATGTTCCAATATGATTTGACGGAAGACGATATCAAGAATACTTTGGACGCGATTTGTCAAGTCGCCAATTCGATTTAAATTTTTTCTGCTTCAGGACCAAACTGTTTCTTCGTTGTTTTTTTTTCAGTCAAATTGTGGTGCTGGTCATTCCTCACTTTTTAAATTTACTTTCTTTCTTTGTGATTGTTGTTATTTAGAATTACATATTTACGCATTAAAAAAACTTTATAATATTTCGAAAAATTGTTCTACAAAAGTATTGGTCTTGTGAATTATTTTTATCGTCATCGATCTGTGCAAACATGCGATAATTTGAAGATGTCGTACCCATTAGTCGTTGAAACATATGCAATCAATGGGAGAAATTACAGAAGAACACCATATAGGTAAACTGAATTGAAAAGAGAATTTAAAACGAAGATAACCGATTCAAAATAACATTTCATGGCCAGTTTTCTGTTTTTGATTTTCTTTGCTAACTTCCAGAACATTCGAGATTGTATACAACCCAATTCGGGCGAATGAGACTATCTTCGAAAATTATCAGTCAATAAATTGCGAGGATATTATTATTACCATCGGAAAAAACGAGCCCCTTGCATAAATGTGGACCATCGCACTTTTCGAATTTAAACATTTGAATTCGTATACCGTAATCAGAATAATCTGGTAACTCAAAACCAATCGGATACGAAAAATTAGAAATCGGATCCGACAAAATTCGGCTTCGGAATCAACCCGATCCGATTGGTAATTCTACGGATAAGATTTGTAATTGCATCCGATTGGTAAATTCTCGGATCCGATTGGTAAATGTTTGGATCCGATTGGAAATTGTTCAGATCAGATTTGCTTAGATAATTTGGATCTGATTTGAAATTCCTCGGAACCGATTCGATTTTTGTATTATTTCAGATTCGATTGGTTATTTCTCGGATCCGATTGTATTGAGTTACGAGAGTAACCTGCGAATTCACCGTAAAGCGCAGGGTGCTCGTTTTTTTGCGAATTTAATGGTTGAAATTACAATGTATGAGAATATTCCAGAGCGGCAGTAAAAAACGCACCTTTGGAGTTTCAAGACACCCCTGATATTTATGATTTCGAAGACGAACCATCTGTGGGATGTTTCGCACCAAGTACGTGCATATGAATATTCTTATTGATATTAAATGAGACATGTGTGAAATATGTATAAATTTTACATTTGGACGTTTTCAGAAAACTTCCCGATTCCGGAAACGGCAAACAAGGATATAGAAACGAAGGCGAAACCAGAAGCTGCTGAAAATTCAACACCAATGGATACTGAAGATCCCCGCATTAAAGTTATAAACGGGAGAAAGTGGACGGCGAGTGTAACGATTCCTCAAGCTTTCATGGGCAAATTTATGGGGCATAATCGGCGAACGCTAAAAGCTCTTGAAGATAGCACACAGTGTCGTTTGAAGACGCCGAGACGAGATGAGAATAAACCAATTGGTAACGAGAAACCTATGCTCGTCTCATTAATTGCTTTCAACACCAGAAATTAGTTCGATTGTCGGAATCGATGCGGTTCAACGATGTTTGGATAGAATTGATATATTCATGAGCGACGCGAAGAAACAGGTGAATCGAATTTCTCGATATAAGGAAGACATTTTTGCATTCAGGCACGTGCAACCCATTTTTGCGCGCTTCCGTGTAACGACGCTGAAATTATCTCGTCATTTGAAATCTTTCGCGAAGCTGTTATGTCTGGAGAGCAGTTTGATGTAACATAATAAATTTAGAAGAAATTAAATATTTTGTTCATTCAGAATTCCTGCAAGAAACCAAAACTCTTCATGCCACCAAGTCGACTTCATTTGACATTGTGTGTGTTGAGAATTTTCGATGACGAAGATGAAGCAACGATTAAAAACGCGTTGGAAGAAATTGGAAAAGATCTGAAAGAAAAATTGAACGGAAAATCATTGATTGCTGATATTGTTGGAATTGACATGATGAATGATGATCCGGCGAATGTAAATGTGATCTTTGCAAAAGTGCAAGGCGAAGAGTTAGCCCTCATTAACTAAATAAAGAATCATTTCCGAATTGCAGGATTCAAAACGCTGCAAATTCAATTCGCGATAAATTCGTTGAATTGGGTTTTTCCGATTATGATTATGGAGGAGAAGACGCTGATGTGAAACTTCACATGACACTTATGAATGCCCGCTATGTTTCACAAGATGAGAATTTGAAAGCTGGATATTCATTCGATGCAACTAACTTATTAGAAGAATTCAAAGATTTTTATTTTGGAACAATTCCCATCAATGAAGTAAAAAGTCTGCATATTTAAGTGGTGCAAACATCTTTTTTTTTCAGGTGTGCATCTGTCCATTGAATACTACCGTTTCAGCAACGGGTACCAATTTCTATCAAAAAGTTGCAACAACAAAAATTTAATGTTATGCAGTCGACACAATTATGATGCTAGACCATGTGTTATTTATTTTCGGGAATACAATAATAAAGCTAAATGAATTGATCTGTTTTTCCTTCTCATTTGCAATAAATGAAAAATTGCCATCGAAGTGTACTTCCGAGCTAAAACTCTTTGAATTCTAGAATTATTTTTCAATCCACACTTCCCATCACGATATAAATACGCTACAATACTTATTGTTTGATTTATTGAACATGAGAGTTCTTTTTAATGTCACCAAACATTATATTTGTGAATCTCGTTCCACATGAATTATAATATAAAGATGTGCGTATTCTTCATTGTTAACAATCAAGTATTCTGAGAATGCAATCAAGTTTCCAAAAAAAATTGAATTCCATGTGTTCTCGGCGTTTCGCAATCTTTGTCTGTCTACGTTGTGTGCAATTGCGCTCCGCCGTACGCGCGTCAGTAGAAATTATTGAATTTCATAATTCGTCATTTTGTTCACAGATTTTCGAATATCTTATTAATTAATTTTAAAAAGGTTTTCTCCGGTATTTTCAGCAAAAATGGTGGATGTCGAAAAGATGTCTGATGCGGAGCTTCGTGCTGAGCTTGTATCCCGCGGAGTAAACGCTGGACCCGTTACGGGAACAACGCGTGCGCTTTTCGAAAAGAAATTGAAAAAATTGTTGGCTGGCGGACCCGTGAAAAAGGCGGCGACATCTGTCAAGGTAGCCGAAATCAAATAATTGGAACGAATATTTTTTTTGTTGTTTTAGGCACCTCCAACACCGAAAAAGACTCCAGTAGCTCCGAAGAAAGCCGCCACACCGCCACGAAAAGTGGCCGCTGCAAGCCACAACACAACAAGAACATCTCGTCGTAGTGTGGCGGCTTCAAAATCGGAAGAAGAGGAATCGGATGAGTATGAAATCGAAGTCGACGAGGAAATAATTTCACCGAAGCCGAACAGAACTCTTCCACCGAAACGGCCCGTCTCGTCCACTCCAAACAAATTGCTCGAAAAAGACACCAGCAGCATTCTCAATGAATCTTCATTTTCATCGTCTAGAATCACTTCAAGATTGGGAACCCTCGAGTAAGTTATTTATTGCTTAGAGCTTTGTATTATTGCTTCTTCCCCTTACAGAGATCCCGTGCACATTCCTAATCTTATAACATCATTCGACTTTAGCTCAAAATCGATTGATCGTCCTGGGGCGACTCCGCCTCGTGTCAAACCGACTCGTCCGTCGGTCATTCCAAAAAGCACTCCGACGACGAGAACGTCGATTACCAGCTCATCATATATTTCATCGCCACGTGACACGGTTTCCAAAAATTACACATATGGACATACATTTAGTGAGTTTAAAAAAATCCAACAGTATAAAAAATTGTTTCTTTATTTAAGAATCTGGAGCACTCGGAGATCTCGGCGCAACAACAGCCGAGGAAGATGAGGATAGCGACGATGGAGTGGAAACGAGCCGCTATGTATACTCATCAGAAACCAAAGGAACGCGAAACGAAAAAGGCGGATTGATAGGAAAAGCTTGGAACAAAGTTCTTGGATATGACTTCAAAACGGCATCGGAACCGGGAAAAAGCTATGATTTCCGTACAGGATCAACTCGAACTCGCGTCGTTCGCGACAAAAAAGGGAAATTGGTTGTGAAACAATCGAACGTGTTCAGCGACTCGCTGTACATCGCATTCTATACACTTCTCATTCTCGCTGTCGTCCTCTCAATCGGTTATTATTTGACGACTTCGAATAAGACTGAAGTTCTTGGCTCAATCTCATTGCTCACAAGTAAATTTATTTTTAATTTCAAGCTCATCGATCTTTTTTTCTTGCAGAGACCATTCGTGATACGATAAACTTCTTCTATCGCTATGCGATCGTTCCAGTTATTTGCATTCTTGGAAGTATATTAAGCGAATTTTGAAACAAATAATTTGATTTTTTATTTGCAGTTGGAATGTTGGGTGCTGGTATCTATTTTGGTCATAAGAAATACAGAGACGCCAAGGAAAAAGAAGAATCTGAACTCTATGATTTAATTGAGCGGATCATTGGTATATATTGACTATATTTGTGCGTATAGCTAGAAAAATTCGAATTTACAGAACTGATTCGCGAGTCTACTGTCGACGGAGAGCCGTACGTTTCGCAGCCTCATGTGCGCGATGTCATCTTCCCACCAGCAAAGAGGTAATTCTTATCTCACAATTAGCTGGTTATTTTTACTAAATTCCTTCAATAATTTTCAGACGTGGTGCTGAACTGACGCGTTGGGAACGCGCTGTGGCCTTCATCGACGCCAACGAGTCACGCGTCACAACCGAGATCCGCGTTCTGCCATCTGGAAGCGAATGCGCCGTCTGGAGATGGATTGGACACACTCAAACGAAGCGTAACTGGTAATCACCAGAAAATGTTAACATTAATGCGTAATCTCATTACACCCTGTAAAATCTTATAATTTCTCATTGTTTTATTATTTGAAATGTTCTTTTGCATTGATAAACTTATAAAGATTCACTTGCGAAATATTTATGTGCCAAATCCAACATGTTAAATAATACAAGAAAAATGCGTAATGAATGTAGAAAAGAACGAGTTTTTTTTATAAAAAAAATAACTTGTAAAATACTGTTTTTTTTACGTTTTCACTAGATTATTACATATTATTGTCAGCGGAAAATTGGCTAATTGATAAATCATTGGACCGCAATTAAGAGCTTAAAGGCACACCAAGACCTCTCCGCAAGTTTTTTGACAATTAGCCAATTTTTCGCTATCGCCTGACACCAACAATATACGATTATTAAAAAGGGCAAATTTTCAATGGAAATACCAAAACCGAGCCGATAATTACTTTTTGTTCCAAAATGAAAGACCCGATTTGATATTATTGTTATTATTCCTTTTTATGGACTTATTCATGGAATAAAAATGTTTTTAAAAAATTTACAAATTAAATTTAATTTTTTCGTAAAAAATACATTTTATGAATAAGTCCATTTAGGTATAAATCAATATACTAATTTGTTTGAAACTGCATTCCCAGACGCTGTTGTCTCTTCTTTTTCGATTTGTTTGATTTCGATGATGCTTCTGTGGGATGATTCGAAGCGGATGCCGACGGTTGATTATCGAAATTGTGGTGTTGAATGAATCTTCGAGCTGAGCCACGCCCGCGATTTGAATTCATGAATCCGCCGCGAGAGATCTGAAAACAATTGGCCGATTGATTCAGGACTTCGCAATTTATGAATTTTTCCCCAGAAAATTTCGGCAATCAAATATCCCAGTTGATAATTTTGTCGGAATGAGAATTTCTGAAAGTCTGGGAACCACCGGATTAATTAGCACTTCCCGCGACTTCCCGCGGTAGCCCACATTGTTCCGATTCCAATTCTGATCTCTACTTACCGCCGATGGTTTAAAGTCCGTGAAATGCTCTTTGTGCTGTTTTGTCTCGAGAAGTTCCTCCCATCTAGGCTTTCGTGGATTCAGCAGAAATTGTGGTGGCGGTGGCGGTGGTAGTGGTGGGTGAATAGGCAACGCATCAGGCATTCGACCAGCTTGAGGAGCATGCAACGCCAATTTGTTTCCCGGTTGCTGATAATCTTAAAAACCGAAGAAAATTTTCAAAATAATATTAATATGCTGTTAAAAATCACTCTGTTGGGCGTTTTTATTCTTTCTGGACACAATTTGAGGTTTGATCATATTTCTATCCGTAGCATCCTCTTTTTTCTGTTGTGGCCGCGCTTCTTCAACGTGATTTTGTCGATCTTCTGTAATTTGCCACATAATTTAATATCAACAATCCATTTAAAAAATTTACTAGATTTGTGAAACTTCTTCATCAATTCCTTCATCGCTTCTTGATCTTTCGAAGTAGTTTCCACTTTAGGCGAGGCTCCCAAAAGCTCAGACAGCGACACCTCAAAATATTTGCTCTAGAATCGAAAGAATATTTTTTTAATCACCTTCTTCCCTTTCGGAACCTCGCTGGCCCGATTTTTCTTGTCGGCAATTTTCAACAACTGATTCAACGAGTCCGTCAACTCTTCGGCCGTATTCGGAACAGGCGCGTTCTCTTTTTCGTTCGACTTCGTCTTTTGAGCTTCTTTCCAAATCTCTTGATTCTTTTTCGATTTCGGCTTCCATGGCACGTAAGCGCCTTCGACTTCATCGACAACAACATTTTTAAACGTTTCCTTCTTACCCTAAACACAATTGTTTCTTTTTCAAAAAAATTTGATTTATTTCTACAGACGAAAAAAATGATGTCATACTTTTTTCATTTCTCGTTTCACTTTAGTTTTATCCGTTTTAAACTTCCTTTCAAGACCGTAAGTTACATTCAAAAGTGCAGTGATTGGCATTTTCAAACAGCTCGCTTTTTTCGATCCACTGGAATTTGAGGAAATTCGAAAAATCGAAGTGGCATCATGATAATTACCGAATTTTCGCGCCTCCAACAAACTCACGATCGAACAACACATCGACTTTATCTCCAGATATTCCAACAACAGTTCCAGGCACAATCTTTTGTACGGGCTAAAATGAAACAAGAATCGCGAAATTCGGAAAATTAAAAAAAGGAGAATTCTTACATATCCAGAGCCGACGACAACAACCCGATCAAGAAGTTTGAAATCAGCAGAGGCATCCACAAGTGTTTTTCCATCGTATAGTTCCGGCTTGAAAAAATAAAATGAACTTGAAGCATTTTAAATTAACTTATTCTTTTTTTCTTACAAAAAATGTAAAAATTGAATGTCCATTTTATACATAGAACAATTCTGCACAGAAAAATTTGTGTGTGTGTGTTTTTTTTACATTTTTTTTAATTTTATGAATACATTCATAAACATCCAAAAACAAACTCTGAATAACGTTGAAGGCGGCACCGCCGATCTCTTCATTCTGCCTTGTGGTTTTTCTTCGATAACCTTTTCGATTTCGCCTAAATTTTCGAAAACTAACGAGATTTGCGTCAACGCTACATACTAATAATTTGACGATCCGCGTATTCCGTCTCACACGGAATCTGCTCGGCGTCCGCACATGGAAGGTTGGCAAGGAACTCTTTCAATTCCTCAAATCGCTTCTGAAAAAACACAACAAGTTATTCAAGCTTCATCGCGAATAAAATCAATCACATTTCGAACTTGCGCATTCTCCCAAACATCTTCAGCATAATATACATCGTTGCTGTCGGAAACGTTTTCCAAAAATTTGAAAATCTCCGGGAATCTAAATTCAATCATCTCGTTAATTGCGTTCTTATTTAATTCTCTTTTACTGTTTCTTGTAATTTGCAATCAATCGAACCGTCAAATTCGAATAAGTCCAAATGCTTTGTTGTCGATTTTTAACGATCGTGTTTGATCGTTTTGTGTAATCAGCGACCTAATATTAAATGTTGATTATATAAATTGTTTTATTCGAATAAAAGAAAACCTCCAAATTTTTCTTGTTGTATTTAAGACATAATCCGATGTTTAGCTTATTATCACTTGAAATTTGATGCCCGCTTTCTACTAGCTTTCGAGGTTCATTCCACATCAAGATCGAACCCGTAACTCGAGAAAATAGACCAGTGTTCACTTCAAAATGCATATTTTATTATTGATTATATCCTTTTCAGCAAACAAAAAAAAACAAACCTTGAACTTGCTTCGAACAATCCCAAGCGTTCATCCATCGCAGCGATTTCGAATCAAGCAACGAACGAATGCTTTTCATTTTTTCCGTTTGCAATTCAATCACCATTCCAATTATGGCGACGGTCATCTTGTCGGATTTCTCCTCCGAGTAACCTTCAACCATTGTAGGAACACCGAACATGGAAGAGCGTGGATCTGTGACAAACACGACACTACGAAGCGGGAATGCCAGTCGAATCGGTAGATCAGCAAGTCGGCGAGACTCTTCAAGCAGAAGGTCCTGCAAAAAAGGTTCATTTATCAGGCGAAAAATAAGAAAAATCAAGAGCATACTTTAACCACCAATGGGAGCAGAACTGGAGTAGCGTGCTCGGGCGGAGCGAATTGTTTCACAGCCCTCATCATCGTCTCGTTTCCAGAATCCAGCACCGTTTCGTAGACGAGACCCATAAATCTACGAACCCAAGCGATTGAGAATCTCGTCGACGTGTTTTTCTCTTTTTCCTCGATTTGAATAGCATACCGAGTGCGCATACTGAAATTTTGATTTTCAATTTAATTTCCAACTTATTTTTTTTTCGCTCCACAAACTTCTCCACTAGATGATTAACAGTCGCAATCCATTGATCTTCGTCGTCTTTCGTCATATCCTTGACAATAATCTCATCGGCGCCCATTTTGCGAACAATTCGACCGTCGCCCCATATCGAATCGACTTTTCCCAATTTCAGAATAGGCCAATCGATGCAAACTTCTTCTCCGATAAACTCGGAACCGATTTCAATAATGTCCGACGTTTCTTCAATGTTTTTCACTTCGAGAAGCATCGATTCTTTTCGCGACGGCATTCCGAACACGTTCACATTCAACTTCTTTAGCATTCCATTGTGCTTCAAATGCTTCATTGTTGGGAATCCGGGGAAATAAATATCCATTTTCACGTTTGGAATAAGGCCCCATTTCACACGAGAAATCGGTATTCTGAATGTGTCCTTGTCGACCTCCGACCGCCTAAAATGGGCAAAAGTAGTCTTTAAAAAACGAGAATTATTTTCAAAACTCACAAGACAGTGATGGCGCCATTCGAATCTCTGGTTGTGAACAATAAATGTGGTCCGTGCTCATTCCGTGCTAATTCCTCTTTTGTAAGACGAATCATCTTGAACGAACAAATTCGAATTTTTAAGAAATCAATTTTTTTACCTTCGGCTTCATAGCGGCCAATAATCGTTCTTCATCAATAAATGGTATCAAAATGACAGCCTCCCAATCATTTTTCTTTCCGTTCAAATCAGTTTTAAAGTTTATTGGGTAGAAATCGGCAATCGGCGACGCATCGGAATCCTCTGTCATCAATTCCTTTAAAAATTCATGTTGGTCAAATGAATTAATGCTCATTTTCTAAACCTGCAGTGGTTTTGGCAGGCAATCAGCACTAGCAGCGGGAAGCACAGCCAATAACTGCTCAAATGGTCGAAATGGCTCCGAAGGACCGAACTCAATTTTCATATCCGCAAAATCGACTAGATCAGATATATATGGAGCATAATGATGAGGATAAAACCTAATATAGTTTTATAAAACAAAAAATTAATTTATTAACTAACCAACTCCAGGAAATGCATCCATGATAATAATAATGAAGATTCCATTGAATCGCTCTCACATATCCCTCAACTTGGGCTTTGAGGTCAGATTTGCTAATATTTTTTAGTCTATTGTATAAATAAAAAATCATACAATTGTCCGATTATTGCTTACTTCATTTTTTCACTATAGTAGTTCTTTTTAAATCGTTTGAACGAGTTGTTGATTGTCTTGGTCCAGCAAGCTTCAACATTATTTTCAAACTCTTTTTCATCCATGGCCATAAAATCGGTTAAAGCAAGAGCCTCAGAAAATTCATCGTCGAATTGATTGTTTTCTAAAGGAATCATAACGAAATATTTTTCGTCGTGTTCAAATTTCAACCTTCTTCATTATTTTCCGATGACTCCGAATCCACAGGATTGTTCGTCTTCTCCAATTCGTTCTCTTCCTCTTCGTCTTCATCGCTACTTTGAAAAGCGGCGTCAGTTCTCTCGACATCTTCACCATTTTCTTCGACGTCACTAGCTTCTCCTTCAAGAGCGCCTCCCACTAATTCGTCGTCGTCATCCGAATTTTCAAAAGTCACCAAATCATCATCTTCGCCGCTGATCGGAGCTCGCTTCGATCGTAAAAATGCCTCGTCTTCCAATCGATCCATGAACGACGACTTGTCGTTGTTGGCAAGCTCTTTCAAGAATTTTTCAAACCGACTCAAATTTAAAATACCGCCTTCATTAATGTACCCTGAAAAAAATAATTCAACTAAAAAATTGCAAGTTTGTCTCAACCGTCCAGCGTTGGTAATACAGTTTTATAGGTTTTGTATAAAAGTGGCAGCGCATCTTCATGAATATGGACATGCGGTAGATGGGGTAAAAAGTCGTTTCCAACCAGAAGGCCCATCAGAATCCAGTCATCGACAATCCGCTCCATATCATATTCAAACGATGTTTTATCCTGAATTTTCTAATATACATAAGCATCGAAAAAACGCGAAAAAACCTTTAGAGTAGCGAATTCCCATGACAAATACTCCCTGAGTAAAGATAAATGAAGAAGATGGAATTTTTTTGTTTCGGAATCAGTTTTCTGCGGCTTCTTGTACTTTCTTGGCCGATTGAAAGTGACCTCTTCACGAAGCAGCGAGAAGTGCGGTTCATGAGAGACAATTCCAAGCATAATCTTTATAAAATAAAACTGAAGAGGCAATGACGAACGAATATACCAAGTCCGCGTCAAGACCATACATGCAATGTCTCGTGTTTGGATCATAATTGCTTCCAGCCTTTTCCGAACGAATGAAGTCCATTATTTTATGTTCTCCTTCTCCGGGACACTAAATCGCGTATTGTTTCATCAAATCAAGCAATTTTGGCATACATTATGGCCGGATAGATAAATCCGCCGATTTTGCCACAAAGGATCATTTCGAATCTTCTTCTCAACCCAATCGGCCAATTCGTTATGAAGTTTCGTCATAAAATAAGTTCCAGGGGTGATGCAATTCGAATCAAATCGCTTCTCCGTTGGCAGCTCCTGTCCTTTCGCGACAGCCTTATTCGTTTGCTCCTGGGCGGTTCTAGCACTCATGAATCGTCGGGCTCTTTGTTGATTCATTTTGGCACGTGGTGCAACACCATCAACCGCCATGAAGAACACCTTTTGAGGACGAATAAGTTTGTAGAGGTTCTCAAAACCAAAATATATTGTTGCTTGCTTTTTCACTTAACTGCATACCTCAATGTAAGCAAAAATGTTTCGAAAAATTTCTTCCTCCGAAATACGAAAAGTGATATCGTCATCATTCGGATGTGAACAATTATGAATGATTCCATTCATATCAAGATACAAATTATCGAATTCAGGTATCTGAAACCATATTAATTTAATATCACTAATAAGTATATCACAAACTTGGCTCTCACTGATAACCTCGCTCAAGCATGGATATCTCTCCGACGTCCAGCGGTAGAACTTTGGAACTCCCATTTAAAAAGTTATTTCGAGTTGTGGAACCAGCCCTTCTTCAAATGGTTTAAAAAACATTAAAAATAATTAATTTAAATATATGCTGAAACACTTTGAATACGTTAAAATCGAAATAATTATTGTTTCAAAGTGGAAATGAAGCATTAAAAAATAGATGCATCCTCATTCACACGATAAACACAAAAACAATGAAGACACAAAACATTTCAAAATGTTTCACAATTTGAAGCAAACTGAATATTTGACCTCAAAAGGCGAATGGAACATTTTACAAATCAAAATACATAACAAAACTGATTAAAAATTATTAATTGTTCTATCTAGATATTCAATTGAAACAACTCAATTATTATAGAAAAAGACACTTTTTGTGACGATTTCGAAGTAAGTAAATCATCGGAGCGAATTGGCAAAATAAAAGTGTCGAGAAATATAATGCCAAAGGCAAAAAAATTCAACAAATGAAATCGTGCCGACGATTTTTTTTTGTTTTTGTGCGCTCAGTTGCAAGTGGCCGAATTTTTAGTTAGGCCATCTCCGAAATCACATGCTAGCGGCACTATAGCACGTCGTGCACAGCGGGACGTCACTCGGAAAAGTCGTGCAGACGTTGTGCAGCGATTCAGAAGATGCTTATTAGGAACTGTGAAGGCTTTGTTGAACGCAACCACTAACTCTGCTGAAAGTCTGCAGCACGGACCTTTTCGCAGACTTTATGTAGTTTCTAATGGGCGTTTTAGACGATTCTTTTATACAATTAAAAAAAAACAAATTCGACATCTCTGAATAATGTAATTTTATACCATAGTCAGAAAAAATCATAAAAATGTTAAGTCTACGAAAACTGCACGATTTTTCCCTAGAAATGAGATTCTCGATTTCCGAAATTCAAGACAATCAAGAAGCGATAAATTATAAAGTTAATTTTGCAAATTCAAGAAAAATGAGACGAATCCAGTGCAAACGCCAACAAACAACATTTCATTTATTAAACTTGCTGTTTTCAGACAAACAAGAATTCAAGTAACCTAACAAATCAAGGGGTAATCGTTTAGAACGAGACAGCGGAATGAATGGCTCCTCGTCGGAAATTTCAAACTCATGAATTATATTTCTAGACATATCGAACGTCACTCGACGAACTCTATCGAACACTGGTCGAATAGATTGCTCAATATCGATTGTCTAAAAATGGTATAAGATGGTGTATAATGATTTTGGATACCTTCACTCGTCGTTCGTTGATATATTCGTTTTGAAATGTCACATTCACACGAGCATGCCTTCGCCCTTCAATGAAAAACTCCAGACGCGTATATGTGCTCAAACACGGTATGAATGGATTTAGTAAGCGTTCAACATCTGCGTAAGAGTTTACATCGCGAGTGGCCAGACGGGCTGTCTAAATTTGACAGTTCGTTTTTTTTTTTTGAAATTCTTTGCTTGATAGGAATTCACCCCGTTGTGATTTTTATACAATCCAATAACAGAACCCTTTGTTTTCGTAAACCCCGGAATGATCATTTGCAATTGGTCAATTTCGACGAGAAGTTGCTTCAAATCGATTGCGGTGAGAAATGTCAATCGAAATAATGACTGATTCGAGAGTGGCGACGCCACCGAAATGCACTTTTCAATCATTTTCGCCACATCGCCGTCGTGAACATTTCGCGAGAATAGGTGAAGCTGTTTCGGCCGATTATCAATGCTATGAATAATGTAATCCAAAAGATCGAGTTCGGTTGCTGAAAATGTTGTTGCAATTTGATTCCGAAATCGATGAGCAAGCACCTCGATTTGTTCCAGTCCATCGCATACTCTGAATTTTTAAACCGTCCCACTTCGCATTGTTGCCGAGATCGTTCGCCGTCGACTTTTTGAGATTCTCGAGCAATTCGACGGCCTCGTCAATCGGCTCATGAATCGGAACATCGCCGGCTTCCAATATCGGCTCATATTGTAACGCATCGGGCACAGCTCGCGGGATTTCAATCGAATCCACCTATTCAGACAATCTCAATATTTTTTTGAACATTATTGAATACCTCACTCGGAATGTAACGAGTTATTGTTAGCTCATAAAGCTCATCTGTTGACAACATTGAATTTGATTTGATTCTTGAATCGTTTCTTTTTAAACGCTCCTACGGAAATGATTAAAACGCCAATAGATTCACGTCAATTTTTCTTAAAATCAAAATAAAACGCATTACAAATTTATTCAAGTAAAAATCAGGGTGAGGTGTCAAATTTGGTCGGAATCGCTGGTTTGTGCACCGCTTCTTTGTATTCATCTGAACCGACAGGGTCCGTATTAATTGGTTCGCCATTTTTAATCAAATATCTGCAATATTCACATGAGCGTTGCGTTGATAAATCGCCAACCTGTATATGGCTTCTGTTGTAGTTTCGACTCCTTCTGAATAGGTATTCATCATTTGATCTATTTTGTCTTCTTGGTAACTGGAAGAAGAGGAAGAAGGCAATTCAGCTCGTACATAATACCTTGAAAAAATAGTGTCAGGTATGAATGAGTGATTGTCAATTCACCTATAAGGTGTCGTTGTATATTCAGCATAATAGTGAGGCGGTGGAACTGGATAGGCATATCGATGAGGCGGCTGATGGGTTCGTCGTTCAGGGCATTTGCATTGACCACCCGATGGGGCTGGTAAACCTGCATCACCTGGCTGAAATTTGCGGTAAGACAACAACAACAAAAAACCGATATCATTCGGAAATGACCAACCTTTCCCGGCTCGCCCGGCGGACCCGGTATGCCGTGTCGGCCGGGTGCCCCTGAGGCGCCCGCAATTCCTCGCGGCCCTCGACCAGGAGTGCTGCCAGGTTGTCCATTTTCTCCCGGGGCGCCTGGCGGTCCAGCTTCTCCTTTGGGCCCAGGAAAATTTATATATCTAAAGAATTGTCTATTTTGATATTATTGTAGATGAACCTTTTCGCTGGATTGCCGGACGGGCCAGGATAGCCGTCTTGGCCATCGTCGCCGTCTTCTCCAGGATCTCCTGGCTCTCCAGGAGCGCCCGGAAAACCCTCGTATCCATCTAGACCCGGCGGACCATTTTGACCGGCCGATCCGCGATCCCCGGGGCTTCCCGGATCTCCTTCCGTCCCTCTCGGACCTGGTGGACATTTCACACAACCCAAAACTATAACCCGATCTTCGGCATCTAAATGCCACGCATTCCCATCAGTCCCATTCGTGCCGTTCGGCCCGTCATTGCCCGGCTCTCCAGGCTCGCCAGGTGGTCCCGGCGGCCCTCTTGGACACGGATTGCTCATATCAAACTCATCATCAATCTCCTCTTCCATCATTGTCATTCTCATCGTTCCATCGTCGCCCTCATCCGTTGTTTCTTGATTCACAAACGCGCCATCCCCTCCAACAGTTATATTCTGTGATTCGACGTCACTGGCTTGATCTACACTACAAATCATAAGATAGCGTTGTGGCGCATTTGTTCACCAGACGTTTCGTCGCTATCTCCACGGGCTTCCACAGATTCGCCGTCTTCGCTGCTTGGAAATAATCCTAACAATCCGAAATCCATCAGACACACTGACACCAAAGCAATCCGAACTCACCCAATTCTTTGCTGCGATCACTGTTCGCATATTCATCAAGTTCAGCAATTTCTTCGGCAACTTCTACAGAATATTGCCGTCCGAAATCTTGAAATTTCTTCTGATATTTCCGTTTCGCCAAATCGTGTTGGCTTTTTTTCGTTTTCCTCAAAACTTTTCTCGCGTTTCGCTTTTTTGGAATAAACCATGTCTGGCGTGATTGTCGAGATGTTTCCCTGATTATTTCCACAATATCGCTCCATGCTTCTCGTTCAAAATTCTACAAATTATTTTCAAATAGTAATAATAAAAACCTATAGAGAAATGATTGAAATTACCAGAAAATTTATCAAATCGCTTTGACATTTGGTTTCGAATTCGTGTAAATCACGAGCAAATAAAATCAAAGAAATAAGAACCGTTAAAACAAGAAATGACGTAATATAAGAGATTTTGTAGAGGTATAACGACATTACTCAAAAACCAACTGTTCGCACATGCATCCATTTATAGTAAGTGCTAATGAAGGAGAACGGGTTTTACTACTTTAGACTTTTGCGGTAATGCGTCGCTTCTTATAAAATTCTCCCCCCGTTCTCTTCTTGCTGAATTTATGACTTCTAGAATTTTTGCTCAATTCGTTGGAAAATTGTTGGTCCCATCAGGTAAAAACGACTGACTTTTTGCGTGGAAAACCGCTCGAGCATCGGCTCAAAAATCATATGGACCTCGAGAAGTCATGTTTACGAGTCACGCGTTACCCAAATTTGGGTACTGATACATTTAAAAGCACTGATAAATAATTCATCCCGAAAAAAAAAAACAAAAAGTGTCTGAAGAGAGTGGGATTCGAACCCACGCCCCCGAAGGGACTGGTGCCTTAAACCAGCGCCTTGGACCGCTCGGCCATCTCTCCGCTGATGTGTGGAGTTATTGGCAGCCTACATTCGTGCACTCCACTAGTCATTTCTCGTTTCGACCCTCTTCTCGTTATACACCCGAAGGGGAGGGGCATGTGGCAAAAATTGAAAAAAAAGAAACATGACCTTCTGGGGGGGGGGGCCTTCTGTGTTTGAATTACCGCCACCGCTAATAACTACAAATAGGCGAGTATGACGCATCCCGGAAAATGTCCGCAGATGTTTACAATGTAATTTCTCTTGTCAAAATTCGAACAAAACAATGACCGCGGGATTCCAATTTCGACAATCATGCGTGTGGCCAACCGAGCGGCATCGATTCGAAACGATCAAGCAAAATCTGCGAAAAATTTTCAATGGCAATTCGCAAAATTTATCATCTAAATCAAGAATTCGACGGCACGTTAATGAACAACGATGCGACGACGGATGGAGACTGGATTTGTGGCGATGGCGCGTCGCCGACAAGCCGTATTTGGACGAAAAAGTAGCCGATGTCATTTCGGCGATATTAGCCGATTTTTACGTAATCCACCTCAGCCAATTATCTCGTTTTTGGTCACTCTCATGATTTTTTTTGTGGTTGCGAACACCGCAAAGTTGTTATCAACATATTGGTCTAGACGATATCCTCCCTATTTTATACTTCGTCTTTCTAATGAACTTATTCATGCAATAAAAAAATTATTTAAAAAATACGCTTTTTAATTCCATGAATAAGTCCATAAATATTTTCAATTTTATCAAAATCACTCATTCTAATTTTTTCTTTAAATAATTTTTGCTAAACTAAAAGTAATTTTAAAAAATTGACGTGATTTTTCCATCAAATAAATGTTTGAAATAAAATTGCGGATAGTTTTCGACCCAAAAAAAAACAAATAAAATGTTTTCTGGATGAAATGCGAAACGCAATCCTACCAATAATTGTTAAATGAATCGTTTCCGGGGGAACGAATAAAACAAACTAGACTGCCGCAGGATTGTTCCAGCTTGAAGAGTTCACAACTTTCGGTGGAGAAAAAAAACCAGTGTGTTCTTCTTCCTTCGAATCCACCCCTTCTATGGAAACACACAATTATGTATTATATATTTATGTATCTTTCATTTCTCACTTTTTTCCCAAGTGTCTTCCATGCGAGACGAGAACCGCCGAAATGTTACCTAATGATTTTGGTGAGGAGAAGGCGAAGAAGAATTCCGAAGCAGTTTTGCCTCATTATTTTCGTTTCCGACGCGCTTCTGACCTATTGTGTAGCGGCAAATGACGGATGAATTTCCAGACTTGGGCAAACTATGAATTGCTGGTTCACGTGGATCACAGTACTCTGCACGATTCGATATGGCCTATCGGTGAGAGAATTCCCCCCTTCAATCTCGAAACCGCAATGTTGTCATGTTCAGCTTGACGCCCTTCGACGTGTCGATGGAAGCCATTATGCTCGTCGGCGACACGTCCAAATGCGACGAGTCACTTCGGGATTCCATCGAGATGCGCCAACTCCATTTTTCGACAATGTCATTCATTCGCCATTAGAAAATAAGCGAATCTATACCAAAGACAAGTAAATCATTTCTCATATTTCAATTCATTTATTGCTTTCCTTTTTTCCAGTTTTTATATTAATGCGATTCATCCGAAATCGAAAGAAGCACAATGTGAGATTTTTTTTGTTAAATATTTGCTGAGTTCGAATTTTGTTTAGTGTATGAAAGCATGTTGGTTGATGGAAAAGGCTCCGTCAACGATATTGACGCATTCTTTGTGACGCCGCCTCCTTCTAGAACCACGCTAGCCCCCAGACGAGAAGGATGGAACGATTTGCCAAAGGATATGAACCTTATCAAGGTTTCGCAGGGTAGCGTGAAGGATGAGGAAGAGGTGATTCCGACGAAGCCGCCACTCAAGCTGGTCACACTTCCGCCATTGATGCAAGCCACCCTTCCGCCATTCAAGCATAACAACGTAAAATGATGATATTGGCGAGCAGCAATCATTCAATTCTTATAGATTTCGCGACGACAAGCCAACGCTCTTCCTAATCCGTCGCCTTCGAGTCAGCCGGTTCAATTTAGTCAGTCGCAGTGGCAATTAGAACCAATCGCGCCTCCGGTGAGATTCCCCGCGCAGCCATGGCAAATTCCGCCACCGAATGGTCCAACGACGCCAAATCCATTGGCACAATGGTTTGTTCCAACTCCAGCCCCGTCGATTCCTCCGAATCCATTCTTTACGCCTCCAAATAATAGCCCTGTATTTGGTATTAGTTTTTTTTTTTTTAATATTCTCAAAAAAAAGGAAAAATGATTTTAGGAGAATCTTTTTCGCAATCCAAGAATCTTACTCAACCAACACCACCGCAAAAACAAGAATCTTATGATCCCTATATTCCTATTGGCATTGGAAACGCTAATTTTGTGCCGCAAGGCACGCAGAATGTTCGTCCGATTGATCTTCAACATCGGGTTAGTTAAAAATAAAAACAAAAAACTTCTTCCGTTGCGGGGAATCGAACCCCGGCCTTATGGGTGAGAGCCATAAATCCTAACCACTAGACCACAACGGAGGCTGGTGCCGAGTTATCGAATGTTGATGACATTACAGCGCAACATGCGAATCGGAGGGTTCGCGAAGAACAATGCAGTGCAAACGCCAATCGCATTGCCAGTCGCGGGACAGATAGGTTTGACAAAACAAGAAGATGGATGGGTGAAGAGAAATTCGACGATCTTTTAGATACGCCATTGAATATCGCCAAAGAGAAAGAATTCGGAAATTTCGGAACACCATCGCAATTCCAGAAAAAGGTTCAGGAAACAAAATTCAAAAATTTTTTTTTTAATATTTTGATATTGCGAAATTTGATGCAGTGTGTGTGTGATTTTGAGAGACGCAGAGATTTATACTCCAATTTTGTTGCAATGAGTTGGCGAAATAATTTGGAAAAATGCCATCGTTCAGCACAAGATCTTGAGACAATTATTCTTTTCACAAATCAATCATATGTTCAGCTACCCCCTCCTATCGATTACTCGGTCGATAGTGTTGCGGTTGTGCAAAAGAAACCCGATGAAATTGCAATTCCCTATCGGGAAAATGCGAAAAACTACTATGGAAGGTTTTCGACGATGAATAATTATTTTAAAAACATTTTTCTTTTTCAAGATCCGCAGTTCCAGAAAAATCATCAGAACAATTGAGAAAATTTGTGAAAGTGCATCCGCATGTCGCCGGTAATATTCAGCCGCCAATGATTTATCGCGGAAAGGAGCTTGTGATACCAAAAGTAGATCAAAAACATTTTATTAAAGCATTAATGAGAGTTGATTCGAGATGTTCAATTTCACAAATCAAGTTGCACCTCCATTGCCACCTCAACCAATGGCTCCTCAACAAATTGTTCCACAACCTCTGAGCTATTTTCCGACGATGAACCCAAATCAGAAGCTTGATTTGTGTTGCAGAAAACAACGAGTGTCGCCGATATGCCAGAATTTGTGCAATTTCGACACGTTTAATGATAAATCTGTAAGTTGGTCAACTTTTCGAAAATAGCTCGTCAAATTTGAGCTTGTTTCCGCGTTCTTGACCAACCAATGCCCGGGACCACAACTCGGTCAAGCCTACGATTGTGCGTCCTCAAAAGCGGACCATTCAATGTGCTGCGAGCGAGCCGGTCTTCTATCGTTCCAAGCCGGAAAATGTATGCCATTCTGTCGGACGCACGTCGCCACACCGGCCAACGTATTCGACTATTTCGTCTGTCTTCAGGTATCTGAATCTCCATAATAATTCTACGAGGCAAGATATTTTAAGGTGTTCGAAGCAGTGAAGGGTTGCTACCGCGAATACCAATTCACGCATCCAAACATATTCGGAGATTGATTCGATTCATTTCTAGGCAACAAATCACAAACGGGTCCAATTATGATATTTATTTATTTGTGATAAAAACTTTGATAAAATCGGAATTTAAGATGAGATACAAAAATTGATAATTAAAAACTGAATGGGGTAAGCAAGCGGTAAAATTTCAATTTCTTTCATTGATGTGTTTTTTAAGTAGATTGTGCTTGACGTCACCGTAATGAAAACAATTGACTAGTAAACAGTATGGCAAAAAGTACACAGCACAGCTAGTATAGGAGAATATCTGAGAGATGTCAAAATAATCTACATTAAAATAAATATTAACGATATGCTATTTTTTGGTGAAAAAAAACTACACTTAATTATTACCATAGAAGAAAAAACACAAGAAACATAAAAATAGCTTGATAAATTACGAAAACATGAAAAACGATAAAATCCATCAAGTAGCTCAAAACCAATCGGAGCCGACAAAATTCGACTACGAAATCAATTCGATCACATTTCTTTTTTTCTTTTTTTTTAATGATATTTTCGGATCCGATTGCTCATGATTACTGGAGATGCGATGTAATAAAGTAACGGCGGAAAACTAAAAAAAAATTAAGAAAATAGTACGGTGTGATTCAGCGCAAAATAATTCAAGGATTCGGATTTGGAACTCTCATGGCGTCAATGAACTCGTTGACACGCTGCAAATTTTGCGGCCCCATTTCATCGACATTTGCTGGCGCTCCATTATTCGGAGCCGCGTTTTGAGCGGCTCGCTCATCAGGAAGTGCAAACAACGGTAGAATTCGCATGAAATTGTCGCGAATGTTCGGTCTAGCCTCATCGCGAAAAACTCGATGCAGATGTCGAATTTCGCGCGCGTTGAATATCGCGCGAATGTATGGGTGGCGATCTCGAAAGATTGCCACCTCTTCCTCTTCGCCCTCCTCATAATCACCATCCGCCAATTCGACATTTCCAAATGGATCAAAGTCCTCAACTGGAACGACTCCTTCAAAAAGACGACCTTCACATGCTCCCTGAAAAAAGCACATTTGAGATATTTAGTAAGTGTCCTGCGACTGCGTACGGCGATGACTCTTTCGAAATGGTCTCGCATTTAAGAAAAAATAAGCAGTTCACGTAAAAACGGTAAAATAAGCGTTCACGCGTGGCGAGACCATTTCGAAAGACCGTAAATCTACTATTAATTTTTTTTACAAATTCGCCAATTTGGTCGCGCGACGTCTAAAATACAACATTTTCAATCGATTATTGTAAAGTAGAAGAGATCTTCTTGATATGACCCTTTTTAAATGTCGTGCACACTGTTAAAATGTTTTTATCCGACGTTTCGATCTTTAGATCATCATCAGGAAAGGTGAATTTACCTACAAGATAATAAGTAATCGATTGGTAAAAAAAAAGAATAAACGGCGAGAGTTAAGAGTTCTCGCCGTTTATGATGATGATCTAAAGATCGAAACGTCGGATAAAAACATTTTAGCAGTGTGCAAAACATTTAAAAAGGGTCATAAAAGGGTCGCTCCACAACTCACCAAACTGTTTTCAATCGAAATAGAATATAAAATAAAATGTCCCGAGGATTCAATTGAATTTTTTTTAATGTATTCAATTCGTTTCGAGAAATCAACAATACCTCTTTGAAGTGTTTATATGGATTTTCCTTGTTGAGAATCGCAGAGCACAACCAGCAAAACATCGAGTCGCATTTCGTGCAATGCATTTTGTGGCATCCGGCATTTTTCTACAATAATAACATTTCCAAAATTTCATCGAATATCGCTAACCTCAATTTTGACTTTGCATTTCGGACACGGCTTGCTGTTCGCTTCCATCCATTGCTGGTTTTGAAGTCGCTCGATGATTTCCTTCAAATTTTTCATTCCACCGAATCGTTTTGCCATTAATTCTTTTTGTTCTTCGTTGCTCTCGTTCCATTCCTGGATAATTTTCTCTTGGTCACCTAAACATTGAATTCTCAAATAATTACAACAATATCTCAAATTCTACCGGCTTTCAGTTTGCATGGCTCGATTCCATGAAACGTCTGTTTGCAAACATTGCAAAAATGAAAGTTGCAGTATGAGCACGAAGCAAGGTTCATCTCTCTAAAGATCAGTCATATTTAAACAAATCTCGAATATTCCTTCACCTGTCATTCACATACGCCACCTTTTGGCAATTCGGTTTTGGGCATTCAACAACATCGTCCATTTCACGAATCGCTTTTTCCAAAATCGCATTTTCATATCTATAATTAAAACCAAAATGTTTGAGGACAAAAAAAAGAAACGAACTTGTCAAATAGTTCAGGTTCAAGAACTTCGCGAATCATATACTGTGGGGCTTCGACATCACAGTTATCCGCCAAACAGCGCAACGTTCTCGACTGCAATTATATCAGTTTTCATTTTGTCTCGAAGATTTCATATTTCGTACCACTATTCCCGAAACAGTGACGCGAAAATAATCGCCAACACACTGTTTACAAAACACATGCTTACATGGACGGAATCTGTAGCAATGGGTTCCACAGTACTCGTTGAAACAAACCTGAAACACTTATATTATACTATTTGGTTTTAATCTTCAACTCACTTCACATTCAAACATCGTATAGTCAAACACTTCTTTTTTGGCTTTTAAGCTCTCATTCTTGATTTCATTTCTCAACCATTCTACAGTTTTCGTTTTCTGAATAGATTTTTCAATGTAAATCATTTCCTCTTAATTATCAATTTACATCAGTCTTCAGAATAACGGCTTTATTGAGATCGATGACTTCAATATTGTTCACCTAAATCCATTTTTGAATTTTTTTCAATGTTCGACGTAGTCAAATTACCCTCTGCTCGATGACTTGACAACATGAATATAGAACAGGCATTGTCATATTATCAAGACAAAGCTGACATAAATCGATTTCCATATCCCTTTGAAGCTCCTCGTCCATCCAAATGCACTTTGCATTTAATTTCGGCATTCGTGTCATTGGATAACGAGGTGGAAACACGAAATACAACTGAACTGGCGGAATAATTTTAAGGACATCGCTGAACTTGGTTCCATCATCACATGTTCCTTCAATTCTAACACCTTTATTCTCTGTGCCAAAAAAATCGATCTGTAAATCACTTATAATAATTCAAAAAATATATTTGTTTTTAATATAATTTCAAACAAACCTGAACTACACCGGAAATGTCCACTTCCGTATCATTCCAGTCACTCAATCTCGTCAATTTGCCCTCACGCAAAGTACTTTCCAGTGCAATCAGTTCCTCTGTTTGTAATTCTCGATCATCCATCTGTTCATGTTGAAATATTATTTAAAACAAGCATGTTGAATGATTAAAATAAATAAATGGTTTAATCTTCACCATTTTTGATACTTAGAAATAAAAAAAGAAGATTATGGGTTTATATAAGTTACAAGATATGAAATAAATTTTTCGAGATCATTCATGATTATTGGAATGTGCGTTTTGCCTGAACGTCCTTCAAAAGCTCATCGAGCTCAGCGTCTTCGATTTTATTTTCGAGAGATGGTACGAGAGCCTAGAGTTATTCATATATCATATGAGACACATTGTGCTAGTTTTACCTTGCATTCTTCCGCCGTTTCTGGACAGAGGTTCGCGACCTGAGCAACTTCGAACTTGTGGAAGTTCTTCTCGGAGAAGCAGCAACGAATGGCACGAATCGTCTCGCGGTTCTTGAATCTGGCCATACGACGGGCATAGTTGAGGGTTTTAATGAAAACCTGCAATAGTGATATTGGGCAAAATGGCGAAATTTCTTATCAATAAAACGTGACAATTTGAAATCAATAAGATAAAAATAGCTGAAAATATAGTTGTTTTAATTCCCACCGAAAATTTAATAAAGAATCCTTTCTTTATTGTCAGTTTGTCAAAATTAAAAGGCTAGAAAATTGCCGTTTCGAAATTACAAAACATTGCTTTACAAAGCATAAGAAAATTCTTGAAGCAAAACACAAACATAAAATTAACATTGCGTAACATTTTCATATTTTCGAAACAAAATGATAGACAACATTGTTTTGTTTTTCAGTAGCAGGCCATAACAATTGGTTGTTGTTTTAGAAAAATTGAGATTTTGCAAAACTATCATTTACCTCGCTCATCTCCTCAATTTCATCTTTATTTTCGCTCTGCTGGCGACGATGTTCAAGAAGCAAAAAGACCTCAGCGGTGAGAAGAGCGTCGCAATTTGATCCCTCGAACTCCTTCGGAAACTTGCATTCAGCGGCATCTTCTTCGACTACAGCATCGGCTGGCTGATTTCCTCCGCCTGACATCGTTATTTAACTGGAAATCGGCGAAATAAACTGAATAAATGAGAAAAAGACAAGATTCTCGGACTAGCTAGAAAATCTTGCTGAGATAATTTTTTTACAAACATATATATATAACTCGTTTCAAAAAAAATTTATACAGGAAAACAATAAAAACTAGTTTGAAAATTTCAGATAGAGAAAGAAAAAAACAATAAATTTTGTGCAAATAGCAAATTTTGCTGAAACATCGCGTTGTGTAGGCGGAGCATGTGCGCTAAATGTGTGCGAGAATTGCAAATTAAAGAACGCCCATTTATTGGTGCCGCAAATGTTTACGAGTTAGACCGTGAGTTATCCTGCTCTCGGCAAATTAATCGAGAGAAATTCAGGTTTTTCTGATTTCACGAAACCTAACAACAACCAATACCTTTCTGAAACTGATGAAACAGTGTAACCGACGGGTTTCGTTCAAAAACCGTTAAACGAATGCGGTTCGTCTTATGAGCTTGTCGCGCTGTTTTATTTTAATTTCATCATTAATAATTCCACAAATTAGCGAAACATAATCGTAAAATGCCATTTTCGGATTCTCAATACTCAATTCTTATCGATTATTTTTTCTCTTTTGCAAAATGTCCTCTACTCGTTCTCATTTTACGACGTTCGAGAGATATACTCTACAACCTCTCTTGATTAATTCAACATGTTGTTTTTTTATTCGTTAGGAAAAAAAAAGCAATTTTTAAATGTCTATGATCATTTTTTTAGATAAGATGGCCGATGCTGCAGCTGTTCAACCAGAAGAACAATTATTTGGTCTTGCCCCAGAAAGTGTAAGAGTAATTAATAAAATAAGTCTTAACATAATTTTTAGGAGAAATTTGCGAAAGCTTTAATTGCGAAATGCGTGTTTAGTTCGTTGTCGCAACCATTGACTGTTACCCGCGTTCTCATTCAACTCGGACACGAGCCATTCCCTCTCTCAACTGGAAAGACGTTGATTGTTGCTGGACGTAACGCGTATTTCTTGCCAAATGCTTTCAGCTACAGTTAGTTTTTCCATTATTGTAATATTTCGAACGTTTTCAATTTCAGTGCGCCAACTCGCAAATACTAGGGGAATCTCTGTTCTCTGGACTGGCTTGGATTCTTCTCTTGTCGGTCTTTGCGTTAATGGTCTTGTAAACTACCATGCTGAGAGAGTAAGTTTTTTTTTACTTTTTGGAAATCAATTGATATTAATAGTATATCAATGAGCATTATCCAAACATTGGCGGCGAGCCGGAGAATATCGAAAAAGAGGAAGACGCCCTTACCGATCACGAATCGTTCAAGCGTGTTCTTCGTCAGGCGATTCGTGATTCTGTTGTCCGCACCGCTGGAATCATTGCTACAAGACCATTCACTGGTACTACTTCATATTTTAGTTGGTATAAAATTTTAATAAAATTTTTTAGTTATCATGATCCGCCAAATTGCACAACTTATTGGCAAGGAAACCAAATATGCCACCACATTCCAATCTCTGAATCTTATTGGAAACCAAGAAGGCCCAGGTGGACTTTTTGCGTAAGGGTTCTTCAGTTCAATAGAGATCTATGTTCTCGTTTTTAGTGGACTTGCTCCACAAATTCTTGGTGAGCTCATTGTCGTGTGGGGAGTTCATTTCCTCACCTACTCATTGACGCGTACATTGCTTCGTACCGAAATCGGTGACACGAAACAGGCCGATGAAGCGGGAGCCAAGGTAAATCGAATTTTAGAAAAATGCCTGAAAATAATTATTTCAGGCCGCCAAGGATGCTCACGGCTTCATCAAAAACGCTGTTCCATTTGTGGTGAATTCATTCGGTTATCCATACAGCGTTGTCTCAGCTGTGATGGCTGTTGCTGGTTCGGGTCTGGCGGTCTCGTTCCTTCCATACTCGCCATCATTCATCTCGTGGCACAATGCTTGGGACTATTTGAGCCCAATTGGACTCAAACGCGGTGCTCGCTTGTTCCTCCGCGAACAGTTGGGAGCGGTGACCGTTGGCGTCGATCAACAATTGTATGCCAGCAACTCGTATTTCGCATAAGTGTGACCAACCCCTGACCCATTATGATCAATTTTTGCGCATTTTAAATTAAATTTAGCTTCGTTTCGATGTCGAAAAAATATTATTAACTATCAATTTTATTGTTGTTTATTTAAGTCGAATCCGTGTGTATCCCGAATTCATTCATTTCGATGCGAAATTAATTTATAGCTTTTAGTAAATAATTGTAAACGAATCAGTTAGACGAATAAAAACTCATACGATTCTTAAAATTGATCAAACGTCGATTGTTGAACTTTACACATTGATAAATATCTTGATTATATGACTGATGCAAAATTGGGTTGACGTCTGGTCATTTTCTAGTGTATATAAACGAGGCGCGGACAGTAGAAGGAACTAGTGATAATGGCGCTCAAGGCCGCGTATTTTGGGCTTCAATGTTTTTGGGGCGAGTCCGCTTGGGCTAAGGTAATGCTTCTAGGGCGTATTTTAAAACCAATAAATATTTTCAGTTAAAAGGGGTTGATATAACAAGAGTTGGCTATGCTGGTGGACAACAACCCAACCCAACTTATAAAGCGATTTTAGATCATACTGGTTTGTTTAAAGAAAAAAAAAAGACATATTCAAGTATCTTTTAAATCTTAGAAATTACCGAAGTTCAATATAATGATCAAATCATTTCTTATGAGAAGTTGCTGGATTTCTTTTGGAAGCATCACGATCCAACTGAAAAACGAAAGAAGCAGTATCGATCGGCAATCCTCTATGTCGATGACCAACAAAAAGAGTTGGCTTTGAAATCATTTGAGGAAGCCAAGGTTCAATTTTATTTCTTAAATATTTGATTAACGAAATATCGATTTTTAGAAGAAATTTGGTGAAATTGAAACTTATGTGGAGCCACTTGATAAATTCTATCAAGCTGAAGACTATCATCAGAAATATTGGTTTAGAAACCGAAAAGATCTTTTTGATGAGCTGAAATTGGATAACGAAGCAGTTGCGACCGGAAAATTGGCGACCAAGGTAAAATCGATTCAATTGAATTGAATATTTTGAATTTTGTTTTCAGCTTAATGCTTATGCTGCTGGTTATCAACGATTTGAAGAGCTTGACGAACTTCAGAAGCAATACAAATTGAGCGATGATTATGTGAAACGCGTTAAAGATTTCGCATTATCCGGCGGTGATCCGCGAGCTTGCCACTAACTTATTTGTCGTATTTCTCCACCAATGTTTATATTTGCATTTATTTTGCCATAAATATTCGAAGATTAATTATCTTTCGAAGTGCTTTCTCCAATCGTTCGACCACATCCACGTGATACGTTTTCCCTTGAAATGCATATTTTGATTTGTCGTTTTCGAAAAAAAAAACAGAAACTGGAAACCTGTATTTTTTCAGAATTCCTCGCACTGTGTATATGAAAAGGAAAATGATTAGTAATAAAAATATAATATTTATCAAGGTTAATGCCTCAGTTAATGGAACACCTAATAGAACGAAATATTTTAAGACAAAAAAAGGTTAAAATCATACATAGTGCGAATCGTTCAGAAATAAACGCATAATCGTCTTCAGTAAGATTTCCACAATAGTAAAACTTCATAACTTTAAATTCGAATGTTAAATATTAAAGAAATGACGCTAAAAGAGGCTAAAGAGGATCTTCGACGTGAAACTAAGATTAAAATTAAAATTAAATATTTTTTAACCCTTCTATATATTGTTGAATATATAACATGCCATAATTTGTAAAATTGAAATAATTTTTATCAATTCTGATGTTTCAATCGATTCACTAAATCAGATTTCATTTTTTCGCTTCTATTTTCCAACGGATTTTTTTTCGTTTTGATGACGAACGTTCACTGAAATTTAAAGATGAAGAAAATACGAAAAATCTGAGATTAAAAAAATTACGCTTCGTTTTTCGATTTTTCCTCTGGTTTATTTGATTTATACCGCCGCTTTGATAACTAAAATAATATTTTTTAAATTTCATTAAATCGAATCTGAAACGTTTGGATTCGCTTGGAACACGGATTGTTGAGAAGGTGTAAAGTCCAAATCAATTGTCTTGCGAACTGATTCTTTCTAAACGTTTTTTTTCAGTATTTTATTGATTTATAAAAAATTTGCAGATATTACTTTTGAATTCTTTTTAACCGAGTCTTCTGTCTAAAAAAAGATTGATCAATTTTAAATTAGAAGAGGAGAGAAGCAAACTTTTTCTTTTGAACTTTTTTTTCTTGATGGCTCTAGCCTACTCAGTTCACTTCTGGTCGTAACGACGGTCTAAAACTCATTGTAAAAAGGAAAAATATTTTCAGCATTTCGCCTTTAACCTTTTCAGATGATTTTTTCTTTTTGTCGGAGCGATTTTTCTAGAGCAAATATATCAAATTAGGATTGTCGAATAGATTGAAAAATTACGCTGTCATCCTCTTCTTTGCTATTTTCAGCAGAATTCCGAATACGATCTCGAACTTTGTTGCGCTGAAAATTGAAAAGGACCCATTTGAAGCCAAAAACAGAACCAACATGTCGTTCTCCTCGAATACTATTTGTATTTCGCACCGAATTTTTATTGGAACTAAACATTTGAATTAGAAATTTAAATGTGTTATCCAGATTTTGCCAAAAACAAAAAACTCCAAAAACCTCGGCCGTGGCCAGATTTTTCTTTTTTTTTTGGTCAAAGGTGTATGAAATAAAATCTCATAATTGTTGCAGCGACTGTGATACTGTAAGCTTTAAAAAGTCTGGCCGCGGACGAGGTTTTTGCAGATTTTCTGCAAGGTGTATAGCGATTTTTTGAGTTTTTAAACCGTTTTTTTTTTCTGGGAAATCTGCATAGTACGATTAAAATTAAATCAACACAAAACAGCGAATGCCTTACACAATTGCCTCCTTCGAATCTCTCTTTTTCTTTTGAACCTAAATATTTCCTTATATTGGAGAAACAAATGAATAGAATCACATCTCGATTCATCATTATAATTTTTCTTCGACTTTCCGATTTTGGCATCGTGCTTGTTTTACGCATTCGATTTGATACTCGACTTCTCTTGAAAAAATTAACTCATTGTCAGAATGATATCATTCAAATAGCATTTTTCAAGTTACCTGCAATTCGCCTCGTTTGCTCGCTGCTGCCCTCGACGAACTATCCTTGTCTTCTTTTGTCCTGAATAAATTCCAGCAACAACTTAACAAAAAAAAAAAACAAAACACGGCAATTACTCTGTTTTTTCGGTTCTGGTTTTCTTTTGTGAGCCCATCTAAGTGCAACATTAATCCGTATAAGCGCAACAAAAAATACCTCAGACCTTCCACTCGCATCAGTGTCCTCATGCGACTGGAATTTCGAAACGACTTTTTCATTAATACGATAAATCTATAAATGTCTTGCCTTTTCTTTACTATCCCGCTTTCTTTTCTGTAAACAGTGAAAATATTTCCAGAAAAAAGTCAATCAATAAAAAATCGTTACGCTGTCATTTTTCTCACGGCGGTCTCGTTGTCTCTAAAAAAAACACCGAAAATGTTATTGGTGTGAATAGAAAAACGCATACCACATGTCGAAGACCCCTTTTGCTTGGTTTTGAATGTCTGAAAATATGAACAATGAATTTTAGCCATCCTAATTATTCTACTCCATTGGACTTCTTGCCGGTAAAACTTTCTGAAAAAAAACGAAATTGGGAAAAATCGTATAAAAAACCCAAACATCTGAATTTTGAGTGGAATGCAATGATAATTCGGGCTCCTAATAAATCACACATGTTTTCTTTTGAAAAAAAAAAGAACTAAATTTATAAGAATCCTACCACAACTTTCTTCCGATTTGATTTGCGTGATCTGAAATAAATCAAGGACGAACTTGTTTTAAATTTGTTTCTATAACTCTTTCTGGTTTGCAAAACTTTTTTCTTCATCATTCGCTGTGGATGTGCTAGATTTTCTGAATTAAAGAAAAATTATCAGTTATCAAGGAAACGATCGGGAGAAATCTGCGCGGACGTGGGCCTCTCTATTTAGGCGTAGATTAAAATGCAAGTCCGCAATGTCTGCGCAGAATTTTCGAATTTTTCAACTTTGCCAATTTTCTCGACAATGATCTGAAATTGTTGAATTATTGAAAGTGCTTAAACTTTTCGCCAAATTTACTTTTGAACTTTTCCTGACGCTTCATCTTCCTTGCTTAAATCAATTGTATTAAATCGATATATATTTATTTCTCCAATGTTTACCTTCGATTTTTTGTTTTCACTTTGAGCGACGAGCTTTTTCCAGTCTTGCGACTTTTTACACTCATTTTCGATGCTTTTGCACTTTTTCTGCTCTTCACACTTGCCGCTCCTCTTCGATGGCTTTTCTCGATGCGCTTCTGAACCGATCCGCGCCTTGTGCGCATCGCTGAAGCCTCGTTTTGTTCGGTTGGCGGCTGTCGAGAAAGCACCCGCGTCCTACAAACCTTTTGAATTTTGATTATCGCCGCTCTCGTCACGAGACCTTTCCATTGTTCTTTGGCCTATCGTACAACCGACAACAGCGCATCCAGTAGCCACCGTGGCACTAGCCAAGTATACTGCAACTGAAATGTGCTATCAAAAAACGTGTCCCAAGAATCCCCACAAATCTCCATTTCGACACAATTCGATAAATGTTGTCAATAAAAATTTTTCAAGAAATAACGAAGGAATAAGGATATCACGGTTGATTAATATTTATTCTAATTTGCTACTCACAGATGAAAAAAAATAATGTTGAGAAAAACAAATACTAGTTTTCATTCAAATAAATGGGAATAAATATGTTTGAGAAAAACAAAAATAATGCGGAAAGTCGTAGTTGTTGGCCATTGTGAATCAACGGATTACAATTGGATTAAATCAATTTTTAAGTTTGGCGAGCAGATTAATATATTGTGGGCTTTGAAGGAAACGGACGTAGGGATCGTTGCGAAGAACCTGCTCGACGTGTTTGATCGCCTCGTCGAACAAGGTGATGTCGACCTCACGATCGTTGATGCGACGCTCAATGAGTTGGCGAACGCCGAATGGAAGGAACACCTAGAATGGCATTTCGAAATGTTCAGCTTCTTCGATTTTGATGTTTCACCTCATTCAATGTTCCCTCTTGTAGATACGTTTTGAGTATAACGTTGCCCAAATTCACCATGGCGCTGCTTTTGTTTTTCGACGAACGAAACTCGACGACGGCTTCCCAGAATCGGAGGTTTTCCTCGGCGTGAATTTCGCGCAGAAACAAACGGAAGTGATGGCGGCCGACGTGGTTGCCGAGCAGCGCCTCGAAGCTCGTCGCCCACTTCTCGGCGTATGAGCGTGGAAGAAGCTCCTCGAGAAACTCGAGATAGATATCCGAGCGACGGAATCGCGGGAACTGATCGTTCTCCAACAATCGTTTGACCTCCTTGACAGCCGGCGCGAATTCTTCAAGATCGGGACTGTCCGACTCGATCGTATCCTTCATTCGCTTCATCGCATTTGACGACAAATTGATCGACGAAGCGTAAGTGTCGAGAATATGTTTGGCAAACTCCTGAGAAAAATGTTGAGCTGTTGAGAATTCTGAAACCGTTTCTCAAATAAAAACAAAATCAAACCTTCTTCTCGTCGCTGCTCTTCATCTTTTTGAGTTTGTCGACGGCTTCGATGAACGAGAGATTCTCTTCGGCCAGAGATTGGAACAAGAAGCAACGGAAAAGCTGACGACCTGAAACGAATTCGAACCATACGATTATAATTTCTTGCGCCAAAAAACCAATTGGTGCCATAAAATCGAATTGGCGAAAAATTGTATGTTTCGAATTTCACCAACCATAATTATAGTGTGTGTTGGGTGTCAGCACAGAATCGTGATAATCGGGCCTGCGCCTTTAAGAATGGTCTCGCCACCAGCAATTTTTAATTGGTTTAAAGTCGACGTACGACGACTGCTGTACGCGGCGGGTAGATTTACGGCGTGCGCCTTTCGAAATGGTCTCGCCACGCGTGAACGTTTTTAACGCGAAAATTTTATTTCTTGGGGATCCTTGTTTTTGAAATTTTAAACATCTGCCGACATTTTCCGGGATACGCCACAATCGTATGTTAGCGATGGCGGGACTTCAAACAAATGGTCCACGACTCGTTCACATTAGTTGCCGGATCCCGACAATGTAAGTTCGTTCCGGAAATTTTCCGGATTAGTGAAACGAAATATTTCTTTGTTTGTAATTTTTAAAACATTAAGTGTTTCCCAAAAAAAATGAAAAAAAGAAAAACCGCGAGCGGCGCCGCACGCGAACCGCAACGCGTCTGGCGCCATAGTGGAAACAGACTTTTAATTCAGGGAATTTGAAATCAATCTCGCTTATAAAAAAAGGCGTCTTACCTTTTTCGTCATTGAGCACATTCGCACAACTTCCCGCCGCCCAACTAGCGGCTCTCGGATACTCGACACCCGACGGATCCGGCTTCGGCGGCGCTTCGCGCGACGTTCGAACATTCGGATCGAACATCGCCATTGCCTGCAATCGCGAGCAATCGTATACGAAATTGGCGGCCTCGAAAAGCTGGTTTTGTTTTTGGGTGTAGGTGTGTGTTGGCGATGGATTTGGTGAGAATAGGTGAAATTGGAAAGAGGATGTGTGTAGAGCGAATAAAAGAAAATCGAAGAGGCGGCGAGATGGATTTGGATTAGACGCATCTCTTCTTTTTTTTTTTTTCATTGTCACTGGCGGTTATTCATCGCGAACAATAGCTAGTGATTAGAATTTGTCGCTCAACTAACGAGCCCCTCTGATATTATAATATTTTCGTCGAAGCTTTCAAAAATATTCATCTGCCGTCATTTTTCAAGAAATTTATAAATAGTTGCAGGAAGAGCCGCTCGAGAATCTTTACAATGTTATATTGAAATCATCTGCGGACATTTTGCTGTCAGTCAATGCGCGCGTAAATCTACACCAATTTTGAAGAAGCACCCGGAACCTTTTGATTGTTTGTGTGGGATGAAGTCGTTTAGCAACCAAGGGACCATCTTAATCTGACAAGCAGTGAAAGGCGAAATTTCAGATGAAAGAAAAATGTTTCAGCGGGAGAAATAATTAGTTCTACAATTTTTTTTTGGAATTATTGTTAACAATTTTTCAGGGTCTACATTTGGAATGTTCTACTAAATGGTCCCATTGGTCTCAGTGAATTGATTTTGGAACAATTTGGTCCCTGTGAAGGTTCGGTTGAAGCCCCGCGCGACGCTCTCCCAAAAAGGGGCAGGCATCCGTCGCTGAGATCATGGTCAAACTGTCCCAAAAAAAAGAATATAATCCAAATTGGGCAATTCATTTTTTTTATTACTCATGTTCTTCCTATATGATAAAAAAATATGAAAAATAGAGAAAATTTCAATGCAGCGAAGACGAAAACAAATAATTATAACATATATTTTTTTAATTTTGCTACTTTGGTCCTTAAATGTGCTTGTCATTTTCTTGAACTTCTCACGTTTTCATCGAGCTAGTAAGCCCTGAAACTTGAAAAAATGAAGCAGTTAGACCATCAGCGAGAGCTTAACGTCGCTAATAAAGACAGAGTTCGAACCGATTTCCAGCATCCTCTTATTAGAACCTGAGCATTATCAAAGAGATTTTGAGCACCGCCTCAAATAAGAGACTGCTGAATGTCGGCTCGGCTCATACGCTGAACGACTTTCCCCGAGAATTGCCTTATTAATAAAAAATGTTCGATGAAATGACATCAACTGAAGATAATTTGTTTGCACTTTTATTTTTGAAATATCAGTTCGTAGATTGATAGATTGAATTTGAAAAGCAAGAAGATGGAGAGACATTTTTGGCAGCCCTTGAGCACTGTTGGGACAAGACCTGACCGAGATTCCTATGTTTGAAGTGCCGCAATCGCTGATAGCAAAAAACACGAAAAAAGCACGACCCGGAATATGTCCGCAGATGGTGACAATGAAATTTTGTTGGTTACTTCGCAAAAAATGAGAACCCTTGTTCCGAAAACGCGAGCGCTATAGGGTCACTTCGGTCCCCTCCCCCCCCCGCCCCTTTTCGACCACCCTCAGTGTTTAATATTTGAGAGGCTTTCCTATATTTTTAGCATTTCATTTTAATTTAGCAATAAGGGGATTATTATCAGAAATTCAACGAGGCAAATTTCAGATTGAATGTTCCACTTGAGAGGCAATTTTCGAATGTTGAGAATCGATATTTGAAATTATGAAGAATTGAGAAAAATGGAAAATTCCTCTTTATTTCGCTGATAAATTTTTTGAAGTAAACTATGGTTTTTTTGGATTTTAGGGTATTGAAATTGTTAAAAAATTTGAGAATTTTTAAATCCGGAAAACTGGACTTTAAAAAATTTGAGAATTTTTAAATCCGAAAAACCGAACTTTAAAAAATTCGGAAAGATTGGCAAGTCGTTTTTCATTACCTGCTGATGCTGAGCGGCCAGCGTCGAATTCGACGGCATTCGTCGGAATTGCGAGGGCAATCGCTGAAAGTCGTGCTGCGGCGTCTCGTCGCACATGGTACGACACGCAAACAGATCGGCGAATCGCGACAGCTAGCTTCGCGATGATTCTAGCCACTCATTATATATGGTGTGAGGCGGCGAGGCGAGTTCGCTGCACACGATTAGTGCCCGTTGCCCGTGGTGACCGAATCAGCGGCTAATCAGCGAGGAGCCCTGGCGGCCGGCCGAGCGAGCCTCCGAAATGTTTACTCGTAATTAGAGGGCTACGTTTGCCTAGTAACAATTCCGTTTTTGTACGTCTTGCGGCTTGTTTGGCGTTTTTTCGCCTAGAAGGCCCTCGCCGTTTTTTTCAAAGAAGACGATTCCCATCTGCGGACATTTTTCGAAATACGCGTGGGCGGCAATTCAAACCAGCGATGCACTATAATACTGTTTTTTTTTATTGGCTGATCCGAGATATTCTGGCAATGAAGCACAACGTCAAATTTCTGGCAAATAACTCCCAAATGGCATTTTCTGATGACTAAACATGGTTAAAAAAGAGATGATTGCAATTGAAACATTAAACATCATTAAAAATGCGAAAATTTGACGAATTGAATAGAACAAACCAAAAAATGGAAAGAAATATCGACAGCTTCTGGTTGGAAACCAAACTAGGAATTGTGTCGCGCAGGTGCAATCAACGAATTGCGGCGCCCGAAAAAATGTGATTAGTTGAGATCACGCGGGAACCATGAGAGGAAATCGCCAAATTGCGTTTCGATTTTTTATTATTTTCGGCATTCGCGTGGCTTATTAGAAATTTGACTTGCTTGGTTTTATTGGGCGAAAAAAAAATGTTTTGAAATTATTTGCGACCGTGTTTTTTATACTCAAAAAAAAATGCTTGTTATTCACCTATATGGTGTGTTTTTCATCTGCTTGAGTGAGACAATAAACAATTATGGTAGAAGGTTCGTATTCAGGCGGGTAGATTTACGGGGATGCGTCTATCTCTTGGTCGCGCGCCGACTAGCTAGTCATTCAAAAGGAAATACCAAATTGATCAAGAAAAAATAAAGGGTTCAGCTAAAAAAAAGCGTTCAAGCGTTGTGAGACCATTTCGAAAGGCGCACGCCGTAAATCTACACGCCGCGTATTCGCATAAAATATTTGACTTGAATATATTTCTGGCGTGGGCGGACGAATATGCGAAATTTTGAATTACGCGGTTTGCCATTCTTTGGCCAAAAACTCGCGCTTTCGATACGAGACCCAAAGCGGTAATTCAAATTTTTAAATGTATGACACTATTAGATAATATTATATACCTTATAAGATATATTACGCATATATGCGAAATCCAAAAAATGTAAAAATATTTTTTTTATAATTTTTAGAATGCTTAAAAATGTATCAATGAGTTATTGTAGATTATCTAATAACCTATATAATATAATGGTGCAGATTTCGTTAAAAAAAACTCTTAAATTCGCAGATGGCAGAGAAAAAATCCGAAAACCTCGGCCACGGTCATGATTTTTTGAAGTGTACAGTACCAAAGTTTCATTTAATTGCGAAGAATCATAAAAATTTTATTATATGAGCCTTTAATCCTTATAATTAAAAAAATGAAAATTTTGTTACGATTAAAGGCGCACACGATAAAATTGCATGATTCTCGAAGCAAGTTGGCTTTGAACAAAACGTGGCCGTGGCCGAGTTTTTTTGTTGCGTTGGATACGGTAGACTGCCTTATATAGAAATCGTCTGAAAATGCTACCCTAGCAGGATGTCAAAACGTGAATTCTATATAATGATGATGATAATTGGATTTGCCTGACAAACGAACACCTATGTATTGGTGGACCATCGTAATTTTCAGCGCTGGGGGGAAAAAAAGTAAATTGGCACAGGAAGCTCGTTTTCATTTTTGCGATTGTAATACATATTGAAAAATTGGAAAGAAATCTTCAAAATTTTAATTGGTTTGAAAAAATTGAACCGAATTTTCAATAGGAATCTCATTAGACAAATTTTTGCCTCGAAAAATAAATGATTGAAAAAAAAATGCGAAATTTGCGTCAGGAATTCTGAAGTCTGAGAAAATGGTTGCCATGCTCACAAGAGAGAAAAATGCAAACCCAAATTGGAATGCTTTGTTGTGAAAAGCAGGCCTTATTTTTCGCCGAATTTTCTCATAATAATCATATGATACAAATATTTTTCGATTCTTCCAATACGCCTCAACAAATTTCGTTGATTTTTTGATTCGCCGCCTAAACTTTAAAGGAGCACTCCGGAAAAGGTTGACATTAACATGCTGGAAGGGTAGGCAAAAATAATTGAAAGCTGATTACAACGTTGAGTTTCCTGGGCAAGAAAAGCGATCGGCCGTTTGGTAGGCAAATTCTTCGAGGAATCCCGTGTGGACAGTACAGAACCTTAAAAATCGGAATGCGAGGAAACAAAAAAGGCAAAAGACACATTGCCTGTTACTTTTTTTTGGGCGGCATGCCATTATTAGGAGAAATGAAGGAGAAGCTTGAAAGCGAGAAACTCACGAATGAATAAACTGAGCCATTTGATGGTGTTGGCGAATTGGCGGAGCTGTTCCTCACCGGAACCTGAAGGGTCACATCGTTCGGAGCCGACGAACTCGATGTCACTGACGCCGAACGCGATTGTCTACTGAAATCCAATTCAAGATTTTTCGCATTTTTCCAGCATCATTATTTTGAAGTTACTTCATTTGAAAAATACACGATTTGTAATTTCCGATCATTTCCCGTCGAGACCCCCTCATTTTTGTTTGCCGACGGATTTGAGGGGGGCAAGTGAGAATTATCGTTGATTGATATGTGTGGCGTGTTTCGTTTTTATGCGAACATTTTCTTTTTTTTGAAAATGAATAAACAAATTAGTTGAGATTATTCATAAATCTTAAAATAACTTTGTGTTTCGTGAAAATAAATGTATAATTAATCGAATTCTTCTAGAACAGAAGAAAAAAAAAAGAAGAGGTGGATACTGATAGTTTGTCGAATGTTCTTAAATTGGTCTCGCATGGATATTTGAAATGAGTATTGTCGGGCGTTCGGCGACTGCTATATGCGGCTAGATTTCATTTGAATGACATTAGAAATTCCCTAATCGAAAAAAATGAGCAGTTCAAACGTGGCGAGACCATTTCGAAAGGCGCACGCCGTAAATCTACCCACTCCCCCCTTCAGTCGCCGAATACCGATTTTTGACGCATTTTTAGAATCTCGCAATTACCAAAAATATTTGCTGAAATGTTTGGCATTGGAATAAACCTCATCGGCAGTTGTTTGCGGAAGCTGGGATTTTTGGAATTCTTGTAAAGTCGGGATGCGCCTTGAAAAGGTCTCGCCACGCGTGAATGCTTATTTTGCTGTTTTCACGTGAACTGCTTTATTTTTCTCGATGAGTTTGGCATTTTTTGGAATTTCCAACCTCATTCGATTAAAAAATTATCGAATCGGTCCATAAAATTTGAAATAACCTGTTAGTCCTTGTGAGACCATTTTGAAAGACGCATTCCCGTAAATCTACCCGCGTACCGCAGTCGCCGGACGCCGACTATAGAAATGTTTGAAATCTTCGAATTCTATGTTTAAAGTGCCAAATTACTCAAATAATTAGTAAATATCTTTATGGAAACGCGAGAAGAAGCTTTTAATAATATAAAACTCGAATTCTCATCGGGGGATTTTTCGAATTTATCTCAATTCGCTCTAAATCATGAAGAATTAAATGGAAACAAATTTTCTCAATTTTTTTAAAATCAAAATTCCGATTTTCAGACACTTCGACATTGTGGGAGTAATGTTGATCATAAATTACAACGCAAATTTGAAAATAAAAAGCGGCTAGCAGGATTGGCGCGTTGCGGCTCGCGTGCGGTCGCGCGTTTATCTCTCTCCTTTTGAGTATATTATCGGTATCGGCTTATCTATGTCGAATTGTGATCCCCAAATTTGCAGGCTAACAAAAACCGCAACGCGTCTGACGACATTTTTCAGAAATTTTCAGAAAATCTTTTTAATTTTTAAGACAAAAAATTTTCTATGATGAAGGAACCTAAAATAGCAACCCTCTCCGCAATAGAATAGTTTTATATGGAATTAGCATCCCTTTTTTTAATTATCTCCTGTTTTCAGAAGGTTTTCCCCCCAATTAAGTATGTATTTGACTACATATCGTTGTAAATATCGCAGACTTTCCGACGGTTATAATCATTTCCATCGCGGCGCTTTACTTAGAAATAGCCCAAACAACCTTTCGCATGTTAATTATGTCGATCTTTCCATGTTAACTTAACATCTATATTTAGGCGGTGTATGTTTTGTGGAAAACATGTCTTGTCAGCAGTTTGCACGTAGGCTCGTGGACCTGCCTGGATCGAATTATGAGATGATTCGAATAAGAGATGGTTGTTATTCAATTCTTCGGCTAATTGACCGTATTCCGGTTTCAAATTGAAATGCGGAATTTATGATAAAAACACTGGTTCGTTAGCGAATTATTGGAATATGAATCACATGTTTTTTTGGTTTAATTATTACTCAAATTTTTTTTTAATTTCACAATTGAATATCTTATTTGTTTTTTTTGCGCGCTGACTTCTGCAAATCTCTGACATCTGAACCATGTGGACTCGACATCTAATTGAAGGAGGCGGCGGGGGGCAGAATTCGTATGTTTAACAGAAACCTTGGCAAATGTTCTCTAATTGGGACCTTCGTCGGCCGCAAAAGTATACCCAGAAGCGAGAAACAAATGCCGTCGTATAATGTAGTTTGTGATTGGAAAACGATCAATTACGTATTTCGCCAAAAAAAACCTTTAAAAAAAAGGTGTGGTAGGGAATTCTCTCAGCCAATTGATAGATGGGTAAGGAATAAAAATTAAGAAACTCAGGGATTCGATTGGGACGAACAGGGGGCACTTTTTTGGTTTCGGATAAACGCCGGAAAATCGGCAAAAAAAAAGAACGCTAAATTGAGGGCGATGTGTAATTGGAGTGTCGTACTGGTAGGGGCAAAAAAGTTTTGGGACTTTTTTTGGGAATTCCCCCCGCGGTTCGTCCTTTTCGAATCGCTGATTAGTAATTGGCGAGATTTTTACGCAGTAGTTGCTGGATTGTCCGTGTGGAGTACACAGTCGCAAATTTGATGGTCTACTTGGAAAGAATCACAGAAAAATTAAGTATGAAACCCTAATCTTTAGAATTTTTGTTAAGAATTTCGAAATTCGATTACAAACGCAAATTTCAAATTGGTTTTTTGTGAGTATCATGGATTCCAAATAATCGAATAAATATTTTGTGAGGAAACGGATGAGAAAGATTAAACATTGAACGCAGGAGCCAAAGGGGAGGAATAAGATTAAGGAGAAGCTAAGCGGTTGTCCCAAAACGACTCACCCCGGTATCTGTAGCTCGTGGTTGTTGTCTTCTTCGCCGGAAATGTCGAAGAAGTCATCCCGTTGGATGGAATGCTCCGACTTGGCGCGACCGCTTCGCCGAATCGTGAGGTTCTCGGAGAATCGACGAAACGAGCTGAGCAGTGTCGTGCACGGCGACGCGGGCCTCCGCGAATCGACGGGATCCTCGAGAACCGGCAGCTTGAGCGAGCGGTTTTAGCACTCTCCCACACAAGCACAGTCGCGAAACGACAAGAGAAAAACGCGCGACGGTCGATGATGATGATGATGATGGTGGTGGTGACGGGCTCGATGCGCGGCGGCTACTGCTCGTGCTGCAATTGCCACTGCTCGCTTTGTCTCGAACCAAGAGGCGCGACGGGCAGAGCGAGTTGCGAAGAGGCGGCAGCTCGCGGAGAGCACGTGTTGCTAGGGATGAGTGATAATCAGTTTAGTGATAATAATGGTCTTCGCAAAAACGTTTTGGGGCGGTCGGCCGAGAGCAATTAGCGGCTGCATTTGGACAGCCGAGAGAGCGGGACCACTTTGGTTCGACGTCAACACACGATTTGATCCCATCATTGTCATTTTTTGGAAACCAAATTGAGTTGAGTGTCATTTTAAGCAGAATATTCTATATTTGCTTATTCATGTTTACAAGTACAGATGTGACATTTCAACAAGAATTCGGATTCTTTATGAGCGTCTTAAAATTTTCGCAAAAATATTTGAACCCTTTGAGGAAGAGTCTAGCTGAAAACAATTCAATTCGGAAAATCTGAATCACCAGTTTCAAAAGCTTGAAGAAATGGAAAACGTGAAAATGATCGATGATCAACTAAAATTTTACGTCGAAAATCATTAAATTTTTGTTCTAAACAATTTTGAAGAGAAAATAATGGCATGTGTGCGATTTTGCGTCAGTGTGTATGCACACTGCTGAAAGACCACGCGATTTCAAATGTTAATTTTTTCCAAGGAATGCCATATGAATTGTATATCGGCGTGCCGAATTTATGACAAGAACTACTATCAATGGATGTGGTCTGACGCGTTGCGGTTCGCGTGCGGTTTGAGCTAATGTTTCATCGCACAAACTTAGCAGAATTGGTTTATTCGACACATAAAACCATTACTGCCAATTGGAACAAAAATTCCAAAAGATAATTACGAAAAAAATTGGTCCTCGCCAATTCGTCTAAAAGTCATCCGTGGATAGCTTAATACGGATGGGTTTTTAGTATATGCGAATCGTGGATTTAATATGAAAGTAATATGATTGGAATAAACAAAAATTTTAAAAAAATGAAGAAATACATATATCAAAGGACCATATGAGAAACGCATTAAAATACTACCATTATGGCTCAAATCTGGTAGCTCGAAACCTTTTTTGGAAATTCCACAGATATATAATATTTATTGACGAGGACGGACGAATTTAGGGGGGGGGGGCGTTGCTTATTATTTAAAATTCTGGCACCATGGTAGTATAATTATTTTAGATTTGATCTAGTATGGAATGTATTGAAAATTACAAATCAAGGTCGCTCATTCAAATTTGTCCAATTCGTCCGTCTTGAACAGTATAATTATTCTATTGAACCTAATCCGCTCTTTATTTGTGGCAGTAATTTCATTTTCCCCAACACGGATCATTTCGATCCGAGAATACTGTGACGCCTTAAAAATGGTAGCTCCTTCTACCATAAGGGTCAGCTTCAATTAACAGACTATTCATATATAGCGAGACCGGCAAACCAACAGAATGACAAAATATTCGACATGGTCCATCAATCATGTGGCATCCTCTAGCGCGTTACAATGCTGTACCTATTGTGGAAAAATGACGAATGTGAAAAACTGCAGAGATTTCCTATGCATTGTGTGTGTACACCGAGCTGCACATCTCGATCTTAGCTACAGTAATCGCAGCTGAAAATTATTTAATTAATTATTGGTCATTTCTTTTTTAATAAAACAATTAACTTTGGAAATATACAAAAAATTTCACAATAGTATACATAAAACCATAAAATCGAAAAGAAAACACAGAAAAAAAATTGATTAAATAATTTTCAGTTGAAATTACTGTAGCTAAGATCGAGATATGCAACTCGGTGTACGCACACAATGCATAGTAAATTGCTGCAGTTTTTCACATTCCTCATTTTTCCACAATATTTGTTTGAATTGTTTTGCCCAATAAGAATTTCAAGTTATTATGAGAGTATACTCGAATTTCGGAATCCCCGCTGCTGTCCTCTTGGCTCATTCTTTTATTACATTCGAGAAATCCCAATTAATTTTTATTTTCGAATTTTGTTTCAAATTATAAGCGTTTTTTCAATGAATTTTCAAGGAATTATGTTTTTCGTCGAAATTTCAAATAATTTTAATTAATTGGCGTTGTTGCCATCTCAACCAATTTGTACTTTTCAATTAACTCAAGAAAACGGAATAAGTTTTGTTAAAGAAATATTAAACAGCTGGCAAATTGCTGGCTTTCGATGCTCAGAATTCAAATTCGCGCGCGGTGTGGTGGCCGAGAATCGACTGCGTTGCGTGTGCGTCGCGGTCGGCTTCGATTTTAAATAAAAACAAACGCGTAGAAATTGAAATAAATACTAATAAATCGGTTTTTACCGTTTCGAAATTGAAATTGGGGATTTGTTTTAATGATTTAAATAATTTTTTATATTTTTTTGATACAAAATGAATCGGAAATGGTTTATTTTCACAATTCCAGTTTAAAAATCTTTATTGGAATTGATTTTATAATGCACAAGTGCTCGTTTTTTGTAATACCTTGGATATAGAAATTCCTGAATATTTGATTAAAATTGTAATTTGACAAAAATGACTCGGACCAGTCAAACCTAGTGAATTGAGAAGAAAAATCTCACGGTTAGAATAATATATGGTCGCGAATCGGTCGAAATTATGCGAATAGTTATTCAATTGGTTTTTTTGCTATAGGTCAAGCTCCAAAATATTAAAAATTTAATTTATTCAAATCGAATGACCATCAAGAGACTAGCATAGCTTCTCACTGAAATATCGAGAAAAAATTGATATCTTAAATTGATTAAAAGGAAGTTTTCTCTTACTTTTCGTATTTTTTTGAAGTTTCGAAATAATATTAAGACCGACACATTGTGACGCAATCCTTTTTTGAATAATTGATAAATATCAAGCAAATCATAATAACCCATTGAGGTTTTTGTTTATTGTTAATCGAACAAATGACGCGGCTCTATTTTCGGCAACTTCGAATAGCGCCAATCAAAAATTGCTCACAAATCCTCTGCTCATAGAAAAGAGCACGTTGAGACTTGATTTTTTCGATGCTCGTCTTTGTGGAGAATTTGAACGACGCGGGCGAATAGGTCCGTGAAACACACGCACGCAAAAATGCACCCAATTCATTATTTGCAACGATTTCTGTTTTGAAAATGCATTTCTAAATTTTTTTTGCCTAAAGAGATGATAATTAGTAATATAAACAAAATTTTAGTTGAAAATCGACAATTTGTGAGAAATTTGAAAATTGGCGCGTAATTCAAAAAATTACACCACTTCATATGAAAAAGTTTTCCCAACTTTTAAATGTTTGAAATAAAAATCCAAGAATGCCATTCAAAAAAATGTAAGAGAAAAGGTATGCCTATTCGTGATAAGAAACCGCGATTGTTTTGATTTTTTTTCACACGATAGAAGAAAAATAAACTAACGCTTCGTCAATATCCTGCTGAACTTCGACCAACGTCGCTTCTTGTTCGACTTCATCGACTTCCTGCGATCCTTTATAAGAGCGCCACATTTCGCCGGAATCGTCTGACATTAATATGTCAATAATATGAAAAATTGCGAAAAATAAGATATATATCAAAATTTGTAGCGACTACGGTATGTACAAAACTACAAATTTATTATGACTTGGAACACAATTTTCGTAGGTTGAATGTGAATAACAAACGAGAGCATTGATCGTTTTTTGTTGGTGAAAAAATACAGGAAAACTGTGCCAAAGAAAAAGCATCAAGATGACAAGTTTGCTAGAATTATTATTGCTGGCGACTAGAAATATTAATTAACACATAGTTGGCGAATTTGGTCTCATGCAGAAAATTATTTTGGACAGCTATTCAAGATTTACACATGTTTTGTGATTATTTTTAAAATCATTTATAGTTGGCTGTACGCGGTGGGTCGATTTACGGCGGGTGCCTTTGGAAATGGTCTCGCACGGACTAACTGGTTGCTTCGCATTTTATGGGTCGGTTTGATAATTTTTAAATCGAACGATGTTAGAAATTAGCAGAAATGTGAAAATAAATCGTTGAAAACAGCAAAATAAGCGTTCACACGTGGCGAGACCTTTCAAGTCGCATGCGCGTAAATCTACCAGCGTACAGTAGTCACCGGACGCCCCCCCCCACTGATATCCTATTAACGAGCTGAAAATGACGTCGCAATATATATTTGTCTTTTTTTCAAATTAATGAATAACAAGATAAATAATTAAAATGGTGCGATTTTGAAAATTTCGAATCTGCCTCAAAATTGAAAATGAGAAGTTTGGTGAAATATGACGAAGAACACATTTGGAAGTTTGAAAATTTTAATTTCAAAGAAACATCATTGTTTTACGATTCGAAAATTTTTATATTATCACATTAAAATGATTTACATATTTTGTTCCTATTCTACATTTCAGATGGCGCAAGAATAGTTTCAATCAAATTTTTGAATTATTTTTGGCTGGAAATTTTAACGGTTTTAATGCAGAAAATGTAGGCGTCGTATTATTATTTGAATCAAACGTATTACCTTTTTTTTAAATAAATTTTAAAATGATTATTGTGATTCCTGATGACAAAAATGCCGTATTTTGATATATTTTCCCAATTAATTATCAACTATTACTTATTAACATAATTACTATTATTAATATTATTTATTTATTAGGAAATTGGACAAATTTAAACGCTCAATTGAGTTTATCATTTTTTTTTTCTTGTTAGTCCAAAAATAAACATATTCTTGCGTGCGCCTTTGAATACTGTAGATTTCGATGCATTTTATACTGTAATGTTGGCAAGAAAACGAGATACTTGGATAGATTTATGGTGAGTTTGATTCATATATCTGTAGCCGAATTGCCATCGAAATTTAAATTACCGCCTTAATAAATACGATGGTCCACAATTGTTCGACTCGTTTTTAGGTCGTCAAAAAAGAAACGAAATGAACCTGGGCGATTGACGAAAAAGGCAGGCGAAATTGAGGCTCTTGGTCGCATAGACAAATTTAAAAAAAAAAGTGGCCGTTTATACTCAGGTAAATGAAAATCAATCGGTTTCGAAAATAATTTGTTTTCCAATCTAAATCGAATGTAAATTAATTTGTTTCGAATTATTCCTAAATTTCAATCGAATACGATTTCATAATTGAGAATGAGAGATAAATCAACCGATTTCGATGATTTTTGAATCGAAACCAAGATTTAAAATCGAATTTAAGCGTTTTCTCAATCGAATTTGAATTATTTTTCGATCGAAACAGGTTAATTTATATATAATTTTTCTTCGAATCCGATTGATTTTCATTTATCTGAGTAATTGGTTATGATGGAAAATTATCAACTGGTCGGTCATCTCCTCTCGCAAGCCGTGAGACCAAATTGACCCAAAAGCAAATATTTTATGAATTATTTTTACCAGATCAAAATTCCTGATACTGAGAAAGATTAATTGTGGCAAACCTCATGGAACTGAACTTATTTGGGAGGACTGCGATTAGTATATTTGGTTACTAAAAATTGACCTAAATTTCACTTTAATGGTGTATAGTCGGCGTCCGGCGGCTGCTGTACGCCGGTAGATTTACGGGAATGCGTCTTTCGAAATGGTCCCGTAAGGACTAACAGGCTATTTCAAATTTTATGGAAAATTTTAATCGAATGACATTAGAAATTCAAGGAAATGCAAGTGAGACCTTTTCAAGGCGCATGCGTCGTTAAACATATCATTTGTCGGAAGAATAGGAGGTCGACCTCCACCCCCCCCCCTTTCGATTTTCAACCACCCAATTTTGCAACACCATATTCTATAATTACCTATCACCACTGATTTTGGTGGTGACCAACCTCTCAAGTCTTCCCATTGAGCAATACCACATCAAATTCCAATTCAAATACTGTCGACGTAGCGCGACTGCGGGAAATTAGCTAAACGCCAAAAAAAACAATGGCGGTGGTCTTGGCGCAAAACTAAGTGTAGATTTACTAGTCAATATCGTTAGGATAAGTTAAAGCGCATTGAGACCTCTTTTTAAATTTTTGGCATTCAGCCAATTATCCGCAGATGCGCAACGTCGACAATAGTAAGAATTCCGGATACCGTACTACTGATAACCGGCGAATCGACACAGGGAGCTCATTTTCATTTTTGTGATTGTAATTTTTTAAAATTTGGAAGAAATCTTCGAAATTTTAACGGGTTCGAATAAATTTTAAGAAATATCAATTTTTTATTATATAGATTGAAACGGGGGTTTGAAATTGATATTCGCCCTCTGATTCCATATAAAAATTGCTTCGGCTTGTCTGGTTCGAAATTATAGTAGAGCAACCGGAACCATCTGGCCCGTATTCAAAGTGATTGGTGAAATCGGTTTGAAAACAATGTTAGAAATGAGAAGTCGAAAGAAACCAATTTTTTTTTAATCGACGGGTCAGCTCATTCTGTAAGCCGATTTTTTTTTGCCTGACGATATTTAAAACCATTGGTCATAGTAGAAAATCAATGAAAAGCCAATAAATTTTGGAACCTTTTTGAAATCTCTTAAGAATACTGTAAAATACACTCGACGTAAAAATTCCCGAAAAAAAAACAACCTCCCTTCTAATTTGACTTAATTACATAATTATGAAAGAAAATAATTAGTCTGTCAGTTTTTTTTTTAATTAATCAACATTATCAATTCCTCCGTTTTTTTCATTTTAAGACCCAAAAATATATCGCCAGAAGCAGTTAATTTTCTTGAAAATTGTTAAATGTGGAGCAGTGTAGATCAACACGAAAACGATTGGACTAAAATTTGAAAAATGTGCAAAAACGAAAAAAGGATAAATTTGTTTGCATTTTTCCAGAAGAAAACGACGTACGCAAATTCCCCATTCTCTCTCTCAGAAATCTCGAAGAAAAAAAATAGCATGTAAATCGACTAGGTGGTGCACCGAGTAACCATGGAAATTATCCATCGGGGTTGTGGTACTAATTCAATTCAGTGGTGAGGGCAAAATGAGAAAATCCTCAACATCACGCAATAAGACCAATTTATACACAAACTATTGTCCAGACATATATTAAATAAAATTAAAAAAATAAAACATATTAAATACATTGATAAACGAAAAAAAAAATCAATTTTTGAGTCGCAATTTCGAATGGGTATATCGAGTGAGATCAATATAATCGCATGTTGAGCATTTCATTTCTTCTTTGATTTTTTAGCAACTACCACTTCCTCATTTTTTAGGTCCTCCTGCTCGACTGAAAGTTGTAGCGCATTCTGTCAGATTTCAAATTTGCTCACCAGACGATGTCGATGGAAGGCCGGCGAGTGGCGTGCTGATTTCCGGGTTATCAACATCGGGGGCTATCGGTATATACCAAAGAGGGCCAGACTTCAGTGATCGATCTGGCTTCATTTTTTCGTATTCTTCCTAAAATAAAACATAACTAAATAATATAAAATTGAAATAAACAATTGACCTCATCGGAGCTAGCCAAATATTCATGCGGCTTCAATCCAATAATATCGATTTCAGCTTCTTCTGCATCTTGATCTTTGTTATTCTGATCCTCGTCCTCGTCCTCATCCTCCATGTCAAACTCCCCTTCTTTTTCCTGATACTTCTCATTCTCTTCGAGCTCCTGGAATTCTGGGGCAAACGCCGACCAGTTCTCAACGTGTGCTTGTGTCCACAATGAAACGATTCCTTGCGCAATTGAAAGAATGACGGGCCTCGTCGGATGCCATTGAACATCGAGTAGGGTCTCGCCTTTGGTACCGTGCAAAATCTTGATCAGTGATCCGGTATGACTCTCCCAAATGTACAACGAATGCGATTTTGTCGATGCACCGCAAATGTATAAACCATCACTGTCCGTACAAACATTCTTCCACGCGGCCTTAACACAATTTATTATGATTCAAATTGCGTCCAGAATTTTCGATTTTTAACAAGTGATTTAAAAAATACATTATTTCCCAATTATTACACCATTATGGGTTTCAAGTGGAAGAAACACATTGAATATTTCCAAACAACATCATCCAATAAAATTTTATGAGCCAATTTTGGCAATATATAAACGAGAAATATTTGGCGCAAACTATACGAAACAGTTTCTCACCTTGTTAACCATGTCTTGCACTTTATATTTCGCTTCAACCGTTTGTCCTTTCAGTTTTAATAAATCCTCAGCGCTAAAAAGAAGTAAAATAAAAAAAAAACGTTAAGACTAATTAGAGTGTACTTGTATGTTCGAATAATTCTGTCTTGAGTGTTTGTGAGAATAAAACTACTCTTCATCGGAACAATTATTTGCCGAATTTGCTGCACAGTGTTCTGTTTGCACCACGAAACGCACTTTAGAGTATTGGCATCATATATAATCAACTTTCCCTAGAATATATCATATAGAAAGTTAATTCATATAATTATACCTTTCCCGTTCCAGTAATGATATATTTTGCTTTTCGATCGTATGATATGCAGCTGACCACATCGTCAGCCGAGCCCGGAGTTTCATTCATCAGAACCCTAAATTATGTGTTATATTGTTAATGGTCGCCATTATTTTTTAACTTTTGAACTCTTGGATCAAATTGTTCAACAGTCGGTGGAAATTGCAATTGCAATACTACGGCTTTGTTGTCATCTCTTGGATTGAACATGGCGAATGTCACCATTGAGTTGAATCTGATTTTTTGCAAGCATGCCCCTGTTAACACATCCCACACGGCAATTGTCATATCCGATGAACCCGTTAACAATTTTCGGCCGTCGCGTGACCATGACAACGATGCGACTGGAAGTGTGTGCGCAGTCCATACTTTTACTGGGCCTTTCGTTATAAAGTCCACAATAAACACGCGTCCATCAGTGCACCCAACCGCTACGAGTGTTCCCCATCTATTGAATTTGCAACAATTTGCTGAGCCGTTTTGTAGGTCTAATGTTCCATCAAGTTCCTCCGGAAATTGCAATCCAAAATTCTTATCCAATATATCAGTCATCTGCAAACAAATGCATGTTAACGTTTTTAATTAGTTTTTAATGCTAAAAACAAGACTTTATGTCGTATAGAAGAAAAGAATTCCTTCGTTTTATAACAAAAGAGGAAACAAACGCAGGAAAAATTCAAAATTCAAATAAAAGCATTCTCCGCGTGGACTACATTATTTCCATTCGTGGCCGTGTTATTGCACCAGTCCACGTCCATGCGGATAATACTCTTTGAAGCTTTTCAAATAATAATTTCATTTTTATGTTTAAGTCAGTTTTCAGAATCAATTAAGGGAGTTGTATATTTGAAAAAGCGCATAAATAAAAATTGAATCGTTTAATCTTGCTTACACAGCAATATCTAATGATTAAATGATAGTGATAAGAAAAGCGCAAATATTTCAATTTCGTCATTTCCCCGAATATATCAGCATCATTCGCTGGGTTAAATCAAATAATTTGGTATGTTATGTTAAAAATAGTGCTCAAAGTTTGTTCTGAATAATATTAAAATTAATTCTCATAATCTCGTGCTTTGTTGAAAAACGATTCATTTTATGTTTTAGCGGTTTTCCTTGGCTCAATTCTCTTTCAATATGACAACTACGCCGCCACAGGAAACGCTAATCACCCAGCCGCTTGATTCTTACTTTTTGAACAAGCAAGAAACCGAGCAAGAATCATTTCTTGCCAAATATCCGACCTACGATGGCCGTGGTATCCTTATTGCTATTCTGGATACCGGCGTCGATCCATCTCTTCCTGGAATGCAGGAATATGAGACTATAAAAACAATGAAATTCTCATTTATTAATATTTAGGTGACTACAACCGGTGAAAGAAAAATGGTCGACGTTATTGATTGCTCCGGAGCCGGAGATGTCGATACGTCAACGGTGCGTTCCGTGAAGGACGGATGCATTGAAGGACTTACCGGACGATCTCTGAAAATTCCGGAGACATTCAAGTGTCCTACCGGAAAGTATCATGTCGGCGTTAAGCCAATCTATGAGCTCTACACGGTTGGCTTGAAAGGACGAGTTGCCGGTGAGAAGAAAAACGATGATTTTGTGCCGTCGCACAACCTCGCGATTGCCGACGCCCTCAAATGTCTTACGGAGCACGAGAAGGAAGTTGGAGGGAGCAGCGAAAAAATTGTAGCGAGCTCATAATGCTAATATTACTTGTAAACGAATAATTCAGCAAGACAAATGGGCTCGCGAGGAGCATGCCTCGAAAATTGATTTTTTGAAATCGGTGGCGAATGAGACCGATGTGGGGCCCGTCGCTGATGTCATCACGTGGCACGACGGAGATATTTGGAGGTATTCTATCAATGATTTTTTCCCGCAATCAACATTTCTATGTAGAGTGTGTGTCGATACCTCATTCCGAGGACGTTTGAACTTGTGCAAAGTTCTCGGACCATTCCGCGAAACTGGAGACTATGCGTACTTGACGGACAAAGGTAGAATTTAAAACAAATTTCAATTAAAAATTGGTTCATCATCTAGATTCTCTGGTTTATACTGTTCGTGTGAGCGTCGATGGAAATGTCACCGAAATCGCGGTGCCGTGCGGTGCTCACGGATCTCATGTCGCCGGAATCGCTGCCGCCAATTATCCCAACAATCCGCAGAAAAACGGATTGGCGCCGGGCGCTCGAATTGTGTCTTTGATTATCGGCGATCATCGCCTCGGATCAATGGAAACGGGTCAAGCCATGACAAGAGCTTTCAATTATTGCGCTGAGCTTGGTGTAGATGTGATTAATATGTCTTACGGAGAAGGCGTTCATTTTGAGGACGCTGGGTACGAAATTTCTGATTCCAGATTGAGACCTTACAATTTTCAGACGGGTCATTGAAGAAGCTCGTCGTCTCGTCGATCGCCGAAAAGTGATTTACGTGAGCTCCGCCGGAAATTCGGGTCCCGCCTTGTCGACGGTTGGTGCACCGGGAAGCACCACCACCGGAATCATTGGAGTTGGAGCGTATCTGACCGCGGAGACCGCTGACACTCTCTACGGGGTTTTCCATCCGTGCGAGAGCAACATCTATCCGTGGAGCTCACGCGGACCTCGACTTGACGGCGCGCTTGGTGTTTCGATTTGCGCTCCTGCGGCCGCTTACGCGAATGTACCGCAATATTGCCGTCAAAGCATGCAAATGATGAATGGAACGAGTATGAGCTCGCCGAACGCCGCCGGAAATGTTGCGTGCCTCTTGTCCGGATTGCGACAAGAAGGTCTCGACTGGACTCCGTTCACTGTGAAATTGGCGTTGGAAAATTCGGCGAAGAAGCTGCACAACAGTGAGCCGTTTTCAATGGGTCAAGGAATGCTCAAAGTATTTCATTCGATGAAAAAATTTAAAGTACCACAATTGGCCGATTTCAGCTCAATTCCGCTTTCAATTATATCACAGAAGTATTAAAGAAGAAAATCTTCCCCGAAAAATTGACTCATTTTGAAATCAAATGTAATCATTGGAACAAAGTTTCGAAAGGTTGCCCCTCCTATGAATTGCGAAATTTGCTTATTCGGGCATTTCAGGCATTTATATTCGCGAGCCGAACCTTCACGAACCACAAGAGTACTCGGTGACAATTGAGCCAATCTTCCTCAATCATCAAACCAGTAATTATATATGTGTCATATTTATTTTAAATTGCATATTTAGGCGATAATCAACATTCTATCACATTTGAGCAACAATACATTTTGCGATGCGAAGAGCCGTGGGTTTCGCACCCGGAAACCTTCTTCGCCGTTTCGCAGTCTTCCGTGATCGCTGTGACTGTCGATGCTTCTGCCGCACGAAAAAGCCTCAATTATGCCGAGATTGTTGCCATCGATGCAGCGAATCCGCACATCGGACCGGTGTTCCGAATTCCGATCACACTTATCATCCCCGAAAAAGTTGATGATCCATTAAAGGGATATTCATCTCAATTGATTGGAAAATCTGGAGTGCCCGAGCGTCGATTTGTCGCGATTCCAGAATATGCAACGAGCGCCAGTGAGTATTCAAATCGGAAAAAAATGAATATGGCAAGCCCAAAATCATATTCTAGAGATCACCATTCTCGCTGATAATTCGGACCAATTGGACAAGTTCGTCCTTCACACTGTCTTTTTGGAAGACGAGAAATCGGCGCGAAACACCGAATGCAACAAATTTTTCATGCCAGTAGCCAAAAAGTTTTCGAAATGTATTCCAGTAAAAGGAGGAAAAACACTAGAGGTTATTCAATTAAAGTATATTATTGAAAATGGCAGCAATTTTCAGACAGTCGTTGTTCGGCAATGGAATAGAGGCGAGAAAGCGATCGATGCGACACTTAAAATCGAGTTCTTCGGAATTCAGAGGCCATCATCATTGGTCTTGGTAATTCATATTTAATTTGTTTTCTTTTTTTAATTAAAAATTTTCCAGCAACATGGAAGCATGTGTGAAGCGTTCCGTATGACAGCTTCGCCGATAAGCTCAATCAAAATCAATCCAACAATCACATTTTCGTCGGTTGCTAACACCCTCAAGCCACAATCAGCAAAAATCGAGCCGCTTGGTCCACGAGATGTTTTCCTGACATCCGGCATGCAAATTCATCGGGCATTCCTTACCTATAAGCTCAGCGGTAGCTCATTTATTTTTCTAGCCAAAATTGAAAATTCTGGTTTGCAGTTCAAAAACCGTGCGAGGTATCTTTGGAACTACCGGGATTGAGCTCATATCTCTACGAGTCGCCCGTCGATTGCATTCTTCTTCAAATTTTCGGCCAGAACAAATCGTTCATTGGAATGACATCGAGCTTCACCGGACGCGTAAATCAATTTTTCAAAAAAATTTCATTGCTTGGCATTTTCAGAAGAAGCACATGCTTTCTAAAGGAGACTACATTATTCAAGCTCAAATCCGACATCCTGATGAGCAGATGTTGGAGAAGTTCAAGGATCTCCAATTGATTGTCCATTCGAAACTTGCTTCAAAAATAACGCTGAGTGTTTCGCGATCGGCAAAAGGCGCAATCAGCGGTGATGACGCGAAATGGGATGGCTATGGATTATTGCCGCGTCAGGAGCTCACTCTTTACGTTGGAAGTCTTGCTGATGACAAGTAGGATTACTTTTTTTTCAAAGATTGTGAAGAATTGGCTCCTTTCATAGGCTTCCTAAGCACATTACTTTGACAAATGGTACTTCACTTCGCGGTAGCTTCAGTCCGTTTAAAGACACGGAAATTGCCGAAGTCGACAAGACTCCGGTATTCTATCACATCGCCGAATTCAACCCAAAACCTTCCAAAGGATTGTCGATGGTGACAACTAAGAAAGAGAAGACTGAGGGAATGGAGTTGATGGAGGCGGTAAGAGATTTGGAAGTCCAGTGGGTTGGAAAACTCAAAAATGAAAAGGATGCCGAACTTCTTTTCACTAATACGATTGCCAAGTAAGCATTTACAAATATTGATTTTAAAAAATTGAAGTTTTTCTCTATTCTATAGACATCCCGATCATCTTCCATTGATTTGTGCTCGAATGAAGCAGACGATGCAGAATAAGCTTGAAGATGTGACGGAGACTTTTGCTGCTCAGACAATCCGCATGGCGGATCGCATTTTGGAAATCACGAAGCCCGCCGAAGTTTTGCAATTTATGTCGATGAAGCAGGAGCATGCTGATGATTTGCTCACCGTTGAGAAATGGATCGCGTTGACTGGTAAACCAATTGAAATTGTGGAAATCAGCAAGAATTATTCAGGAGCTGACGAGTCGCAAAGAAAGGAGGTGACAGCGACGATTGGTCAATTCGAGGAGCGCAAGAATTCGATCATTTTTGCCCTTCAGACACTTGCTTCGTTCGAACTTGATTTGAAGCTCAGAAAGTCGAAGGAAAACATTCCGATGAATATTCGTTATGGAGCCCTCACCCCAATTATTTTTGGATGCAAATCAGTGAGTCATCGAATGCGACAATTACGTTAGGAATCATTAATTCAGGAGCCATTGAATATGAAGAAAAAGTCGGAGAGCTTTGAGAAATTGAAGGCGCATGCTGAGAAGATTGATGCGGTTGTTGAGGAAACTCTTAAAGAAGTTGACCCGAAGTGGACGGGAAACCAGTTTTATATCAAATTGTTGGCATGGCTTGCTGCTGATGATACAAAGGTTATAATTTAGATGGTACTTTGCAGATTTCGAAAAAAAAACTTGTAAAAATCGCTATTCGAATTGCAGAAAAATTAAAAAATCTCGGCCACGGCCAGGTTATTCGAAGCCTACAGTACCACACTTTTTTTGAAATCACTGCAAGAATCATGAAATTTTATCATTTGCGAATTTAAGCGTAACAAATTTTATTTTTCCAATGCAAATCTTTCTTTGAGACTTTTTTTTTGCAAAATCTGCGTAGTACTATTATTATGATTTTTTATTCAACATAAACGATTATTGTCAAATTTTAAGGCTGCTGTTGTTTCGGCGAAGCATGCTGCCGCTCTGGGACACTTTGGAAGATGCGCGAAGCTTCTGAACAAAGTCTCCGACGAGGCGAAGGCTGGCGGTAGCGACACAAAAGTTTTGGATGCCACTCTTGCCGAGGTAAAATTTTGATCGTTGAATTGATAACGAAATTGGTGATAAGCGACCTTTTTAGCTATGCGATGAACTCGGTTGGACTCATCTTTCATCACACTTCCGCAATGTCATGCTCGTCAAGAATCCGCCAAATTTCAGACCATTCTAATTGCATTAGTAAATTTTTTGTCACTGTTTTTTTTTCAAAACCTAGTCTTCATCATCGAATTATTTTGCGGTTGAGCTTCATTGTTGTAATTAACTTATAAACACATTGAAATCAATAACATAAGAAACAAGAGGTAGTGAGATTTGAACGAGTTATTGATGCAAGGCATATAATCACAGTGATTCCAACCGGTCATCCCCATTAAAATCTTTTGATATTGACAATAAGAATGGACAGTTGAGTCGGAGCACGTTTTTCGAACAACGGCACTCTCGCATTGCGTTGATAGAGAGACGGATCTCAAGAAAGAAACAAATTAGTGCAACCACCGAATGAGAAACTCTACGGACATGCATTTTAGTTGACGCCTATTACCTTTAAGACAATTGCGACTGTTTGTCGAGATAATAATAAAAACTAAAAATGATGAAACATACCCACAGGATCCAACTTCGAGAACGGTGCATTCGGTGTAAATCGTGTTGGCGAGTACGTCGTCCTCAATTCTTTGCATACATTCATAATAATTGATGACTGAACCGAATAATTGCCTCTTCAACTTTCATTCTAAATACCCACAATCTCGTCCGTAATCGCAATAGAATTTTAGGAACGCGGTTTGTGAGATGTAGTAATCAGCATCGTCGTCGGTTTTTAGAATAACGTAGAATGTGTTGAAATTGAGACAATTGTCGATCACGTCCGAATGGCATTCCATTAAATTGGCAAAATTTCTGCAAAATTATTGGCATAATTGGAAAATTGCTATCCGAAAGAGTTTGTTTTCGCGTTTATTATTATTATTCAATCCGCTAAACTCTGTTTTTAATTTTCTCAAATTTTTCCGACCATCAAAATGGGGGCCTCGGCGGCGCTGCTTTTGAAATCTTCAGAACAGAAATTTGGATTTGAACATCTGCGGGCATTTTCCGGGACATCTAGGGCTGCGGTGGACTGACAATTGTGAGCAATTGTTTGAAATATGGAGAAACAAAAAAATATTTTTTAAAATATAGATTTGCCAAAATAAAAACTCAAAAAACCGACAAATCAAAAATAAACTTAAGAAAATCTCTATGAAGATTGTGCAAAACAAACCTTTTTCGAGTTTTCTTTCAAAAATCTGCTTAGTAGAATTATGCGTCGAAAAAGGAACGAGAACTCTGGATTTTCATGGAGCATCGAATTATGGTAATTCAAATTTCGATTTAAATTCGGAAACTAATGAATCGCTTTATGACTTCAGAGGAGTAAAAATTGAACGAGGCGATTTGGTCTCGCTTTAATTTGACAACAGTACACATCAAAGGCACATGCAAGATTTTTTTGAAATTTTCGCGGCAAGAATTGAAACTGTATTTTATTAAAAATTTCAGATTTTTTCGAAAATGTCTTCGAAAAAAAATTTAAAAAAGATTTTCAACAGTTAATGGTAATATGCAGATTTCTCAAAAATACTTTTTTTCGAGTTTTCTATAATATTAATTTTAATAATTTTCGGAAATTGAGAAGTTTTTGAAAAAAAAAATATATACACATTAGGTGACGTGGCAGCGCAAAAATTGAATTAATTCAGAATAAATAAAATGAAAATGAATTTCACACGAATTTACTTGTTTTATTTATTAATAGTAAGCCTGCCCGCGGCCGCGAATTATTCGGCCATGGCACATTCCGCGTCCGCCGCCATTATTTCGAAAATGTTTAATTTATTTTCTCCAATAAAATAATAAGACCAACTTGCACATATTCACATTGTCATATCGGATTTTCGAGAACGGGTCTTCTGAGCCGCCTGGAAGACTTGTGAAATTCATACCATACGCTGAAAACAAATCCAAATAGCATTGCTGCATAATCTGAAATGTGAATTTCGAAATGAGTTGCGATTTCATTGAAAACTCGCCGAATCCTGATCATCAGTACAATTATGAAGAACCGCCGGATTTCCTTTAACGGTTGGTTTGACTAAGCCGCCAGAATCGAATGAGAATGTCAGATGTGGTTTGATGAAAATCAGCAAAACAATCATGACGACCATTTTGAAATTCCCGGAATCGGTTGGGCCGACCCAATGAAATTGAAAAATTATCAAAGTGTGCCTAGTTGATTTTATGTCTTTTTTAATGATGATGTTTGGTTAGAAGGATGTTTATCAATTTTTATTTATAGAGTAGGAGGCAACTGTAAATGATTGAGCAGATTGCCGACAAACGAGACATCGAATTTGTGAACGATTTATAGACGCTGCTTCGACTGCCCATTGGCTGGCTGGTTTTCGATGAAACTGCTCGCGTTTGAAGCGTTGGCGTGTTGCAGGCGTCACTTGAACAGAGGCAATATTTCGCCAGAATCGTGTACACTGGGAATGTTCGAATCGCGACACGCTTCTCGATGCATCCGTCAGATTCCAGCATCAAATCGTCGTGGAGAAGATCGGTTGAGCAGCCGACAGCGGATCCTAAAAACGAGTTGCTCCGTCATTTTAAAAAAGTATTCGACATACGCTTCATATATGGACATGGTGGGCACTTGAAGGAAAAATTAAGAAAAAAAGCGCGGTCCGTAGAAACACCCACGTGAAATTACACACATTTTTTTTATTTTCAATGAACTCTATTTGCAAGAATAATTTTTTCAAATATCTCAAAAAATACGATTTTAGTTGATGATCGAGAATTTGAAAATAATTTGAAAATTGGCGCAAATAAAAAAAAAACAAAACTCGACAAAATCAAAAGTCAAGGTTTTAGCGCAATCATAATGGAATTTTTAACATACATGATGCAGCAAAATTACGCGGGCACGAAGTTAACGCAAGCTCATGCGTCACTGACGCATTTTTTGTTTATTTTATTTTCTGCGACCTTTTAATTATTTTCTAAAAATTTCATGGAAATTGTGTGACAGAAATGACAGCAAATTCAATCCATGCAAATATCGGAAAACGTCGTTGACGGTGATTTCAAACCTCCTTGGAAACAAGGTGTTAATTTGAACGAGTTTTGTTGTTTTTTTTTTTTGAAAAGTTTTTCATTTTTTTTACGTAATTTTGCCGCACTCTGCATAATAAATATTATGTTTCTCAAAATTTCAAATTAAGGGACCATTAAAATCAGAAAAACCTGTTCGAAATCTCAATTTTTGAGTACATTTTTTTGAAAAAATTGTCCGATTGAGTATCTTTTTTATTATCAATAATTTTTTTTCAAACCACTTGTTTGAGTTCTCTCTCTCTCTCTCTCTCTATCTCTCTCTCTCTCTCTCTCTTTCTCTTTCTCTTTCTCTCTCCTTTCAAAAGTACCTTTATATTTTAGAGACTTTATTTAATTAAATTCAATATAGTCGGCGTCCGGCGACTGCTGCACGCGGGTAGTTTTACGGGAATGCGTCTTTCGAAATGGTCGTCTCGCAAGGACTAACATGTTAATTCAAATTTTATCGATCAGTTTGATAATTTTTTAATCAAATGACGTTGAAAATTCAAGGAAATGCCAAAATCATGAAGAAAAATGAAGCAGTTCGGGTGAAAACAGCAAAATAAGCGTTCACGCGTGGCGAGACCTTTTCAAGGCGCATGCGCGTAAATCTACCAGCGTACAGCAGTCGCCGGACGCCGACTATAAATAAAAAATGACTAACCAAAGTTCATTGAATAATTCTGTGCGAATGTGTTCAACGAGAAGCATGGTGTGTCGCAATTTTGAGTTGCCACTGGAAACGAACTCGCGCAATTTTTGACTTTTCCATTATAATTGGTTTGAACTTCGCGCGGGTTTTCGAAGAAACTTCCATAATGCTGAAAACCGAATCTTTTAGAAGATTTGAATTTTTTTTGAAATTTTCAGATTGGCCCCAACTTACATTCTCAATATTTGAGTTTGTGCACACGAAGCATTGAAATTGAAGGGATTCGGCGCAAAATTGTAGAAAAACGGCAAAAATCAAGCGTTTCATTGTAACATAGTCGGGGGCACTTTAAAGAAATGTGCGGAAACCCGCCGATTTTATTTTCGCAAATTTCGCATTGTTCGAACCCAAGCCAAAAAGAAAACGAGAAGCACGGGAGGAAGGGGGCGGAGGAAGAGGAGGAGGAAGAGGAGGAGGAGGAGGCAAAGAGAAGAAGTGGCCGTGTGGCATGCGAAATTCTATTTAGTATTTATCTATCGAACAGAAAAAAATGCACAAAACACACGCAAAAATTTTTGCTTTCCTCAAAATAATTAGTAGAATGGGTGAGGAGAAGTCACTCAGCCGGAAAATAAATTTTCACCTTTTTTTTTAAACTAAACAAAATGCGATTGATGTGGTTCGTTCGAAATTCAATTCGCGAATGAATAAAATTTTATTGTCGGGGGTTAATTATAATTAAGAGAACAAACGCTGAAGTTTTTTCGCAAAAACAAGAAGAGTGTTGTGAAGAGCAGACGGACCATTGTCGGAGACTCCTTCAGAAAAATAGGTACCTTTGGTAAATCGGTAAGGTCACACAGAGTACATGCTTCTCACTATGTGAGCTCGGGAGAGCAGAAATGGAAGAAGTAATATGAAGGTGACCGGATTCGACTGGATTTCAAATAGCAGCCTCGGATACTGTGCCACCAAATCGACATAATATGAGAGCTGGGATGAATGGATTGAAAACGCGGACCTCGCAATTTTGATCAGGACCATCTCGTCAGCACTATAATTCTTCCTGTCATTTCTGGCATGCTGCTCGCTGGATTTTCTTCTTCGCTGTGGTCTCGCCACGCGGAAATTTCTTGTATATTAGGGGTGCCAATTATTTATTTTGTTCTTAATTAGTTTGACATTTTCTTGCTAATCGACGCTCTGATAAATTAAATTTTATCGAATTCGAAAAGAATTTCGTTTTCCATCGAAATCGAATTTAATTTTTTTTTCGAATCGAATACGATTTGAAAATTGAAAATGAGAAATAAATGAATTGATTTCCAAGATTTTTGAATCGAAATCAAGTTTTCAAATCGAATTTGAACACTTTCTCAAACGAATTTCAATTCTTTTTTCCCATTGATCCTCATTTACCTGAAAATTTTTTTACATTTTGGAAAATAAGTTTTTTTTGCAAATTTTTATTGCATTATTAGATGAATTACGTCATTGAAATTATTTTTTGAAAAGATCTTCTCTATGAATAGAAAATGAAATGGAAGAAAATTAAAATGCATTCTGAAGATGATGAAGCTTCTTTCTAGAAAAAATGGAAATTTCCCTATTTGGAAAAAATTAATCTGGCCAGCAACTCGTCCGGTTTTCCAAAACCGACGACACGGCTTGTGGTATTAATTTCGGATTTCTCATCATTCCGCAAAGGTCGGATTTCGTCTGTCTACACATTGACGCAACATTGCACACATTTCATTCGACTCCAATCAATTTCCGTGTTTAGCCAATTCTCGCATTTTGTAAAAAATTCAATCATTTTCAGAGTAAACCCCTTCACGATTTCTTCAATAAAATTCTACACAGTAAAAATACAAAAATTTTATAATAATAATAATATTAATAAAATATAAATAATAATTTGATATTTCCGTTTTCGCGAAAAAAAGTCGTTGCAAAAATATTTGAGTTTCGTGCTCTTAAAAAATGGCGAAAATATTCGAAATTTCGACATTTTAACGGAAAACGAAAATATTGAATAGCTATAAAATGATTTTTTTTAAAGTTAAAAACGATGTCTAAATGCATTTCTATTGATATGTGTGAGTTAAAGATAATTGAAATAAATCGACAACAGCTGAAAATTCGAAAATGAGGAGGGCGGGGGGAATGTGGTCATTAAAAGGAGACGATGAAACGAAAATTTTGCACGGAGATCCAATATGGTCTACTCCCTGAGGATTCATTAAAGAATGCATGAAGAATGACAATATTCGGATGATTAATACACTTCTAAAAGACATTAGGGTTTCGATAAGTGAGAGGACATGATGATTCAAGGTGCGAATTGGATAAATTCTAGAATGGCTAGCATTGCCGAAGCGACTAATATTGATATTGAGTTGGTCGATGAAATTGTTGAGCGAATCTCGTCAACTGAAATTTCTTAAATTGTTTTCCCCTCGCGAAAAATCTCGACTTACGATACGTCTCGTATTCCATATTTTTCGCAGTTCGCCATAAATCACATTCCACTTTTTTCAATTCATTGATACTTTTGAACGTTCCAGCCTTAAATTAGAGCGTTTTCATTGTTCCGCCACTCCATTATTTAAATTCGCGCGCAGAGGCGGCCAAGAATTGAGACCGCGTTGCGTATGCGTCGCGGTCGGCGTCGGTTTTAAATGAAATTGCGCAAATTGTAACAAATCGTTTTTTTTTGTTGTTTAAAATTTTAAATTAAGTTTTTTTATTGATTTAAATAACTTTTGGAATTTTTTAATAAAAATGGGTCAGGAATGAACAATTTTACGATTCCACTAAAGAAATTATTATTGAAAATAATTTTATAACGCGCAAGTGTTTTTTTGCCAATTTCTCAGGTAAATGAAAATCAATCGGATTCGAAAATAATTTCTTTTTCAATCTAAATCGAATGTAAATTAATCTGTTTCGAATTATTCCAAAATTTCAATCGAATTCGCTTTCAAATTTGAAATTGAGAAATAAATCAATCTATTTCTAAGATTTTTGAATCGAAACCAAGATTTCAAATCGAATTTAAGCGTTTTCTCAATCGAATTTGAATTATTTTTCGATCTAAACAGGTTAATTTATATTTTATTTTTCTTCGAATCCGATTGATTTTCATTTACCTGAGTTATTCCTTTGGATATAGAATTTCTTTTTTTCAATTGCATTGATAATGTAACATAATTGATTTTGTTGTGTTTGAGAAAACAGAAATGATTCGGCTACCTTAATATTCATCCATTTCGTGTTTTTCACACCATCGTATTGTTCCCAAACCACATTCACGTTCGTCGCCGGCGTTCGCTTCCTCAATCTTGGCACTCTAAATAATCGCCACACTCTTTTTTATTCAACTCAGAATCAAGTTTTTTTATTCAGGTACCCATCAATTGCGAACGTTGTCCAGAAATCGATGACCTTCTCCGAGACGTCCATCTCCTCTTTCGTATATCCGGCGGTTTTATTATAAAGCGGCACACCGAACACGTATTCGATTTCGTATCCATGCATCACACCAGTCCATTTAGGCCACGGATTCGCGCTAAACTCGACGATTGATCATGATTGCAATGGGAATGCGTGAAACGACCTCGATGGTTGATCGAAATAATAGACGAACACTTTGGATTTATTTCCAGCCAATTTCGGATAATTATGCGCCAACCAAATGCTATCGCATGTGAAGAAATAATCGCCGACCATTTGATTCACCTTCAAGTGTTTTTTTTTTGGAATCAGTTTGATTTAAAAATATATTTTTTCATTTTTTTCTTTAGATCAAAACGCACCTGTTCGGCGTAGAATTCGGTTTTCGCTTCGGGATTCGTGCAATTCGCATCCGAATACACATATTTGGCTGCGGTTCGAATCAGTTCGGGTTGAACGGCGAACGCCGTCTCAAGGCACTCGTGAAATTCGGTTTTCGTCAATTTCGGCTTCACCGGCTGCTTGTCGAAATATTGGCCCAAATTGTAAATGTTCCAAAAGTTTCCCTCGTCGTGATTGATGCCGAACATCAGATTGACGTCCGTCGAATAGGTTCCGTTGCGAAGCGCGACGAAACCGTCGAGATGTTTGAAGAAGTTGCGGTCACGCGAGACAATCGCAAACGGGAATTCGAGGAAATTGAGGCCGACACTCCAAATATTATCGATGAGCTTCTGAGCGGGCGTCTTTTTCAGACAATCGATGCGATCATCGATCTGCAAACAATTATAGCCATTTCAAGAATCTACTGTGGGTTCTATACGCTTGTATGATTGCATCCTACTAAATTCGCCAAAGCCATCGATTTTTGTTTGGCGCGTTTCGGCGAATCCATCGACCATTTGTTATCAAGTGAACCCGATTGAAGAATGCCGTTTTGGAATAGCCTGTAATGATTTCAATTTTCCTTCTTCCTTCTTGAACTCCAGAGCACCCCTTCGAAGCTGGAGCAATCATATGAGCGACAATCGAGGCGGCGCCAGCGGATTCGCCGATTAGCGAGATTCTCGACGGATTGCCACCGAACGAGAAAATGTGATCGCGTATCCAGTAGAGCGCCAATTGTTGATCGAGCATTCCCATATTTCCGGGCACATTGTCGTGGTCCAGAAACAGATAGCCGAATGGTCCGACGCGATAGTTGATGTTGACGACAATCACGTTGCCGCGAGTGGCTAGTTCTTTGCCGTCGTAGAGGATGAGCGATGGCGAGCCTGAATAGAATCCGCCGCCGAATAGCCACACGAGCACCGTGAGATTACTGGAAATAAAAGCGAATTGTGATCTTGAAGGTGCAACACTCACAATGCATCGGCAGGCGCCCATATATTGACATAAAGGCAATCCTCGCTGACCGGAGTGTTCGCATTCCACATTTCGGATCCCCAAAAGTTTGGATCATAAGTGTCGCGGCCTTGATAGCAAGCTGGAGCGAGGGTGTTCGCTTCGATCGTTGAATTCCATGGTCGTTTTGGCGACGGCTTCTTGAAGCGATTCTCATTGATTGGCGGCTCAGCAAACGGTACACTGAACAATGAATGGATGATGGATGGCCCCCCGAATGCGTGCATTACCCTAGGAATGAGCGAATCCTTTTGTTGCCATGAGTCGATTCGGTTCCTCGTATGATTCCTAATCGCGTTTGCACTTCAACCTCGGTGTTTCGTTTTTGAGTAGACTCCTAAAAAAATGGAGTGAGGTGAGTAGAAGACGTCGCGCGGAAGAAAAAGAAACGAACCTCCTGTTGGGCGAAGACGGTGCTCGTCGCGGTCCACCAAACCAAGACGAGCATCAATGCGAAGCGGATCTCGGCGGGACGGTGTGTCGATGGATGTTCGCAGGCTTAACCTCAAATCACGACACGGTTAGACTAGTATGAGTTTCGTGCGGGGGAATGAAGAGGGTTACGGTGGTTACGGTATCGAAAGTTAGATAAGAGAGTGGGGAGAGAGAGAGAGAGAAAGAATTGGCTGATGACATGCCAAAAATTCGAATCAATCAGTCGATTGTGATTTATTTGGATTTTGAGATCAATGAGTTTAAAAAGAAATGAAACCCGTCGGGTCGGAATTAGAAGATCGATGAAATAATGAGGAAAACCAAAAATGCAAATGATAGTGTTGAATGAGGCGATGACGACGACGTCGAATATTCCAGCATCACTGAAAAAAAAATGAGGGTGTTGTCAGTGAAAATGTCGATGGGCAGAGAATTACGAAATGCCGAATATTCGGAATGTTTGACGTTGTCCCAAAAATCGCACGCGACCGATTTCGACGGCGATTTTGCGCGGATGTTCGAGCCGCTTCTCAATTGCATCCATCTGAAACACGAATAATGATGTTTCAGAGGTTTCAGAAACGCAATGGATTTTTCGTCGCGACAACCTGAAACCGGTGGAATTCTCAAATTTCGGCCAGTGTTCCGAATGTTTCGGATTCGTGATTTTCGGTCGTCTGCAAAGCGAAATTGTGAAAACAATAGAGAAAAACAAAAGAGAATCAAGAGACCCATTTTTGGCAAAACTCGTCCAGAGTTCCATCATTTTTCTCGAGAATATCTTCTCCCTTCGATTATAAATCGAGTTCGCATACGGTCGTCCGAACACGTATTCGATTTCGTATCCATGCATTGCACCAGTCCATTTAGGCCACGGATTCGCGCTAATAGAGAGAGAAAAAAACGATGTAAGCGAAAAAATTAGCCTCGAAAAAAAAACCTTGATATTTGAACAAAATAATAGACAAAAACGTTCGTCGAAGTTGAGAGCTGAAACGAAAAAAAATTGAGAGAGAAAAAATGAGCTAATAATCGAAAAAATTGGCTCAATAATTCATGTGAGAGCCGCGATAATTGTTGGTTACCTGTTTGGCGAGACGAAGCGAATCGCACGAGAAGAAATAATCGCCGACGACGTGATTCAGTCGATTCGCGAACCATCTTCGACGACGATCCTCGTCGGTGCAGTTGGCGTCGGAATAGACGAATTTGGCTGCCGAGCGGATGATGTCGGGTTGGATGGCGAAGATTCGATCGATCAGCGATTCGAATTCATTTCTGCAATTCGATGAGCGACAATTTTCATCAAGTTTGTGTTTTTTAAAGAGAATCCATTAGAAATTTTCCAATGTGTGCAATTTTGCGTACGTGTGCTTACGGACTGCACCTAATTTTTTTCTCCACGGCGGAATTTCGCAAGAATATTTTATTCCGAAATAATAAACGAGCCGTGGTTGGTTTTGGTTTAAACATAGGGGTTCCCAAAAAATTTTCCGCAATTTGTCAAAAAAAAAGGTTTTTTGCCCCTACCAGTACGACACTCCGATTACACATCGCCCTCAATTTAGCGCGTCGGGATCTTTTATTGCGACTAATTGAATTTTTCCCCCCTGTTTTTACCAAAATGGTCCAATCGAATCTCCCGCATAGCATTTGACGCAAATTTGCAGATTTCGAAATTCACTTCGAATTTCACATTTTCCGACCATCTCTGATCCTTATGGTTCTATAAAAATTTTGGGAAAAATTAAAAAAAAAAAAACTAAGTTTTTCGATTATTTTTTGTGCAAAATCTACATTGAACCATTCAAATTTTCAAAATTTAATATCAATGAAACCTGGATATTAAAGGCGCCTTGGTTTTATCGAAGTATTCCGGCAAATTGTAGATATTCCAATAATTGCCTTCATCTCGATTCATGCCAATCATCACATTGACATTTCGATGGAATTGAGCTTCTCGAATCGCAACAAGACCGTCGATATCCATAAAAAAATGGGGGTCTCTGAAAGAATCGATCAAACAAAATCATTTGCTGATGGAACCTTGAGACGATAACAAATGGGAACTCGAGAAACGTCATGTTCATATTCCACATTTTTTCGAAAATCTGAATCGCCGGCACTAATCGCAAACAAGCGAGCGAATTGTCGATCTGAAGGACCATCATAATTGGCACGCTGAGATCATAATTGGATTACTGTCGTTTTGGTGCACCCGACCGCTTCGATTAATTGCAGCGATTTTTGTTTGGCGCGAGCCGTCGAATCCATCGCCCATTTGTTTTCGAGACTTCCCGATTGGAGAATCGCGTTTTTGAATAATCTACAAGAAATTCCCACTGACTTCTTTCTATTATTTTTTTTTCTGCCTGCGACAATCCATAAAAGGAATTGGGCTTTTGAAACGTACTAGGCGAAACTCGAAAATAAACAACACGAAAAAAACGGGGGGCGACGCTAATTTGGATTGGGACCAAAAACGAATGGAGTCGTGATTCGCCGACACTAATCAACATCAATCAACGAACCCTTTTGAGCCGGGTGCAATGAGATGAGCAACAATTGAGGCGGCGCCGGCCGATTGACCAAATAAGGTGATCTAGATGAGAGGAATGCCATCAGGAATGCAGTCGAATAGCATCATCATACCTTTTGAGGATTGCCACCAAATGAGGCAATATTGTCTCGAATCCAGTGAAGAGCAAGTTGCTGCAAAAAAAAGAGAGTGAGAGATTTTGGAGTGTTTCTATCATGTTCACAAAAACTTTTTTTTTCCCCAAAGGGTCAAATTAGCATACGAAGGGGGGCCAATTTTGAACATGGTCATTTTTGGACGCAAAATTTTGCGTCGGCTAGTCGAGCAAACGCAAAAAGTTTGTCTCACAGCGGCCAAAAATTGAATGGAAAAACAAATCGGAACGAAACAACAACCAAATTAGGAACACGCGAGTTCTCTTTTTTTCCACCCTTCGGTCAAGAGGGTCCCCCCCCCCCAACTAACCGGCTTCAACAAATTCCATTGAGGACAGCAAAAGTGCGAAAAAATTATTATGCGATTCGCGTAGCAAAAAAAAAAGAGCACACTCGCAAATTTCAGTGGACCGCCCCCCACCCTCCCTCACACCCTTTTAATCCCTCAATTTTCGGACCCCCCCCCACCAACCAACACTTATTCTTCTCTCGTCTCTTCACACTGCTTTTCTCGTTGTGAATATGATGAATAATTTTTTTTGGGGGGAAGCACATGCTCTTTTTGAAGACCACGAAAAAAAGAATGTGCAACAACACAAAAGGCGAATCGAGTTGTTTGAAGGTGTGGTGTACCTGATCGAGAAGGCCCATATTGCCGGGCGCGTCGGGATGGTCCAAATACAAGAATCCAAAGGGTCCGAGGCGATAATTGATGTTGACCACAATGACATTCTGGGTGGCCGCGAGAACACCGCCGTTGTAAATGTCCAGCGATGGGCTTCCGGCGTAGAAGCCGCCACCGAATATCCAAACCATGACTGTCAGATTACTGTAAGAGAAAAGAAAAGGAGATGATGGGAATTGGAAATTTCTTGCTAGGCTTCGGCGGGCGCCCAAATATTCAAATAAAGGCAATCCTCGGATATCGGCGTATTCGCGTTCCACATTTCGGACCCCCAAAACGATGAGTTATAATTGTCGCGAGTCTAAAATCGTTCTGTCGAGACGCTACTATATATATTTTTTTTGATTCACTTGAAAACACGCATTTGCGAGTACTGTAGCATTCTGAATTCCATTCCACTTCAATTTCGCCGTCGGAATTTTGAATCGCGATTCCTCGATTGGCGGCTCGGCAAATGGAACCCTAAACTTGATTCTTCACGAATCGCCCCCTCAAAAAACAAAAAATGAAACCCCAAAAATGAGCGAATTTTGGTGCCCAAAAAGAAGAACTCATCGCCCTGAATGTCGCCCAATTTGGTCTCGACAATCACCGAATGGCCGCCGATTCGTGCGATGAGCACACTGAGCAAAACGTGGCCAACGAGTGTCATCGGCTCAACAACATGAAAGCTGTCTGAAATTTGTAAAGAAGCTTAATCGGAAAAAAGAAGAAAATCGAAAATTGATGACAAGCAAGTTGCGGGGCAAAAAAATCGGATAGATTAAATTGATATCGGGGGGTGACGAACAAAATCGAAACAGGTGCACTCGGAAGAAGAAGCATTTGTTGACATAGTTTATATAAGAAATGATGAGCACACACAAACAGAACAAGCGGAAGAGAGACCGACCGAAGGCATGTCGATTTACGCGATTTGAAATGGTCCCTCCAATTAGGTCCCCCCGGCACCAGCGCCTTTATGAAGATATGTACATATTATGCGTTCAACTGGTTTAATGTATTCCATTCGGAATGAGCCTTTTCGAATGATGCGTCAAGCAGCGCATACAAAACGTGTTTGAGAACAACTCATGGCAAATATCTGGTTGAGCTGAACATCACATGAATGATGATATTTCATTTTTCATTGATGACATGCCAATTGATTTGGAAATTGAATTGGGTCTCGCATGGAATGAATTGACATTTCGAAATTGTGCGATTATTTTGAGGGAACCTTTCTAAAGCAATCTTTTTTTCAAATAGGCAAACAGTACATTTTTTAATATGTGGAAAAGTTTAGTGAAAAATTTTGGGGTTTCGGCCATTCATTTTTCGAATCATAAAATGAGAAATTTGGTTTTGAAAACCTGCGGACGGTTTTCGGGGATACGCCGCCACAAAAAAATCGTGCGGTCCGTAAGCACACGCGCGCAAAATTGCACACATTTGATTATGGATTCTCTTTTTCAAATTTTGTTAAAATAAAAGATTTTTTGTAGAAGAATTGTGAAAATTTGAGTGAATTAAAAAAAAAACTATTTAATTTCTTTAAATTAAATTGAAAGAATGGTTTTTTTTGGGGGGGAATTTCGGATTATACAAAAAATGGGGGTTGAATTCGAAACCCTCAAAAATTATGAGAGATTATTAATGGATTTTCAAAATACTAATTTGAGAAATATTTATTATCGTAGAAGGACCAATTTGATAAATTTGAATTTCTCCGGCTGACACTTAATTGGTCCCGAGTAAAAAAAAAACAAAATCAGCTATGCCATTCGGAACTCTCAGTTAATAACCAATATATTTAAAAATCACTCTTTCATATTATGATAGTTAGAATCCTAAAAATCGCTCAAAAATGTTTTCCATTCGAGACCCATGGCGGCAATTCAAACTACCAAGCCATCGCACCGGAAATTTGCCCTATATTAATTCGAATATATTCAAATTCGCGCTTTTAGAGATTCGAGAAAGAGAATAACTCATCACATACCTTTTTTGAATTTTTGTATAGTCGTGGTCCGGCTGGGTAGATTTACGGGGATGCGCCTTCGCTATGGTCTCGCACCGACTAATTGGCTAATTTGTAATTTAGTGGTAATTCCGTTTATTTCAATGATATTTAAATACTCATAGAAAATAAGAATTCGCGAGTGGCGAGACCATTTCGATAGGCCCACCATACATAGAATGCATTCGAATAGAAATGAACAATGCAATTATGCTACAGTATGCAAGATGAGGACATAATTGAATTGAAATGCACTCCGCCCAATTGGGTGCACCACCACCACCACCACCACCAAAAATGTTGGCAATTATCCAAATTGTGGCAAATTGTGTGCTAGCATACCGTAATCGCAGAAAAAAAAACGAATTGGAGGCAATTGGCGCAAATTGGGTTTCACATTCGAGCGGAGAGCCATCTCTCCGAAATCAAGTATTCAGCGACACGCACACCGAATATGGCTGAAAACCGAGGCGAGAGAGTTGGCGGGACCGAGATGCGCAGACGTTGAGCGATATGGGGGGGGGTGTCGAAACAATGAATGAATCGACGAAGCGTGAGAAGTCGAGCATCGGAATGAATCGGTCGAAAACGTCGAGAAGCCGACACTGCGATGTCGGTCGATTCGACGACAGATGATGATAGTGGCTCGTGGCGGCGCGCGCAGACTACTTGAGCAGCCGGCCGACAAATATTTGGATTGTTAGCGCCAACTTGTAACCAGCTCATTTCGCACAGGTCAACTCGCCGTCGAATTAGGCGCTCGTTGTTTGTTGGGTTGTCGTCGACGGACCATCTTGAATTGCCTATTCAATGGTCCCGATTTCAACATATGCGAAACACTCGAAATTCATTGAAAATCGTGTCATTTTACGGTTAAACATGATCAAAATCAAAAAACGTTTTTTTTGCTTCCATGCGAGACCCAAATGATACGAATGTGGTCTCATTCGTCGATTTTTTGGGCTCGCCAAATATCACGAAACAATTCTTTTTTTTTTTTGATTTTCTTGCATTTTCTGATTGCTCGTAAATCTACACTAGTCGATTATTCGAAGCAAATCAGTTCTATTGAAAGATTCGACCATTTTTGATTAACTATGCATTTTTATAATTTATAAAAATTGGTAAAAGGAAGTTGCTGAATTGAAATATTTCATATTCGAACCACTGACTACTCAGCGATTTGGTCGATAAGGATCAGAGATGGTCGGAAAATGTGAAATTCGAAGTGAATTTCGAAATCTGCAATTTTGCGTCAAATGCTATGCGGGAGATTCGATTGGACCATTTTGGTACAAACAGTGGGGAAAAATTCAATTAGTCGCAATAAAAGATCCCGACGCGCTAAATTGAGGGCGATGTGTAATCGGAGTGTCGTACTGGTAGGGGCAAAAAACCATTTTTTTGACAAATAGCGGAAAATTTTTTGGGAACCCCAGGTAGATCAAAACAAATGAGCTGATTGACATTCGAAAATTGGCATTCTACAAGTAAAAATCCGTTCGGATTGGATTAATAAATTTCTTTTAATTGCATGTACAATGTCAGAGTAATTCTCTTTTTAAAAATATTTTAATTTTTCAACAATCAAAATTAAAAAAAAAAGATTATTTGTATGCATTTTGCGTTCTGTTTTTCGAATTCATAACTGAATCAGTTTTTTTTCGGTCAGAGGCGGGAATTCAAAAAAAAAACCAATTCAACATCAATTTTTTTCGAAAAATTCTTCGACCTTGATCTATATTATTCGTTGCATTTGTTTGAGTTAAAAAAGTATTTAGGATTCGGATTTTTTCGGGCTGACGTCGGACCATTAAGTCGTGGATTCACAAAGACGAGCAAGTCGGAAGAAATGTCGTGTTATTGTTCGTTTCGACCACAAGTGCTCTCAATTTTGCTCAAAAGTGTTGTGTTTCAAATATGTCGACGACAATCATCGAGGTTTCGCGAGCGACACGCAAGGTGAATTAATTTTAATTGATACGGGCGGTCCACTCGAGCAATTCAATGAGAGCAATTATTGATAAAAATCGAAAAGAAGAAATGAGGGGGGGGACGAATATTAAAAAAAAAACACCAGCGAAATTAGAAAAAAATTGATAAAAATGAAACAAATCCGATTACAGAAATCCGCTAGAAACAAAAATATCATTTTTTTTTCGAAAATCGGTGAGCAAAAATTGATAAGATATACAAATATTGTAGTTATACGAAAATTGTTGGCTATATAAATTTTTCTGAAAGATTCTTTGGAAAAAAATTCTGCAAGAAATCGGTGAGATGAATTTGGGAGGTTTTTCCGTAGTAGAACTCGATTGTCAATAGAGCGCAATTGCATTTTTGTATTCACTTTTTTCAAATAGATAATATCATATTATTCCTCGTGGCTCCGGACGGATTCTGTATGAGATAATAAGAAAGAAATGGAGGGTTGCAATTGCGCTCTATTGACAATCGAGTTCTTATTCGTGGAACCACCTGAATTTGGGGTGGCATTTGAATCGCCGATTTGGGTCTCGAATGGAAGAAATCTTGGGAGCGAGTTTTTCTGAATTTAACTGTGCTAAATGAATTTTAATTTTCATTGGATATTTTTTTGTGTCAATTTACGGTAGCCCGCGAAATTCAAAATTTTGAAATTCGCCAATCCACAAAGATATTATAAATGTGCCAAAAAAATCACTAATAATTAATTACCAGAAATAATTTTGATTTTTCTTGTTGAAAATTTTAGAATTTCTTTTTAAAGAGAATCCATTGGAAATATTTTTTAAAGGCGCGGTCCGTAAACAGTGTACGCAATAATGCACACATTAATGGATTGTCTTAAAAAATTGAATTTCTTCGATTTTTTTTCTCGAAGAAAAAGAAAACTAATAAGATTTCAGTTGGATAATTGATAATTCAAAAAAAAAAGATCGACAATTCGAATTCTTTGAAAAACTCGAGAAATCTGTAAATAATTAATGATGAGAATTCTCGGGGAATTTTTGATCATCGGACGGCGAATATTTTATTTTTGATGAATCAAAAAAAAAATGGGAGAAATCGTATAGAAAACGACGAGGCCAACAATTCGATTTGGGCGGCTCTACAGAGAGCATCGCATTTTGTAAAATCCAATTTTTCGTTTTTTTTTTCTCGGCAAACGAACGCCGCGCGAATCAATTTGAACCCGCGAAAGAACGAAAAAAAAAACCCGCGAATTTCTAGGAAAAGGCCACAGTCTCGAAAATCGACAAATTCGTCGAGGAGAAAACAAAAAGTGAAAGTCGAAGCTCGTAAACGCAAAAACAAAATCTAAATGGCGGCACTTGACAAGCTCGTATTGGATGTGTATATGAATATAAAAAAATAATCGAGAGCACTTGAGAATTCAATCAAAAAAAAATAATAATATGTGCATTATACGGCGAAAATATTGAATTGATGATTATTAAACGAAAGGATAAGTATTCGAGCGGCTTCTCAGCGAATTTCAAATCATTTCGATGGAAAATCATATTTGAAATTCGACGCCAAAATTCTCTCAACTTTTTTTTGGGCTTCTATTTAAAAAGCGCGTGCTCATCATTAAGAGAATTCTGCAAAAATCTTATTGGATTTGAAAATATCCATTAAAAAAACCAATTCGTTCATCAAAATTTCAGCCCCACTCAAATATTTGCAATTTTTTTTGATCTACCCCGATTCTGAAACTGTGTTCTCAAGCGAATTTGATTTTGGGATATCATTTCTACATATTAGAAGTCTTCATTTTTAAATTTGAATGAATTAATGAACAGAGTAATAATATCAAAAAAGTAAATTGCTTGACAAAAGTTTTTTTTCAGAAAATGTGCAAGTTTGCGTGCGGTGTATGTGCAGACACTTCAAAATCCAAAAAAAATTTTTTTGGCTGTGTTTTTAAAATAAATTAGTTTATATATTTCTTAAAATTTTTATTAAAAATTACATTTCACGAATTGGGGGTCGATGAGAAATATTAAAGTGGTAGTACGGTAGCATAGCTAAATTGAAATTTGAATTTGCGCCTCGCAAAATAATGCAATGGTCCACAAATACCCAGGGTTCTCGATTTTTGATTTTTTTTTTTGAATCAAACTCTGAATTAATTATGGGTCCAATTGTAGTGTGAAATTTTAAATATTCAAATTTGCTAAAAATGTTTTAAGACGACGGGTTTTTTCTGTGCATTTGCGTCACGATGTTTGCACACATTTTCGCGCGCCATTTATTTCAAATTTTCAAGTAAAATAAATTTGCGGGAGAATCCAAAAAAAGGTATCACGATTCGGCTTTTCTTATTTTCGAGTTTGGGTGAAATCTGAAATCAATTTCTAAAAATAAAATAAAAGAAGCGATCGAAAAACAATAATTGCATGGTTATGGAAACTATAATTAGTTGATAACAATTCTCGGAATTGGCGTTTTTTCGATCAACGAATGACAATTCGGCGAATCGACGCCGCGATTTTTCGATTGTGGAAAAAAATGGAATAAAAGTTGCTCGATGTGCGTCACATTTATTGCAGCAAAAAAAAAATGCAGTGCGAAATTCTGCATTTTTAATTTTTCTTTTTTTGCAATTCTCGTTTTTTTTATGCGAATTCCTTTCAAGAGGATATTTTATGCGATTCTCTCACCACTTTATTTTTGATTTAGAAATTGAAAATTTTGAGATTGAATTGAAATCAGACATTTGAAAAAAAAAATAAGGAACATCAAAATCGGGTTCTGCGAAAAAATTATTTCGGGTGTTAAATTTCTTTGCGAGACACCAAACTTTCTCACACGTCTCATTTTGCACAATCCGAACATTTTTTCATTGTTGTCGTGACGAGACCAGGGGCCCGGGGGGGGCGAGAAAAAAATTATGTATGCGCGCGGCGCGCTGAATGCGACAAGTTTCCAGTCGACTGAATTTGACACGTCCCCCCCCGTAAAAGCAAAAGCAAAAAAAAAAAAAAACGAAGGCGTTGAGGAGTAAATGAATGTTGAAAATTGAGATAGAAGGAGGAAGAGGAGTAGGCGAATATTCATGTGTGCATGCGAATGTATATGTGTGAGAGTGCCCCCCTCGGACCCCTTATTGAAGAACAAAAATCGCAAGTGAAACACCGATGAATAGCTTTTCAACTCTCTCTCTCTCTCTATGTTTTAATATGGTCCGTAGTTGCCACGGTGAGCGAGATCCATCGGTTCCGAGAAAAAAATTGAATAGAATTTTGCCCATCTTTCTTTTTTTTATGGAAGTTCCTTGAAATCCAATGGATTGGATCGAGAATTGAATGTTAGCGTCGAAATTTGAGATCAATTAGACCCCCCCCCCCGCCTTATGAAACAAATGCCGAGAACTGCAACTGAATTAGCCTTTCGGCAACAATTTTCGACATCCCAGAAAAAAATGCGGGGAAATTCGGACGCCACAGAGAATGAGCAAAATGGTTTGGGACCATTTTCTGCTACTGATTATTTAAAAAAATTGGCACGTGTGCCTTTGAACTCCAGCAGTCAGGCTTGTCAAAAAAAATTCGACCGGCTTTTTCTTTTTTTTTCTGAAAAAAGCCGACCGGTGAAAATGAAACGAAATATAAGAGACGCAGAGAAAAAAGGGCGAGAAATATAGATAGAGGGAGAGTAAGAGGGTGCTAGACAACGAGACATATCTGTAGAGCGCGTTTGTGGACTACGACACGAATTTTATGAACAAATTGATTTGATTCGAACCAAATGGAGAATTGAAACAAATAATTGCGGGAAGGTTGTCGATTTCAAAACATATGAACAGCTTCTCAGCAAATTTTAAGTCAATTCTACTATGTACAGTGCGTTTCACAATTATAAAGCCACCCCCCGGTTTTTGGTTGTAATTTTGTCAATTGTGAAAATTTTGAAATTCTGATTTCAAAATTGAATTCAGGGCTAACAAATGCATATTTGTTCCAATTCTCAAAATGATATCTGAAAATTTGGCCGAGCGACGTTGAAAATTGGTCACTTGCAATTTATCAAGCCCCACCAGAGATTCCGTCTTCCGACTTCCGTATTCCGTGTTCCGCTTGATATACCTAGCACGTAAAAATGAAGGTCCTTGTCGAATGAGCCTTTGGAAAATCTCACATTCCGCACTGAAAATTTCAAAATATTCGAGTTAGATTAACTTTGTCTTCCGTGTTCAGTATTCCATATTCCGTTAAAACATTTTTTGTTCCGAATTCCGTCTTCCGTTTTCAGAAAACTTAAGTTCCGTGGAGCACTGAGCCACACCCTTCATGAAAAATTGTGGTTTGAATTTGGCAAATTTTTTCGATATACTGTTATCTTTCGAAAAAAAAAGAAATAACGTCCGAAGAATGGCTATTTCAATTTTGAAAAAAAAAACCTTAAAGAGCGGTTTTGCGTTTTATTATGCTTCCAATATGAAAAATTATAGTCATTAATTAAGAAGTTCATTAAAAAAATATATTCTGAATGGATGTGGGCCCTTCAAATTGGGGAAATCAGTGTAGATTTAAATTTTTCGTTGACTGAATATTAAATGCGCGTAAGGTATAATGCAATGTACGCAGTCTTGCGTACTTCTTACTACACCAAGACGCATAGGCACATAGGCAATCATTTTTTCTTCGATTTTGTTCAATCATTTGACACCAACAGTATTTTTTCTTTAATTGCTTAATTACCTCAACTGTGTCGCTCATCATAGCGACAACGAGGGCGGCGAATAAAACGACGGCTAGGCTATTCATCTGAAGGACATGAAAATTAGAAAATATTATCATCGCCGAAAAAAAAGCAAAAAAAATGAGAACCCTGGGTATTTGTGGACCATCACATTTTTTTCGACGGCGGCGGCAATTCAAATTTGGGGAATTCAGGGCTAACCTGCGAATCTTGTCATTTTTTTTGGGATGCCCATTTATGGTTCGTTCATTTGGAAAAAAATAAGAAAATTTAATTTGACATGAAAAACACTTGATTGGAAAAAAGCGCTTGTCGTAAAATTGTGCGTACAGACGTACGCACAATTGCACACAATTGCATTTGATATGTTTCAAATGCAATTTTTCAAATTTTTGCTGAAAATCTTGGCCAATTGTTTCGAATTCAGGCGGCGGTGAGAAATGCGCAACTTATTATCCCGACAAGAAGACGGGAAAAGAGAAGTACGGCAACATGTTGGTGGAGTTTGTCGTCGAAAAAGAGGAGCCGATCGAGAATGTGACATGGACGGTGTTCAACGTCTCGAACGCGTATGTCATTGATCGGATTTCGACGCGCGCAATTCGAGCGTTTCAGAGACGACAAAAAATCGGCGCCGTTCGAAGTGTACCACGTGCTCGTGCCGTGGTGGCCCGATCATAATTTCATAAGAAGATGATTCATTTTTTGCATTCATTATCAACAATATTGAATTTAGGCGACGAGTGTTGGTGGCCTTGGTGGCGGCTCATTGATGTAAACGTGCACCCATGGGTATGTGTCTTCCGACACTGGAAAATATGTGTAGAAGCCGGAATCTTTCGAGCGACTATTCGAAATAGTCGCCACATAGTCGCCACCAATTTTCTCGACTTTCACATCATTATTGGCGTCGGCAATTTTATCGCCCTTCTGAAAAAATATTTTTTTTTGTTGGAATTTTTCATTTTCATGAAAATAAGCTACATAATCGACCCAATAACCGCAGTTGTTGGTGACGTTTTTCGTGCAAAAATGATAGAAATCCCGTTTTGTTTCATCGACGAGCTTCTTGATTCCCTCGCTGTCTTTGAGAATCTGAAGTCTCACCGGCTCGCCAGCCTAAAATATAGTATGTTTGGAGGGTGATGGAAGACAACAACGAACCACAACACTGGTCTCGAGTGGAGATGAGCATGAGATGATTGCGATGAGAGCGGCGAAAATTGGGTCCCTTGCATCTCGGTTTCCAGATATCATTGGCAAAAACGCTTCTTTTTTTTTGTAGCGCGTCTGACCCCGCCCACAAAATTCTCGGGGTCCCGCCAATTTGCACCAAGAGCCGAGCAAACGACCCAACGATTTCAATTCAATGTGCACAACAAAATTTATTAATTGAACAATAACGAGTAGCGCGGGTTCCATCAAGTAATTCATACATTCTGTGGGCTGGTGACCTTCTGAAAAAAAAACATTTCTTGAAATTTTCTAGAACGGATCGCCAATTCGCAACGCCAACAATGGTGTGAAATTCACGCGCAACCCATTGGTTCTAACGTTCGAAAAAATTCGATTCGAGGACGAAGGGAACTACACGTTCATCCCCGAAGTCGAAAAGGCGGACGAAGCGAAACGAAACTATATCGCAATGTATGTGATAAAGCCGTCGGGAGAAGCGCCGCCGTTGATCGCTTACAGCGCCGGACAACATTAAACATTTATTTCAAGTTTGCACAAGTTCCCGTCTATCTTCCGTTCTATGCACCTCGTTGCTTTCTTGCTCTTCTTTTCGTTTCGCCAACTTCTTGAGCGCATGCGATCGATATTGCTCAATAAACTTATTGATGCTCTCATCGCGTTCGACGAATCCCTCCTGAATTTGTTGAGAATTTTTCTCTTTCAAAAGACAAAAAAAAAAGACGCAACAACAACAAAAAGACAACCTCGATGAAATATTCGAGGAGACACACGTGAAGGAACAAAAATTGCATATGCGATTGAATCGACTGAAATCGTTTCGAGATGTTGGGAGAAAACCGGAGAGCCGAATCACCTGATATCGCAGCGCTCTCATCTCTTTGACGACGTCGATCAATTCAATGTTGGCGTCGTGCTTGATCCGAATGTTCGCGTAATCGATGCCCACGAATGTCGCCGTTCGGCCGACACCCGCACTGCAATGCACAACCACCGGACTGTTTTTCGTATTGATTTCCTATATCACAAAAATTATATATATATAGTCAGCGTCCGGCGACAGCTGCACACGGGTAGATTTACGGGGGATGCGTCTTTCGAGATGGTCTCGCAAGGACTAACAGGTTATTTCAAATTTTATGGACCGGTTCGATAATTTTTGAAATCGAACGACGTTAGAAATTCCAAGAAATGCGAAACTCATCAAGAAAAATGAAGCAGTTCACGTGAAAAGCGTTCACGCGTGGCGAGACCATTTCGAAAGGCGCACGCCGTAAATCTACAGCAAAGCGAGCGCTCTGCGGTGAGTTAGCTTAGCAGGTCATTTAGAGTACGGTACTTGAATTCCCGTTGTTTAAAGGGGGGAGGCAACCTTTAAAAGTATATCAAAATCGTTAAAAATAGATGAGGATAAAAAACATAAAATAAAAACTAAAAAAAGAACTCAAATTAATTGATCGCGAAGGCAACAACCGCGAATTGTCGTCAAATAAAATGCACAAGTCCGCAATGAACTTAATATCGTCTATTTTCAATATTCCTGGTCATTTTTTTCATTTATAGCCTTCAATTGAATCTCTGAGACCTCGAAACTCTAAAAGTTGGACATCCGTAATGTTCAATCAAAAATTTCACGTTTAAAGTAGTCGTCGGATAAAAAGCATTAGGTGTAAACACGCGAAATGCTCTTCGCATTTCAAAAATGTTTTTTTTTTGTCTCAAATGCGTATTCAGGTCAGAATGAGACACAATAAAGACGTTAAATTTCGAAATGAAGCTGCAAATGACATTGCGGACTTGTGCATTTTATTTGACGACAATAAATGCATTTTGTTGACTTCGAGACGAATTAACACACAATTTTCGTTCTTTTCTTCATTTTTCGATTTTTTTCTTAATATGTATTTTTAAGACCCCCCCCCCCCTTTTTAAATTCAAATTTGAATTGCCGCCTCAAAAAATTGCGATGGTCCACAATTCTTCAAGGCGCTCGTTTTTTTTTTTGTTGCAATAATAATAATTGTTCTTTTCTTCAAAAGAAACCACCAACAGAACCTTGACCCATTTGTAGAGCTTCACCATTGGCTTCGCATCGGATGGTGCCAACTGATCGGGCCACCACGGCACGAGCACGTGGTACACTTCGAACGGCGCCGATTTTTTGTCGTCTCTGAAACGCTCGAATTGCGCGCGTCGAAATCCGATCAATGACATACGCGTTCGAGACGTTGAACACCGTCCATGTCACATTCTCGATCGGCTCCTCTTTTTCGACGACAAACTCCACCAACATGTTGCCGTACTTCTCTTTTCCCGTCTTCTTGTCGGGATAATAAGTTGCGCATTTCTCACCGCCGCCTGAATTCGAAACAATTGGCCAAGATTTTCAGCAAAAATTTGAAAAATTCCATTTGAAACATATCAAATGCAATTGTGTGCAATTGTGCGTACGTGTGTACGCACAATTTTACGACAAGCGTTTTTTCTTTTTTTTTTTTCAAGTGTTTTTCATGTCAAATTAAATTTTCTTAATTTTTTCCATCTGATCTAACCATAAATGGGCATCCCAAAAAAGATGACAAGATTCGCAGGTTAGCCCTGAATTCCCCAAATTTGAATTGCCGCGAAAAAAAAATGCGATGGTCCACAAATACCCAGGGTTCTCTTTTTTTTTTGCTTTTTTTTTCAGCGATGATAATATTTTCTAATTTTCATGTCCTTCAGATGAATAGCCTAGCCGTCGTTTTATTCGCCGTCCTCGTTGTCGCTATGATGAGCGACACAGTTGAGGTAATTAAGCAATTAAAAAAAAAATACTGTTGAAAATCGAAAAAAAATGATTGGCTATGTGCCAATCCGTCTTGGTGTAGTGAGAAGTACGCAAGACTGCGTACATTGCATTATACCTTACGCGCATTTAATATTCAATCTACACAAGACCCCCGGCCTCTCTTCAACCGTTTGACGCCTACAAAATGATTCTTTTTTGTCAGGGTTGACAACAAAACCGACATTTCTCAGAAAAAAATTGAAAAATTACTTTGAAAAAATATAAAATGCAAATATGGAAATGTGTGCAATTGTGCGTGCATGTGAATGCAGAAGAGGCGACGCGCTTTTTTTTCTTTTTCAAAATCAACTTTTTCATGTCGTTTTAGAGGAATTTCATACCTTCCGACGAACTGCAAAGCATCAACACGATTTTGGTTTTCTCTTGGTAAATCATCGCCCAAAAGTCGCTAATCGTCTCGGGAAGTGGTCCCTAAAAAATAAGAGATGCTATCATCATGGTTCGTTTCAATTTGCCTGAGCACATATATAGGTTGACGATTTGTCGGGAGTTATTATCCACGAAGCGTGAATATAATCATTGGGCCGATTTTTGAGGACCACTCGAGTGGCGTCATTGCAAAGAACATCGGTGTACCGATTGAGAATCGCGTTCGCTTCGCACGCATTGTACGTCTGATTCGGAGCAACGTAGCCTTTGATTTTATCCTTGTGCTCTTGCGATATTTGCGAGCATTTCTAAGCGAGATAATTAACTCGGTTAATTGCCTGCCAATTAATTACCCGCTGCGCGATTCGATGCGCCCAAATCGATCGATTGTCCGTTTTCAATTTCGCATTCAATGAAGACGGTTGGGTTTTCGAAACATCGCCAGAAGACTCCTTTTCTTTATCCTTTTCCTTCTCGCCCTTTAAATTTGAAAAAAATTGAAATCGAATTCGCGACACAATCGATTACACTTCCAAGTTTGATCACCGTATGCTCATCCTTGGTTGGCTCAATTTTGACAGCGACGCATGTTTGCGACGGCTTCCTCGCGGTTTTCGTCGAGAGACCCTTTCCACGATTTGAAGAAGGCTTCGAAATAATAATAATTTTCAAAATTAAGAGAATTCGAAACATACTTTGGTCATGCAAAATGCTAACAAGAAGCCCGACATGATGATCATTGGCAGCAATGCGAAAGCTCGTAGTAGTCGGACGACATCATCGATCATCGTCTATTTGTTTTTTTTTTTGATTGTTCTATTAATCGACACCAATTGCGAATCAAAATTTAAGCAAGAAATGCGGTTGGAAAATGAAATGAGGGCGTTTGAATGGTCACGTCGAAGAAGAAAAAAAAGAAATCATTTATTCTTTGGCATTTTTCAAGCTTTTGTAGCTCAATAGTCGACTCCGCTCGGCCGCATTTCGATCGGCCAATCGGGCGCGAACGTGCACTTCTTTCGTGGGAGCTTTGAGGATTTCAAACGAGATCGTCTACAACAACACGCCAGTCTGGGAAGAATTTCGAGAAAGCCGTCTTACCAAATTCTCGTCGACAATCATCACCGCGCCGTTGTTGTCAAACTCGTTGCAGTAGCGCGGCGCTGAGAACACGGTGACGAGGCGTCGCGAAGCGAAAAACTCGTAGCCGTCTTGGACCACCTGGAACATTTTTTTTTGGTGTGGGCAGCACTCGGCAAATCGCCTCACCTGATGGCCCCTCGCTATCAAATCAACGTTCATGCGATCGCAAAAATCTTTGACGACGTCGGAGCCGAACACGTACGAAACGCCGCGGGTGTTCTTCCCCCATCCGCTCAATCCAACCTCGGGATCCGACCACAACAGATCCATGGCGATTGATTTGTTCGGCGGATCGAATGGCCGTTTGATTGCGTTCAGTTGGGACCATGAATCGAGTTGCGGCGACAGTCCGCCGTGCATGCAGAAGATTCGACCGCCAATCATTCCGCACAACGGCAGCGAATTGAAGAGATCCTGCAATCATGAAACCAGCCAAGATTGGTCACTTGAATGCTTAGGGACCATCGAATGTTGTCGCTTTTGAACAAAAAAGGGACCCTTAAAAAAAGGGACCCCCCTTTTGAAAAAAAAGGGACCCCTTAATTGCAAAAAAAAACTATAAATTGGCGGTTGTCGAGTATTCCGGAAAATGTCCGCAGATGATCGCAATCATATTTTTCTGCTAACTTTTTTTCAATAATAAGAAATTTGAATTATGTCGGCGTAGCATATCCCTATTCGTAGCCCCCGCCCCCGTAAATCTACACCATTAGTTTCGCGTCGAGACCCGCTGTCATTATCTTTTGACACTTGGCCAATTTTGGACGATACCTGAAATGAATTGTACAATCCAACCGAGTATCGTCGTTTGCATTCCTCATAAAATCCATAAGTCTGGAAATTTGAAATTCAAAATAAATAATCTAGAGCGACTACCCGATTAATTGAAGCGCACTCATGATTTCCGCGAAGAATGAAAAACGTGTTGCGATAGCGAATTTTGTAGCCCATGAGTAGGCAAATCACTTCGATTTGTTGGCGACCTCTACAATAATTATGGCAATTATTATAATTAGCTAGTAAATTGCCAGTGTTGTTTCGCCAACCTATCCACATAATCGCCAAGGAACAAATAGTTCTGATCCGGCGGAAACGTGCACCGATTGAAAATTCGAAGAAGATCGATGTACTGGCCATGAATGTCGCCGCACACCTTCAATTAAATTCGATTTGTTGTCGAGAAAATTTCAGGAATCACCGCGACCGGCGCTTGAATTTCGATCATCGTCGCTTGCTCCAAAACGATCGATGTGCACATTTGGATGACGTCATCGATTTCGGCTTCATTGATGCAGTGAGTGAGCGACGGATTGGCGGTGTCATTGACTGAAATGCGAGTGCCGAGATTCCGACGCACCACCTGATACCTGATAATAGTCGATCGATAAAGCTGGGAATGTTCGACATTGGTTTAGTTTGGTCAGTAGCGCGGGTTAGTAGGTGATGCGAGTAGGCAGATTGATCAGAAATGAGCGATTCGAATCAATGGGGATCGTCGTGCTGGAACGTGAAGACCCGCGTGGCGGAATCGAAAATATGAATGATTGCGCAATAATGTCAAGTGGTCGGCATTCTCTTGGGCAGCCCAGGAAAAAAAAGCGCGAAGGTGGAAATTAGCAAACAAATCGCTGATGATACACGACATCATTGGGGGGGCTATCAAATTACTGTAGTAGCCGTCGCCTACTTGAGCAATGTGTGCGGCGCGTTGCCTCGTTTGACATCCACTTGACATCGACTCGAACTAATCACTATTGTGTGGTTGGCGACGACAAGAGACCGACATATGCTACATATAATTAGTGGTTGGCTCATCAAAATATTATTCGAAAATTGAATGGTCGAAATCCGCCCACGGCCACCAAAATTCGGCCAAGGCTTCACCTTCTGCAATTTTTTTTTGGATTTTTATTTTTCTGGTCGCCGTATGCTTTTAAAGATATTTGAAGCTGATGATCTACCGAGACCAAAATGTGTTTGGAATCACTAAAACCGACCCATTTTTTCGATGTACCTTTAAAATTACGATGTTAACTATATACATAGTAATAGAAACTAGATTAAAAGTCAAAAAAAAATTTAGAGAAAAAAAAAACGGTTCTCTGCAATTTCGCGTCACGGTGTACGCCCACATTTTCGCTGACTACCATTTTTTTTTTCAAATTTTCGAATTTTGAACTAAAATAAAATTGCGAGAAAATCCAGAAAAAGTATTTTTCAATTTTTTCAGATGCCCCCATCCCCTTTTTAAAAATCGAATGCTACGAAGCGAAAATCAAAAAAATAAAAAAAAATATTGAAAATAGGATTTGGCGGCAATTCAAAAGTATTTTCAATTTTTCCAAGAATTGCAAATTTCAGGGATTTGTTAATCTCAGAAACTTCATTTTTTTTTCGTCAAATTCTTTTCGAAAATTCAAGATCGACCATTTGATCTACCATTTTTTCCAAGTTTGCACACCTCAACTTAAAGGCCAGAATTATGAGTGAATTTTGGTGGGAAAAAAATCTGAGTCAGATGAACACATTTTTAAAAAAATGTGCAAATTGGCGTCGGGCGGCAGTAGATCAAAGAATGACGAAATGCCGTATTTAACCGATTAATCCGACTGCCACTTAACCGATTTTCGGTCGTTTCCAGCGATTCGTATTATTCGCCAAAACGTGTGAGACAATGCACATTGTGCAATCGACACTTGTTGTGGATTGCTGCTGCGTGCACATCAAACACACAGACACCGTCGGCGCGCGGTTACGGTAGTGCGGAGGGGGCGTGGTCAAGTGGACAGTGCACTCGACGCGAGCTTTCATCGTGGGGGCTCATTGCTAACCAAAATGAGCTCACCGAATTGCAATTCGACGTCGTCGCTTTCCCAAGAGCAGCTTCTCCATTTTTGGGGTATTATTATTTTATTGTTGTTCGAATCTATCATTGGCTGTTCCAGGCGCTCATAGCACCATGGGCAAAATGACACGAAGGAGTTCGATGTCGTCATCGTCGTCGCCGAATCAATCGCGAAGTCCCAACACGAAAGGAGGAGCTGGAACGAAGCCAAAAGTTGGAAAAACGCTTCGAATCGGTTTTGATCATTCTTCTTTTTTTTTTCGCAGGTCGCCACACCTCAAGTGGTCGCCAAAATCGAGCAGTATAAACGGGACAATCCGACAATTTTTGCTTGGGAAATTCGAGAAAAACTCATCAATGAAGGTTGGCTCTTTTGTTTTTTGAGGGGGCTACGGGACCACTCAAAAATTGGGCCAAAAAATTGTTGATCTTAAAATCTAATAAATTCCAATATTGGGCCCATCTCAATTTTATCTGAAAATTCCAACAAAAATTATTTTTCAATTTCAAATTAAATATTTTTTGGATTCGATTACTGTAGCATTTGAATTTCCGTCATGTGTCTCGAATGGAAAAACCTTTATGAGTCAGATTTGCTGAATTTAACCATTTTTAGTGTTTTGGCGATTCGAAAAGAAAATCTTGAAGACAAAAAAAATTGTTTCGCGGGACTTTTTTGAATTGCCGCCTTGGGTCTCGCATCGAAAATCTTTTAGGAGCGTTTTTTTTTTTGTAATAATCTGCCTACGAATGTGTGCTTGTAGATTTACGAGTGCGCGAATATTTTGAATTGCCGCCTTTGGTCTCGCATGGAAAAATTTTTTTTAAAATTGAATTTTGTGCATTTTTTTCCTGAGTAAGGTAGGCCCCAAATTGTTTCAAATTGCGATGGTCCACAATTATTGAAAGGGACCATGAATATCACAAATCTCTCGAGATTCGTCGATCGTGTTGCTGCTGACCCCATTTGGTATGATCCGTTTCTTCGAAGCCCATACAACACAGTAGCTAGCAATCAAAGAAGGATACACATCAAATAGGCGCAATAAACAAAAGGAGAATGGCTTCTCGATCGCAAATCTCGCCGCAAATGAGTATCGGTTGCTCATCAAACAACGTCTTTCAAAAATTTGTCGCCGAATGAGCCGACGTACAGTATCGTTGCACAAAAGTGTCTGGTTTCAATGTGTGTGTGTGAGCCGACAGATTCTCGCGCGCAATTGATACTCTTCGCGTGCAACCAGCGCCCATCCCCCCCCCCTCAATGTTTACCCTCTACAGTACCACCCAATACCGTATTTGTTGCAGACGTGTGCACGACGCCGCCGTCGGTGTCGTCGATTAACCGAATCTTGCGGACGCGCGCCGCTGAGAGGGCCGCCGAGGAATTGCACATGATTCTGTCGGCGCAACACTTGACAAGGTGATTATGCAAAATCAAAAATCGTATTATCTTAATCCGTTGCTTCAGATCGCAACTAAGACCACCCAATCGAGTGGTGCCGCCGCCGCCGCCGCCGACATTCCCATTCCCATTCTCGCCGATCTGGCCCGGCGTCTTCATGAATCCCAACGCTCAGATCCCATTGACGTTCCTCTCGCTGTTGAATCCGGCCGGCGCGCAAACTTCACCGATCGAATCGACGCCGTGCCTTTCCGAAGACGATAGTGCGTCATCTGCTAGGCGAATGTCAAGGAGTACTTTCACAAATGGTCAGTTTCAACGCCTTCGAATAATTAATTTCGTTCTCAGCATATGTTTTAGTGTTTTCTAGATGATTTTTAATCAATGATTCCAGAGCAATTGGAGCTGCTCGAAGAAGCGTTCAACAAGGAAGCCTATCCAAATGTTGTGGAGCGCAGCGAAATTGTTAAGAAGACCGGACTGCCGGAAGCGCGAATCCAGGTATTCCAAATGATGACGATTTTATTTTTCGAGATGAACGTATTCTGATTTCGAAGGTGTGGTTCTCGAATCGCCGCGCGAAATGGCGACGAACGAACGCGAGCGAATTGAGCAGCAGCGAGCGAGACGAAGAGCAATTGTCGAAGTCGGAGAGCGACGAGATCGCGAGCAGCAGTCGGACGGCGAAAGACAAAAAAATCACAATCTTCAAACCGTATGAATAATTTATCTCTTTGTTTTTTTCGTCGACTAAACACTTATAAATTGGCGCTTATTTCCGTCTACTCGGGTACAGAATATTTGAGAGGTGATGGTGTACGGTTGGCGGTTTGGCGAGCAGCTTCGCATTATTGATGCGCTTGTTGAACAGACAATGAATCGGCGAGAAAATGCATCGGCGATCGGTTTTTTCGCGTATTCGCTGCTGTTCCGTCTCATCGCAGCTCACCTTGATACCTGAGCTCGAAAAAATGAATTAGTAATGGAATTGAGCTCGACGGGGACGGCTCCTACCATCGGCATCGTATAAACCAATGATGTTACTCGCACCAGCATACCCGACATACACTTGTTTCCCCCTGTATTTCAAAATGGAAAAATTGAAAATTTTGGATGAAAATGAAAATTGTTACTTTGATTTGAGATACTTGAGACATTTGAGCGTCTCGACCATGCTCATTTTCTCGATTTGAACCGCCGACAGCGCTTTGGCGGCGATGACGAAGACGAAAAGGAATGCGAGAATACTGTTCGATGAGCACATTTTTGTGTTTCGCCTTTTTACCTGAAACCAAGAACCTTTTAGGAGAAAATAAAAAGAGATAGACAGAGGGTTGCACGATTAATGCAATGCAGGTGAAGGAAATATTGATCGCTATCAATGATATTTCGTCAGTTAATGCATTAAAATGTCAACGATTGAATTTTGACGACGACGACGACGATGAAGCAGGTGGAAATATGATTCTGACGGCGACATACCAGAATTGGAAATTTGAAACACGAATTGTTAAAAAAATACCAAAAATAGAAGAAGTCTGGGGTAATTTAATCGATTCGATTAGAATTGCCGCCGTGGGTCTCGCGTGGAAATTTTTTAAAGAGGTAGGCATCATAATAGGAAAAAATTGATTTTTAATAAATTTTAAGCAGATTTCGATTAATTGGTGTCAAATTTTGACCCCCTTGTTACCTTAGGGACCCTTTAATAGATAATCTCGCGCGCAATTCAAAAATCACGATTTGGGTCTCGCGTGGAAATATTTTAAGAAGCGAATTTTTATTGTCGACATCATAATATGAAAAAATTGAATTTTTTAAAATAATTTTTGAATCCTTTTTTGGAGCCTTTAAAAGAACCCCCGGGCGCAATTATCAAAAATCTCTCAGTTGCCCAAAAATAGACATTCTTGAAACCGCAAAAAAAAATAATGAGTTCAGCGGAATTCAATTTGCGGGATTTGCTCTCAATAAAACTATGCTTCGTTTTTTTTTTAAAGAATTTTATGATATAAAAATGGGTGAGGCAAAGAATATTTGAGGCAATTGATGTATGAAAATTGGACGTGTCAATTCATAGAATTTCGATGTCATTTAATGAACCCGATGATCACAAAAAATTGACTCAAATTTGTGATTTTTTTTTCACAAAAATGAATGAAGTTGTCGAGTTTTTGGCGAGAATTTGCCAATTTTGAGCGTTTTTTGTTGTAAGACTCATCAAAATTCGAATTTGTGGTGGTTTAATGAGCGACAACCACTATTAGATTACCATATATGCAAAAATTTCAGTGACGACACGAAATTGGCAATTTTTGGCTTCCAGACGAATGCATTCGAGATGATATTTGCATGAATTCCCCATAATGTTTCGGCAAAAGTTTAGAAAAACATTTCCAATTTGGTATATATGCAGATTTATTCAAATAATACGCGTGCCTTTAAAGAATCCAACCCCCCCCCCCAATCGATGTGCCTTTAAAATGGAATATTTGCGGATTTTTTTAAAAATTATATGTCCAGTAGAATGTCAAGAAAATATTCAACATTTTTGCGAGAAAAAAAAAACAAAGAGGAAAAAAGAATTTTTAAAAGTTCGTGTGTGTGACATTTGCGTCGCGGTGTTTGCACACATTTTCTCGCGCTACCGCAATTTTCCTAAAAAAAAAGGCGCCTATCAAATTTTTCGCTGCGAGACCTTGTAGCTCAAATGCGTTGCAGTTTTAAGAATCTTGGAAAAACCAATGGGAGCCGCACGCGAACCGCAACGCGTCTGACGACATTGAATAGTTACGGTAGCCACTTTTTTTTAGTGGAAACTGACTATATGCTAATTTTTCGGACATTTTAAGTCTCAAAAGACAAAAAATTGAAAAAATTAGCGAAATTTCAATATTTTTTTTTCAAAACTTTCAAATTACATTGGGTTTCTTCCAAATTCCAAATGCGATTTTAGAGAAATAAATTGCAAAATTTAATTCCAAATTTTTGGGGAAACGCATAAAATTCAAATGAATCAATAGAAAATGAGACACTTGAGATTCAAGTGGGATTTCTAAAAGTTTGCATGCATTTATTAAAAATTTTCTAAAACCGAATAAATATCAAAAAAAAAAAAACAAATTGAAGTGGAAATGCGGCTCACAATTTCTTATTTATTTCATGATCGCTCACTAATTTGGAGATTCAGTTACATTCTTTTTCTTTTTTTTGCGTGGGCAGCACAATGTTTATTTTCCTTCATTCATCTTTTGTTGTGGCGGAATATCGCTTTCTTTCGCATTTTTTAAATCGTCGGCGACGGCTTCTAAATTAGAGTGGATATTTGAGACAAGGGAAGTGTTTTTGCGTGTTCTGGTAAGACATTTCCGAGATGTGATTATCAAGAATCATTTTCATTCTATTCTAAACAATTTACTTGAAAATTCCATAAATTTAATCAAAATGTTTTGACAATTAATAATTGCAAAACTTGTTGAAATCTGTGCAGAAAACGGCATAACACACTCGATATGGAATTTCGCGAACGATTTGTGTGGAATATTAGAAAAAATTCCAAACCCTAGATGTGAGAAGCAATAAACGAGCATCTAGCGAATCGAAAATGCGTGTATTTATATGTTTCATACACGCCCCATGTAATGTAAAACAAACAATGAGTTAGTTATTCGATATCCATTTTTGGAGATGCGCTAGAGTGACGTATAACATTCCACCTAATTACAGGGTGTCATTTAAGTTCCCGCACAACTTTGAAGACGTATATTTCTGAAACTAAAGGTCCAAATCAAACGAGACTCGAAATATTTTTTATCTATAGTATAACAAATATTTATCTATTAACTCTTTTCGATTCGGCCTCCTTTCGGAGCTATGACTTCACAGAGACGCTTCGGGTAGGATGCGACTGTGGTACGCAGGTATTCGATGGAAAGATTGTGCCATTCCGCCAGTAATGTCTTCTTCAGAGTCTCTACACTTGAGTGGGGTTTTGCGTTGACCTTCTCCTGCAAGACCCCATCACGGAGAAGTCAAGCGGGTTCAGGTCTGGGGACCAATCAGGCCATTCGGATGACTTGATGAAGTCGGGAAAATGGGTCTGGCACCACTCCTGAGTAGTTTTGGCAGTGTGGGCGGGTGCTCCGTCCTGTTGAAAGACCCATTTCTGCCCAACGAAATGCGTTTGGGTCCAGGGCATCACATGCTTCTCCAAAATGTCCCGAACGTAGACTTCTTTGTTCACTTTCACCCCCTGATCCGCGAAAACCAGGGGGCACTTCCCGGTTGAGCAGATGGCACCGAAAACCATCATACTGGCAGGATGTGAGGCTCGATGTATTGTTCTGCTTTTCTCAGAAGCTTGCTGGGATGTCTGGGCAAGTACTCGATGGTTTTGTGAGTTGAATGCCGCCTCCACAGCTTCTCGTCGGAGAAGACAGTGACGAGATGTTCTCCAGACTGCGTGCGAGCAAGAAGTTGTTTTGCTTTTTCGAAGCGTCTCTGCTTGTTGACGGCCGATAGAATTGCCGCTTTTTGGACACGATATGGGGTCAGTCCAAGCTTCGTTTTGACGATTTGTTCCATAGCGAAGATGCTCATTCCCACGTCTGACGCCATCTTTCTCATGCTCCTGTGGGGGTTTCGCCTGATCCTCGATTTGACGGCGTTTATCTTCTGAGGAGTGGTTACTGAGACGAGTCTTCCTTGTCTGGGACGGTCACTGGTCGTATTTAGCTCCTTGAAACGTTTGATGGTGTCGCAAACCGTTCTACGAGGCACAGCGAGGCGTTCAATGATGTCTCTCGGGCTCACATTTTGCTTATGAACTTCGATAATGGAAGCGCGATGGATGTTAGCCTTCGCCATTTCTCGGAAACACATCCGAAAGAGGTGAAACTTGGAAAGTAAGTAAAATATACCTTATTTAACAAAAATAAATTGTATTGGTGCACGAAAAGTGCGCCAGCCAAGCTCTTCATGGCGTCAAACTTTTGTGCGGGAACTTAAATGACACCCTGTATATTCACCTCGAATCAATGGTGGACATTTTTAAGGCGAAGGGAAAAACGCGGAAAAAAATCTTCAAATATGATTTTAAAAAAATGATTAGCAAAACGAGAAATCCAGGGAAAATAATAATTTTTTTCCTCCGCGTTTCCCCATTAATTAAAAAAAAAACAATAGAACCGAAACAGAGGTCTGTGCAAGAAAAATTGAGGATTTCGTGATTTTTTTAATCCTTATTTTTATCCAATCAAATCTCAATGTGATATCAAATGCTATCATTCGAAGGCTTATTGAATGCTCTTTCTAGAGGAGTTGCATTGATTCTTATGATTTTCATATCAATTAATAAATCTTAGCTAAGCTATGCTAGCTCAAAATTAAAATTTAAAATCGTGCATTTATTTTGCGCATGCCCAATATGGGCACACTATAATTCTAATGGGTGTTGCATTTGAAAGACGCTGACAATAAAATTCCGCGGTAGGCGTGGCTTTCCGAATTGCCAACTGATTATTTAGAAGCATTGTGAGGTGTAGAACGAGAGAGAGAGAGAGAGAGATAAGACATTTGGAGAGAGTCCAGGTGGATTAGCGAAATTTTTAAATTTCCGCGGCCGTCATGCGCCTTTAATTCATTGCGCAGTTTCGACAATTCTATTTATGACTACCGCGGGGTTTATAAATATCCAATTCAAATTACGTTTGAAATTCGAGCCATCAACGAAATAGTAAAAAAAAGAATTTATTTCGGAAGAGCCATTCTCTCATATTTCAATTACTCATTTTGTTCGAAAATGGGTTAACAAGGGCCAAACAGACAAAAGAAATGGAAAAATGATTTTATTTCTTGCATTGTCGAAAATTCGAGACAGATTAATTATATACAATGAAGCAAATTTCAATCGAGTGGATTCAAATGCAGAAATACGGTCTCTGGTTGAATTGTGGCTCGTCCAACGAGCTTCAGAGGATTCTGAAGTATTTTAATATAGATTGCGAATCAGACCGAATATTTACCTGTGTTTTTGGTCCCGTTGTGAACGAGTACTTGCGAAGAATATGCGTGAGCAACAATCGTTCTTCCATATAAGCCAATCGCATTCCAATGCATTGTCGTGGTCCGTAGCCGAATGGAATATAGGCGCCTCGTGGAAACGTCTCGTCTCCATTCTCCCATCTGAAACACAACCAGAGAGTTTTAAGAATATTGTGGATTGTTGGGGCGAATGCCTTTCGGGCTTGAACTCGTCGGCATCGGCTCCCCAAATGTTCGGATCGTGATGGATTGTCCAAGTATCGACGAGAATCTCAGTTCCCCTCTCGATCGGAATACCTCCGATCTCCGTTGAATTGATGCATCGTCTCGCGTTGGCTCTGCAAACCAAAATTTCGAGTTGCTCAATACTTGATTTATTTTACAATTCTCCAAGCGGGTATAATCGTAATGTCTCGCGAATGACACAATCGAGATATTTCAATTTTGATAGTTGATCAAATGTGACTTCCTGAATTATTATTCTAATGGTCCATCTAAAAAGAAGAGGAAGAAGAAATACCGGATCAGGGCATTCTCGATTCATTTCTTCTTGAACTTTCCTCTGAATCTCCGGATGTGTCGCCAATAAGAATGATGTATATGAGAGGGAAAGTGCCGTCGTATCAAATCCAGCCACCATGAAGACCATCAATTGGGCAACAATTTCCTGTTTTGTCAGTTGACGATTCACCTAAAAAAATAATTTAGCGATGAAGCTCGAAATTTGCGAAATTCAACCTTCACATTTGAAAGTGAGAAATCGGAATTCTGGTGGAGGACGAGGTCGCCGTCGGCACGAGCATCCAAGAACAAATCAACAAAATCGGCGGGCTCCTGATTCTCGATGCCATTCTTCAAATCCAACTCTCGTTGCCGGATTCGATCCTCAACCGCTTTCGTGCAAATGTTGATGATATTCACAATCGGATTGCCGCCGACAAATTTCGGGAATGTCAGCAAAATGTTTCGGAGCGTTTTCGCCAATATCGGAAATGTCCCGGCGAGCAGAATAATGGGCCAACGATCGTTTCCGAATATCCCTTTGACACTTTCGATTAGCGGATTCTCGAACATTTTCGTTGTGTGTTGGCCCATCGCAATCCGTCCGATCACATCCAATGTGAACTCTTGATAATACCTACAATTCAATATCATCAATATAGATCGAATTTCTCAATATTTAATTTTTTAATTGATTTCTTCCAAAGACTGTTTTAAATTTTAAATTTGAAACAGGGACACAGGAACATCTTAATTGAGCCTCCACATGGCCGAGTTTGCATGGCCGAAGATGACCTATTTTTCTACTCCACGAGGAGGAGATGAAATTCAAATTTCTGCGTGTTATTTTTTAAATTTCAAAGCTGATTCTTCGGGTTTTGTTCTATTTTTAAAAAGTATTCTTCTCTTGAATTTTCCAGTTTTATTCGATAAGGTAATGCTTGGAAACTTAGTCACGAAAAATTCAACTTGTAAGTGCGAAATGTCGCGGATTGAAATAAGGTAGCTGGGGGGGGGGCTCGTCTAAGAAAGGTCCGATGCTCTGAAAGGAGGCCCCCACATTTCCACTGTGCGGGGGTACTAATTGGATACGTTCCTCTGATTTTACATCCCGCTTATTTCAGCCCCCTCCCTTTAACTTTGTTCAAGGTGGGGATTCAAACCAGGGCTGGGCGGCAATTGTGCATTCAATCAACGAAGAGAATGTTCAATAGGCAAATTCGAACGGTTCAAACCAGATGGGAAGCTAACCTGCCTTATTACCTGAAACTGATCTACCGATTACTACCAATCCAAATCGGGCACTTCACAATAATAGCAATAATAATAATAATAATAATCATAATCATACGGACCCATTCCTTGTGCCCAATATTCCATTTTCTCTATGAATTTTTTTAAAATCTATTTTTATGTTATATTTGTTTATAGTTTTTAAATATTTCGCTTTTCACACATTGAGTTTCATTACGGGAATAAAAGACGTAAAATGTATTATTTGAAGTACCGCCTGGGGGGTCTCGTATGGAAAAAAAAAAGAATTTCGCCATCTCATTTAATTTTGCGGGACAATTAGGTTTTGGTGGAAAAATTTTATTGGCTACAAAATATTCAAAAAAAAAAAATTAATTTTTTTCAATGAATTCGCTTTCAAAAATGCGATTCTTCAAATTTTTTGTCTAACAAAAAATTGAGGAAGTGGGAAAATTTTGAAATTTCCAAAAAAAAATCAATTCTACCCACTTTTCTATAAATTTCAATTTAACATTCTCACGAGAGGTCATTCAAGAAAATTAGCAGAAATATTCAAATCAACTCACAACAAAACATCAATTTGCTCTCCATTTGCCGTATTTTTCTCAAAATGCCTTAAAAGCTCAAATGCGCTCTCTTCGATGGTGTTTTTCAACTGAAACCAACAATGAATTTCCATTTGCTCAATTTTTTTGCCCACCTTTTTCAGACTATTATTCGAAAACGTCGGACTCGAAATATTGCGCAATCGTTTCCATCGGGCGCCTTCCGCGTGGAACAAATGAACTCTCGGATCGGTATCGACGTCAGTGATCAGCGGATCCTTTTTTCGTCCGTAGAAATTGTCGAATTGTTTGACGAACACCTCATTGACGAGATCGGCGTCGGAAATGACGAGCACCTTCGAAGCGCCTTCCGTATATCCCCAAACCTTTCCGTATTTCTGAACAAATTAATTGAGGTCAGAGTTGTCCCAAAATAATCCATCTTGCTTTTGTCCATTCTCCCAATTTCACATACGGCGAATATCGGTGCGAAAGCATTTGCCATGATAGCCCAATAAATGGATAACCGAGTGGTCCCGCAATTCCTCGTCTTCTCCAATAGAGCCAATTGTAAATATAATAGCTGAAATCAAATTTTTGTTTTGAATTAATTGATTGCCAATTTGCAGCATGCCTAATAAATCCGACAAATGCTGAAATGCATAATAGAGCAGCAAGTGACATCTGAAAATTATTTCCTAATTGGGATTCGATATGTATAGTTGAAATATGTCGAAGAAATAAGCGATGAACGTCACCTACCCACATAGAAATATATAGGTTTTGGTCGACACAAGTCAGAAAATGATCAGAAAATTGATAGCGCTGAGAGAACGAGACAAAATCAAGTGCCGACCTGAGTATAGCCGATTTCTACCCAAAATCATCCACTCATTTAATTGCAATTATTTTGTCGAAAAACAATTTCTCTGAAATTGTGTTGTTGCAATTTTTTTTTAAATTTATTTTCATTACTTTAAATATGCTGGAAATTTTGTAGAGTCAATGATTCCAGGCAGGTTTTGTGAAGAGAACTCCAAAAATTCGTATTTTGCCTTTAAAAAAGTTTTCGACATCAAGACTTCTCGAGAAAAAATTGAAAAGTTCCCAATTCTTCGAAAATGATTGGCAAAATATTTTTTCCGGAATTCTATCGGGTACTCTTCTCTTGATTCAAGACACTGTAAATTTAAAGGCGCATGTCACATTTTTTGTTTTTTGTCCAATTATAAAGTCAGAAACGAGCAGGATTGCTCGCACAAAACTACGTCGTCAATATTGGTGCACGGTAAATAAAAATACGCTGACTCATTGATTGCAGAGTTGGAGATCAGAAAAGACAGACACAATTATTTGTTTGAACAATAAATGTGATAAGAGGCTACTAGTTTGGTATCAAATTCACAAACAAAAATAGAACACCCATCGGATAATGGGGAAATCTCTTTCATCACATGGGTTTTTATTTCCACAAATATTCTATAAATTGTTTTAATGGAACATCCAATTTCGGCGATTTCGTTAATTGCTTTCACAAAACTTCATTCCGAATTATTGATTCTATTCATTTTTTGATTGTCCCCATGGGGGAGACTGGGCCGTGCTCAGCAGCAGTGCAACGCTGAGACGACCCTCGAAAGGTCGGAGCAAGCCCCGAGTCCTTCCAGAGTTCCAAAAATCAGATAACCTATATTACAATCATTCGATTGTATACCGTAGGTTAATACGATAAGAACAGATACTACACTTTGATCTTAGCTATTAAGCCGAGAAGCGATGATGTCTCATTGACCGCTCGTCTCTCGTGCATTCCCATCTGCCGACATTCACCCAGGCCAAGTCAATGGGGCGAATAGTAGAGAACGCAGGGGGAGAGAGAAAGTTGCGACAGTTCGCACTTGCAACGTCATTTATGTATTTCTTTAGTATTTCCATATCAATGTGAGAAAATTCAGAATCAACCTCATTAAAATTCACGTGCGGGCATGATTGCGGGCCTGCAAAAACGCCCGCAGCACATTTCAATTGAATGAGCAGATCCATTGCAGATACCATGTAGATATGTTCATTTATATATTTCAGTCATTTTTTTGCTTTACGTTGGTTTTTTTTTTCATTCTTTCTGGTTGTTCTGGTATCCACAGAATAAAAAATAATAGTTCCTCAAATTTCTACTCTCAATTTACCGTCTCAATAGATAGATAATCAACAAACAAAGCCATAAATGACGTTGCAAGTGCGAACTGTCGCAACTTTCTCTCTCCCCCTGCGTTCTCTACTATTCGCCCCATTGACTTGGCCTGGGTGAATGTCGGCAGATGGGAATGCACGAGAGACGAGCGGACGATGAGACATCATCGCTTCTCGGCTTAATAGCTAAGATCAAAGTGTAGTATCTGTTCTTATCGTATTAACCTACGGTATACAATCGAATGATTGTAATATAGGTTATCTGATTTTTGGAACTCTGGAAGGACTCGGGGCTTGCTCCGACCTTTCGAGGGTCGTCTCAGCGTTGCACTGCTGCTGAGCACGGCCCAGTCCCCCCATGGGGACAATCAAAAAATGAATAGAATCGATAACCTCGAATAGATGACTACCCGCCAAGGAATCATTGTAAAAAAAATAAACCCGCTTTGTCGCAAGCCCAAATTTATTAAATTAATAATTTATTAAAGCTTTACTATTTCTACAACAACTGCCACCGTATTATTTACAAATATTATGTACATATATTAACACATTAGATTCAGGGTCTCTCTTCTAGATGCAAAAAGACAGATTCTGGTTGGATCGTGTCACGACCAATCAATTTCAACGGAATCTAAAAACATGAAACAAATAATTGAATTGAAAAATGAAACGCCGAATATTTACTTGTGTTTTTGGTCCCGTTGTGAACGAGTACTTGCGAAGAATATGCGTGAGCAACAATCGTTCTTCCATATAAGCCAATCGCATTCCAATGCATTGTCGTGGTCCGTAGCCGAATGGAATATAGGCGCCTTTATGCGCAACATCATTGACATTAAGCCACCTAAATTCCGAAAACGCTTCAATTCTTTTTTCCTGGCACTTTTAATATTGTTACCGTTCCGGTTTGAATTCGTCGACATCATCGCCCCAAATGTCGGCGTCGTGATGCAATGACCAAGTGTCGACAAGAATTTCAGTTCCCGCTTCAATTGGTAGTCCGCAAACTTCGGTAGATCGCATACATTTTCGAGCAGTTGCCCTAAATTTGGAAATGAGCGAAAAAATGAGATTCCGGCGACAAGCTAGCTTACATTGCTCCAAGCGGATATAATCGTAATGTCTCGCGAATGACACAATCGAGATATTTCAATTTTGATAGTTGATCAAATGTGACTTCCTGAATTATTCTAATGGTCCATCTAAAAAGAAGAGGAAGAAGAAATACCGGATCAGGGCATTCTCGATTCATCTCTTCTTGAACTTTCTTCTGAATCTCCGGATGTGTCGCCAATAAGAATGATGTATATGAGAGGGAAAGTGCCGTCGTATCAAATCCAGCAATAAGGAACATCATGCATTGGGCTACTATCTCTTTGACCGTCAATTTTCGATTCACCTGTATATATGTCCAATAATATTCTTCAAATATTTCAAAGCGCCAACCTTGGCTTCAGAAATTGTGAAATTCGAGTTCTCATGCTCGAGTGAATCGGTTCTCGCGTCCAAAAACATATCAATGAAGTCGGCGGGCTCTTGATTCTCGATGCCATTCATCAAATCCGATTCTCTTTGATGGATTCGAGTGCGGACCGCCTTCTCGCACGCGACTATCATATTGACATAGGCGGTTCCGCCGAACAATTTCGGGAATCTCATGAACATTCCGCGAAGAATCGGCACGAGCATCGGAAAGGCGCCGGCGAGAAGGTAGACGAAGCATTGATCGTTTTGGAACACCCCGCGAACATCATCGACCAGCGGATTCTCGAACATCTTCGATTTGTGTTGGCCCATCGCAATTCGGCCGATCACATCCAATGTGAATTCTTGGTAAAATCTCAAATTGATTGATTAGTTAATTAATTAATTAATGAGAGCCATTCATACTCAAGCACATCGATTTGCTGCCCATTCGATGTTCGATCATCGATATGCTTCATTAATTCCAACGAACAATCTTCGATGGTATTTTTAAGCTGAAAAAAATGAAATGTTGCGGTTCAAAATGATTGAATCACTTTTCGAAGGCTGTTGTTCGAAAACGACGAGCTCGACAGTGCTCGAAGTCTCTTCCATCGATGGCCTTGCGCCACAAACAAATGAACTCGCGGACTCGTTTCGACATCGGCCATCAAATTATAGAGGCGTCTACCATAGAAGTTGTCATATTGTTTGATGAAAATCTCGTGGATCATGTCGGGCTCCGAGACGATCAGCAAATTCGTGAGGCCTTCGGTAATGCCGAACACTTTTCCATATTTCTACGAATTTTCTTTTTGGTTGGGAGATTTGAGCACATTTCATAATTACCTACCTTGGTACACTTGGCGACAAATTCAATATAAGGCGATGGTCGCGTCTGCAGCATGTCCCATTGATTGCCGATGAATGGGAGGCCCAATGGTCCGGGAACACCGCGAATTTTCCAGAAGAACCATTGACGAAGATAGTAACTTGAAGAAAATACTGTTTGATCGAACCAAAAATATTCGAAATTCCTACCAGGTTGCAACAATAATAGCAATAAAGAATAATAAAATTGCAAGCGACATTTTTGGGTTCCCATTGATTGTTACGATTGTATTTATATACCGTAATGAAGCGGGGGTGTTATTTGTGATATACTGATTTAAGTCGTCATTCACATGATTGGGAAGTGGTATTCGAACTAGCCATGATTTCATTGGTACCGATGTTCGCGATAAGAAATGAGCTGGTTGGTTTCTGTCTTTAAAGAAAACGGTCACATCATAAATTGTTTTGTATCTCTGCTGATAGCAACAAAATAAATAATTGGAACTCTGCAAATTTCATATCAAAACTTGCACTCCGATTTGAATTTCCAAATATTTATTTCGAATCGAGTTTTTAAAGATATCGTAGAAACTAGAAGTGCAAAAAAGAAACAATTTCTTTAAATGAAAAATCTGAGAAGAACAATCTCATTGTTGAACTCTGGGAACTCAAAATCAATCGGATCCGACAAATTTCGGCTTCGGAATCAACCCAATCCAATTGGAAATTCTACAGATAAAATTGTAAAATTGTCTGATCCGATTGGTTGTTAATCGAATCCGTTTTGTTTTGATCTTTCAATTCGAATCGGATTCGACAAATATCCAATCGGATCCGATAATTTTACAATCGGATGCGATTGATTTTGAGTTATCGGAGTATGTGATGTAATCTCGCAAATAACATGCGTCTTGAATATCTCGGATTTTTGGACTTGGAGGAAATGTTGAAATGGCGCCGAAGTACTTGCGACGTGGCGGGTCAGACTGATAATTCTACAGACTCGGACTTGTTGTTCAGAAGCCGAGTCGGAGCGGGACCTAACCGGCCGCTAGGTCGAATGAATTACAAAAATATAAAAAAGTAGTTTTTTTTTATTTAAATAAAATCGCAGATTATGGAAATTCTAAAATAGTTTTGATTTTTTTAAGAAAAAAAAATTAACGGCTTGCTTGGCTGTTTCACCATGTCAGACTTTCAGTCAACTTGGCGATTTAAATAATAATTCTCAGATGCATCGCTATTTTTTTCTTTTTTTAAAATCAACTTTTCATATATTTTTTTGAAGCGAGAAGCAAATAAATCTGTTTTTTTATTGCTATCCCGCTAAATTTTTGAAATTTTTTGCTTTCTTTCTGTTGTGTTTTTATTAATGTTATTAATGAATTAAACATTAGTTTCTCTGTAATCTCGCAAATGATGGGTGCCTGTGTGAGGTCTTGATGAGACATCGGCAAGATTCTCGAGAATTTCTTCAAAACAGCTCGTCTTGGCATTGTCTTGAGCAATCGTGCTTGGGATTTTATTGCCTTGTATTGTGACTTGACAGTGCTGGATGCTTGAAGGTCTTGTGGACACGTTGGAGGGGGGGATTATCAGGGAGTGTCAGGTGGCCGAATAGTAATTAAAATTCACAGGCGTTACGCACTACAATTTCTCTGTATTTAAGCGCTAATGTGTTTGCGCTGCTTTGATCTCCAAGCATTTTTCAAAACAAGAAATGACTTTCTCTTGTTTGAATCTTGCTTTGTGACTCGAGAAATCTTGCCGATGCCTCATCAAGACCTCACAATGGTGCCTACAGTAACGGCGAAGTTTTATTTTTAAATTTTCTGTTTGGTCCACTTCATATTTGTTCCAATCAAAATTATTTTTGAAATTAACCAAACTCATGCTCACTCCATGCGTTATTCGACAGCCAAAATTCTCGAAATTTCCAATTTTTTCGAAATGGTCTCGCCACGCGGGAGCGCTGAGTTTGCTGTTTTCGTGTGAACTCTTTATTTTTTCTTGATTAGTCTGACATTTCTTGAAATTCGAAAGACATTCAAATTAACAACTATCTAACCGACCTCTGAAATGCAAAGTAACCAGTTAGTCGGAGCGAGACCATTGCGACTGCGAATGCACGTAAATCTATGGGAATCGGCATTCCCATCTGCCGACATTCACCCAGGCCAAGTCAATGGGGCAAATTGTAGAGAACGCTGGGGAAGAGAGAAATTGTTAAAGTTAGTAATACGAAAATTTGTTTTTTGCATACATATTCTTTAGAAAATTTCCAATCGAATAAATTAAGTTTGGGTAGGTGACAGATTTGATCGTATTCTGTCGTAGTCTTAACGATGTTTTGAAATTCGCCAAAACTCCGACGTCCAAAGGTTGTATATAAGGAAACCTACAATGACTGTGAGATTCAACTTATTTTTCCACAAATCATCGATTCATATGATTTCGGGGATATATAGGCAGTTGCGTTCACCCAGGAACTGAGCATGTCCACAGTACAGTTGGTGGCTACAACGGACCAAGTTCCTTAGTCCATACGAGCAGCAAATGTAGCCCGTGTTTGTGAACCGTCTGGATGTTTTAAAACATCTTTCATTGATTGCCTCTATTGTGATAACCACTCATACTTAAAACAGTTCATAATCAACAACCATATCACTTGTTAACTCATAAATTTTTGTTTACAATTTTCGAAAACTTTAAAAATTATTCTTTTCCTATATGATCATTGAATATGATTAAAGTGACAGATTTGAATAGAAAAGCGCAATATGACAGTGTCACAATTACTGTGTCAAGAAATTAAAGCTTGCAGATAGCGGGACCAAACCCGCAACTCCACTCATAACAACATAACCGACACACCACTGAAAAATAACGGCTTGCCAAATTAGAATATAAGCGCGAGATAAGACATCACGTTATTTCAGTTTGAATTTCCGCGCATTTGTAGGCAATATTCACATTCGGAGGAGCTAAAATTTTGAAGGTCTATATCTCGATAACTAGAAGTTTGCGCAGGTAGTCTTCTTGTTCATTCGATTGGAATTTTTCTAAAGAATTTGTATGCAAAAAATTAAAAAATTTTAAGACAGACTGCAAAAAGACCTCCCTTGTAAGCAACAATTTGTGTAGTCAATTGAATTTCTCTTTTAAAAATAAGAAACTTTATAGTATATGGGATTGTTTCTTATTCATTTACCCAAAATAGTTTACCGAGAAAACATTGGTCTGGTTGCATGAAAAATTCATGAGAAATAATGAAAATAATATGTTCATTAAAATATTTCAATAATTTTTTCTGTTTTACGTTTGTTTCTCTCATTCTTTCTGGTTGTGCTCACATTATCAATCAATAAACTTCCAATAAAATTTGTTCTGGCATCAGACTGCTTTAAAGAGAGAAAATATGTCCAACTCAGCAAGCCGAGCGAGCGAAACCGTGGCAGAAACTAGCTGAAGGCAAAACTATGGCAAAAATGGGGGCACAATGGTGGCACAAACACTGCTGGCACAACTGGGGAAGAAGCGTGGCACAACGGCGGTATAAAACCCGACCCCAACGGACTATAAATCGATTTACGGTTAATCGAGGGCAAAGTGTATTTGGAGTGTCGTACTGGTAGTGTAAAAAACATTTGGGATGAACGGCTTTTTTAACAAAGTTTTTAACAATTTTTTCTTTCAAATCTTTTTTTTTGAATTTCTGAATATCGCACACGTAAGCGTTTAGTCACGAAAGTTGTTGGCAACTCCGATATTAATTGAACATTAATTATGAAAAAAAAAAAAATATATGAAAAACTCGAGAAGAAAACGGTTTCACGATCATAAAAAATGCTTGAAAAAATAAGGTTTTTTTAGAGAGGAGGGTTGCAGGTGACGAATTTACAATCGTTCAGAACGATTCCAGTGGAATTGAAGATTTGGTTGTCGACAATCAACAAGAGATTTATGATCAATTATCAATAAATTGCGATATCGAATCGCAAGCGGTGGTACCCCCTCGGCACCAAATCTTACGAGTTTTTCAAGCAACCGAGATGATTGTAAGAAACAACGTGAAGGTAAGAACTGATTTTCAGATACACGCTGTCAATGGTTTCAGCTAAATTTTTTAAGAACTATGAGGACATTCTCGTATTTTTCTAGTATGTACTGCAGTTCAGACCCTACGAACGACCTATGTATATAGGAATTGCTTTTCGCCCATAAAATCTATATTTTGCTCGGAATGCCTATCAAGTATCGACGAAACATTGCATTTCTGCACTAACAGTGAACGTTTTAAAATTTTTAAAAAAGTGCTCTATTTTGGAAAAAAAAACTTCCAGAAAACGGGAAAATCCTTGTTCCACCATTCAAAGATGTATATCGACAGTATGAAATCTAGGGAAGATTTTTCTAAGAAAACCTGAAAATAGGTTTTTCGATTTTCATCGATGGGTTCGTTCCCAAGAATCACTAACGGTATTTGTGTGAAGAACCCATTTTGTTAATCTATATTTTTAGGAAAGAAATCACTCCTATTTACATCTGTCTTGATGGCGCGCATGGGAAACTCCCTGATTCGAGAGACAAATAGAGTTAAAAATCCCGAGGATCCTGTAAGTCAGCCGGCATTTTATGTTAGCTCTCTTTAAACATTGTTTAGAAATGACAAAAGGAGTATGGAAACGGGGGAAGTCATGGTAGGAAAAGATGAGAATGTCAATCCAATCACGCAAAGGAGGTTTTCCAGGAAACGGAAGAAGGTTCGCTTTTAAAAATTTCTTTTCGATAGTAAAATACATTCCTAGACGCCAGTCAGCGCGCTTCGCGCAATGAAGACGATGCCAGCCGCATCGGTGGAAATTCCAACAACCAATTCGAAGAATGCCGATCAACCTTATATATTTATTTTTAGTGGTGGTATTTTTTTTCCTAATTTACATTCATTTTTTGTTTGTGTTTCGTTGTGTTATTGCAATTGAATACGACCAAATTCGGCCCTAATAAGCTTTAGTGAGGGTCGTACAAAATTATCAAATTATCGTATTCGAATATCACTAGGATCTGATGATCGTCAAAATTCGATTCGAATGCATTTGTATTTGTTTTTCGTATTTACGGGTTTCGATTATGGTCATATTCCATTCGAACAGTTGATATCGTCTATATCTTTGTATATTCGTTGAATATATTGTTGGATTTAATTAATAATAAAATTTTTTAATTTATAAATACTCTTTCATTTGCCTGTTTTTGC